AGGGGATACGAGTGTAAATCAGAATCAACAGCGGTAAATGGATTTGGTCAGAAAAGATTGACTTTGAGATGGCGGAGAGCCTCGCGGTTCAAACACAGAGTAAATACGGATCTGCCTCTTGCAGCCAGGCATTGCCGGGGTGGCAGAAGGGTGAGTAGATCTGCTTGTAGGGATCATCCCAGCCGAAGAGGGTGTCGTTCGGTACTAAGTAAACAGCCCTCAGAGCAAGCAAAGGCTGCCAGGCACATGAGTGAACCTGTGACCTTAACGAGAATTTCTGGTTGCCTTAGCCGCCTGGTACGCCCGTTCATTACATCAGCCACGATGGCTCTCTGTGATTCGTAGGCAATGTGTCTGGGAATTCTAATAGAGTGAAAGACCCCGTTGTGGGAAATTCCAGGCTGTTCAATGCGAAACCCAGGGTTCTGGCTGAACCTCTTCACCGCACGTGGGCTTTACTGGGATAAAGCCTGCAAGCATGCAGCTGGAAGAAATCATCTGACCGTCACCAGTGAGCAGTAGAAGAGCTAGACCTCTGGTAGGTGATCCAGGGCGATCAAAATCCTGAGCTGGGTTCCGGAAACGGTGTGCAACCAACTCCATGAACCATGTATGCTTCAGATTCCGGATACTGGTTGGACGACTACCGCCGACGCCTCAAACCTTTCCTAGTAAGCGATAGTGCAGAAGTCAAGTTAGACCAGTCTGTTGTCTGAGTATCATCGTAAGCGCTGTGGTAGAAGAGAACCATGTTTAAAGTAGAAGCAACATCGGCATGGCCGTGAGATATGCAGTCGGAGTTCAAAGTTAGAAGTTTGGCCAACGGATGTGATTGGTAGATATTCCGCCAAGTTCAGAGTTAAAGCTTTTCCTCCTTCAGCTTATTATCCCGTTACAAGGGACCAATACTGAGGTCAAAATATTTCATTCCAACACACGAATAAACATGGACGCTGACGTTGATATGAGGAAGACAACGAAAATGAATTTTTGAAGCATTAACCTGATGGCCTCTATTCATCTTTTTTGCTTCAACCACTCAAGAGTTGCATCTCAGATCGATGGCGAAAGCATAGTGTCAACTCCTGTTCGTACATATTCCATTGTGACAGTATCACTCCATTCCTCAGATGAACAACCTGCCCCGCGGCGGCATGACGAGAAGGTGCAGATAGATAGCGGTGAACCATGGGTGGTAATCTGAAACCTCGTTAGCCTCCAGGTTGCCAATATCGTCAGCAACCACATACCTGACCATAGCAATTGAGTTGACCGATGTTAACGCTGCTTTGGAAGAGGTTTATCGACATTGGCAGAGTGTCGGTTTTGTTTCAAATAGAAGAACTTGCTTCCGGAACTTGTCTTATGCCCATCACAGCCTGGAATTGGACAGTCCCTGGTGTGTAGTAGATTGACGCCGCCACAGGTCCCACACTTCCATGCGTTGGCGGGCACCTGAAGTTGCGGCTGCGGCTGCGGCTTCGGCTTTGGCTTTGATGACATGTCTGCTGGAAGATAGTGTTTTGTGAAAGGGGTGGAATCGAATATCACCACGCTATTTGGGATAGGAAGGATTGCTCGCGAAGAACGAAGAGGGATGGCCACAGACTTCACAATGCGAACTCGTGATACTTGTAGTTATAGCAAGATGCAATTAACTCAATCACCCGTCAACAACTGAGCAGAGTGCATCGCTCGGGTGGGGTCACTTGTGCTGATCTGGCAGACCTGCTCCGTCCTATCATTGACTCACCAGGACAATTGAGGCACACAAGTGGATATCCCTTCGCCACAAAAGGCATCGCAATAGTGTTTGTACCTGGTAGTCGAAGGAGATTTTGTGAGCTCGTTATATTACCTATCGAAATGACCGGGGGTCATGAACGTTTCATATCCAAGGGATGGTTGCCAGTGACTGCAAAAGCACAAAACTGGTAGACCGGGGTCTGCTCATAATGCAAGGCTTGGACGAGGTACAGCCTAGGCATCTTGGGATTATCTGACCAGTACTTGGAAGTTGTTGAAGAGGTGACAGGACATAAAACTTCTGGAGCTGCAAGAAGTAGTCCAATACCAGTTACCAAGGTTCAACCTCGAGACGCCGGTGGGGCCGTTGGATGCCTAGTATATCGTTGCCTCAAGGCGCTTTAGCGGCAAGAGGTAGGGGGGATACCTCACTTTTTCTTAATTCGGACTGACATTTAAGATGGCCTTCTGCGTGGTGCAACTGATGGCTAAGGCGTGGTGCTCAAAGACAGACCAAGCCCCCGCGAACTAGTGTGATTTGATGGAATGGTGTTCTGTACGCTAAATGCTCGGATGTTAAGAACACATCGGGAGCGAGGCGGACCTTGTAACGGGTCCTGACATGAAATGTCAGACAGACTTGTGCTGAGCCATGGCTTACTGACGAGCAGAACTTAACACTGTGAGACTAATGTGATCCGATGACGGGATCGCCTCCGTGTCTGGCGAACTTGAATTTGCTACCGGTGTTATCCTTTCCATAGGGGCCCATGCTGTGAAGTGGCTGATTTAACAAAACAACACCAAACCAAACAGCTAAGAGAGCGGGACTTGGCGTTGACAGTACCTGATAACATTCTCCTTTAACTTGAGGACATTGACATGACATAATGGACGGTTCTAGAGGATTAGAATAAATGGCCAAAGAAGTATAGTCCATACCTCGACATGTTCTGCGATTCGTTGGGTAAAAAATAAGTTTGATTGTGGGCAAGGCAACTGCGGACGCCTTTTTTGTCCCTACCGCCACAATCGTCTTACCTCTGACAGATTCAAACCTACCAAACCTTTAAAAGTTGTTCTGAAACAAATGCTTCTAGGGTACGTTGGAATGTCAGTGTGGCGCTGAAGTCGGCTAAAGCTGTGGGTTCCTGGGAAATATCCGCTTTGCAGTACCGATTCCCAAGAATTCAGGGTTTCAGCCTTGTCAACAGTCCAAGGCTTGAGTTTGCCTATCAGGGCTGCCTGATCTAGTTGAAGAAAATGCCTCACTGGTTGTCTTGCAACCACACGGGCTGGAGATTTCTTTCTCCCTATCACGACGCCACAAAGAGACAGCGTTTTCGATGAGCAGGCAAAACATACGCACTGAATGTGGCTGCGCAACACGACTTGCGGCAGGCATTTCCTAGCCTCCGAAAGCCTCGCAGAACGCCTTCACAGGGCTTTCATTGAGTAGGCAGTGCTGTTGAGAATAATCACCGAAGAGGACGGTCAATGTGATCTCTAATCTGCCTGCACTCATGATGTATTCGGGAGGGGCAAGTGGCTAGGAGGCCATAATCAATGAATTGATTACATATGCCATCATATCTAGAAGAAAGCCAGGTAGGTAGGTAGGAAGGTAAGTAGGTAGAGTTGACGGAATAAGAAATAGTGGTCAGATGTCGTCGAGAATTCCAAACACGTGGCCAGGTATGAATCGGCTCCTGAGTGGCTGGTGACTGGTGGCTGACTCAACAGCAATGAGTTGGCTCCCCGGGGGACCCTAGGCCCGTCAAAATACCGGCCAACTGCCGCAAGCGAAAGCAAGCTGTGGTACACAGAACACAGATGTACTCCGATAATATAGACGTATGATGGTGATTCGAATTCTGACCAAAAGGCGAACTGAGTGGGTTTTCGGGCCTTTCACACGATAACGTGCCGCGGATCTTGCCGTACGGATATTCGGGATGGAGGACAAGGCTGCGACCGGGCCATGTCTCGCCGACCGTCAGGTTCACCGTCATGGACATTCGAGTACAAGGAACGAGTTCGAGAACTATCCCATGCAGTATATGTAAACGAGGGAAGGTATTTAAAGAGTGCCGCATGTCGAGGGTGGAAACGTCTATCTTCTCAACTTCAAAGATTGCCAACTTTGAACTATACCAATCAACATCAAACATAAGATCGACAAGCGCATCACGCTCCGGCTGAACTCCAAATATCAACTGAGATGTCTGTCTGCGCCTTCTCTTCCCAGAATGACTTTGAAGTGCAAGAGTACAATAAACTGCGCAGGTTGTACCTCGCTCGTGAAAAGCAAAGAAAGGCTGAAGAAAAGACAATGAAAAAAGCGTTTGACAAGGATCGAAGAATGAGCCTGAGAACTGAGATAAGTATGTTTAAAGCAGGCTTTTGTTTGTATGTGGAATCGAACGTAGGCTAATGTGGCTCTAGGAAATGCCCCATGGCCTAAGAATGCTTATATTCAAGCCAAGGAGAGCATGGGCGTTTCGAAAATCTTGAGAAAACTACGGGCAGACAACACTGACAGATCTGATCAAGAATCGGCATGTACAAAACTGTTGGAATAGCTGTAAATTAATATACTTGAAGGACAAACTCCAGGAGGAGATCGCGAAATGTTCAATTCCACAGGTAGTTAGAAGTGGAGAATCCATGCTAGGAGTCATCATGAATATCTTTTAATCTCTTTCACCAACCACCTACCAAAAGCATTAAAACCGAAGAGATATGCTCTCGTAAAGATTGTCGGAGTTAAGACAGCAAATCTTCCGGTCTGACCTTGAAAAACCTGGAAGGATAGAGATTCTTGCAGCGTCTTGTCTGGAACGCTTATCACCTACCAGATACCTAGGTAGTTGTGCCGAGGATAAAATGGTCAGTCTGACAGAATTTGTCTCTGACCGTCAGGCCGGCAAGGTGAATAGTTTTTGGCTCTCGTCCCTTCAGCCCTTTCAACAAACTTCTTAACAGGAAATCTGCAAGCCATATACTGAATCTACTGCAGAAGTAGTCGATAAACCTGATGGATCTATGACCTTGACGTTTACAGCCTATCCGGGGCTTTGATCGATATGGACGTTCCACAGATCGCAGCTAGCCGCTCCTGTTTCGCGTGTAATCGCAAAAAAGTTCGCTGTGACAAGAGAGCGCCATGCACGCCATGTACGCGGTCTGGAAATGGGAAATTCTGTAGCTATCCACCGGTGGGCCCGCGCACAAGGAGATCGAAGAAAACAATCATGGGGGAGATGGCTTCACGTATCAACAACCTCGAAAACGCACTGGTGCTGGCACAAGCAATGAGAACGATGGATGTTGAAGTCCCTCAAGCCAAAAATCCTAGTGAGACACCGACTGCTGATCAGATACCAGCAGTGCTAGAGGAAAGCCCGAGCAGTCCTCACGATGATAAAGAGACTCCTAGGGAAGCAGTTCTGACACATAACGGATCACCGACTCAGTATTACAACGATATACTGTTGTCTAGAGCACTCGCTGAGGTAGGTAACATCAATCAGCCGTCATCCATATCTAGACCGCTAAACATAAATACAGGAGCCCTTGGACGGAAGCATAACCTCGGTCATAACCCCATCTCCAGCAGCCTCCTTGGCTGTATCAGGCTCTCCTTACACCGCGTTAGGCATCCTCTCAGCTCCCAGTTTCTCATTATCACTAGCAGACCTCCACCCACCTAAACAAGTAGCAGTCAGGCTCTGGGATATACTCGTGAATAACGTCGACCAATGTGCCGGTGTCAAAACACTGCACATTCCAACCGACGAAGTGAGACTCTATTCAACCATTGACAAGCCCCTCGATGCCCCCTATGACAATCATGCCTTGTGCTTCGCCATCTTCTATGCTTCAATGGCAGTACTGGACGACAAGGTAGCCACTGATATTTCGGGAGGGGACAGAGCCAACCAAATGCTCAAGTTCAAGATTGGCATGGAGCAAGCCTTTGCCCAAGGGGATTTTTTGGACCATCCGACGCTGACGGGGCTTCATGCACTCGCACTATATCTGGTATGATTCCGCTTTCTTACCATCTCGGTTGCTCGTGGTGGGCTTACTGATTTTTTGACAGTGTGCGATGCGCATCCACAATCGAGGCAATGGTATCTGGGTTCTGAATGGCCTCGCAATGCGCATATCAGAGTCAATGGGTCTCCATCGTGACGGACGACGGCTTCACCTATCACCTTTCCAGGCCGAAATTCGCCGACGTCTGTGGTGGCACTTCATTACGCGAGAAATGCGCGCAGGAGAGGATTATGGTCTGGACATTGGCAATAGCGTCATGCTTACTACAGACGTGGATCTTCCTCTGAACCTAGAGGACACTGACCTTTGGCCGGAGATGACAGAGCTGCCCCCGGCAAAATCCTCTTGGACTGCAATGTCATTCTCTCTAATTCATATCAAGATATCACAGGCCATGCAGGAACTAGGGCAAGTTCTGTCATCCCGTTCCATGACGTCGTCACAGATGTACAGCCAAAGAGCAAAGATCATAGCAGAGACTCAAGAATGGGTGGAGGCACGCCTGGCGCAATGTAACCCTGTAATTCCTCGACACCGCATGGCTTTGTCTTGCTCACGCTGGTTGATTCAAAAGCTTGACTTCATCACACGGACACAATGGCTGATGCTCAAGAAAACCAGGTGCCGACAACATCTGGCAACAGACGAGCACCTGCTTGAAGCACTTGAGATCCTGGAGCCCAGGTTAATGAACAAAGATGACCTTCTGGAGCAATTCGCATGGGTTAGGAAAGTCTTCCCACAGTATTATGTCTCGATGTACATTCTGTGGCATCTGTGTGTCAAGCCTGAGGGTCCGCATGTGGCAAGGGCATGGAGAACGGTGGACTGTGTTCTTTCAGGGGAGATATGGAATGAAATCACCACCGGTGTTGGACCGAAGTCTGCGGTACTGATGGCTCTAAGGACGAAAGCCGTGACCCTAAGAGACAGCCTCCAAAGTCGCAGTTCTGAATCTAGCGGAAGTGCTAACCACCACGAATCTGGCATGGGTATGGAAAACTGGTCGTCCAAAACTGAAGTGCAGCTTGATTCACAGCCCAGCGAAACACTTGGCGAGGATTTCGATTTTGAAATTGACAGTGATGCATATCCAGACTGGAATTTCCTGGCCCAGGAGTTTGAGGCTGATAGTCAAGTCTTCCTGGGTTCAATCTGAGATTGTGAGGGCTGGGGGACAATTCTACGCACGGTACAAGTCTGATTCAAACTGAACATGCTTCCTCGAGCGTCCTCTTGGTTCCGTAGACGATCCGGCCTTTGTGGTCTCAACATCAACCTCTCGCACTTGATTACTTGGGCCTGCGTACCTCGAGAAGTTATCATCGTCATCGCCGCTGTCGTTATCGCCGCGTTGAGAGAGTCCAAGCGCTGCTAGCCGCCGTCTCTTCTCTGCTGGGGTCTCCTCATCGTCGTCGATGTCATATGCTCCGGGCATTGCAGTAGAAGGCCCTGCTTCTCCCTCTCCCTCTGCCTCTGCCTCTGCCTCTGCAGACGCCGGCCCCATGCGGCTGTTCAGGCCGAGATCTTGCACCTGGCGAATAAAGTCCCTCGTAGAGAGTCTAGTGCCTGCCCCGAGTCCCATACTAGCGAAACCGCGGCTGAACACTCCACTACTTTCTTGTGACTGGGAGGGTGGAAGATTGTATGTCTTGATGATTTCTCCGTCGTCATCTTCTACGATGATAGTGTTGCCGATTTGGTATACATGTCCTACGCTGCTCATCGTGGGTGCAGTTGCGGAAGTAGTGGGACGCTCTGTGACTTGAGGCCAGCTCTTAGATCTCCTTCGCCGTCTTGGTTGGTGATCGGACAATTCGTCATCTTCGCGTTGGCGTCGTAGCATCAGCTTTGGAATACCAGGCTGAGGGACTTCCCTTTCGAGCTCTTCGTCCCAATTTGACAAATCTGTACGCGGCATGCGCGTCGATTCTGATGTATTTCTGGGCAGTCGGTTCATCCAGCTTGCGACCCTGTCGTCCTCCTGTGTATAAGACAACGTGATTGTTAGCGTGTTTATCCTCTTCCCGAGGGTGAATATGGCGATACTGGTTCCATGGACAATATTGGAACAGACAAAAACAAAGGTCACAATCGTCCATAGTTGGTCGAGAAATTGTCTGGTGTCCGGTTCTGTGGGTACAGCATCAACTACCATCCTAGAACCTGGGCTGAGGTTACCTCTGATGAGGAGGGCCGAGAAGATGCTGCCAGCGCCGATTGGGCCGAAATGACCATAAAATAAGGCTTCTCTCCAAGTTCTGATATCAGGTATAAGGCGCTTGAACAAAAATAGCATCGGGATGCGCCGGAACAAGAAGATACACAGCACCCCTACAACAAGTCGCCATGGTATGACACAAAGAGTATCGGAGTTGAAAGACTGCCATGGGATGACTGAACCAATAAGAACGAAATAGCTCAGGTTGAGAACCAAATCTATGGCTGAAGAGAAGAACGTCTGCTCCGTTTTTCTCTCATACCAATCGTCATTGTCGAGTCCGATGCCTGCAAAGAAAGCCATGTTGACTTCATCAACGCCGATAATGGTCCCAAATCCGGTGCTCAGAAGCGCGATGCTCAAATAGAACGCAAGCATCGACGGCCTGTCAATGGTATTTAGTCTGTAAGCTTTTCGAAGACTGATACGCGCCACGTAGCCAATAATGATGCCGGCAAAAGTCCCAAAAATGGACTGGTAGGCGAAGGTTATGGAAAACACCTTGGTAGCAACTGTCTTGGAGGCATATGGATACCTAAGTAAGTAAGATGCAAGTTCCAAGACAATGGTCGTGGTCACCCCGTTAGCGGCCGCCTCAGTGCGCAACATATCGCGGAGGTGCTTTGGTACACGCCTTCCAAAATTTCCGGACAGCACTGTGGCAGCAAGCACAGGGTCTATGGCGTTGAAGCAGGCCGAGCAGGCTAAGCACTGCGTCCAGTTGAGCACCGGGACCATCAGCTTGACGAAGCATGTTGTGATGAGCCAACCACCGATCATGACGGGGCCGATGATATACGCAACAGATTGCCAGTGTCTCTCCAGGTAGGTTTTCGGCAGCTCAATGGCATTGCCAAAACTTTGAACAGCGAGCACAATGCGTGAAATTTCGAGGATGATTATGTTCACATTGTCCCAACTCAAAGGGTTGATCAGCGACACTCCTCGAGGACCAAACACGATGCCAACAATGAAGGCCACAGGCGCGGGTCCCAGGTAAACTTTTTGGGTGATGAATAAGGAGGTGAGCATGAATATCACCATGAACAGGCTGAGGAATAGCGTTATCACGTTGAGCTCAGTGACATGGAGCGGAGATGCCATCGTGACCTAAGTGGAGCTTGGAACCCTCGCATCGACCTATAAAGATGGAAATGAATCATGAAGTCCAGTTCTAGATGGAGGAGAAGAAAAGACATTTCAAAAGCCATTACGACGAGGCTCGAGGACGCCCAGCATGTACTGGCCGTCGCTTAGAGAAGGCAACCATGCCTTGGTTGGCATCATGGCCTTGGTAAGGCTACCTTGCCTTTTGAGGGTCCGCGCCCCGACCGGGCACAGCCAACGAAGCCTCACTGCAGGACGTTAAGAAGCCTGCGCCACCAAGTTGGTTTACTCCGAATTCATGTCAAGGACTGCGGGGGAGGAGGTTTGGAGATTACATATTTACCTAGGTACTTAAGTAGAAGTATTACGAAGGAATAAGTTATTATTCTAAGTCGTACGGAGATTGTCGTACGAGGTAATCCACCTAGATTGGTACCTACTAGGTAGGTAGGTAGTATTAGCCTTGGCGGATATGTAACCGCCAAGGTATCTAAATTCGGCGTCACTTGGAGGACGTCGAAGCCTCGCGTCATTAGAAATGGAAAGACAAATGAAAATCACACTTGACATCTTCTTCCCCACCAAGAAATTTCAATTTGACTGCTGCCGGCGTGCTAGGAGATATAACACAGCCGTCAGGAGCAGTGCCGATAGAGTTCAAGAATCGATTGTCCACATCTCAAATTCAACGTCCCATCGGAGTACGTGGATAGCTCGCCAGAGACTGCCGTGTTGGCATGACCGTGGAGCACACCAGGATGGCACCCCTGGCTGGCTAAAGCTAGATCTCAACCAAAGTCCATCTTAGTCCATGCAGGCAGCATTCAGATCAACTCAAAAATGGGAAGAACGCGACCACCCTCGACGCGGCGTGTCAAGACTTCAAAATTGCGACCCGGACGTCCACCGCTTCTGTCGACCAACGACAAAGCCACAACAGCAAGCGGAGGAACAAGACCACATCAGCACCAGTCTCAATCGCACTCCCAATCATCCCGACACACGCGAAGCATCATCCGCGCACACCATGTTCTTCAGAAGCAGCTGGCGCGTGCGAAAGCTTCCGACGACGAGACGCAAATCGCCGAACTGGAGCGTCAACTCGCCGAGGCCGGCGGCCTGAGGACGTACCAGCTGGCCAGCACGGTCGGGCAGAGCGCCAGCCGCGGAGGAGACTCCAGCCGCGTGCTGGTCGAGTGGATGCGCGACGAGATCGAGCCTCGCCGACAGAGCCTTAAGGCGAAAGCGAAAGAGAAAAAGGGTGGTGAGCCGCAACGAATCGATCCACTCCACATCCTCGAAGTCGGAGCGCTCAGCACGCAGAACGCGCTCAACATCCCGGGCGTGACGAGCGTCCGACGCATCGACCTGCGCTCCTCTGGCGTCGGAATCGAAGAGTGTGATTTCATGGACTTTCCGACGCCGAGCGCGGCGGACGGGTCGGGCGAGTGGCTGGGTCGGCGCGGCTACGACGTGCTGAGTCTCAGCCTTGTGTTGAACTATGTTCCGGACGCCAAAGGTCGCGGGGATATGTTGAGAAGGACGACCGAGTTTCTGAGTGAACGGCCTACAAGGTCTACGAAAGAGGCAGATGAGCAAGCTGAGGCCGAAGTGGTCAACCAACCACTGGTTCCATCGCTCTTTCTTGTCCTCCCGGCCCCTTGCTTGCACAATTCCCGATATCTGACGCCCAGGTACCTCGAATTGATCATGTCATCCTTGGGGTATTCTCTCGCGAACCATAAAACCACACAGAAGCTGTACTATAGCCTGTGGCACTACGATTTCACGAAACGAGAGGAGTCGCGCAATCAATGGCGGCGGACACCATTTCCGAAGAAAGAAATCAACCCTGGAGGAGGCAGGAATAACTTCTGTATTGTTGTCGATCATGATGCGTAGCAGTTGACACTATACGACTGCGGGAGCCCAATCTGCCTTGAGAGAATTAAAGAGATTTGGTTTCTTATGTCTTCATTGATCCTGGCCCAACACACTTCTCTCACTTATCTCATAACTCACACAAAGGACTAGAGTTCCAGCCTAACACGGCCATCGGAGTCTCAGTTTTCCTGTGCCCCTGTCAATATGTTATTTATGCCGTTATGTGGGTGAAACTGATTGCGGGCCGCTCTTAGGAAAGCTACAGCATCCCATAAAACCAATCCAAATGCCCAAAGACACCTCCCAGAAGATGCCTTTCAATCCGTGTCGCTGTCCACTCCTTGTATCATCGAAATGGTCGATTGACTGCCCAAAAAATCACTCGCTGGGCAGCAGAGAAAACGCCTTCGTTTGATCACATGAAATTGGCGCTTGTAATGGGATGAAATGCGTGGAGTTTAAGCTTGATTGCGACTTGTTGACCAAAGCCCAGCCATGATCAGTAATCGTGGTGGCCATGCAGCAGAGGTGCAGTGCCAATGTGGTAATGAACACATGATTAGATCGCCACTGTTTTCATTTCATCCTCGATCCCATTAACTCCAAGACCCTTGTTCTCCTTTTCCGTGGAACTCTTGGTCGAATTTTCTTTGTTATCGCTTTCGGTTGACACTCTGGAGAGTCGGGTTGCGGGAAATTCTCGGACCTCCGTACTCTTCAAAGATGCTGGGGTCGGTGCGTCAATAAGCTTCTCAGGCTTCTTGCTGTTTGCCATGGTCGAGTCTATGGGAGGTGGAGCATCCACAGCCCTCTTCTTGCCTTCGCTCTTCTCTGCGGCTTGTGCGAAGTCTCTTATGACATCGCCACCAGGACGGATGGCCTGTGGCTGTGCGATTTCTTCTTGTACACGAGCGAGCGGGCTTCCAACCGCATGTCTAGGACTGCCCGATGGTCCCCTCGAGAACCTCTGAGGAGACCGGCCCCGATCTTCATTACCGAGGACTGGGCTGCCGTAGGGGGAATGGCGGCCATTTTGTGTAACAGAGTTGGTGTTGAGCCCACTTGGTTGTGGTCTCCGAGGAGGTCTTCGTCCATATCTTTGATCGGCTCTCCAGCGAAGGATGTCCATGTAAGCGGGTTCCACGGTTTCGGTTTTGAATTCTTTGAGCTTCAGTTCTCCTGATTCTTCGTCGACAAATACCTTTTCAGTACTCAAGTCATCCGCGACGGTGGCTAGGAAATGAGCCCATGACCGTGCAATGACATATTTGCAATCGTAATCTCGGCCGAAGAGAATGACTTGACCCCATTTGCCGGTTGGCCCAGGGGCGAGGTCAATTGCGATGTTGTTGCCACCCCAATCCCGGGCGAGTGCGATCCAGCCGGGATGGGCATAAGCTTTCTGAATGGCCTTGGGCGGTTGAGACTCTTGTCGGTCCAGTAACTCTTGTCGCCAATAACGATTATTGCTCTGGGCCTGGGCGGCGGAAGAGGAGGAGGCTCCGTTGCTGAGGCCTTTGGAAATGTAAGGCTGCTTTCGTGACGCGCCACTCAGATACTCCTCATTGACAATCTTCCAATTTCTCCATTCGTGGACGATCTCCTCGCAATCCAACAACATACAACCGAAGATTATGCCAGTGGGTCGACCGCCTCGCTCTTGGCCATCATGAACACTCAAAGACTCCCGTACGTCCTGTGGCAGAGACATGTCTAGCTCATGTTCGAGTTCATTGATATCGTTCTGGGTGCAGCCTTCACAAAGTTGATCCCAGAGCTCCTCGTAGTTCTTTTCTGCCCATCGATCAATCTTTTTCCAAGAGTGCGAGACGGGAGGAGGGGGTGGACCTCCATCAGTGAAACTCTGCATCTGGATTTCCCCTGGCGAAAGGGTCTCTTCGATTGACATGGTCGCCGTCTTGGGAGAGGATAAGGATCGCATGCCTGGTGAATATGGTCTCGCAGGTGACTGGGGTAATTGAGTAGAGGAAATTGAGGGTCGTTTCGAATCATCGTGGTATGTAGAGGGTAGATCTTGGTGTGAGTCGCCGGCGGTTGTGGCCACTGATGTCAGGGGAGCGTGTCGGTCCTGACCCACCGGCATGTGTTGGCCTGTCCGGTAAGGCGAGTCATGAGAAGCATGACGGTCATTGGAGGTCATGGTATGCCAGAAGGAGCGCCATGCTGAAGCGAGACTTGTAGGAGTTAGTACAGGATGAGTGGGCGGAAAGGAAAGGACAGGACTGACGGGTTTGCTGCCATGGCAGGCTGAACAGTGATGGTAGTCGCTGCCACTTTGACGGGACTGCAGGAGAGTATTGGTTGGTGTGTATTAAGACGACATGAATGTCTGTAACGTGACGGAGGAGGAGCGGGATGGCGCTGGCGGTTCCCAGTTGTGGTGGTGGGTTTGAGTTGCGGAAGGCCAAAACAAAGAGTCGGGGTGCAGCCGCAAACAAAGAAAGGACGAACGCGGGTTTAACAAGCAGGGCGAGGGGCGGGTGTGATATCGACGGCACGAGAAAGAGGGACTAGGGTAGATGAGAAGATGGGGGAGATGGAATTATGGCAGGATGAAAAGGAGGAACGTGAAGTCACGTCGTACTCCGTAGTGAGTAAAAGAGAGGTGGTGGATTGGAATGAGATTGTTTGACTGGGATGAAGGATGATGGCGAGGGTTTTCTGGGTGGAGAAATTATTGAGATGGTGAGGAGGAGCGAGCGAGCGACAAGTTGAACTGTGAGACCTACTGGAGCCTAAAGAAATGAAAACGCGGTCAGGAGAGACACCCGGAGACCCAGAGCTGGGTGCATTGGAGTGCTGTGCACATCCTTCCCGCGCCTAAGCATCAAGCACCCTGAGTCCCTGACGCCCGACTGCATCCCCCGGAATAAAAACTCTTGGCGCCCAAAGATGTCTTTACTGGCACTACCGAGTAGCCCATGCCTAAACGTGCATCAAGTTCCAGCACAATCAGGTTTTACAAAGTCAACGGCATGCCGTCATCTGGAAGGTAGTACTCAGTACGCGATACAAGCTTATGATGCCGGTCATCCTGAGTACCGACACTCGTAGTATCCAAGTGTCATATTCCCTCGTCGGCCGCCGAGTCCATTGTTGATATTCGTGTTTATACAGTCTTGGGAATCTGCACCGCCTCAGGGCCTGAGCACACCGAGACGCGTCAGTCATCATCCAGATTTCAGCCGCTTGACATACAATTTGATTGACGCCGTCGTTATCGCTCTACTTCCCTGACTAGCATACCGAGTACTGTACCACTGCAGACGCCAGCTCTTATCATATCCAACATCCTCGCTTGGCCTTGAACCTGGTTGACCTTACAATTTATTACTGGCGCTTCAAGGGACGCGCTCATTTCGTGGCTTGAATCAAGCTTCCCGTGGCGGCCACTAACCGATAGGCTGATTGTTCGCTGTTGGAGATTGGCAAATCGGGCCTTGGCCCGCGATGTTCGATGCTCCTCAGAATCGCACGGGGGGGTGCAGAGATAAAGGGGCCGTGAACGAGAAACACCCTCGCTGGTACCGTCCTTCATACCAATGCTTCGAGTTTTACGTCCATGACACAACCAACCACGATGAAGAACCATACCCTTTCCTCCCTGAGGTTCAGACTCCATTCGTCTCTCTATTGCCATTCGTCATGTGCCAGATCATGTTCTCATCAATGTCGATCTTCTGGATAGTGCACCGCCGTTTCGCCTCCTGCACTAGGGGTTTGGCTTGCTCTTCCAATCATCATGTGCTTCTCAGCCACATTTCGCAAGCACTGTCTACAGATCCAAGTCAGAACTGATATTACGAAACCCACGCACATCCAGCAAAGATTCCCACCTGACCCTGTTCGTTATGCAACGTTCATTATAGGTTGGGCGGCTTTGGATAGAGGGTGAGTGCGTTTTTCGGGCTTTGAGACACATTTGACGATCATGTTCCACCCATCTGAATTAGTTTGGGCACATCACGTTCTACGCTACCCTTACTCGTCAAGCCGCACAATCGCGAAATCGAACATTCTAGATTGCTGACAACAGTTCGGTCGATTCTGTTAATTACATGCTCCATAGGGAGTACGTAGTACTACATAGGATCCTTACTAGACGAATTTTGACAGCTGCCAAGTGGTTTTCTCGACAAACAGTATACTGTATGTGGTTTGATCCCTTATTCGGCCGTGCCATTATCAATCGTGCAGCGGCACACTTTTCACATGTCAAACTCTGGTCACTGTAATCCCCTACTACGATTCACTTGGAAAAAACAAGTACGAGCACTCAATTTAGAATACTGAACACGTAAGTAGCGGAACATCAGCGAGCCACAGGACCGGAGTATATCACGTTGGATGGGACTACTTTTGGCAATGCATTAATGCAGGTACACAAGACATTCCCGTGGTTCGATAGACAAGCCTGCGTCATGCAAGCACGGGTGAGAGTTAAGTATAGAATCTCCAAGCACCCTGCCAGTGGTCTGGACTTTTCTTCTTTCGACCTCGGGAGGCTCATTGGAAGCCTGGTGTGTCCTCCGACAGACTTGGCAGGCAAGCGCCAATCAGTAGAATGCAGATTCACATCTTGGTCTTTTGAGTCTGCTCATCAAGAAACACAATCAAGGAAGTGGCCAAATTTCCATCGAGACATATTGCCACCGCTCCTCTAAAGTGCACCCCAATGTCTTAACGTTTCTGATCGCAACTCGCTGATTACTGGCAGCTCATCCTTTCGATAGAGAAGGTGGCCATCCAGGACAATGAAAATTGGCCCCCAAGCCTGGCTTATGATGCGGGGCTACTCGTAGGTTTTCTTTCCGAGCCCAAAGAACACGCACCGAGCAATACCCAGGCACTGGCACGGCACCACAGCTAGGAGAACCGACCGATACTAATTAGGAACCTCGAGCTTCAAGCACGCTGGACCATCAACGTCAGCATCCTCCAAAGCCGTGGTGTTCCGCCTAACCAGAAGACGTCGCTTAACCCTCATCCCGCTGTACCAATGGCTTCCAATGTCTCATTCCGGCCCATCGGTGAGCGTGATGCTGAATATATAGGTACAGATACACCCGATGGCGCCGTGTCTGACTTTTGGGGGCCATTGCTTGCTTATACTGGATTTCTTCACGGGCTTGATGTTTGTCAAAGTCGCAAGCTGTCATGAAATCGATTATTATATCCATGTCTTCGTGTATCTAGCTATGTTGGCCGGTCTGAGTCATGTCCGTGTGCCAGACTCTCTGATCATTTGCTGGGAAAGCCACTATTTGACTTGCCTGGATTAAGCGACGCTTGCTCGAGTTGTTATCTGTTCGCAGCAATGGTGCCAGGACTCGTATCATGTCAATCATGGGGAGACAAGTCATGCTCATCCTACTGTGCTCACGAGCCAGGTTTGAAGACACATTTAGTTGGTGGAAATCAATATATCCATTTTTTGAGGTCTAGTAACGCAATTATCTACCAAATCCATAGACACAAAAATAAATCTAAACGATGCACACGACAGCCCAGCTTGACCACCCAAATGATCGGAAACCACAGCCATATATCCAATGGCATGTCACCGTGCACAATATAGTATGTCTATATCCCGAAATCCAACTTGCGGGTCGCGCTTCATCACTTGATGTATACATTGAGACCAATAATAGCAAAAGATAATGACCAATATAGTGGCGAAAATCCAACGCGTGAATCAGCATGAAAAAGCAGGTTACCCGGGGAACATAGTTCGGCAAATTTAACGGCAACGTTCCGTGGAGGTGGCCAGTATGCTTGCTCAGATGGCCTTCAGTCTTTTGGCAACGATCAAAGCAATGGTGACAAAGGCAAGGATCATACCCACAATGCCGAAGAACCATTTGAGGTCACTTCCTCCTTCTCCTGGAACGTGAACATTCATCCCAAAAAGACCAGTGATCAAGTTTAGGGGAACCAGCATGGTTGCTAGAACAGTAATTCTGGCCAGAGTCTTGTTGGTAGAGTTGCCTTTGAGGAGACTGTCCACATTCAAATGCGCCAAGTAATTGGCATGCGACCTCGAGAGCATCTTCTCGACGTGACCCAAGTTGGACATCATTGTCACCACGTGGTCCTGGATATCACCAAGATACAACCCAATGTCTCCACGGGGGGTGATTTGATATTGATCGGTGCATCGCTTTGCAAAACCCTTGATGACATCGGCCTTGCCACCGAGCAACCGCATCATGTTAAGCACACGCTTGCGGCACTCGCCGATTTGTCGAAGTAGAGCAGAATAGTCATCTTCGCGAGCAACGAACACCTGGTCCTCAATCTCTTCAGACTCCTGTTCTGCATGACGAATGATAGGCGCAAAGGAATCAACAATGTCATCGATCATCGCATAGCAGATATAGTCAGGTCCGATGGACAAGAAGTCGCCCTGATTTGTAATACGCCGGCGGACATTGCGGGCATGCGGGTTCTCATCATAGCTGAAGCTCAGAACGCCATCGCCACAGACAACAATGTACACATGTACAGGATCGAGGAAATCCTCGCTCTTAGCGTTAGGATTGAACGTGCGGAAACAGACGAAGTAATACTGGGAAAAGAGTTCGACTTTCTCTCGGGCTTCTTGAGTTTCGATATCTTCACGAGTGAGGCGATGAATCTTGAAGGCCTTCGCAATGACTTCAAGCTCAGATTTGGTGGGATTCTGGACATCAAGCCACCAAACCCCGGCGCCATCTGGACCAAGATCAAAAAGATCGCGAAAAGTAGTCCCATCAGCCACAAAGTCACCCAGCTTGGTCGCACTCCTCCCAGGAAGGTACTCGGAAGAAAACAAGAAGAATCGTTCGACGGGTTTGTCAGGGATAGTTTTGTGTTGCACAGCAACCTTTTCATCCGACTCAGTTTGCGTTGTGCTTGTGTCGTAACAATTCTGTGGATGTTCATAGAAAGCCTCGCCATTCAAAGCCACGTTTGTAACACTGCCTCGATGACCAGGTTTACGAAGGTCTTCGAACACGGTATGGCCGGAAGTCGTCTGATTGGGGATATTGTCATTGATCTGGCCCTGAGCGCATAACACAACATATTCCTCCAATTCTTCAAAATCTATTTTGTATGTCTTGCCCGGTTCTTCATCGGTTGGAAAGAAGACGTCGTCGTTGACATCACGATCAGTCCGTGCGGTAAGTGCGGGTGGCACACTGTTGTTGGTCAAGGTTGGCCGTCGTTGGCTTGTGCCAATAGAGTTTGTTCGCCGGATGATATTTTCAATGAAAGATGATGCGTGGCTCTCCGCAGTATTTGCACGCTGTCGCCGACGTGGCTCGGCGAATGCCTTGATAGAGTTGGCGGGGGACGTCGAACGAGAGGAAGAAGTATCTCTGGAACGATCCTGTCGTGGGGCGCGCGGGCGACCTTCTCTGTCTGTGGCCCTGCGTTTCTGGTTGGAGAGTTTCCTGGCACTACCTGGCTGGCCCTCCTCGTCTGCGCTGGCATCATCATCTAAAATTGCCTGCTCAAAGTCACGAGCGATTGGGTTCTGTTCCAGACTATGCAATAGACTGGCATCGATCTCTTGAAGGTCCTTCGCATCGATACCACTTGGCACCGGGGTTGGCTGCTCAATCGCAACAGAAGGCACGACGAGATGTTGATGTGGATTTGGGACGACCCTGCGCCGATGGTCGTCCAGCTCGGGCGCTGGAGTGCTGAATCTAGTGTTCATGTTGTCCGAGTGGTTGGAGCCAGAGTATGACATCGTGAGTGGAGGTTACTGCAGAGAATTGTCTTTATGGTCTTCTGTATGAACAGGAAAGCGTTGGGACCAACGCCCTCAATTTGCAAAAGGAGCCACCTTGTGAGAAGTTTTCGCAAGGAGATGTGCGAAGAGGAGTTCAACTCGGTTCTTAGACCAAGAGAATTATTATTTGAGCAATGAAGCAGACTTTCCTAGGCCATGCCAGGCCCAGGGAATCTCGAAGGTGCCTTGAGTCAAATTATGGAGGACGAGTGGTGGTGCCGCAGAAGACCATGAATGCAGTGCCGAGCAATGGGCGGATGAAGGAGATGGGGGTGTTTGAGCCCGCCAACTTGAAGGCTAGAGGGGGGAAGGGAGATTGATCGAGCGCCAGGATGGGTGGTATTGTTCTGGGAATAGGAGAGACTGATTGCAGTCTTCCTATCTCGAGATCGAAGGGGTGTGAGGATCGTTGAGTAGCGAGTCGATGTCAGATCAAGACAGGGACTCGGATATCAAAGACAGAAGTGGAACAAGACTACGGAGGCCTGTTGATTTCGCGATATTCGGGAGGAGGAGTCGATTATGGGAAAAGTGAGTAACTCAGAGAGTTGCGGAAGGGAAGAGAAAAAGCTTGAAAGGAAAGAGCGAAGGGCATGTCATATAGGATGCGGTCACTGGTCAGCTGCTAGCGTCTTGGTGGGGAGGAAAAAAGTTGGAGGTTCTCGGTGCTAGACATGGACTAGGCTAGGTTAGGTACTTTGCTACGGGCATGCATAGGCTGCTGCAGACTGCAGTGCAACAAAACCGCGCAAAAACTCAGTTACTGACTGTTTTCCGCGGGCACACTTCCAAAAACCAATCAGTCAAGCTTTGAGTTATCACTAAGTCGACTGCCCACTGTAGGTTCTTCTTCGTCTTCGTACACTCACTGCGCGTCCGGCTCCCGAGGCCCCCAGGTTACGAACGAGTACACAGAGGCAGAGATATCGCATTAGTACTTGTGCCACACTTGCTCAACTCCGTAATATTAATTATTAGGAGACGTAGTACTGGAGACTGAGCACTATACTAGGGCTGAACTACTTGGAACCGACGATAGAACATAAATAAATCAAAAGTAAAGTGCAGCCTATAGTAAATACCTTAGGTGGAAACCTGAGGGGCCTACCTAGGGACCTACATAGAATATTACTGTAGGTTAGTTGAAAAGTCCTGTAAACAACCTTGGGTCTTACTAGTTTGTCATGTTAGTGGAGGAGTTGACGTTGTAATGCTTCAATCATTCCGTAAGGCTCCGCGAGGCTGGGGTAACGGAATTATATTGAGAGTGGGATTGAACAATTTGTCTGCGATGATGCACCAGGCAGTGAGATAATTCTTCAATAATTGGGCAGAGCTCGATCTAGGCTGAAGGCAATGCCAGATGAATGAGTCCTGAACGCGCAACAGTGATTTCCCCCGTGGATAAAAGCAATCGCCACTCCCGACAATCTACTGCTGATCATGATCACTTCTCGACTAACTTTAATACCAAGGGTGCTTCGACTGTTCTATGTGCCTCAACTTGTCTTGAACTCAGGCCCGCATCACTTCAGCATTCCCGATGACGGGCCGGAGCTGAAGGGTGGTCTCTTCCCCTGTTCCATGGCATCGGTAGAGGTGACGCCATAATAGCTGATGTACTCTCGATCGGAGCTCTTGTTATCCACCCATAGGCCATACCCCTTACGAAGATCCTGTATGACCTCGTCTTTCCACAACTCGAGAGGTTCTTTACCCTGGCCGACTTCTCTAATGGTCCTGTTCCCGGCCATCAAGGCCAACCAAAACTCTCCCAGTTCCATATTCGGGATAATACTTCCTGTTACTTCGCCATTGAGGATCTTTTTGCAAAAATCAAATTCTTGAACCAGCGGGCGGGCGAGACCAATTCCATCAACAGTGTCTAGTGCTCTGATCATACCTCCGACCGTGCGCAGACCGCCGGTCAAGTAGACCTTGGTCTTTGTTAAACCAGGAACAATTTGCTCGGCGAACTCCTGAAAATAAGCTTCTCGCCTCTTTGTTGATTCTCTCACCGTCTCGTCTCGGTGCTGGTTGCCAGTCATGAGATTCTCTGAAGATCCTCCGCTGAGTTCCACAAAATCAAAGTGATGCCTTTCAAACGCCAGACATACTTGATTCGCCTCTGCTGGTGTGAAAGCGGATTGTTGGAATTCGGTGCTGTTGATCTTGATTCCGAGAACGAATTTGGAGGATACTCGGCGTCGAATAGCTTGTTCAATTTCCAGATGAATACGTATGCGATTATTAATATGTCCACCGTATTGGTCTGTCCGTTTGTTCGTTATGGTGCTCAGAAAACCAGACAAAAAGAAACCATTTGCGGCGTGTAGCTGCATGCCATCAAAGCCCGCCTTTTCGAGATATTCTGCTGCGTGCGCGAAGGACTCAATTATGTCGGCGATCTCTTGCTCCGCTGCCGCGTGGGGATCATTGAAATGTATGGGTCGTCGAGGACCACTGAAGTCGAATGGTACTGCAGAGGCAGCGACTGGGTGACGCTGGAAATAGCTATGACATTGCCGGCCGGGGTGAGACACTTGAGCGACCATAAGATTTCCACCTTTCTTGACAGAATATGCCCACTGCTTAAAGGCGTCGAACCTTGACCCTTGGAACGGCGCGTCTGGTGGGATGACCGGGTCCCCCACTGACTCTAGATGATCACTGAATATCACTGATATCGACTTTAGCAATGGTTTGCCATTCAAATCAATTGTTGCTATTCGTGTTGATGTCAATCACTTACTCACGTTTCCGGTAACTACCATGCCGATTCCACCTTCACCCCATCGTTCATACACACGGAAGAGGCTGGGTGTGGGTATGCCTCTCTTTTGCAGGTCTTCCTTGTTCCACGAGGAGAGTTGCTCCGTCATGGCAGCTTTCATGAACCGATTGGGAGCAGTCCGCCCTGAGAATGCGAATCTGATTGACTCGCCTAGGCGGCTTGCGTCCACGACGTCGGATTGGTAGCGAGGAGGGGCCTCGAGCGAGCCCATTGTCGTAACTTATCGTTGGCCACGTGAAACGCTTTGATATCCGCAAACTCTTATGACCTAGAATAATTTAACAGCTATATACCACTGCTTCCTCGGTCAACCCTTGCGTGCTCTGGTCGACTCGTTAACCCATTTTGATACTATGTCAAACCTTGCTCGGGTTAAGGGCAAGTTCCACCGCATTGCTCCACCAAACCAAGAGCCTAATTGGACCGTCAGATACGCCATGTTCTGATGCTTTGCGTCGTACAAGTTACATCCTGTCATCTCAAGCTATGGACGTCTTGGAAGGGACGGAGTTTGGGGATTAGATATCGAGATCCGGAGAAGAGAAATTACCTAGCTAAGACTTTCCCGACATGACGCTAGCAAAAGGTCATCTTTGGGAGGACCTGTCAATGACATGATTGGATTTTTTGACCCGTAGAGTCGGATTTCGAGCAGTAACTAATGAAGAATTTTTCTTGGAGAGGGTTCAATGCTGTCCATACAACGTAGGTAGCCGCTCGGTATTTTCCTTTTACGGAAGCCAAGTAATAGACGGCCGAGATGTCCTAGGGACCTGGGGTACTAACTAGCGCACCACTGTACAGCCGAGGCGGAACGGCGATGCTTGGGACTTCCCAGAAAATGCAGCCAACCGAGGACTAGTACTTGGTACGTGATAGGTAAGATCTTCAGGTCGCGGCTGCCTCGATGTGCTGTTATGTGCTTTTGAATCCAGCGCTTCCTCCCTCACGAGAGGGTAGATCTGCAACAAATTCCAAAGCCCCCACGTACCATCCAACAACAGCTCAACATGGCAACTTGGGAGTTCACAGTACAACACGATATCATGGCTAGTCCAGATATCATCTATCAGGTCTGGTTGGATGGAAACGACAGTCGGGGACCGTGGGTTGGCGATGGCGACAGGAAGATTGATGGTCGTTTAGGCGGTAGCTTCTCGTGGGACGATCGCAACTTCTCTGATATGGGGGGTGGAGGAGGCTGCTGGGGACATTTTGGAGAGTTCACCAAGCTGGAAAACAATAGCCTCCCCTACAGGATCGAGTACACCTGGAAGTCGCAGTGGACAGATCAGTACGCCTCACAGATGTTGGTTACGCTGGATACTGACAAGACCGATGAGCGATTCACAAAAGTCACTGTACGTCAAACAGGATTACCAGATAATCGGCACGGATATGAGCACAAACATGCTTGGATTCGAATACTGGGCGAAATGGGTGCTAAATTCTGGGGAAATGCTGGGATCAAGGACGCGAGAACAAAGGTCCTGGTCTAACGAAGTGGTTAAATAGTGTCACTACCGTTAGGCAAATGCAAATCCATGGCTGCGTGGACATAATGATTTGCTAGTTCTACACCAGTTGCCTGTCGTCACCGTGCTCAGTTCTATGCTTATTAATTGCTAATGAAAGTTTCTGATACATACCTAGGTAACGATATATGTCAAGAACCTGTCAGATATATGTCCATGGTCTTATCACATGAATAGCTCAACTATACACATTTTCCTATTCACTCTATGAACATTTCAAGGATTTAGGCTCAAAACAGCCCTGCCCTTCAATTGACCTTTGGCTAATTGCTCGCAGAGCCTGTTGAGATCTTCTAGCTTTCCCTTGGTCAACACAGGCCGAACCAGGCCGCGTACAGTGAAGTCAAGGGCCTCTTCCACGTCACTCAGCGTCCCTGTCGTACTATCTCGTATGCTGCAGATCGTTAGCGGCATGGCAGCGACCCTATGTGATTCGACTTACGTTAATCTGTTCCCAATCACGAGCATCGGATGTGCACCTGCAACCGTCGTTGGATCTGGAGCTAGTCCAATGGCGACCAATGTACCACCGACCCGGAGGTAGGTTGGGGCAGCTGCATATGTCTCTTTACCAGCAGGAAATACAATGACGGCATGCGCTCCATGGGTGGTGATCTTTTGCACCTGAGAAGCAATATTTGGCGTCTTTTTGAAGTCGATAAACTCCTCCGCTCCCAGCTCTTTGCAGAACACGGCCTTGTCGTCGCCCTCATCCACAGCGATTACTCGCATGCCCATGACACGCGCGTACTGAACAGCAAAATGGCCTAGGCCGCCTCCAGCCCCTATGTAAAGTCGGTTATCAATGAAACTGGCCTCTGTCAGGCTTGATCAGCTTACCGAGGATGACAATCCACTGGCCAGTTTTGGCGCCGCTGCGTTTGCATGCCACATACGCCGTAACCCCCCCACACATTATTGGCCCAGCCTGTAGACTGTGTCAACATCGGGACTTTTGGGGGTGGGGCTCCACGTGGAATGAGCATAGAAATAGTAGGGATGCACTGCAGTAACAAACCCACCTCCTCGTCGGTCACACCCTCCGGAATTCTCGTTGCGTATCGACCACTTGCCAACGCGTACTGTTGGAACGTGCCCGGTTGATTGAACCCGGGATGTTTCTTGCTGGGACAGTGCAATTCGTCGTCACCTCCCTGCCTACATAGATAACACTCACCACATGTACTATAGATCCACTTAATACCCGCACGGTCTCCAATGCTCCACTTGCCCTCCATTCCGGCACCGATAGAGACAACGACACCAGCGCCCTCATGGCCAACGATGCCTTGGCTCGATTCTTGCATCTCCCATTGGAATGCAGCCCAGTCATCATGAAGTAAACATTTGTCGGAAGCACATAGGCCAGACCTAGAAGGTCATTAGCATTAGCACACAAGCAGGTGCAGTCGTATGTATGACTGAGACTTTATTCACCAGTTGATCTTTATAAGAATCTCTCCTGGTCCGGGTGTTGCAACATCCACCTCCTTGATAACAGTTGTGGCGTTCTTTCCGCTACCTTGCCTGACCGCTGCCCTTTGCTTGGTCGGAATATCCACACTTACCCCCTTCGTCTCGATCTTTGCATGGATTAGCGTGTTTGTATCATCCATTGTCTTTCCGAAATATACTCTCCCACTGATAAAGGGTTATTACGTGGTCTGAAGAGGTGCGCGTAGTGCGAATGTCCACAGATGTCTATCTTATTACAAGCCTATAGAGCCATCATATATAGAGCCTCATAGCCAGGTTTCTGTCCAACCTCGGAACTTCATCCACTATGTCCGAAGTGTCCACTAGTGTGTTACGGATACATTTCGTGGAGAAATGAGATGACTCTTCCAAGTCCTGGAGATGCCTTGAGGCTGGCAAAACAGCTCTGAGTCGCGGCACTTGTCGATGTATGCACTCATAGACCCAGAAACTGTCTGTGGGCCTGAACTGGAACGGTAAGCTGCCCATCCCGGCAATCGACAATTATGACCTAAAATAGCAGCTGCCGAGCACGTTCTCGTCGACTTACGCCGAGTGCCAAGCCGTTGATGCTATTTCCGCGACCCGATACAGGATTCGACGGCAAAGACATATTGGAGGAAACACCGATCAAATATTTTTGATTAGACACCGATGATCTTGACCATATGCCTCATGTCCAGCTATCGAGATCAGGCGGTGTTAGTCTTTATCTCCGTACAAGAGGAGACACTACAAAATCAAATAAAGACGATAGTAGCGCAGTAGATGACAATGAGTATAGCAATTCCCGAGCAAGGAAAGCTACAGTCTTCAACATCCGTTCTTCAAGAAGGACATGGCCTCTTACGTGAACAAAAAGCCCGAGACTCGACTCTTCATTGACGGCGAGTTCGTCAAGCCAAAGACTGAGAAAGTGTTCGATATCTACAATCCTGCATCAGAGGAACTCGCTGCGACCGTGTATGAGGCTGGTGCCGAGGATGTTGATGTTGCCGTCCAAGCTGCCAAAGCTGCTTTCGATGGTTGGGAAGGACTAGGAGCTCTCGGTCGAACTGGGATACTGCTCAAGTTGGCTGATGCCATTGAATCTAATGCTGAGGAATTGGACTACTTGGACGCAATCTGCATGGGAAAGCCTATTTCTGACTGTAAGAAATGCTGCTCCTGAATTGATTCTCGATACTGAAAAAATTCAAAGTTTGCAACGCCTCATTTGCCGCATTGTGCCTGCGCTACTATGCCAACAAGGCGATGGATGTACAGGGCACGAGCTCCTTGAATACACCGGGATTTGTCAACATGGCTTGGAGACAACCATTTGGTGTCTGTGGTGCGATCATTCCTTGGTCAGATTCCATGACTTCTCTGCTAAATCATTGGCTTACCTGATCACATAGGAACATAACCTTGATCACATTCATCAACAAGGTTGGCCCAGCTCTCAGCACTGGCAACACACTCGTGCTCAAGTCTAGTGAGAAGTGCCCTCTTTCAGTCCTCGCGATTGGTCGGCTTTGCCAGGAAGTTGGTCTTCCTAAGGGAGTCCTTAACCTACTGTCCGGGTTCGGCCGTCCTTGTGGTGAGGCACTAGCCAAACACATGGATATTCGAAAGATTTCATTCACAGGGTCTCAAGTCGCAGGAAGGGCGATCAAAAAGGCAGCAGCAGAGTCTAACCTCAAGAAAGTCACCCTTGAGCTAGGCGGAAAATCGCCGTTAATCGTTTTCCCAGACGCGGACTTGGAAAAAGCAGTTGCAGGTGCAACTGCCTCGATTTTAATGCTCAGTGGTCAGGCGTGTGTAGCCTCGACAAGGTAATGACTCTATCTATATCTCAAACATGTACCATCATCGCTGATAAGAGCCAAGAATTTATGTACACAAGGACATTGCTGCATCATTTACGGATGCGATGACTACAGCAATCAAAAAGTTAGGCCAGTCCGGTGATACACTCGCTAAGGCAACCACCCGTGGCCCGCAAGGAGATCTGGCGCAATTCAATCGTGTCATGGAGTTCTTAGAATCCGCACGGGTGGATAATCTTAACATTTCTGTTGGTGGCAAGGCCGAAAACAAAAAGGGGTTGTATATCGAGCCGACCGTCATTACAGACGTGCCCGAGAGCCACCGCGTCGTGCGAGAGGAGATCTTCGGCCCAGTGGTCATCATTAATACATTTGAAGACGAGGAAGATGTGATGCAGCGCGCCAATGGTGAGAGGATTATCATTCTGCAGACATTCATTTTACCAGCCACCTCACTAACTCGCTTGCAGATACCGAATTTGGCTTGTACAGTTCGGTGTTCACAAAAGATATCAGTCGAGCACTACGCATTGCGAAGAATTACGAAGCTGGAATGTGCGGCATCAACTGTACCTCGCCATCTTTCTCGATTGATATGCCCTTTGGTGGCTGGAAAGGAAGTGGCGATGGCCGAGAATACTCCCAATTCTCCTTCGAAGGATGGACCGAATTGAAGACAGTCTTAATCAGTTTGTAGACAGACATCTCTCAGTGTCTATCTAGACAGCATTTTATAAAACTAATTCTTGCCCTTCTATTCGATTTTGATAAGTGAGCCATGAGGGTAGGCAAAATGAATAATTGAAGCACAGCTCATTATTTGCGAATGTCTGTAGCCGCCTTGATGACCTTACCAGCAGAAACCTCACTTACAGTGAATAATGTACAAAGGATGCATATCGATACAATTGCAACATATTCCACGCAAGAAAAGCTGCTATATCGATACCGCAGGACATTTCGCGCATAGATTATTCAATTGTTTGTGGTTGGCTTTTATGCAACAGGCACGTACTTAGTATTCAATACCTGTCCAACTGTTCCGCGGCGACTTCATATGGTCGATATGCTGCTTCAATTGCTTAAAGCATATTTGAAAACAACACAATGGCGGCATACCCCCTTAATGTTAGGCCTAAGGAGCCGAAACTAAGCCCTCTAGCGATACTTTCGCATGTTACCGGATAAGTAGTCAGCCGTCAATAGGGCTCAATCTTGATCGCCAGAAATGACCCAGAACTAAATACTAAGCAGTACGCCCTCGTTGATGATTCATCCAAAGATTGTTCTATTTGACCCTCTGGGGGTTCAGATCTAACGAACATCCTCCAAGTCGAATAAGATGACTTTCATCTTATTGATGCTATAGTGTCTCAACCTCTCGCCATAGAGATACAAAGGAATAGCGGTAGCGATTACGAACATCCAGATGCCAGCCATTGTTCCAAAAACCTGTTGATCAATCAACGTTGTTCGAGATGTAATGGATTTGGCCAAAACTTACCGCGGAGTAGCCAACTTTTGAGAACCACTGCGAAAAGCCATAGGTGAATGCAAAGGTGACAAGCTCTTTAACGCCATTCACCATGAGCATACCCTCGAGGGCCACCTCGGGATAAGAATCCAAGACATAGGTCATGGCAATATTGGCAGCTGCTGGGGAAATACTGATACATCCATATCCAACGTACAGCACAATCCAGTGTAAGCCCCTTTGAGCACCGAATCCGAACATCAGCAGTCCTGCCGAGCCCACGAGGAAGGGGATCACTAAAAGAGGTAAACGGTCTTCCGGCATAAATTTGCCACCACGGCGACGAGCACAGCGCCTGACCCAAATGTCGGTGAGGAGGCCTCCCGAGATCGCGCCAACGACGTTGCCAACTGTGTATAGATTAGAATCAAGTTATCGGCCTCGGTTCTCGTTTGCTTACTCATGGCGGGAACATTCACCAGACCAGAAACGGCGGTGTTGAAATTGTAGGGGGTAACTTGGAATATGAAAGAACTAACGGTGCCCGCGCCTAGAAGCCACGCCAGACACACAGCATCTAAGATGAGAACATTAGCGAGATCATAAAGCGGACATGGTGAGATCCATACACGCGAACGCACCCCAAGCCACTGCTGGATATGCAATAAGAGGCAGTGGCCGAACAAAGTGGAGAAACCACGATTGACTAGCGGTGCCAGACCAGGGGTAGAGTTCTTGCACATATGTCTTCCTCGTGCCTGTCAATTCCACAAGCTCGTGAGTACGGACATGCTCAACTGTTTCAATCTGTTCAGTCTTTTCAATACCGTGCGGCGTATTGTCCGCAGGAGATTCGCCAGGCTTAGTGGCCGCTGCATTAATGGAGCGGTTCCACCTCGTTTCAGGGAACAAGAAGACAAAGCCGACGAAATTTATACCTCCTATGATAGCTGCAGCCCAGGACGTCCAATGCCAATCCCCCTCTGTGGTATTGTCAGCAACTACTCGCGATTTTGGTATGATCGACGAACTTTCAGCAATCACTCCTGTGAAAATAGGTCCTAGCGAGTTCCCAAAATAGAGTGCGATGACATAGAGTCCCATTTTCGAGCCTCTTTCGTGGAGATAGAAAAGATCCTTTGTTTGACTGATCAGCAGCCTTTCCTAAAGGCCCACGCAGATGTTCAACCTACATTCACTACGACCGCACCCAAGGCTTCAGTGCAAGCACCGCAAAAAGCACCGAGAGCTCGTGCCGCAAGTAGGCTTTTGTAGCTGGTGGCGAGACCCGCCCAGATTTCACACAGGAACATGCCAAATGATGTGCTCAGAAAAACAGGTCGTCGACCGAAGTATTCGGCGGAAGGCGCCCAGAAAAAAGACTGCAGTAGAGTTCAGACCTAATCAAGACAATGACAGCTGCAAACTCACAGCTAGAGAGGCAGTCAAGATACACCATGTCAGGAGACCTGCAGTGTTTGCCATGTCGATGTTGAATTCCAGACTAAGGTTGTAGAAGGCTGGGAAGAGGCCACCAATCCAGGCATTTATCATAAAGCCAAACACAAGCACATTCAGAAAAGCAGCCCACTTCTTCCACTGAGGAAGGCGTAGAGGGTCATTGACATCGGTCGAAGGATGTGGAACAAGAATGATATCTGCCCCTTTGTGGCGGTGGTGTTGTGCTTCTTCGAGTCGAGTGCGATTGGTATCAATGAGTGTTATCTCCCTTTCCTGGTGACCCAACTCGCGTAAGGTACGGAACCTCATTGTGATGGGCAAGGGAGAGATGAATCGATCGATGATCTTTAGGTCAAGATCTATGGGAGAATGCTATGTGGTGGGTTGTAACAGCCTCATCCTGATAGGAAAATTGCAGTCTTATATCTGCGTTCAGCCCATGCCATCTCCGAGTCCTCTCGGTCTAGAGCTATACAACCCCATATTCTTCAGATGTTTGGACCGGGGCCCCAGGGAGGATTGGAGTCTGGGAAGCTCCCAGGCCCCCATGAGATAGCCGAGCATGTTGAGCTACCATAGGAGGGTCCCTGCCATCGTGTCTCGTAAGCTCGGAAGTTGTTGCGTATCTGGCGACTTGGCACTCGGACCGCCGACACTGTACCTAGTAGTCCGACCACGGGTCGGAATTTCTCACAAGTGCAATAGTACTAACCAGGAACAGCATATACCGAGCTTCACAAGCAGTAGGGTGAAGTTTCAATCTCTTCTAAGTTCTGCCCTACATAGGTCTGTGAGATTATCTGATAGACCGCAACTTTGACCCACTCCCCCGAATCAGGGCAATGGCCGAAAGACCCCTTGGCTCTCTGTGCCTTGCCTTCATGCTTTTATGGCAACCGGCGCCTGGGAATTTGTGGAACATCAAGCTGTCCTTCATCGACCATCGACGGCGAACCGAAAATTTATGTCTTGACAGCACCAACAATGGCCAAAATAGCGTATGGACCTATTGGTATGGTCGGAGCGGAACATGTAACCTGGGGCCGTGGCCTTGCTGGGGCTTTTGCAACACTCATGTTGTGGTACATAGGCAAGGTGAGCATTTCGTTTTGGAAAAGAGAACACGAAAGAATGATGAGTGCTATCTAGGCTACCTATAACATCTTTCTACACCCTCTTCGGAAAGTCCCTGGCCCATTTGTAGCCAAGTTTACAAGCAAATGGCTTGAATATCAGGGGTTCACTGGTCACAAGACTGCAACACTGCATAATATGCATCAGAAGTTCGGGCCAGTTGTTCGTGTTGCCCCAGATGAGCTACTATTCTCCGACCCGGCATTGATCAAGAAGATTTATGGTTTTAAGGCGTCGTACCTCAAAACCTCTTTCTACACTGGTTTCGATGACTATGGAGAGCCAGTGTTGTTCACTCTCCGCGACCGGAGTCTGCACCGAGACCGTAAAAAGCTGATGGCTCATGCATTTAGTGAGTCTACTATACTTCAGGGAGAGCATCTAGTGGCAGAACAAATCGAAAAGTTCCTGAGCAAAATCGAGGACCAACAAGGTACTGCGATGGACGTTTACATGTGGTTTAGATGCCTCACCCTGGACATTGTTTCTTCCTTGTTCATGGGCGCCTCTTTCGAAACCCTAGATAAACGCGATCATGAATACATGGACAGCGTCGACTCTTACTTCGTCCTTGCAGGCCTAAAATGGCAGATTCCGTGGCTAATCCCTCTGACATCGTGGATTCCATGGGCACGATGGCAACACTTCTTAGGCGCCCAAACCAAGATTTACAACCTAGGCCGATCGTCTTTTAAGGATTATCTTGAAAGGCATGGGCGTAACTCGGGCCGCCAAGATGCCCTGACAAAGATCATTCACGGAGACAAGGTGCTTCCCCCACTATCTGACGAACAGATTGCTTTAGAGATCGGCAGTATTCTTGTCGCTGGGACTGACACAACAGCTACTGTCCTGACTTATCTCTGTTGGGAACTGGCCAAGATGCCGACTCTGCAAGTTCAATTACGGGACGAACTCAAACAAGCCATACTAGGCTATCAGGACAAACATGTGCCCAAGTATTCCGACCTAAAGTTTCTGCCACTTTTAGAAGGAATCGTGTTGGAAGGTCTCAGGCTCCATGGGCCCGCTGTTGGAAGTATTCCTCGTGTTGTACCCATTGGGGGAGATATGCTAGGAGAGTATTTCGTTCCTGCAGGTGTATGTTCCTCGCCTATATCAATGTCCTTGAAATTTGCTCGAGCACTAACTATACTGTGATAGACAACTGTCGGAATCCAGGCATACACAACTCATCATGATCCAACTATTTTCCCAGACCCGGACACGTTCAAACCAGAGCGGTGGGCCAATGGTGGAACTAGGGAAATGAAAGACGCCAGTCTGCCCTGGTCGAAAGGATCGCGAATGTGTCCTGGCCTACACCTCGCTACTCTGGAACTCAAGGCCGTTCTGGCCGCGCTTTCACTAGGCTGGGAATTGTCTCTGGGCCCCAACATGAAGGATGACACGATGGATATGATCGATAATTGGGTGTTGATGCCAAAGGGCAACTTTTGCGATATTGTTTTCAAGCCTTTAGCAGTGTAGCCACCACATTTCGCAATGAAACCGGAGCTCATTTTTCTTGACTGAACGACTCGAATTGGTTTGTGGTGTTGCTGATGTTCAAAGTGTGTTAATTTCACGAAGTTTCCGAGGGGCAAGTCCCGATAACAACTAGCTTGAAAACATTCATGTTCTCTAATTCTCAAGTTGACCCAGGACAGCACAGAGATGAAGCGTGACCACTAAAATGTCGAGCTGCTACGGTATAGAGCCTGTGTGACCTGACTACACACTGGCCTCAGTTCTCCGACTCTTGTCGGTCTCCCCGTACTGAGTGATCGGCTATGTCATACCAAACTGGCTTCTCCCTGGAGTCTCTAGATAGGCGACGAGCTGTTTTATTCAGTGTACCTCATAATGAGCTCTGCTTCTCCACGATGCTTCCATCAGAAAGCTGAAGGGTGATGAAGCGCGTTACCCATCACAAGTTCGGAAATCTTCAGATGTCGGCTGCAAGAATCGAACCAATCATCAGAGTAGACATGGGAGCCCCATCCAATTTCACTTCTTTGCCACATTCTACTTCTTGGGCCGGCTTGGCCTACAATGGGTGGTCTGAGCGAGGTATCAAGGCGACCACTCGATCGAGCATGTCTGCAGTACTATTAATCATGGATGAGACTTCGGGAATGCTTGAAAATAATATGTGATCTATCTTTGATGAATCAACTGCTGGTGTTTCCGCAGCTAGATACAATAGAACAAGAAATAAAAACATTTTACCTGGTTCGGAATCAGGCTCCACCATCGTCGAAGTACCCGATCTTACTGATAGTTTTCCACCAGATCCGGAAGAGTGATACGCGCCTCGGAGTTCTCTGAATTGGCAAAAGCCGACCACAATACATTCGGCTCTATACACTGCAAGGGAAAGTGAACGATAGGCTCTGATTGTCCGAAGTGGGTCTACAGGCATTGTGATGAACAATGAGATGTGCTAGCATACCAGGAGTATTACTTCGAAATCCGACGTGCTTGATATAGATCCCTTAAAGAGTATGACTATCGCAGTCGCAAGTGTAGGCTTCCATCGGTGCTTTAAAAATTTAGCCATGGAGGGAGAAGTCTTTGCACAGAACGTACTGGCGAGCAAGATGCCCCTAGCTGCCCAAGAGTCATCTCGTGCCCAAGTGACCCAGGGTGTCAAAAGTTCCATCGCAAGCGACATTCAGAGTCCTAGAAAACCTTGGGAGGATGTTCATTTTGATTCAGCACTGAAACCCAAAGACTATCAAATCAAAGGTTCGCTCAAGTCTTAGCATGGAGATCACAACTCGCATTCTAATCTCGAATCTTTCTCAGGCACTCCATCTGATTCAATTATCCTAATCCTCGACGTCCAGATATTTGACTCGACGGGCGTAGCCCCCTATCTTGGCGATGTTCTTGTGAAAGGGGATCGATTTGCCCAGGTTGGACAAGTTCGCAATATCGAACATTTGATTCAAGACCCCATGGTCAAAGTGCTGCATGGCCATGGCAGGACTTTAATGAGTGGTCTAGGAGATGCACACACCCACCTGACTTGGAATTCCGGTGACATTCCAGCCCTTGCTGGGCTGGGAGTTGAGGAACATATGTTGTTGACCGCAAGGTCTGCAAGAACTGCAATCGACAGCGGTTATACAATGTAAGTGAAATACATCAGTAGCCGCAGATAGCCCAACTAGACCATCCTACTGACGACTCCACATAGGTGCTTCGGGGCTGCGTCTGCTCAAGATCGACTAGATGTAGTAATTCGAGATGCGATATATGATGGCAAGGCCCCTGGGCCTCGGTATCTTGCCAATTGCAAGGAGATTACACACCCTCAGGATGCTGTTGGTCAGAATGGCCTGGCGGTGATTGCGGATGGCCCCGATGAGATGCGTATGGCCGTCAATCGGCATATTGATATCGGTGCTGACACGGTCAAATTAACAATGTCGGGAGAAGAAATATGTGAGCCATTGTCGTCCGAGAAATGCTACTACAGTGATGAAGAGACGCAAGTTTGTGTGGAAGTGGCCCACTCTCGTGGAATAAGACTTTGTGCCCATGCCCGGTAAGTGTATTGACGCCAATAGTCAGCAGAGTTATCGACCTAACTGATTATTTCAGAGCCCGAGATAGTGTCAAGATGTGTGTGAGACATGGCATCGATATTATATTTCATGCTAGTTGGACGGATGAGGAGGGCATGGACATGTTGGAACAGAACAAGACAAAACATATGGTGGTACCTGCAATTAACTGGCTGTACGCGACGCTGTACGAATCTGAGTCTTACGGTTACAAAATGTCTGATGAGGAAAGAGACGGTTACGAGCGAGAGTTTGCAAACGCTAAAAGGGTCCTGAGCGAGATGCATCAACGTGGCATCACAGTATTGCCGTGAGTATAGTATCCATTCTATTTGCCTCTCTAAAAGGATTGCTGATACTCGATCATTAGTGGAGGTGACTATGGCTTCGCCTGGACTCCACATGGAACATATGCACGGGACCTGGAGCATTTTGTGAATTTCCTAGGTTTCACTCCCATGGAGTCACTCCTTGCCGCAACCGCTGGGGTGGCAAAACTCTTTATGCGAGAGCATGAACTTGGTCAAATCAAACCTGGATACTTTGCCGATTGCATCCTGATCGATGGCGACCCGTTGAAGAATATCAGCATTCTGCAGGACCACAGCAAGCTTCAACTGGTCATGATCAACGGAAAGATTCACAAGACGGTTCAGAATGATTTTATGACCTCCGCTGAACGAGAAACTCGCAGGTCTCGAATGAGTTTGGCCACCTCTTTTTCATCGAGTTCAACTCCAGCAAACTTGGTTGCCTACACCGACTCGACTGGGAACGATCGAGTCGGCAGGTTGGACTTCTTTACTTTGCTCATTACTCCGTTGAATATGCCCTCGGGAGCTCCTCTTGAGACAATAATCCAGGCGATTGAGCTAGATGGCGAGGCTCTGACTGAAAGTCCACCAATCTCGCTAATGTCGACTACGCTGCTTCCTCCGATCAGTGGACGAGATATTCTTGCGGTTGGGAAGAACTATGTCGAGCACGCTAGAGAGTTTCATGATAGTGGCTATGACTCAAGCGACAAGACAGCTCATCCGTCTCATCCGGTCATATTTACGAAACGAAGCACAAGTATTATCTCTTCTGGCTCCGATATCGAACTTGACCCAGAATTCACAGAAACACTTGACTACGAAGGTGAGATCGGTGTTATTATCGGTAAGTCTGGTCGACACATCAGTGAAAAGGACGCTATGTCCTATGTTTGGGGTTACACAATCATCAACGATGTTACGGCCCGCGAAGAACAACGAGATCACAAGCAATTTTTCTTAGGTAAATCTGGGGACACATACTGTCCTATGGGACCTATTGCGGTTCCTGCCTCTCATCTCCCCGATGAAGTACGTATCCAAACGTACGTGAATGGTGAGAAGAGACAGGATGCCACAATGGATGGGCTCATTTTCTCAGTCGCACGCTTGATCGCGACTATATCCAAGGGACAAACGATTCGGTTGGGAGATGTCCTCGCCACAGGTACGCCAGCAGGCGTTGGATTTGGTCAAACTCCGCCTACATATCTTAAGCCGGGTGACGTGATTGAGATTACCGCTTCAGGACTGGGCACATTGAGGAATCAAGTGGCTGTCAGGAATCCTGCAACAAAGTCATGGCGCACACGAGATCTATGCTCCGTGCTGCCGACGTTCAATATCAATCGGACTCCGGGGACGTCCGGGTTGACCAAGATTGGTTCCAAACTTCTCAACGTCGAAGTTTCCGGTGATGGGTTGACGCAATTGATATTTGTGCATGGTCTTGGTGGCTCGACTGAATTCTTCGAACCTCTGATGAAATCTTCTCGTGCCTGCCAGACCGCAAGATGTATACGCTACGATATTGAAGGTCATGGCCTATCCCCTACGACCGCTCGGTCAGTCATAACTATTCAGAGTTATGCAAATGATCTGGCAGCACTTTTTCGCTGTTTCAAGAACGAACCTTCAGTGCTGGTAGCCCACTCCATGGGGACCTTAACCGCAACGTTATTTGCAAGTCAATACCCGAGCCTAGTTCAAAAGATGATCTTGATAGGCCCTGCACGGTACCCTATTCCTCCTGCAGCCGCAGGAGGTCAAAGAAGGCGAGCTGCCACAGTGCGAGCTGAAGGTATGCGAGCTTGTACTGAACAAGTGGCAAGTAATGGGACCTCCCAAAGAACCAAAACTACGAATCTTTCGGCATATAGCGCCGTCAGAGCAATTTTGATGGGCCAAGATCCAGAAGGTTATGCGAAGGCTTGTACGGCGTTGGGAAGTGCGTCGGACCTGGAGCTTGACTTGCGCAAGCTCACTATGCCTACATTAATTGTTGCCGGTGACGAAGACAAAGTCAGTCCAGTGGGGGCCTGTCAAAGTCTTTGTGAAGAGTTGCCAAACGCGAGGGTTGAAGTTATATCGAACGTAGGACACTGGAGCGTGATTGAAGACCCCTTAGCCATGGGAAATGTAATAGATAGTTTTTTGGAGGGCTCAACGTAGGACGAAGCCTTGGGTAATGAGCGCCATGCAAGCCAATTCAATGCTCATTGATGTGCGCAACTCAATTATTATCAGCCACCTATTTTATTGTCGTGGTTTACATGATTGAAGAGTGGCTATCGTAATAGGTCTGGAAATCCTTAGCCGTTGACATATGCTACCCACTATTTGCTCAATTCATACTTTGTAAGGCTTGTGGAAATTCTAGTCACACTCATGAGCTAGATGAGCCATGCATTGTGACGAGATTCAGAGGTCTTATTGTTCAGGCTACTACGAAGTCGCACTCACATGATATGACCTCGGAGCACCTTTCGCTCCCATTGAGAAACTGGCGTTGGTTGGGAGTCGTGTGGACGCCCCGGATTCTGGCGCGAGTCAAAAATCGGAAAATACCGAGAACACTTGTGAAGCTTTCCAGGATCCTATGAAATAGTGCCATCTCCTAAGTTGCGCAAGCCCGGTGGACAAGCTTGGACTTAACGTAATTCCCGGTAATCCCGATGGTCAGATATGATGGATAGCTCTGACTCAGTACATATTCATATATGTAACCTGAGTATGTCGCAGAAGCTTCCTTAAGCACAATATGCTTCCTTTTAGACATGGCTCCGAAAGGATATCTCGATGTTCATTGCCATTTTTTCCCAGGAATATCGAATGATCTGGCATTACAGTTGGTACAACAACTGCGAGCGGCACATTTTCTCGTAGAGGATGCCTCGCAGTTGCAATGGTCACCGGAGTGCATCTTAGAATATAATGATCACGCGGGCGTGGCAATGGCACTACTCAGCTACGTTGCTAGCAGTCACGAGAAGCTACGTGAAGGCAACGATTACGCCCACAAGATCGTTCAGCGCTATCCGACTCGATTCGGTCACCTTCTTGCTTTACCCACCGACGACACAGAGGCATGTCTCCGAGAGATTGAGCACGGAGATAATTACGATGAGCCCAGGCCAGATGGGTATGCGGTGAATACTCAGTACTGTGGGGTGCCACTCTCGGACGATCGATTGGCCCCGGTCTTTGAACGCCTGAACGCCCGAGGTGCTATACTTCACGTCCATCCCAATGCATACCTACCTGGGGAGTACGGTAAACCTTCGGCTTTAATCGATGTGGCTTTTGATACTTGCCGAGTTGCCACTGATATGCTGTACAAAGGGGTGTTTCGAAGGTATCGCAACATCAAATTCATCTTTGCACATTGCGGTGGTGCATTGCCTGTCCTATCGGGTCGCTTGAGTCTCCTGGGCGCCGAACCTTGGGTCCCCAATCCAGAGAAGCTAGCAAAACACGACATTGAATCGCAATTGTCCAATCTCTACGTGGACACTGCAGCGACAGCAAAGACTGGACTACGACCGGCGGCGAAGATGGTGGGATGGGATCATTGCATCTACGGCGCCGACTGTGGAGTTCCGTGTTCGTCGTGGAAAACCATGGACGAGAACCTCGAAGATGTCGCGGCAGTGGAAGCAGAAGCTCATGTTAAGCAGTGGACGGTACGAGATAACTCATGGAAATTGTTCCCAGCAGCCGCAAAGCGAGCCGAACAGTCTTTAGGCGCAGAAGATGAGCAAAGCACGTCCTTATGTTAACGCATTGCTGAAGGCTGTAGTAATGAATTCAGTGGCGAAAAGGATGCCTGCTCCGCTCACAGACGTTGCCTAGAGTTGAAGAAAGTTCGTAGTGTTTCTGTCTCTGCACATCGACTATATTGGGGAGACCAGGGACTCTTCCCAGAAATCGTACATCACCTGAAATTTTGCCGGCTAATGCTTCATCGGGGATGGGCTCTGCTCGGCGTTTTTCGGTGTCTAGGGCCATTAGAAGCTGTCATTGTCGCATTCATCAGGCATATAACGACCTTCGCAATGATTTAACTCCGTGTGCCGACAACTTGAGGGGTCCGCACCACCATGTTGTGCTTGATCCTCCAGGCTACAATACCACAAGCATGATTCTATAAGGGAAGTCTCTCAGCATTGACATCGTCTGACAGCAGCGCGCTGCAATAAAGTCCATGATGAGCGAAAACAAAAGTTCAGGCTACGCTTCCAAACTCACTGCAAAGCGCGTGCTGGTTCTCGGAGGTACCTCAGGCATCGGGTTAGCGGTCGCAGAAGCTGTCAAGGAGTTTGGTGGGAAAATCTTCGTATCAAGCTCGAGCCAAAGCAAGATAGATGCGGCCATCTCGAGGTTGAACGCTGCTGAGAATAAAGTCCTGTACAGAGCTGAAACCAAGGCACAGGGCTATCGCTGTGAGCTTGATAATTTGGAAGAACTTGAGAGTAACTTGATAGCACTGTTTGAGCATGTCACCGAGGGGCGGCGACACAAGCTGGATCATGTCGTCTACACAGCAGGCAACAAGGTGGGATCGGTCCCCCTCACAGTCACAGACACGAAGATGATTACCGAACATGGTATCTTGCGATTCTATGTACCAATAATCATCGGCAAGCTTGCATTGGACTATATTACGGTCAGTGCCCAGTCATCGATCACTTTGACCAGCGGTGTGAACAATATCAAACCGGTGGCAGGACGAGTACTGATGGCTGGTTGGGGCTCTGGAGTTGAAGGCATCACGCGTGCTCTCGCCGTTGATTTGAGGCCTATTAGAGTGAATTGCATCTGTCCTGGGCCGACCAAGACAGAACTATTCGATGGATTTCCTGATGATGTGCTTCAACCTCTTCTGGAAAGGTATAAGAGCTCAACCATGACCAGAACAATCGGCACCCCGGAGGATGTATCAGAGTCTTATCTCTACTGTATGCGGGATACTTTCGTAGATGGCACCGTCATTCACTCCAGTGGGGGCTACCTGCTAGCTTGATTGTAATCTATGCATGTGTATCTGGAGCTCAAAGATACCAGACTATTCAGCCTCAGCATCGAGGACAGATATTTAACTTAGATAAGGCCCACCTATGGGGGAACTTCCGGCATTGCCGATGACATAGAACCATCCAAGTGCTGATAACACATATCCCAGCGTGTTTTTGTAAGATTACGTGTTTGCCGAGCAACTTTGGATCCATGTATTATCGGTCTTGACTGTTTGGCACGCGCGTTGAGGCACTATTAGACTGAGAACTTAAGAAACCACCGACAGCCGAGCTTCCAGCGCTTCCTACTTGATCAAGATCATGGCCTAATCGTGAAACCACTCAGAACTTGAAGAAGTTAAGGGTCTATCGGCCCTTGATGCAGATGTTCTTCACGCGGTGCAGCCTCCCTTCATGTGGCGTAAAAGTTATCATATCACGAAAATCATCATAAAACCTCGATCCCGCCAACTCAACCGTGAAAGCCTCACTATCAGAAGATACAGGTGAGAGAAGACATCTCGGAATCATGTCGCAATATCCCGAATTTCCCGACAAGACCAGATTTCACAGGCTCAAAGACAGCGTAATCGTGGTCACCGGCGGCTCCAGCGGTATAGGTGCGGCTCTAGTGACTGTCGCCTATCATCACGGAGCTCACGTCATCTTCGGTGATGTCAATCGCGATATGGGTGAAGCGCTCGTGAAGTCTTTGGAGTCTGCAAAAGTCCGGAGTCAGAGCGGAAGTGGTGACTTGGAATTCCTGCTGTGCAACGTGTGCAGCTACGGTGACATCTATGCTCTGTTCCGCCTTGCTTGGGGGAAACATGGCCGGGTCAACCATGCCGTCTTTTGTGCTGGTGTTGTCGACAATCCGAAAGCATCGTATTTCGATCCCGCCTTGACTATTGAAAGCGTGGGCGAAGATCAGGGTAACACGCAGGCTTTGGATGTCAACTTTATCGCTGCGTGCGCATTCGCGAGGATATCATTGCCATTCTTGCGACAAAGCATTAGCACCATCACCAAGGATCGGCAAGGTGGTAGCGATAGTGTGAACAACGGATACAGTCTGACTCTTTTGTCTAGTGTCACCGGCTTCCGTGACGCGCCAGGCATGTTCCTCTACCAGACCTCCAAGCAAGCCATTTTAGGCCTGATGCGAGCAATGAGGACAACAATATTTGCACGCGATGGCGTACGCGTTAACGCTGTGTGCCCTGGAATGACCGACACGCCCATGACGGCTGCTAGCGGAATGATTACCTTGTTCAAAGATCGAACTGTCCCGGCCAGGTCAAACCTTCCATCACATCATCAGTCATCCGTGGCCGTTGCTGAACAAATTGCGTCCGTAATGGTTTCAGACTTTCTCAATGGGAAAAGTATCTACGTGGAAGAGGCCAAGGCCTGGGAATTCGAAGACGGATTGCTCAGGGAGATGCCTCGGTGGTTAGGCAACGAGCCTACGCAATGGTCCAACGACAATTTGACCTTCCTCGCGAAAGCTTTTGGCCAGGGCTAAAGCAGAAAAAAACCTTACGAAACTCAGTCTACTCTTATGGCTTTGGGATGGAAACTTGAGACAATACAACTTTGCATCACCTCGCCAACGGAATGAGATCTTGAACAATGGTACGCGCTAAATGACTCGACTGCATCTATGAGCACACTTGCACAACCCAAGGCGCCACAACAGGCCATTATGCTCCAGTAAGATTTGGTAGTTCCCAGAATAGCCAATCTCCCATAGCCCCGTTCGAAATCAATGTGTCCTCTGGAAACATCTGGTCTGTTCCCAATAAATCTACAGGCTGTTCGTGGCCTAGAAAGGTCGCCCGGTCGATGAGATCGCCGTGACTGTATATCGACGCCATTGAAGGCAATTGGTTTTCACCTCTCAGAGTCTGAACAAGTGCCTGACTATTCATGTCAAAGTAAGTCGGGGACAGACTTGCGTCATCGAGCTTCAATGTCAGAGGACGGTATAGCCGGCATAATGTTACATCGATTGTATCAAAAAATACGGCCTGGTATGGAGTTAGAGAGCTTTGCGGTGTCCCAGTCACTTTTTTCTGTGTTGCGATACAGTACTTGAGCATGCGCTCGAAACTTGCGATGCTGCCAAGCACTGTTGGCCATCTCTTTTGCAGTTCTTCTTGACCCTGTGCCAAAGCCTTGAGATCTTCCTGGGCGAGTACCCATAGCTGAGGGTACGGATAACATGAAAGTAAGGCGATCGAAGCGGTTAGGATGTGGAAGCTGAAGCATGGTCCCAGAGTTCGCACTTCGTCACGAGCGACAAAGTCTTCAATGATTCCCGCCACCGTAGAAGCTGCCATAACAGCTGCTGTAGGGAAAGGGCCATCGAGACTCTTAGAGCGGTAAATGAGAATGATGGTCGTGAAGTATAGAACATTCAGTTGCCGACTTTCCAGGGTATAAGATTTCACAGATTGACATAATGATGAGTTTGAGCCGTTGGTGCTGCGATTGGATAGCTGGAGATGCTCAGGAAGATTTCTCGTCCAGCGATATAGTGCGTCTTCGATTGCAGTGTTCAGATCTTTGGAGGATGACTTTTGGATCTCATGTCGAGTGAACCGTCCCATGATCAGAGACAATTCGACATAGGCAACAAAAAATGCTCCTACTGATGGCACTTCCGGGAAGTCCTCCAGAGTAGGTCGAGGGATATCAGATTCCTCAATGCTAATGGCCTGCGGCCGTCCATGAGCGACGCTAATTAGGCAGTCGCGGGCCTATAATAGTTCAGGACGTGTCGAGATATGAAAAGACAGCACGATAAGTGGAAGGGAGCGTACTGACCACGATGGACCACCATATCCGGCGTCGCAGAGATTCATTTGGGACGACCTTTGCGCTACGGTGGAGACCCATTTGCTGAGCCAAGCTGACAGTGATTCGACACCAAAAGCTACTGGTATTGGTAGATACTCGTTCTGGCCCATGCGGATTCCACCAATGCATCAAGGAAGAGGCAATTAGGAGATTCATTGGATCCTTTTCATAATCGAGCCAAAATAGTGTCTTTGCTCGCGTATAATAATCCTCCGAGGTGGCGAAAAGGCGAGGCTGAGACGGCGATGCGATACGACTTCCCGCCAGAAAGATGGTTTGAAGCAAGAGAGGCGATAAGTTCTCCAGATCTTTGCCAATAATCTGCGATCGATCGATAATCGGGTCCCAGACATAGCAGTGCGTCCAGAAATTCTCAAACAGTGACTCCCGTACTGCGCGTGGGGGGAGTTTGAAAGCGTTTTGGAGTATAGCTATCTTGTGAGTGGTTTCAGACTGAGGAGGCGCAGGATAGTTAATCTCCGAACCGTCTTCCGCCCTCAAATCATCTGGGGCAATGTACGTTGAGCGTTGCATGTAACCGCACTCGTAGCTGCTACAAGTACTGGAAATTGATTTCCCTGAAGGCGAATGATTCTGATGTTGGTTGGTCTCGCCTTGGGTGCCAGTCACTAAAGGGCGCTGCGGTTGTTGAGATACCTCTATCTCGTGGTGCATTTCACTTTCATTTTGTGATGCTGCTACCTGATGCATTGTGCGAAGATTGGTCATGGACGCCAGGATCTGATTCTGAGCATGTTCAATAGCGACATTTGGGCTGCTCACAGGGCTCTTCCAAGGTGGAACCTTCGCTTTGGGAGGATGTGTCTTTCGTTGTCGTGGCCTTTGTTCACAAACTATACCATCACGCTGGCAGTTTGAGCACTGTGACTTGCTTGGACTAATGTCACATTTGACCTTCCGAGCATGGCAGAGCGAACAGGCTCGACTGGTGCGAGGGGCTCGCTCGAGGCGCGAAGTGTGTCGCTCAACGTGGATATTCATGTCGAACGACATTGTCCAGCTCCAGGTATATTCTATCTTCGAAGAATCCGTAAACACTGAATTGCAGACACATACCACCTAGACAGTCCAGCCCCTCTGGGGAAATGGTCAAACTCGACGATGGCTCGTTTCCTTCGACCCTAATGCGCTCCAAAAGGCGGGAAGAACTTTGGGGCCATCGACAAGCGGGGGGTGGCAAGAGGTCCGGCAATTACCAAGTTCGGTTTAACCCTCGGTTCTTCCCCACAATCTCAAGTTACGTCAAGCCTCATTCGACCATAGATCAGAAAAAGTCTAAGCGTGCTTCAGCAGAGCCAGGCATCATTCCCAGGCTTATGAAGCAAGCGAAACCACTCAGAACATTGACGAGCCGTGCTCGAGTGGTAGCGATTCAATATATGGGTGAGTAAAGCATCAACTTGGACTGCCCATAGTTTATTCGGTGACCGTACAAGCAAAGACGTACACAATAATGCCGGTTGAGAGTTCACCCTGCTACTCTCTAACCCCAATGCTCGCGAGCATACGAAATACTCCCACCCTAACCCATCTCTGGGCAACAGGGCATCCTTGCTGTAGTGATTCTCATAATTATGACGGCGTGTCAAGAATCTGCTGGGCTGGAGTATTGGATGCGAGCAGCACTCGATTGTGTGCCATCTCCGACTTCCATGGTCTCACCCTATCTATTTCAGCCTCTTTTCACAGTCTTGATGCATATCACGGGGAAATGTTCGTGGCCGGAGTCATCCACGAAAATTCCCTTTGCTATGGTTCTGGTAATTTTGTCAACAACTGGTGTGCCATGTGAAATAACAAATTAAAGGAGAAGTATGTTTCCGGCCACGTCTGGATAACACGCGCTTTGCCGTCAACAGAGTTTTATGTCCTGTGAAGTTTGCAACGCATGAGAGCGCTCCAGTCGATAAGTAAATATATATATAGTATTGTAACTCGCGCCCCTCTTTCGTGCCATGCCCTTGTCTGGAGGCTAGATACATGTCGAGGAAGGGAAACTTCCTTGGCACGGCCTCCCAGGATATTCGAAGCGTTTGTTGTGAGCTAGTACGTCGGCTAGGCACCTAGGAACGAATATTACACTCACCGATTCCTAGGGCACAATAATACACCATACGGTAGACCTCTATCATCTGCTTTCCTAACTTCCTAATTAGCATGGATGCGGGCATGGAGCTGACGGATGTAGTTGCTGGGCGACTATTAGAGAGCTTTGGTGGCAAAGATCACGTGATTGAGGCTCCATTCCTACCACACCAATCGTCTGGCGAGGCCACCTATTGCAGTGCCTTTTGGGTTCTGGCTCTCCATCAACTTGCCTGGGTCTATCAACTGCTCCTTCTTGCTGTATGGGTTACTTTCCCTGGAACACTGCCTTCTTGAACCCCATACTACGCCGACAGGGTTTGTTTGCACTCTCCAGGCACAAGGGTCGTTAAATTCATCCCGCTCAACACCAATCCAGCTTGGTTCCCCACGATGGATGCCATAATCAGTCAACTTCAGGATCTCTTCGAAGGTCAAATAGTAGGCGTGCAACCCAACCTCAATCCGAGGTTATCTTTCTAACCGGTGTATTTTCTCCGATTAGGACTTTAGTGGCCAGCAAATCGCCGAACTTATTTCCACGACTTTGTTGACTGTTGCTTCGGTACGCCTCGCTCTGGAGGCGCATGTTTTTCTTTTCAACTAATACATTCTTAGGTAATCGCTCTTGTGGTTGGGTATATCCAACAAGATATTTACTTGACTCTGTGGATTGGATTGATAGGCACCTTGCTTGCCATGCTTATTGTGGTTCCGCCATGGCCTTTCTATAACAAACATCCTCAGCCCTGGCTGGGATCCACTGCTGCACTACGGTCCGGAGGAATCGTGGTTGGAGGCAAAGCGCGATGATTGGCTTATTTCATTATCATCAGAGCTCTATCTGCAGCGCTCTTGGAAGTCTTCTCATTTCTCCTGGTGTCAGCCATCCCCACCGGCTTCTACATACCGCTTTCGGTCCCAAAACCACTGACTAGCTTTGGAGACTGGCATTTGCCAAACATGTTGCAGACAATCATGAACTGATGATGTCTCACTGCAGATATGTGATTTGCTCATCTCTTGAGACGCTGCAGCACCGTGTTTGGACTTGACTTGCCCGTGTTGGCAGTAGCCTCGATGATCTGAGCCTTCTCACCAATGTCTATCTTCATCTATCGACCGTACTTTTGGAACTCCCAGTCTCGGTTATCGAGAGGACAGACTTGTCGGGTTTTGAGCCACCGCGAGATGCAATGGAAGTGGAAGGCATGCTATTGTGAACATCAGTGACGGGCAGCATGGTAGATCTGTACATGACTTACGTTGCAGATTCCCCAGGCGACCGTGCACTCTTCAGTAATAGCAGCGCCTTGGTTTGCTTGACACTCGATGCCTTGAATCATAGTCAGCGAGATTGGACGATGAAGACTGAAGCACGAGAGATAGTTACATAGATCCATAATGTGATTCCGGCAGATGGCACAGTTGTCGACAACGATATCCCAAGCCCAAAGGGCAACGGCATTCCACTAGGTCCGAAATGTTAGAGCCTTGTATTCATGGATTGTTCTGGGTCGGGTTGTACCTTCTTGACTTCGAATCTCTTTTTGCTATCGCCGGCCTCCGCTGCACCACCCTTGGAGGACTTGACAACTGACTTGGGCTTTTCAGTGGACGCACTGGCATCGGCCATCTCGACGTCAGCCATGTCGGATGAGGATCTTGTGAGGAGTAAATGGAGGCGGGGTTGGTGAGTAGATGAAGCCTATTCGAAGTGAATGTGGACGAGCGCTGTTGGACGGTACAAAGAATTTGACGCGGGATCAAGTGACGATGCAACACGCAAACCAGTGCATGCTACAGAAACTAAGACTGATTGCTCATGAATAATGAAGAGCCCTGGTACATGGTGAATGAAAGTTGGGGAAAGTGAGGTTCAGGCTGCGCAGGCAGAGTCGCACGTGACCACCATTATGTGGCGAGGCTGTGACATTCGCCACTGGCACCTGCAGTTCCGCCACCAGCACTTGGCATCCGCTCGATGGCACCTGCGTCACTCTCGCCGACTCATCCTCTCCCTTCTCGCATACAAACACACCGGCCCGCATACAAACAGCCTGCACTTGCAACACGGATCACTAGATTGCTCGACCTCTCCAACACTTTTACCCATTTACTGCCTTCCCATCATCACAACACCATCTATCAATACTCAGTCGCTCTTCACATCATCCTCCGTACTTCTTGCTCCGCTTTGCCAACGCTTTGTTGACTCAGCTACTATCTTGTCTTTCTTCACCAACAGCTTGGGCTACATTTCACCCCTCCTCCCGAACCTCGACCCCCTCTACCTCTCACCCACAGCAATGCAATATATCACCACTCCTGTCGGACTCATCTCACAATCACCACCATTACAATATCCAAGCCTGTTCGCACTCCCTCTCCACTGACCAACAAGATTAGACATACACTCTCTTTGTCGTCTTTTGTCAATCTATTGAGCCATCTGAGCGTTCTGCAAGTTCATTCCATATCTCTATCAAGGTCCACTGGCTGCCAATTTATCAAGCCTGTTTATGTAACTCACAATGTCTGCTCCACAACAACCAACCAAAGCCTCGAGACGATCAGGCAAGAAGCAGCGCGCATCTGAACCCCAAGACGCCGCCATACCCGTCTCTGCACCACAAACCAACAACACACCGCCCAAGGCAAACAATCATAACAAACCCAACCCCAAAGGTCAATCGCGCAGACCCTCTCACGCCCAGAACATGAGGAATCAGGCCGATGGCAGCTTGTCAGACCGCGGCAAACCCCACAATCACTATTCGGATAAGGTCAAGGCGACTCCAGTCAAGCCGGCTGCCTACGCTGGCTCAACATTTCAACAGTCGCCAGCAGCGTCTGCTTTGCCCATGCCCAGCTTTTATTCCAAATCGCTCCCCTCAGCTGGATTTGTTCCACTTCAGTCATCCAAAGAACCCAGTCCTCCTACTCCGAGTTCGACTACACCACCCCAAGATCCACAAACTCAACGCGAGTCCACTCCCTGCGACTTTCTCTTCGATGCTGCCAGGAAGGCAAAGGCCACTCCGCGTGGTGAGAGCCCTGCGAACTTCGCAGGGAACCTCTCTGTGCCGAGTGGCAGTCCCGCTTCGAGGTCTCCAGGCCCGAGGGAAGGCGATTCCATGTTTCCTTTTGAATTGGATGGGGGCGCAGTTGCTGGAGAGGATGGTTCTTCATTTGCTACTCCCTACAAGGATCGCATGGCTGCACTGAGATCAACAAGGTCGACCTCAGTAGGTGTCAAGAACATGGATGAGGATGAACGAAAGGCCAAGACCGAGGCTCTGAAGAAACTCCTGATGAAGTCCAACGGAAACGAGGGAAATGCCATGACCAGTTTCCATCCCGATCCCCATAATCCCTTCAACGCAAAAGCTCCAATCCCGCAGGGCAACCATTCATTTCAGGGAAGTCATTTGGGGCGTCCTAATTCCAATCCATCTACACCTTTCTATGTGCCAGAGCACAAGGACTATCACCCCCAATCTCCATTTCCCCACATTCCTTATCATTATGCTTCTGGGCCAATGCAAACTCCAAATCGGCCTTCATCTTCTGGCTTGCGGAATGTCTATGGCGCTCAGAGTGAACCAGAGTACGCTGAGTTGTCGTCTGATTCCGCTGTTACGCCACCAATATCGACCGCACGAAAACAGTCACCTAGATCAACGCGACAATATGGCGCCTTTGTTGGTCAACCTTACTCACCACAACCACAGGTATCGAGCCACCGAAGCAAACCCAGTGCACAGCAATTGGAGGATGATTTGAGACGAGTTTTGAAATTGGATCTTACTTCTCGAGGTTGAGATACTAAGAGGCCAATATTGGAGCACGGCGAATGGTAGCGAGAACTTATGTCTTTATTGGAGGCATTTAACCCAGTTTTGATTGAGGTCAAAATGAGACAAGACTTTATGAGCTATGGGTGGATGGCAATGACATGTTCGAAGGAAGGTAGAACGGTTATTGATGATGCCTTCTTTGGAAAGTTTGTCAGGTTTCCTTCTGAGCATGGGCTAGACTACGAACACTCTTTTGAAATGGATTTCCTTTGTTTTTGGTATCTTAGTTAAAAGAAAACTATGATTGTGCTGCCTGCTTCTGGAAAGCAGGAGAGCTGCGATCTTTTCATCTAGCTGACAATACCTTGACCATGGTTCATTTGATTACTCATCGTTTCTGTGCTGAAGGCCACGACCAGGCTCGTTCCCTTAATCACCTTTCCCAGGTCCCGGCCATGGGGTGGTAGCCTGTATCTTGGACGTGGCCAGTGAGTGGTATCTAATTCGCGGTAGATGGTTTGTCGCCAAAGCCTGGAGCAAACGGAGAACATTGACGTCGGTGTCTCCATTGACCTAGGCCTCGTCGATCACATAGCCACCACAACTCGGTTGCTTGGGAGGTTCTAGGTACCGGGAGACGGCCGCTGTCGATACCCGTGTAGAGATATGTCTATCCTCCTCGCTCGACCGAGTTAGTAACTGCTGTCCAGATGGAAGCTCAAGCAGAGGCTACCTAGCGGCCACATCGGTGGTCCGGGAGTCGCAACTCGAAGAAATTACCGAACCGTCATGTCTTCGTGCTCTGTAAACTGTATTGAGTATCTGCTGACTGGAGAGAGTGGGATTTCCAGGAAGGGATGGTGGCGTTTCAAGCTCATGTCTCGTTCTGTGTTGCCGACCGTGGCGGTTGCTGCATTGCTGTATTGCTGTGCGAGTTGTAACGCTGCTTGATATCTTCAGGGCGTAAGCTGACTGCCTTGAGTCGTAGGTATGGATGTTTCCGTGCTCATTGAGCTCAAAATATGATAATCGAATTGCCGATAGGATAGTGGCACCGCGGCCATCGTGGTCGCTGAACCTCGTCCTTCCAGCGAGTCATCTCGAAAAAGAGTCCTGTAATTGGACCCCCAATCAATCACTGCTCGCACAGCCTCTACACCCACAACTGACACACTGAATGCCCGCTCCAGCACCATCACCGCCGCCATCCTCTCTCTTCAACCCTGCCTTCGGCACACGACAAATACACGTCCCCGCGAAATTTGTCTCTTTCGTCTGCACACAGCGAAGACAACACAGCTTCTCGTAGCCTTGCTTCTTCCACTTGGCAATCAGATTGGCGTCTGCGTAGCCGTTCTTTAGCAGCCAATCGTACAGCTGCTTCGAGATGGCCTCGCGCTCGTAGTACAGGTCGTAGATGTAGCGGGAGCGGGCGTGCGAGATCTGGAATATCGGCCACAACGTCTCGTGCTTCTTCTTGCCTTCGTGTGATGCGTTCTGTGCGTCCCGCATCTTGTTGCTGTATTCGAGGAGTGTGTCTTCGATGTCGTCGAAGCCCACTGGGGGTGGTTTGCGCGAGTTGCGCGAGCGCACGGGTGGCATTTTTCTTTGGAGAGTCGGTACGACGTCTTCTCGGTAACAATCAGATCTGAGGATGATTTGAGACGCGTCTCCGCAGAGTGAAACGTATATCTAGTCTGCTATGAGCAAGTGACCGTGGAGGTGGTGGGTAGTGGTGGGTGACGAGGGAATAAAAAAGATGGTACAGTAGTAGTGGCAACGGAATGCAAGGCTGCGATCAACTGCGGGATATCCAGCCCACTGTACTAACTCAAAATGGGCACTCCTTCTTGCTGCTTCATCGCCAACAGCGATGGCATGAGCATTGAATACGTGTATTTGTAAACGCTTAGTCGCCGTCGAGGTCGAATTGGTCCCATCACGTAACTACTGGAGATCACCCTCACTGCTTGCTCTGCACCGTGCCTGGATGCCACACAGAAAGAAAAGCCTGTGGCCTTTCACCAGGAGAAAAGTGCTTACGAATTTTGAAGTCCTGTAGCAAATTCAAAGTTATGTTAACGCCTCATTTGACAATGGTCTCTAACTCGAGCGTCTGCTGGCTATTCACCTTCAACGCTCCAATTGAGCATGCTCCATCAGAGTAGACATGATCTATCTAGAAAATTGGTGATATGACACAAGTTTGTTGACCCAGGTGTTTGTCAATCTTTGCGAAACAGGAACCATTTTGCAAATATCATACGAAGAGTGGATATCTGCGTTGCTAAGCTACCACCATTTCCTTCTCCCCAAACTTTGAAAGGCTTTAAGGGCGTCCTGGACGACCTGTTACTTTCCTCTCTTGATTCCCCTCACTCTCGGCCCTGCCGCTTGGTTTAGTGGGACTGCATCGCAAACCATGCAGGCCAGGATCTTCCAGCATAAAAGATACCTCCCAGCGAATTGGACATTGACATCATGCGGCAACGTTCATCACCATGAGCAGACAAGTAATCGAGAGGCAGACGAGTGCTGGAGAAACTATCAGGGACGTTTAGTGTCAAGCTGTGCTGCTTCGGTTGTGATAGTCCTCGTCCCCGGCCTGTGGCTCCTTTGAATTAATACGCCATTCTGGTATAACCGGCTCGTACCAGGGGAAGAAGAGCCTCTCGGCCACTCCTTCCTTATCGGCATCCAGGATACCCCATGCGTCAAGGTTGTTTTTGAAATAGCCATATTCGTAATCATCGCGAGCTTTCCAGTCGGCGCAACCTAACACGTTCATCTTGTAGTCCTTTGAGGACTGAGCGATGACTCGGTTCATTATGACCTTCTTCCCTTTCTCGTTCTTCCGCTTCTCAGTGATCGGGGTGAACACAAAGTAATCCTGCCCATTTAGCTTCTTCTTTTCCTTCTTCCTTACTGGGTAAGCTTTCTTGGCTTCAGGAGAGTCGGATTCAATCCATTCGCCGCAGCAGTGATCAATGGATGGTGGATGCGCCCACCAGCACGCCACGTTATTCAGCGGGTTGGTACGCAAGCAATTAAAACGGTATTGTGCAACGGCGACAAGTGCATCGCCTACGCACGTGCGTGTTGGGGCCGGCTTACGCGCGTCGACATATCTGATTCTGGTAAAAGGCTTGCAGTTGCCATTGCAGTCAAGTTTGATCATATGCATGGAATCCTTGGGTATCCCTGACAGATTGAAGTTGCCCGCTATGTCGAGGTACCCCTGGTCTGCTGGGACGCCATTTTTGCCCATTGCGGCAACAGATGGCCCGACTTTACTTCCGGGGTGCTCCTTCTCATACTTGATCATAAATCCCGAGTAAGTCCATGGGGGATCGGGTGGGATGTTGGTTGCAGGTTTCGGCGCTGCAGAGACGAGACTCGAGAGCAAAAGGAGAGCCTCCAGGGACAGAAGGATCTTTGCGATCAACGTCGACCTCATGGTTTTGATTATGTTATTAGCTTAAAAGATTGAGAGGTAGGGCGTGGGAAGCGCAAGGCTGTACCATGTATTACCAACTCAGTGAAGGCTGAAGGCAGCTGCTGGTGGACAAAGTAATATTGTTGAAGAGGAGAAAACAGACATTCTTATAGGTGTCCCTAAGGGGACTGAAAGGAAAGAAAAGGGCTTGATACCCCACCAATAGAATTTAAACTCTTGATAGGGTTGGACTGGAAGGTAGAGTTCAGACTGAAGCAGGAAGTCGAGCTTGTTTGGAGAATATATAAGCTCTACGGTGGGAGCAGTGCCCGAAATCGTTGCCTTCTTGACTGAGGAGTACGCCGTAGACAGAAGATGGAGAAACGAATAGTGGCCAGTAGTAGCCTGAGGAGCAGACTGTAGTTGAGGTCCCATCGGTACAGAACCTTGAGCAACTGGCAGTGTTTCTATCAAAGTTGGGTGGAGTCGAACCTAACAGGGGCCTTTCAAGCAAAGTCTTCATATCGATTTTCGAAAACGACGAGAAGTCTTCGCAAATAGCCACAAACTGACTCTTTATCACCGCTCTTGCTTCCGTACACGAAGACATCGCGCTGCGACAAGGGTATCTGTCCAGGACCTATCCGCATAGGAGATGTGGTGAGAAGTAGGAATGCTCCTAGACATTCGTGTTTTTTGCCCAAGGATCATGAACTTAACATCAGAAGTCTGCTGATTTGGATAGCAAACCCAGATTAGCCCCACGAAGTATTCATGGCGATCACTGTTATGGAGCAAAGTGGATGATGAAAAGGCAACCAACTCAGTCGGTCTGTCCCGCGAACTCTCAGAGATGTGCTCACAGTACTAGCCATTGTCGAATCACAAGGTTTGTGCTGAAGACTATCTCAGGCAGATCAAGTTTCAATACCAGGAATGGATGGTTTATCGGATCTCCTAAAGATCATGCACGAAGCTGCCAGGGTAAGAGGAGCTGGGATGGTGGACTGGTGGGAAGCTGACGAAACAAAGAATAGACTCTATGCTCCACTGGATTAATTGCACCTTCCCCTTATTGTTTCACCGTACAAAAGTCTTGGCATCGCCAAGCGCACAGAACCCACTGCCTGTGGCATGAATGAGCGAAGTCAGTCATTGAAGAACAAACTGCGCTCTGACTTTCACCTCCCATATCGAACCATCGAAGCAAGGTACAGCATCAGCGATCATTCAAGATGCGTACCTACGACGATACCTTCAGCGCCACCAAAATCTACCCGGGCAAGGTCAGTCCAACACGTCTCACGCACACTGCGGAAGCCTCCCCAAAATCCAGGGCCCGATGAGTGCCACGGCCTCGCTCCGTCGCGGTGAAATTCGTCACGGAAGGAATAGAGACAATAGGCTGACATGTCAACGTGATATCTACAGGGCAAGCTCTACGTCCGTGGTGACAGCAAAATCTTCCGATTCCAAAATGGCAAGACCGAATCTCTTTTCCTCCAGCGCAAGAATCCTCGAAGAATAGCATGGACTATGCTTTACCGAAGACAGCACAAAAAGGGTATTTCAGAGGTTAGTTGTTCATCCAGTTCACTCCGCCTAGGGATATTTCTCGCTGTCTTGAAAGATGGTGGAAGGACGTCAATGGGAGATTGCTTTGACGAGAGATGGAAGAGGAGGACAATCTGGCAAAAATGACGGACTTATTGATGGAGCAACCCTCTCGCACGCCCGTCCCCGATTCACCCATCACTCTCCTGCACCACAAAACATGGAACTGACATGATCAAATTCGTCCGATTATAGGAAGTCGCCAAGAAACGAACCCGCCGCACCGTCAAGCACCAACGTGCCGTCGTGGGAGCCTCGCTTGATGTGATCAAGGAACGCCGCACACAACGACCGGAGACCCGCGCCGCCGCTCGCCAGGCCGCCATCAAGGAAGGCAAGGACAAGAAGGCCGCCGCTGAGTCCAAGAAGAAGGCCGAGAAGGCAAAGACCGCTGCCAGCGCCGCCCGTGGCCAGGCCCGTGGTGGTATCGCTTCGAAGCAAGGTGCCAAGGGTGCCCAGAGCAAAGTCCAAGCCAACACCAGATAAACGAAGAAGTTCGGGTTTGTGATGGGACGAAGCCTCGGTTTGGTGGTGGCCACGTTTCGAGGCGGTTTCGAGGAAGCGAATATTATGCAACCTCAGTGGTGGCGTGGCATGGCATGGCAGGGAGTGGTACTTGTCCTTGTTTCTACGGACAAGGCTCGTCCACTCTTAATGTCAGTTGCATGAGAACTGGGGGTTTTCTTATCGATCGATGATGTGCATGAAACACCCGATGGATAATGGAGATGACAATCGAATATTCAAAAACAGGGAGCACGTGTTCATCGCATGATCGGTCTGCTGGGTCTGTGTATCGAGACCAAGTATGATAGAGTGGGGAAGCGAATTCGATACAAAATGACAAAACTTGAAATCTCCTCAACATGCCAGATCGCGCGCGATCGTTGTTATCAATATTGTATAGAAATGAGCAAAGTATGCTCTTCTAGTTTCTTACTCTTTCTACAGGCTGATGACACTAATGCCAGTGGTCTGTCAAGACCAGGCCGGTTTTCAAGTCCATAGTCACTGGCGGTCAAAAGGTCGATGGCATCAATTGATGGTACGATGCACTTCGCCCACTTGTTCTAGTCCTAAAGAGCATGCCTTTCTCAACATAGTGCAAGCTTCATGTCTGTTTCACCTTGTGAAACGAAGCTAGCTAACCTGTCTGCTGAATCAAGCTCGGAGCCTGTCAGGCATAGTTTTGAGATTGGTGATCAAAGCCACTGTCTGTTCATTATAGCTGCCGCTTATACCAATTAACTCAAAGCGGGTCTTTCATCTCAAGAATGAGATGTGTTGCCGGAAGCGAATAAACCTGGCCTTATCGCATGCCACAGAGGTCTTCAGCATAGTACGTATTCTGCTAAGAAGGTGGCGGCAGCAGCAGTGTGTTACCCAGGGCTTTGAGCGTCAATGGACTCTAGCCAAGTTATGTCAGTGTTGAAGAGTTAACATGAACCTCTTGGCCATTCAGTCACCCAGCGAAGTACCAAAACGATTGACGAAGAAACCCTCGGCCTTCTTCAGGACTTTGGCATCTCTCCCACCTTGGTCGACCTCGCTGGGCATTTTCCAATTGTTGACGCCCCACCACCACTTCCTCACTCTGGCACCTACACCACGACCGCGAAATTTAGTGCCGCGATTCCAATGGCGCCAGCCGAACATGGCCAGATTCCAGAGGATGCCCTGTGTCAGAGGGAGAACTACCTGGTCGCGGATGGTAATGAAAGCGACTTTCCAGTTGGATTCCGCGTTCTTGATGCTGGCGAGGTAGGACTGTTCGAAACGGAAGTCAGGCATTGGGGGTAGATCTCGGCGGCGTGGGCGCTGTCGGATGATCTCGCTGGGGATGGTGGATGTGGATGACGAAGCTGTACTAGCGGAGGCGAGAGAATGGGATCGTGAGTGTGTCGGCGATTCCGTGCTAGGGTATTCTGCTGTGCCCGGGACCTTCTTGGAGGCCGCTGTAGAAGGATTGATGTCGTGGGCTGGAGATGGATGTCGCTTGATGGAGGCGGATTGGATGACCGAGGCGAACTCGGCCGCAGGATTGTGTTCCATTGTGCTGCAGAGGTATGATGATAGTGATCAGAGGAGAACGGTAGTGCGCAGGAGCTTAATCACGAGAAGAACTTGACTCTCAATGATTAAGAGGCTCTTGTGATAAACTCGGGTGTCCTCGATGTCTGAGAAAGTGGTGGTGGACAAGCTATTGCTCGACCTATCAGCACGTGAAAGGCGGTCGAGGAAGAACAGAAAGCCCGATAGAAAAATCTCCGACTGATTTGAGTACCCCACATCGCACTGGCACTTGCACTGGCACTGTACCTGAGATTGTCCCTCATCCATATCGATGCCATCATAAAAGTTTTAGATTGTTGAAGTTCAAGTTCTTCCACCAGTTCTTACCCTCTTTCTTCCCTAAAAATATACCATTCGTTCCCACGTCCAACCTCCAACATGGCCGGCAAATCCTTCAAACTGCTCTGCTTAGAGAATCCTCTCCTCGACATCCAGGGTAAAGGGTGAGATCTCCCCACCGTCAATCCTCGAACAACCAACATTGTGCCTCCTCTTCCCAAGACAACACCCTCAACCACAACCCGAAATCAGAGCTAACACACCTTAATTTCCAACAGCGACCATGCAATGCTCGAGCAATACGGGTTGAAACTCGACGACACCCTGCTCGCCGAGCCCCACCAGATGGGCCTGTACGACGACCTCATCAAGAACCGCGATGCGAAGCTGATCCCGGGCGGCGCTGCGCAAAACACCGCCCGTGGCGCCCAGTACATGCTACCCCCGGACTCGGTCTGGTACATCGGCTGTGTGGGCGATGACGAGTATGCTAAAATCCTAAGGGAGAAGTGTGCGGAGCAAGGTATGAGCATGAAAGCCGACACAATCAATAATTCTGTAAATTAATTCATGGTGCTTCCTGATTAGGTCTGCACGTCGAGTACAGAGTCGACCCCGAGCAACCAACAGGAAAATGCGGCGTCATCATCACCGACCATCACCGGACCATGTGCACGCACCTTGCCGCGGCCAACGAATACAAGATCGAGCATCTGCAACAACCGCACATCTGGTCGCTCGTCGAGTCCACCCAAGTCTTCTACGTTGGGGGCTACCACTTGACCGTCTGCGTGCCAGCCGCCCTCGCTGTGGGCAAACACGCCGCCGAGACCAACAAGATCTACATGCTGTCTCTGTCTGCTGGCTTCATCCCACAATTCTTCAAAGACCAGCTTGCCGAAGTCCTCCCCTACACCGACTATGTCTTCGGCAACGAGAACGAGGCAAAGACCTGGGCCGAGTCGCAGGGCCATAAGGATATTTCCATCCCCGAGGCTGCAAAGCTGCTTGCCCAAACTCCCAAGACTAACGAGAAGAGACCGAGAGTCGTCATCATTACACAGGGTACCGATCCTACTATTGTCGCCGTGGCGGAGAAGGGCAAAGATGTTCAGGTCCAGGAGTACCCCGTCGCTGCTATCGAAAAGGATGCCATCAATGACACCAACGGTGCTGGTGATGCCTTCGCAGGTGGCTTTGCCGCAGGCGTCGTTGAGGGAGATTCGCTTGCATCGAGTATCAAGAAGGGTCATTGGTTGGCCAGACTCGGTCTGCAGGAGCTCGGTCCTTCGTATGTGGGCCGCTCGTGCCATTTTCTATCTTCCTTCAAGCCCTTCCCTAACACATCACTGCAACCCACCGTCCTGAACATACCATCTAACATTCGGCTCATAGGTACCCATGGCCCAAGCAGACATACAAGGCTTAAATTCCCTGGTCGTTATTGATTCTTCTCTTCTCTGCACGTCGCCAGGTCAAGATGCGTGTGTCGCAGCACAATAGTGGGAAAATTTTTTGTACAGAACAGATGCTTTGATGCGGTCTCATTCAACAAGACCCATACTTTCGGCCATGATACCACGTCTTCCACGACTTCATGAGGAAAACAATTCCAACAGGTGTTGGTAGCGGTTAAGAAGAATGGTCATCCCATCTTCTCCTTATAAAAAGTAGCCCAGAAATAGATAATCTGAAACCACGACTGCTCCTTCTCCAACTGCCCTGGGAATGGGCACGTCTTTTGGTCAGAATTCCAGTATGGATCTTGGTACATTTCGAGGGCTGCGTTACTGTCTATACAGTTTGTTGCTGCCATCAAGAAGGCTCTTCTTCAATATCATCCAAGCTGACCGCTGACCGGGGCTCCGCTACTTTTGGGACGCGGCTCACCAATGGCCCCGAAAGGTGCTGGCTCGGGTGCTCGATGACGCACAATCGTCCCCGATAGTCCTGCTGATAATGGTGAGCTCCACTGCGATGATCCTGGTTGCGACTGATTGATTTTCCATCCCCGCGATATCACATTGCTGGGTGTCTTCGAAAGGCTGGACATTGTAGGCTGTGGTGATACTGCAGGTGATGTACGGTTCTGAATTGCTTGTTGCTGCTGTAGTAAGCTTGCTTGAAAATGCCGGGTTTGAGGAGATATTTCGCGGGACCCTCGCAATCGTTGTCCTACATTTGCAGGTGGGGGTGAGCCAGGTGTCTCTCCTGGCCGTGGTGCAAAAGGCGAATTCATAATGCTAGGTAAAATCGGTCGATTCGTGCCAGCATCTCCCAGTGAAGGAAACGACGAGCTGGATGATCGGTGAATCGGCTGCACAAAATCTTGCGCTGTATAGCCTGAACGCTGGGACTGCTTTAAACCTCGTTCTGCAAACGACTGCGCCGTTGGTGTCTTCAACACGGGATAATGTGACTCGTCGGTTTGATCTATTGATGGAGTTGAATGGTCTAGGGCTTCGGGTCGTGTTAAGTTGTTCACCATATTTTCCATGGCTGATGTCACTGAAGCTGATGCTCCGGCATCCGATACATCCTCATGGTAGCTGAAAGAGTATCCTGCAGCACCAGTCGGTTGCTTGGCTGCTTCGATATCATCTCGACTGATGCTATTCTGATGGCCGTGATGAGGTGATGCTGGTGTCTCTTTCATTGGTGGCTGGCCATCCTCATCAAGAAAGACAAAACAATTTCCGGCGAATTTTAGAGGAATGGGAATCGACCCAAACTGTGCATCACGTGTCAAATGACCATAACTTCAAAGCAGAAGAGAAATGCTTACCTCTCTCCGGCACAAGAGGACCGCGTCCTTGACTAAGCTCTTAATCCGATACAACATCTCATTTGCGGGAGATCGTGGACCAAAGCGAGCTTCGTTGTACTTAGAGTTTGCTAGACCTCGTTGTTCTCTCAGAACTTCGGGAAAAGGGCTAAAGCCCAAAGTGTCAACATCTTCGTCTAAGAGGTAGGGGATCTCTGCAATATCGATAATCGGATATGTGACAACCAGCAGACTGAGTGCTTCGGTATACACACACCAAAATTCGCGCATTTGAACCTTCATCGAGTTGTTGGCAAGCAGATACTCAACTTTGCTCAAGAGCCAGCTGCTATACAGCCGTAGATGTGGAAGAATTCGGCGAGTGACTGGTGTCACGGGTACAAGCTCTTCATCAATCGGTGTCCCCGGCTCTGGGCCCCTGGCCAACTGCTGCAATTCGTCAAGCATGAGTTTCAAGAGCAGAAAAAAAGTGCCAATATTCAGCTGCTGGAAACCTTGATATATCTGTAACGGAGAAATGTCCTCTGCAATGGTTATTAGCACATAGCTTTTAAGTAATAAAGGAGGCAATTTACCGCGAACTCTCCGAGCACTTGCGTCTTCGGCGGCAATGTTGATCAAGCAGAATTTTCTTATTCGAGCATCAAATGGTTTCTCGCGGAGGTCATCTGCCAAACGTTGCAAGATTTCGTTCTGCTGATCGTCGCTAAAGACAAATCCCTCTTCAGCGCAGCGAGAATGGTAAATAATAAATTGATCAGAAAGACCATTATCCCCGTTCACATCAGATGAAGAAATTGGCTTTCTATTCGCGACTCTGTTCCTGATCTTGCGAAACTCGATTTCAAGGTTCCCAGGCGCTTGAGGTGCAGGATTTTGTACCATGATGGCCCGGTAGAGATAATAAACAGCCCGAATATGATCTTCATCAGTAAGCGCAATAACCGCGAGTTGGTTGTATGCGACACCGGAATGCGGATCCAGGGCGATTGCAAGCTGGTAATAGCCTTTGGCGGGACCCCAATCACGTTGTTTGGTTTGTAATTCTGTTTCCCTATATCTAGAGAGGTCACCGAGCTGCACCAAGCTGAGATAGCATGAGCGCACAATTTGCTTCTTCTGTAATTCATCAACAGATATTGCAGGCTCAGCACTGAGGGCTTTTCAGCATTAGCACAGGCTCGTTGATTGGAAGAACCATACTTACTATCCAGTCCGAACTTCTTCGCGACATCGACAACCTCTGGAATATCTCTGAAGTGGGATGCAAGGCGTTGAACATACCCCCTGTAGAATCTCATGCTAGATTTGATGAATTCAAGATAGAGTTTCTCGGCCTTTCGACGTTCAACATGTTTCTTTTTACTATCGGGATCTCGAAACTTGGCAAGGAGAGGTCTGAACTTCTGATTGACTTTTGCATGAGCATCCCATAAACGAGTTTCGGTTTTTGATGCGGTGGCCGCATTGAAATCAACGAAGACGAAGTCTTGACATGCTATTCGTAATCTGGGGTTGTCAGACAATATGAGGATGGTATGGAGGAGCACATTTTACCTGGATAGTTGAGCCTCTAATCTTGTGTAAGCAGGCTCTTTGCGACTAACGAGGACGGCTAAGTCCTTTTCTGCACAATCTACATTTCTGTCGCGAGGATGTCAGCTTTAGACGGGAACGGATCAGAGGCTTGTGGTGGACGCACTTGGACGCCGTTTTGGCGACTTCTTCCATGACGATTGTATGATAAGCAAATAGGTCATTGCGACCGGATCGCTGGTCAAGAGGAGCGACACGCGGAGTTGAGCCCAAAGTGTTGGATCGGTTCCATGAGGACAGTGAATACCACTCCCGGCCGTCTGTGATAGCCGAGGAGGATGAGAAAGTATCAAGCGTAGAAAGACGTGGAGATTGCGGCGAGAGTAGGAGAATAGGCAAGGCTATCCAAAATTGCAACAAGGCAATTCAGTGGGAGTTGCTGGGGCTCGCGGTGGTGGTAAGAGCGAAGGTTGTGGCTGCGCTCGATTCTCAACTTGGAGTGGGGAAATCACGAACATAAGAGGATCAAGTCCAAGGCTAGAAATTCGAGAATACTTCACCGTATTCACAGCCTTGCATTTTTTATTTACACTTCGCCGTAATCTGTAAATTTCCCGACGTGAACTCGGAGATGAAAGTCGCATGAAGTAGAGCTTCAGGGACCACTTTCTCCAGGTGCGGCCAGTCTCTACCACGACGAGATCCTCATTCATCAGCAGTATGGGGCATGGTACACAGTCCTTGCGGCTTGGCCAGACGTGCCGGTCGTTGTATAACTCAAGTCTGTCCAGTCGTTGTCTGCGATCTCGCCGGACTCTAGCGACACAAGCCAATTCCCCGTCAACCACACCAGACCCTGAACTTGAAGAAGCATCATCACTGAGATCAACATCTGGATCGTCTTTCCCAAAGTTTGACCCAGTCAAATCCGCAAGGTCACGGAAGCATCAGTTACCCCGGAGCAGGTATGCCTTCATGACTTCTTTGCCCGCCGCCAATTCCATACTGGTCTTAGGCTCACCATCTTGATAGATACCAGTTCCGTGATCCTAAGTATGATCGCGGGCCCATGCATCCTCACCAGCCTCTACCTTCCTCCAACCCTGGGAGTCGAGAATTTGTCCCTGGACCATTCTCCTCTCCGCGCGTCGAACAATTCTACCACAACATAATTGCTCCCGACTTTATGACAATGTGCTATCAACATACACCCCCCGGTTTTAGAACCACAGAGAAAGGGCCACGTTTAAGGTCTTGGGAAGGTGACTCTCCATATTTCAAGAACAGATCACTCCGTGGACCTCGTGGTGGGGACGTTCTCCGTCTCCTACGGAAGCCCATCACATTTATGAATATCCCTATGATCGAAAGGATCACAGTGCATAGTTTCGTTTCAGGTGCTCTGAGAAACGGTTCTAGCTACCTCCATGTGGCGGGAATGATATTGCAAGCCATAACAAATCAGAGGGTGGAGCTACATAAAGCGAGGATGAGTGAGTCGAAGTTCGGACTCATCAGAGGAAGGACAGTCAGCATGACCACCGACCTTAAGGGCGAAAACATGTACGACTTTCTCGGCAAGCTCATCAACATTGTTCTACCACGCATTAAAGACTGGAATGGTGTTCGAGCGACAACGGGAGATGGCAGTGGAAATCTCATGTTCGGGTTTGAGCCTGATGTGGTCAGCAATTTCCCTGAGATCGAGGGCAATTATGATGCATATCCCCCAAAATTAATTCCGGTAAGTGTTGTGATATTTGACGAAAAGAGGTCGCGAATTAATGTGCAGTCCTAGGGCATGCATATCACCATTCACACAACTGCCACCTGCGACAAAGACGCTAGACTTCTTCTACAACAGCTTGGTATACCGTTCTATGGTAAGATCGTCAACTGATTGATCTCAAGCTCGAGCGGAGTCCTTTCCCGGGTCCACGTGATTACAATACACAGCTGCCTGTTAGCGTTGATGAGGAAAGTGCTTCTAATCCATGTGAAACACATGGGTCACCTCAAATGCGCTTCGCCACTCGTGTTGAGAACGGGTCGAGAGAGGAAAATTCGAATTGCAAAGGCCTACAACTGGTCAATTCCACTAACGTCATAGAGATCGTGACCTAGACTATGTACAATAACAATATACCATGAAATAGTGGAAACGCACTAAAAAATTTTCCAGAAAATGGATCCGAATCCTGGGATTTGGCTGTTTCATTGCATACATGACTGAAAGCAGGTGCAGATTTTCTCCCCTAACGATCGACTGCAGACTGGATATACTGTACAAGGCGCCCCCACACGTTCAGCCTTGCCCAGTGCTCTCATCCACCACCTCAGGAAGCAAGCTAAATCAAGAATCATAATTTCGAGTGAACAGACCTACTGACACGTTTCAAAACACAATGTCCTCAAGCTTCCTGTGACCGGCCACTCACAAGACCAAGATATGGATTGTTTGCTATTTGGTCGACGAACAGGGAAACAGGTGTCACTCACTGCTGCAGGTTCTGAAGAATACCGGCCTCGAGCTGTCCCCACAAGCCCATGATTTTGAGATCACCTGTTACGTGGGAAATTCCCAAGGGTCAGCAGATGAATATTCATGACGAGAAAGCAAAAATAGTATCTCCGGAGGGGTTAAGCCTACCAAAAGGAATGATTTGCGAGGCAATCATACCACCGACACCCTGTGTGTGAGAAGGAGAGCCGAGTTAGCAATTGCAAGAGCTGTCGGGAGGTGGAACAAAGAGGCCGATCACATACCCTCTGCCTGTCGGCCCACCAGAACAAGTTCGGAAGTCCCGCCCACCATCCTGTTCCCTCGCTGTGCACGGCCGAATCTTTCAAGTGAAGGAAGAACGTCAAGCCCCAGCCTTGTGGGATATCATGTGGCTCCGGGTAAAGCTCAGGTAAGGGGTTGGAAAGAAGTCTCTTTGGTGGGTCGATGGCCTAAAATGAAAGGCGGAGCCGCGGTTAACTTCGCCACTTGTTGACACGCCCGATTTGGGGGAGAAAGGGGCGGCGGAGTTGGAAGCTGTTGATATAGTTTCTCGGACTTACCTGGCGAGCGAAATTAGGGAACTCGGGAATCTACGGCCCAACACGTTAGCGACCATCTGGGACCATCTCGGCCAGACGACTGGTTTCTCAGATCTCACCTGGTTTGTGAACATCAAATCGACCGTCTCCTTCTTCAAAATTCTATTGCCGCTGGGGGCATGAACACCATCGTTCAATAATGCGGCGATAACCTGCACATATTCTGTGGGTTTGGCGAAACAGCCAGCCCCGCCCTGCTGGAAGACACCATCAATCTCCTCCTTACCCTTGGCGTACAAAGGTCTCCGATTCAGATGTCCGTCAAGGTTGAGCGACAGACTACCATCGGGAGCGCGAGCGTTCATAAACGCCAGATTTCGCTTCATCTCGTCGTGGGGGAACATATTGATGTTCTTCAGGCCGAGGGGTTGGAAGATATGTTGTTGGAAATAGTCGTTGAGGCGAAGGCCTGAGGCGCGCTCGACGAGTTGCCCGGCCCAGTCGATGTTGATGCCGTATTCCCATGCCTCGCCGGGCTGGTTCACCAACGGCTGCGAGAGGTAGTCGTGGAAGGAGCCGGAAAATTCGTCAAGCCCTTGCGCTCCAGCCCAGTCGACGAGGCGCTGGTCGAAAAAGGAGTAGCCAAAACCAGCTGGATTGTCCATGGATTAATACTTTTGTTGTCTGTTTGAATGTACAAACATCCTTCTAACTAGGGGTCACTTACCGGTGTGAGATAGCAGCATTCTTAACGTGATGCCTTTTTTCTTCGGAACCAGCTTTCCGTTGTCCCAAACTTGCACAGCCTTCAGTTCCTGTGAGTTCAAACAGAATGAATATCAGCAGGTACTCTTGAAGGATGGATTGTCGAAACCCGGATTTCTCATGCTCTCTTAAGAAGTCATTGAAGAATGACAAAAGGCTCAAGGCACAGCACACAGAAACCCTCAACTAAAAACCTCCACGAAGAATGGAAAGCAGAGAAGAGGAACAACAAGACTCACCGGAGCCAACTTCTCGACCAGCTCGACATCATCAAGCGCGAGCTTCCCCTGCTCGACGAGCTGCATGGCAGCAATACCAGTGATCATCTTAGTGCAGCTGGCGATCCAGAAGACGCTGTCGAGCGTCATGTCCTCAGACCTACCGGCGCCAGTCTTTCCGGAGGCGTGTTCGAAGAGGACCTCTCCATTCTTGTTCACCGCTGCGAAGACTACCCCCGGTGCACCTGACGGGTCGGATGTCAGGGCGTCGATTTGTGATTTCAGCTCTGGGGCGGCGGAGGAGTTGAGTTTGGCCATTGCGTTGTTGTTGGTTTGGGTTGATGGGATGGAATGGCTCTGGGACGGGCTCTGGTTTTTGACCTGGGGTTTGTGAGTAGTGGGTCTACTGGGTCTCGGGTAGGATTGTCGCACAGTCAGGAAAGCTACGATGTCGGCTTGAGAGATACAAAAGGCGATATCAGAAGCCGAAAAGTAACTTGTGGTCTCTTGGTTAGGGAGTGTACTTTCGTTTCAGCCGTTTAAGTGTACCACAGACTCACGACAATAATGCTTTGCCTTCAGCGGAACAGAGTGACAGGGGGTTTGAGGCGGGGTAGGGTCAACATATATAAGTACACGTTTCATGAGTCAATTTTCGAACATGGCTAGTCGCCGACCAGATCCATCATCTACATTAGCGGCATCCTCGGAGTAGGACAACGGGCACGGCATCAGACTTTCGGATGCGAATGCCAAAGCGGAGAAAGGAAGAACGAAGAAAGAGGGGAGTGAGTAAAGAAGCAGAACAGGCTTTCGATATCCTGGGCTCCGGATCCAACAATGGCTGCTATTATGCACCAGGCATAAAGTCAGCGACGAAAGAAGATCCAGTGCGCGGATCCGCACATACCAAAATCACACGCGGCACTTCTCGCATGCGGGTTGGGCGATTTGGAGTGTTTCTACCATAAGCTGGGCTGGCACGCAAAGTACTAACACGTCAGATGTATGGATCGGTTCGGTCGCAAGGTAAAAAAGTCAGACCTTGGGTAAAGAACTATTTGGAAATGCAAGAAGAGGGGCTCACCCCGCATTTCGTGATCGTTGTCCGCCACAGTGAAACAGAGAAATGTTCGGTACAAGTCAACCTGCTCCTGGTGAGCTTGAAAGTCAGGTGGAGGCTAGTTTGGGGAGATGGCCACTAGCATTATGGTTCTTCGATTCATCGCCTACGAGCGTAAGAGATTCCAATATGGGCCGACGGAGGAACTTGAAGCTTTTGGGTAGGAGACTCAGGAGCGCCAAGATTTCGTTCTTGCTGGAAGTCAGCCTTGTCGACTCGACATTGCCCCGATTGCCTATGGCTTGCCTATGGCTTGCCTATGGCTTGCTGCACGGATTGCTATAGGGATCCACCATGAAACGGTCCCATTCTGTGAACAGTGTCTATGTCGTCTTTAACTCTGAGGTGCATCAGAAATACCAAGGCAAATCCCCCGGGCAAGCGTACCTCGTATCTAGCATTCCAGTGAGGTAGGACAAGGCTGTTTCGCGAAAGGGGCATGAAGTCCAAGTGAATGATATTGTTGTTATTGGATGGATTTCTTATGACAAGATGATAACGACAGGGTCTAGAACCAACTTGCTAGTGGTCAATGCATTCGGAATGAGAATGCAACAATTGCTCTGGCTGCAAAAAGAAACAACGAAGTCCCAAGGACAATAACAAGCGAGCACGTGTATGACCAAAGAGACGCTCGCTGAAAGTGAACGATCAACACCACAGCTTTGAGAAAGACACTGAACCAATCACATCACCACACACTCTCTGTCTGGCTTGTCCCCTGTCCTGACTTTGCTTCTCGTCAGGCGGACGCGACTCTTTTCTCTCTTGTGCCCTTTTTGTGACTCTATAGGTTGCCTGACATTTGGTGGTTGGTTGATACTCTGTTGCTCAGAGTTTGTGCCATCACCAATATCTGTGACGTGGATCTCGGCCTTGGGGGCACTATCAGGTAAGATTTCTCGACTCCTCCTGGCTAACTTGCTAAGTTTTCGGCCTAAACCGTCACCTGATTTGCTCTGCGCTCTTGAAAGAGACTGGCCACTTGATGAAGGGGAGGAGCCAGAAGCACTGTTGGCTGGCACATTCAATCTATCAATTGATTGTCCTGGAGGCAGATCTGAGAAGGATATGATGCTAGCTCTTCTTGTTTCTGGGGGTGACCGGCCTCTTGGGTCGTCGGGAGCTAGAACTTCAAAGCTCAGCCGCCCTGATGGTGGCTGTTTGTCATCTGCAGGATTAGTTGCTGCAGAAATAATTGACAATTCGCCCACAGACGCATTGCGGTCAGTATTGGGATCCAAAGTATATTCCCCTGATGTAATGTGACCAGGATCCCCTATGATAGGTGCAATTTGATAGAATAATAGATAGGGCGTTTCCTCTTTCAATGCCTTTTCAATGTCAACAACGGTAATACGATGTGGCGCAAGGTCATCAAAGCGCATCCATGTTTTGCTGCCGTCTTCAATGCCACGACTGCTGTCCGATGTCTCAGGAGGAGCCGTTCCACGGACCAATGCAATGTAATGACCAGAATTAACCGAGTTGCCCCTATGGCAGACCACCGACTGTAGAGACAGTTTGAAATTACCATGAAGGGCCCCAGCTTCCTCCAATTGATCATCCTGAATGAAATGAGGTACACCAATCTCAATGGGAATATCGATCTGGGTGTTGAGGCGAATCGCATCTCCATTTGCGGTCATTGAGTATCGCTTGAGACAAAGACCAAGAATTGGTCGCTTGGATGAAAAATGAGCGGCAACCTGTGCGTCGTTCTTCGGAGCATTATCAGTGTACCAGGCTGCAGTAAGTTAGTGTGATATCAGACGCGAGGCTTAAAAGGTAATCTTACGGATAAGGCTGAAGAACTGCCAAGCGGGCATCATCACTTCTTTTCGAACACTTCCAGCACGTGGTCTGCCGGCAAAATCTTTTGATTCAGTCGTTCCCATAGGCACGAAGCCGCTTTCGGTTCGAGGAATATAGCGTTCTTGTATAATACTCGGGGTTCGGAGTCGGTTTGACGGTCGGAGCGGGGAGTTGAGAATTGGCGAGGAGGATATGGGAGTGATTGGAGAGGAATCCCCATCCAATTCCACCGTTTCAACGTGGATTGCATTGGACTTGCGTATGGAATTGAGCGTTGAGCGACGTGTCATATATCTGCGAACCTCTATTCGGTTGTTGAAATAATCTTCGAGGCACTCCTCAAGGGTGATCTCATCTTTCTGCCCGATGAGATCTGGCGGGATCGCGACCTCGAGGAGTCTTTCGTTGATGAACTTGTGGTCATCGGCAGTGTCTTCTCTCCCGGTGTGGTAGATGTCCATCTTCAAAGTCAGTAAAGGCAACTCAAGCTTCCCAGTGATGAACGAGAAGGCTTCAGAGGCATCTTGCTGATGTAACTCGGCAGCTTCTTCCCATCCACATTCCGCGAGAGTTTCTTGCATCACCTTTGTAATATCTGTGGTGATGAGCTTTCCGGATCTCAACAGATTCACCCAAAGGCGCAGCATGAAACCCAGTTTGTTCAGAGAGAGATCGTCGAATGAATTGTACAACATTGCCTCGAAACTATCGAGACGGGAGAACATGGAGAATAAAGTTGAGTCGAGGTAGCATGTGACGCCTTGTCTGTTCTGGGCACCGAGGAGTTTTGTTCTCGGGTCATAAGGGGTCACAATGCCTTCCGAAGCATCAGACATTGCAAGTAGGAGGTCGCAAGCAGGGTCAACCTCGCCCGCGGCAGAAATGGATCGCAATGCCCAAAGAATCTGGGCATCACGTAGCATGACCCCTTTGGCTTTGATAATGCGTTGACGCACAGTCTTGACCTACATGTCGACCATCAGCGAAATGGAGTCGGCCAGATGGAGATTGAGGCATACCTTCAATTCTTCGGCTTGAGTGTGGGTAGGTCCATGGGCGTCAAATAATCCGTAGAAGTCCGCCGATGAGGTTGGATCCACTGGTCTGGCAACAACATCAGGGCTCGACTGGGTAAATGAGCGAATCAGTATGGATTTGAGAAAGCCCATGAGGAACTTCAAGAAGGGATGGAAGGAATACGGAAAACTCATCACGACTTCTGGTACGAGTGCACATGGATAGGCAGAAATCCTGGAAAGTCGACATTGCCAGGCGTAATAAGACTGAAGAAGGAACACCAAAGGTAGAGACGACTTACGGTGGAAGGGCTCGATTTAACCTCAGGCTGATGGTGGTGTAGATGGGGATGATGATGATGGTTGTCAGTGCCGCGGTTGCGCTTGCCCTCGCGTTTGGAAAGAAAGCGGTTGATGCCACTCATAGTGACGGTCGTTTGCGAAGACAGCGGAAACCGCGCTCGTCGCAGTCGAGAGGTGGATTCGGATGCTGCAATACTAGTCTACCATGTTGAATTGAGGTTATCCTGTTTGGCAAATGTTCCGCGATGACTTATCGGTTTGCCCGTTCCAGAGATCACCGCAAACTTTCTCCCCACTTAAGAGATCATGACGAGAGATGCACAGGTTTGGATAAAGATGTCTAGTGAACCTACATATGTCAACGAAGACTGGGAATACTCTACGTCGAGTAGTAGTATCATCGGTGCCTGAATTGGCAATCTCAGCTCAGCAGGTTGCGTTGAACTCGGGCGTTCTTAGGCCTTTGTTTGCCCCACGAGCACGAGCTCTTGTCCCTCAGATTTCGCCCCCAAACTCCTTCGCGACTCTTCGTCTTCGGAACAACTTTGCGCCACGGATAATCCCCAACAATAGTCGGCCCCCGATTGGTTGAAGTCTGACTGCACGCCAAGACAATTGAGCTTCTGCTGCAGACTGCGGTTGCTCTGTTGAAGTGACGGCGACACCATATTTCACTTCCTTCCAGTCCCAGAAGCTCGATCGATCGCGGGACTCCTTCCCCCCAGTTACAACATGTCGACCCTCACTCGCACGTTTAAAAATCTGTGGAGGATTGGCTTCAAGGAATATGGCCACCAGATGCAATATATTGTGTGCACATCTCCCACCCAAGCTGCGGTCGAGCTTGTCTCTAACTAGCATGCAGGGCGATACAAAATTCGGCGTCCTTGTCGGCACCGACAGATACGGAAACAAGTACTTCGAGAATCTGGAAGAGGATCTGCCTCTACGGACCCGATGGGTGCGCTCCACTGGCAACCCGTTCATCAAGGTCAATCGCTAAGCAGCACACAGGTCGATTATAAGGACAAAGAGTTAGATGCAAGCCATATTGAACCTGGCTGGCACGCCTGGATGAGCTACAACGTCGATAAACCTCCCACTGAGGACAAAATTATGGCCCTTGGTGTACGGCCTTGGGAAAGCAAGACCCCGATTGTCAACAATACCGGGGGAAGGGCAGCATATCGACCCTACTCAACGTACGTTTACCTTCGAATCAATCGCAGATGCTTTACAGCGGGTAACTGACTACTGAACAGGACCAAGCCAAAATACCAAGCATGGGAACCCGTGGCCAAGGAAAGAACTGGTGGTCCATGAATATTTAGTCGTTACCTTCTCTTGACCATAGAAAGATGTTATATCATCAACGGTCTGTACAGATGCATGTATGAGGAGTTTGGGAGGCTTCGCATAAGGGAAGCCAAAATTCAATTTCATTGATTGCAAACAGGGGTATCTCGTGATCGTTCATGGCAACACATTCATATCCCTCCATCAACGCCATCCAGGTCTGATCATGTCCTCAATATTCATCACGCTTTTTGCTTGGGTTGATAGAGTCTTGCGGGCCCCAACTCGGCACGAACTTCATCGAGCTGTTGCAGCCCAATCTTCTCGTTGCCATGTTTCCCACGTTTGCCTTTCACACCCTTGCGCTTGCCACCAGGGTTGGCTTTGTTCCAGTCACCGAGGAAGTCATCCATCATGCCGTCGAAATCCTGCCTCACGGCCCCCTCGTCCGCGAAACTGGCCGTCGATACCTGTGACATTTTCGAGCGGCCGGTCATTCCAGTCATGACAGACATGCCTCCATCCATATCTTCAAACTCGTCATCCTCGTCGAGCGCATACATCTTCTCCACCTGGTCAAAACGCGCATCCAGTAATTGCTGGCCAGATGTGCGAGCGAGAGATGAGGAAGTCATAGAATATGCACTTGGGTTCGTCAGAGCACCCTTGCGCTTCTTCTGTCGAAGTGGTGTCCCATGCAGAGTGTATAACGAAGCTGCCTTATCTTGGACGGCAGATGCTGCAATAATGGAAGCCGCGGCCGGAGCAGGCTGCCTTTTCATAGTGTCTCGCTTAAATTTCGCAAAGTCCCGAAGCCAGTCGCCATCCTCAGCCGCCGCCTGTTCAGCATCCAAGGTATCGGTGCCGGCCTCTGGAGCCGGAACAGGTAAATTCACTTGGGAAGCCTGTTGTTCATGTTGCTCATGTGCCTTTTCTGTCGCGTCGGAATCCCATCCACCGTCGTATTCGTCGAAATTAGCTTCGAAATCGGCAAGTTCGAGTTCACCATAGCGACCTTCCTTCGCCAGAGCACCGAAGATATCTTGATCATCCTCGTTGTCAACGTAGGCGTCATCATCCAAGGCTTCGAGAATCTCGCGGAGTCTAGGATCCATATCAGGTTGAAAGCCTGCGATTTCATCCGGCACTTCCTGTTGATTCTGATATGTCCGGGCTCTGGTAGCAGTGGAGAATGAAGAGAATAAATCGCTGCCAGCCACACTTTGGCCATCATCCAGAGAAACTTCTCGTAGAGCATCCTCCAATTTCATAGGTTTTGAATTGGCTTTGCCCTTGCCTTGGGCTGACGCCGGTGCTGCCTCAATAAAATGTGCCTCTCCGCCACCTGTACCGACATCGCGGAGATGCTGCATGTAGTCATAAGTGGTATCGTCAAAGAAAATTCCATGTTCGGCTGCTTCTCCCTCGTTTTCCCGCATGTGCTCGAAATCCACGCCATCCTCCAAATCTTCTAAGTGCAGACCGGCACGTGTAGTAGTAGCCCTCTCGGCGGAGGATGAAGAACTCGGACCGGAAGTTGGGTAGAGGGCACGCTCACCAGCGGACTCATCGTGAAGAGCAGGGTCATTCTGTGGGCGGTAGAGGAGTTGGAAGGTCTGGGCCTGTTTCTTATCACTGCTTTAATGTTAGGTTCTGTTGGTGGCTGAAGAACATAGGCTGTATCTTTTCATTTAGGTACTTACATCCATCTTTTTCGTGGCATCTTGATTGGTAATATGCGATGAACGATGACTCTTGAGCCGATGAAAAGTCCCGTACAAGAAATGGTGCAGATGGAATTCTTTGGTGGGGGAAAATTATTGCCGTAATTTTGAAAATTGCCCCCCAATGACCAATGCGCATATGACGACGTCCACCGCAGACTCTCCATTCTCGATATTTCAACATTCATTATCAACTGCACTCCCAAATCCTTGAGACTTCTATCAAAGACGATCGCGAACTGCTGTACACTGATAGTGAACCCCCAAAACCCCACCTTATCCAGTCCGTCGAACCTACTGCCCACCATGGTCCTACCAAAGAGCAAGAACAGTGTAGGACTGGGCAACAGTTTGATGAACGATCGTTTTGGTAAAGGCAAGGGCGCAGACAGAAAGAAAGTATCTGCTCAGCAAGGTGTCATCCGAACAGATCATACCACTGGTCAAACCTATGTGACCAACGCAGCCAAGGAGGCGTCATGGGTGAAAATGCGCAGTGTTACCGAACAGGGTGCCCTTGACGAGTTCCTTTCAACGGCTGAATTGGCTGGCACCGATTTTACTGCAGAAAAGATGAACAATGTCAAGATCATTCATACCGACCAGAAGAACCCTTACCTGCTCAGTGCTGCCGAGGAAAGAGGCGCTCGGAGAAAACACGCCCAAAATAAATCAAGACTGACTGTCCCAAGAAGGCCTGCATGGGACGACTCTACCACCCCACAACAGTTGGATGAACGAGAAAAGGCAAGTTTACTGGACTGGAGACGCGGCCTCGCCGAATTACAAGAGAATGACGACCTTCTTATGACCCCGTTCGAGCGAAATATTGAAGTCTGGAGGCAATTATGGCGAGTCATTGAGAGATCAGACTTAATCGTGCAGATTGTCGATGCTCGAAATCCACTACTTTTTCGAAGTGAAGACCTGGAAAAATATGTCACTCATGTCGACCCCAAGAAGCGGAATTTACTTCTTGTCAACAAGGCCGACATGATGACAGAAGAGCAGAGACAAGTCTGGGCAGACTACTTCCAGGCTCAGGGCATCAATTATAAGTTCTTCTCCGCTCACCTGGCCAAGGAGATGAATGAGGAGCGAGATGCCCTGGAAGAGCTTGACGCAAGACAATTGCAGCAACAGATTGACCGCAATCAACCTGAAAAAGCCATGCTTCAGAATGTCCAAGACCTCAATCTAAAGGAAACGGAAGGAGAAGAATGGTCCAGCGAGAACGATGACGAAGTGGAAGGCACGGATGAAGAAGGTGAGGAAGCTGAAGACGAAGCCGAGGGTAATTCAGCGAAATCCGACCCCAAACGTGATGATCGCTCGACCGCGAAAACTCAGATCTTGACCGTCGACGAACTCGAAGCCCTTTTCCTGGAAAATATCGAGGCAGACAGCGCCACCGATCGAAAAACCACCATCGGCTTAGTCGGCTATCCGAACGTGGGAAAGTCGTCAACCATCAACGCTCTTATTGGCGCCAAAAAAGTCAGTGTGTCATCAACACCAGGTAAAACAAAACACTTTCAGACCATTCATCTGTCCGATCGTGTAATTCTCTGTGATTGTCCTGGTCTGGTGTTCCCCAACTTCGCAACAACAAAGGCGGAATTGGTTTGTGCTGGCATCTTACCGATTGATCAGCTCCGCGAGTTCACTGGGCCCGGCGCACTTGTCGCACAGAGAATTCCTCAGCCATTCTTAGAAAATGTTTATGGTATGAAAATTATCACTCGACCAATTGAAGAAGGTGGAACCGGTTTCCCTACGGCGTCCGAGGTTCTTCGATCCTATGCAAAAGCACGAGGCTTCGCAACAACTGGCCATGGACAACCAGACGAGTCTAGGGCCGCAAGATACATTCTCAAGGATTATGTCAATGGCAAACTCCTGTACTGCCACCCCCCACCTCAAGACCCAGAGATCGATGGGAATGAATTCAACGCTGCCCTGTATGATTTTGCACATCTACCAGCTAAAAGACAAGCCTGGCTGATTGCACACAACGATGATGCCAGCGCCATTGATACCATAGAATCACAGCCTTACTTGCCCGGGCGACCACAAGAAACCGGAGCTCGCTCGAAGAATCTCGACAAAGGCTTCTTTGGTCCAGGTTCACGCAATGCGGGGCATATTACACGGCCGTTCAGTCACCAATACACAGAACAGGGGAAACAACAGAAGGAACTCCATGGCCGTAAGGCACGGACAATGGTAGCTCTCGAAACTAACGTCGATCCCGCTACCCTCAAGCTCAACAACAAGAAGCATATGAAAGGCGCCAAAAAGAAGACACGGAATATAAGAGCCGCTAACGATGATGACGATTAGCCATTGGAATGATGGTCCCTCACTTGCAAAGCAGATTGCCAGCGGTGGGGATGATACCACAAGCTTCCATATTAAAAGTTCATAGCACCCCCAATCGTGGAAGACTTGCTTTATATCAGGGTTGTATGTCTGCTGAAAAAGGATCATGAATCATGAGTTTTGTATGCATTTGGTAGGATTTCGTTTCGAAGGCACAAATTGGTGGTATGCAACATTCGGGCTCGCGGCGTTTTATACCCAGCGGATGACTCTAGAGTAGCAAAAATTCTAGCCTAGATATCTTTGTGAATTCTTGTCCCAGAGAAGCTCGTCTTGCACCTAAATCTCGATCGATCTACGCATCTAGATTGATAAGGACATGCAGCCAACGACTCGCAATAGGAGTCAGAGTTCATATAATCACCTGACCATCTTCGTTAAATACTCGACCCGTTGACACAACTATTATGGTAGAGGTTCTCAGCTAGAATCTTTCCACATCACCTTTTGGTGATTGACCATCTTGTATGGTTCTTTCCTGGGCTATCGGTGTACCTGAATACTAACAAGTCTGCATTTACTTGATCTTTGAGTACAGTAGATGACAGGGCAAGAAATTGGTTAGCGATTGAGGAATTCTTGACAATGCCCTGGAAGACCAGGGTGAATACACTTTTTGTCTCTTCTAAATGTCACGCTCTATTGTATCGGATTCCAAGTTTAACATGCCATATGCAAAAATCCCTACCACGGGGCATCTTCATTGGTAGCCAGGTATCGCTTCTCAGGATGGGCCGCGATCCAGCTAAGAATGTCATGCGCCGATTCACGAGTACCCTCGTGGTCGTAATAAGAAGTCAGTCGAAACCCGTAAATCAAGCCATCCACACCAGCGTCGTCCAGCATCTTCTCCGCATACCAACGATGGCCAGCCAGGGTCGTCCAGCCCCAGACTTTCCCGAAACCATGCGACTCCACAGCTTGTCGAAGCTCCGTGCAAGTGTAGTAGCTGTCTTCATTGCAATTTCCAAAGAGAAATGACAGGACCCAGCTCCCGTACGAGATGACTCGTTTGTTCTTGGGAATGCCAGCCGAAGTGTACGCCTCCAGCACTTCGTTCGCCTTGCCGTTGAGATTGATGACTTCGTTGCTGCTCTGCCTATCCAGCAACCAGTCATACGCACGACTCTTGGAGTCATAGAAGCCATATTGGACCCGAACGCCCACGGGCTCCAGGATCTGTCGCGCGAGATCTTGTAGGCCTGCAATGGAGCAGTTTCTGGTCTGTAGTGTCGATGGGTCGCATCGATCAGGCGTCTTGATGTCTAACCACACGAAGGTTATCGTTTTCCCATCTTTCCGCTGCTCCGCGACGGCCTCGAAGATCGTTCGCACCGTGTCTCCACGTGTGAAAGGTGTGTCGTCGTGGTCGGCGTACCATTCTTGCTTCGTGGCTGAAACGTCCAGCTCGATCGCATTTGCGCCGTGGGAGAGGGCATCGTGAATACCTTGGGTGGTAAGGACGCGGTGAGCAATCAGATAAAATGGCCGAGGACCATTGTTCTGATTGCCCAACATATTCACATTTCCAGAGTCGCCCAATAATGTCTGCTGATTAGACAGAGCTTGATCTGACACTGGTGCCAAGGAAGCCACTCGTGGCAGATGTCCCATTATCGAGACTATAAACAACCAAACGACGCCGAAGGTTGAGATTAACAGCATTGTTCTGAATTATCTGGGTCGGTTTGAATCCTCTGTTGTGTTAGAGTGCAAGCTGCTGTCGCAAGGTTGTACAAGGTCATGTCCATCAAGACGGCCTTGTACCCCAGATATAATACTCCATCACTGCGCCAGTTGATGCGAGGCTATTGATCTCACATTGACGTAGGCCACAGCAATGCCACCACAAGCTCTGAGCGGAAACTATAACATCGATATAATCACTGTTGCAATGGGGAGGGCGAAGTCCAGACCCCGGAGCACAGACCAGTAGAGGGTAACGCTCGTATCTCGTATCTCGCTCCACGAAACTCTAAGTGCGAAACGGCTATTTTGGGGATTTGGCATTATGGCAACCTGCCCAAACAATATGCCATAGCAACCATACGCTGAAGACGAAGATGATATGAGAAGAACAAGGGGGCATTCACCAACTCGAAGGTGCTCACATCCAAAATGTCGCAATGCTAGGTGAGTTATTTGCTCATCCTTTGTCCTTTTGCTCTCCCGCGCTAGGCAATTAGCCACCTATGCGGACGTGAGGGAGCGGGACAACTCAAGTCATACAGTTGTCTTAATTCCCAAGCAATTGATATGGGCATTTGCTTGCTGCCGGGGCTTACCTGGCTATCTGGAAAACAAACCCAGGGTATTTAACATCAGGTTGTGAGGAATGTGGGAATACGGCTTCCTCAGAATAGCCTTACCTTTGATCTTGACCAACCCCGGACACTCCATAGATTGGAGATTCCGACCGAAGAAAACAGAGAAGTCAATTCTCGATGCAATTTGAAGACTGAAGTATAGGTCAGAAGAGAGATCCTACACTTCTGCTGAATCACTATCATATCCATTGCATACAACTATCGCAGAGATCTGATATGGATAGCAACTTGCGGCCGCCAAACTCCGAAATGATCAGTGGGCAACTCAATCTCATTGTCAGATGCTTGGTTCAACGTTGTCTCACTGCCATCACAGTGAATGAGAAATACGATCTTGATTAACACAATTTTCCTACTGAAGAACTCGAAACAGTTTGTGCCCCATTCACTGCTGGCATTTCCTCACAATCGAGTAGGAGTAGTTCGCCGAGCTCGATCGCTCAATTCCCTTTTCTCGATATCTAGCTCACTCACACGGCGCCGCAAGGCCTCGAGATCGCCCACCAGAGTCTCGTTGCGAGCCTTAATCTCTCGCAGCTCCTGGCGGGTCTCCATCAATTCTTGCCTCTTCTGTTGGAGGGTGATCCTCTCAGAACGATCTTCGAACCGCGCAGTGCTTGTCCGAATCTCTTGATTGGATCTTCGGGTCGCTCTGGCTGTATTCTGACAGGTCGCGTTGGTCTGCTGATATTTTATTAGCGAAAGTGTGATTTTCATCGTGTTACCGCGAATCCTCAAGGGACAGGCAACGATAGACGCAGCTTAGAGACAACTGCCACGAACGTTCGGTCGTGGTTCTCCCTCATCGGGAACCTACACGTGCATTCGCTGATCCGTTTTCCCGGCGCTCAGCGTTGCGCGTGCCTGTCGAGTCATCGATTCCTTCCCCGCTGGGTCGTTGTTGGTCCGACGGTGACATCTTCAGATACGGCAGACAGATCACACAAATCACGCAACTCCTAGAGACAGTCGCGAAGTCTCACACGTACGTGACACTCGATATTGACAGCAGATTATGGAAATAGTAGAGGGCTATGGTTGACGGAGATTTGAGTGCTCCTTGACAAACACAGAGAAGGAGGAAATTCTGGGCGAAGTGGGGGACCCTGAGAGGGTTTTGACTTAAGCTAGTGCTTGCAGTTTCTGCATTTGACCCTTGCATGCATGATTGGTTTCGACTGGGGCTTTGGAAAGGGACCATCAAAGGAGCGTTATTGTACCCTATTTTGATGCCTAAGCATTATGATAAGCGGCCATTAGCCATCGTATGCATGCTTCCATTACAATTCACTATGGATTTCGGTCTTCTAAGGAGGGTGTGACTGGGCGTCGAAGGCGAGGCTCTCAAGATGAAGCAGTACTTGTCTAAATCCACCACCATAAAATCACCGTTTGACCCGAGTCTGCGTATGGTAACAGCAACGCCCCAGCTATTGCCAGTAAATGCGATTTTTGCGATAAAACTCTACAAGACCTCATTTAAGCACAGTCTCGGAACGTGCTGAGACAGTACCGACCTAACAAAGAATCTACACATCATTTACGCAGTGCTGACTGAATGGATAAGCGCTTCCCCCGTCCTCGTACCATTGCTCGCAAACACTCACTCGTGACATCTCCTCCGCAGAGTCATCCCATGAGTAAGAACTCAGTGTCGGGCTCATAGCTTTGAGCGCGCGGTTTTCATCTTCAAGTTGTGCTACCCGGGCCTCGAGAACTTTCCACTGCTGGAGCAACACTGAATTGTGTTGCCTAGCTTCATCCAGCTTTTCTCGATTCTTTTCCAATTCAGCGGTCACTGTGCGGATGGCATTCTCCTTTCTGGCTCGATATCTTCTCTGGTCTTCTCGGTTCTGCTCTCGACGCCGCTGTTGAAGTATGAGCGACTGCAATTTTCAGTGGTTGAGCGAAAGGTTTTTGTCAAGACTTACCATCGTTCTTTGGACCTCCTCGCTCTTGGCTGAGGCTTTATCCGTTTCCCTGTTACTCCGTGCTCTACTACTGTCGGTAGAGAGAGCAACAAAGGAAGTGACGTTTGAACCAATGTTCCCATATATGTGCTGTGGTGAGAATGATGCATTGTTCATGGTTGTATCCCATGTTTGCCCCCATGAACCGTTCTAGAAACAAGAAGTTAAAATCTGGCTGATCTTCAAAGCACAAGGGCCAATACATTTTGAAAAGGGATATACTCTCCCTGTGAAAGATTCTGCCCCGAATATGAGATTGAGAAATCATTCTCACTTGCATATTGTATATTCTCTGCTACGTTCGACGGTTCCATCTTTCTGTGTTGCTTGTTTTGGACGATAAGTATGCGAAGTTCTCATGTGAAACCGAGCGATAGTTGAGTAAGTAGATCAGAGCATTGATTTTGAGGAGAATGAGAGCCTTTTAAATCTCGAGATCCCCGTACTATTCATATGAGGCCACATTCTGTATCTTGATGACTGCTCGGTCTCCACAGGGCTTGAGCACCCTGGTCGCAATTTGTATAAGCGATTCCAATCAACCGCTCTGACTTTGCTTCCCGAAGCAGTTTAGCTCAATAATATGCAAATGCTTCAGATTGACCAATTGACAGGCTTGAGCATCGCCGAAGGTCATGTTGGTAGAACGCCATCGGGCTTGGCGCGTCAAGTACCGAGTAGAGTGGAACCTATTCGGAGCTCACGTGGAGACTCACCCCGACCATGCCGCTCTTACACGTATAAACATACTGGGTCTTGGCGCCAACGAGCCAGGCTAGCTTAAGTACCTACTTCGTAGTTCCAGTCCTTGATAGAAGGGTCTTACGCTCGTCGATCCTCCTAGGCTCCTACACCACGAGTAGACACACCTCGCACTACAGGTAATCAGAGAGAAACACCAGGCTTTAGTACTTAGGTAGTCTTGGCTTTATATCTTTTAGTCTGTATAAGATCTTGGCAAGGTGAAAATCTCGCAAACTCTGATCTATTAGGGACATTTCTCTACTTTCTCTACCACTTTTTTTTATCCTCATTCCAAATTTACTTCACCATCACTATGTCCATCACAGCTGTAATCCACTCGTCCCGCCAACATGTCTGTCGTCACTCAAAGAGAAACCAGCAGACACACTCACACAGTCATCTTCCTCCACGGCCGAGACAGTGACGCCCAAGAATTTGCAGACGAGTTCTTCGAGAGCGAGGCATCCGAGCCTGCTGGGAGACCACGCACCCTTCCAGATCTGTTTCCAGGTGTCAGATGGGTGTTTCCCACAGCACCAGCGCTTTACTCGAAACGCTTCGATACCACGATATCGCAATGGTTTGATATATGGTCAGTCGAAGATCCCGAGCAGCAAGTCGAAATCCAAATGGATGGATTGAAACAGAGTGTTGCCGCCCTGCTGGAGGTGATAAGAGCCGAAGAAATCCATGTGCCTCGACAAAATATCTTTCTAGGAGGTATCAGCCAGGGATTCGCGACAGCGTTATCCACCTTCTTCGCAAGCGGCCAAGGGTTCGCGGGCCTAGTTGGCCTATGTAGCTGGATGCCTTTTGCCAACCTTCTCGAAGATCTTGGAGCATCTAGCGCCAATGACGAACAGCTTTCCAATGCAGTTCACAGGCTTTACTCCGGTCAGCAGTCCCCAGAAGAATCACCACCGCCATTCCTCCGGTCTACCCCCATCTTTCTCGGCCACTCAGTCGATGACGACACTGTGCCCATTAGAAACGGAAGGCGAATGCGGGATGTCCTAGTGCGTTCCTTACAACTGAACGCTCAGTTACACGAGTACGCGGATGGTGGTCATTGGGTGAACGAGCCTCAAGGTGTGGATGACATTGTGGAATTCCTGAATTTCACCATGTGAAACCTGGGAATCTCTGATGATGAAATAATACACGTCGAATCAACCATCGACCTCTGCTTGTCTAATGATGCCAAGAGATGATAATACAGCCAACCAAAGTCAAGCACAGCGTACTGCTAGTATTTTCTGGGTTTTAGAAGTCGACTAAGTGCCGGCGTCCCTACAACCAAAACTGACACAGTTTCTCAACTACCAGACTATCTCAATGACCCAACGCTGGCATTTCCAGGCTTTAATACAAGCGACTTATGCTGATATCACGCTGGGAAGTATTGATTTTAATGAGACTGCATTGCAAGAGACTCGCAGCCAAAATCATAAACAAAACTGACGTCTCCTGTTGTGGAGGACGCGTCCTTTGTGGGTAAGGGTAAGGGTTCAGTGGGTAGCAGGATCGACCCATTCCCCATCAACGCTATCGATCAAATACAGCGACACAGATTTGATTGTCACTTTACTGTGGTAAACTTGAATGGGTTCTTTGTTGATTTGCTCAATTTCAGATCATGTGGGTATTGTAAAGAAGGACCCTTACTTCTGCAAAAGCCAACGATCAACCAGACTGTCTGTGATCTCCAGCCTCTTTCAAGTATTCAGATCCGAATGCTGTGCATCGAAATGGCGGTAATACCAGTAGAAATACGCAGTTTGAATAAGATTTGCCACTCCAGGAACGGCCCAGACCCAGATCAGATAGGGATCAGAGATGGCAGGAGCACAAGCAGCGCTTACTGCGTTGTTGAATATTCCAACAAACATGAGTGCGGCAAGTGTTATAGATTTCATGTGCTCCGGGCTCTGGATGTATGCGATTTCGTAGGCTGCAGTCCAGGCGAACAGTTGGGAAAGTGCGTTGATGATAAAGATTGGAGATTGCACCCACACAGATATATGTGACACTCCCGTTCCAGTCTCGCAGCCAGTAGCATGATAACCACAAGGAGAGGTGCGGTAAATCTTCCACTGCAGAAGAGCACCGTAAAGCGAAGACACCGAGACAAGGAGAAATCCGACTGTCATTCGAGCGACACGTCCAAATCTAATACCATGACTCCGAAGAAAGGGGAATAGCCCGTATACCAGAATGGGCATGAAGACCACCGTGGTAATGGGATTCAAGTTCCACAAGAGATCATTGGGTACTCCATCTGTGGAAAGGCTTGAAGCTTGACTTGATGTTATCACTCCAATGCCTCCACCTGCAAGGCAGTAGATGATGAAAAAGAAGAACATTTTGCATGCCGCCCAATTCTCCTTGACCTTCTCCACGTAACCATCATCCCACGTCAGGGACTTCTCTTGGAGAATAATCCGGTCTCTCGCAGGAAGTACTGAAGGCTTAGCAGCATCCCAAGCATCGGAATAGGTAAACAATCGCCATTTCTCACGTTTCAGCACGATCCAGAGAATCCTGAACGCTTGGGATAGCTGTTTACCGTCCGGTCTGACCTTTATTGCTCTACGATAGATCACAAGGAGTATCAATGGGAGAAAGAACGTTATAGCACAAGGTACTGTAAAGGAAAGCCAGAACCCGATTCTCTTCTCCGCCCATGTGGTCCCGATGGCCAGAAATGGGCCAATGTTGCCCAGACCGTAGAACAGCCACTGGATTCGTGAGAGGGTCTGAGTTCGACTCACGATGACATATTCATCGCTATGGAGCCTTTTCACGTAGTCATGCTGCACAGGGTACTGATCCATGATGATGGGGCTGACGACAGGTCCGTAGAGTGCTACAAAGGACATCAGCGAATTCTCCAAGTGGTGCAGGTATGAACTCACGAATAGCCAATAATGCCTTCAGACAATAACCCAGCATAAAGGGAGCAACACTGTTGCCAGCACGGAGGACGGCGGGTATTCCGCTTACCACGAGCAGCACCATGTAGATACAACTAATTCCTGTCGCAAGTGCAAGCACTCGAAAGCGACCGATCTTTGCATCCGCCAACCAGGCACCGAACAACCTTAAAAACGGAGTGAGTAATCTAATCGAGACAGATATCGCGTTTGCCTTTCGCAGTCCGAGACCAAGGGCTCCGGGAGTTTGCTGGGTTCCATGCGGTGTCGCTCCGGTTCCATTACCGCCCTTTGGGAGTGGGAATTGAATAAAATTGTATGTGACAGCACCAGCACCAGCACTTGCTCCCGACTGAATGCAGACAAACACACAAAGAGCATATGCAGACCAAGGGATCGTATCGGAAACTTCTCGGAGATGACGACGCTCCTCGTCAGTGGGCAGACGATATTCTGCGTCTTCAGAATTTGAAATAGAGATTTGGCCTGGTGCAGAGACTGTTAGGCACTTGAAGATCCATATAGAGGTCTAACCTTCGCAACGTACTCCGAAATTTCTCAGGCACCGAGCGGATTTGCTCTCCTGACATCTTGTAGTAATGCGAAAGCGAATCCCTGGATGACACTGAGATTTGGCTGTTCGTTGCAAGGAAAGAAACTGACAACAGCTGTCCGACCTCAAATCTAGCGCTTCTACATCCCACTGTTTGGGTCAACGTAGAACAGAGGAAACAGATTTGGGAGGCAGGATGGAAATGCCGACAACACAAAGAGACCCAGGCACATTCGATGCACGGTTACACGTTGCCACAGATCTGTGAGAACGGTGGTAGCTTCCTCTCGGTAAGACTTCGACAATCGGTCTGAATGCGCCGTCAAAATCTTGTCTGATCGTATATGTCGTACGAGTACGACTTTTCGCAGCCTCCATGATAGTCAACTCCGGGAACTTCTCTCACTGGTTGAGAGGCACTCCAGAAAGTCGTAACGGCAAACATAGCGCCTGCCAGAATAGTATGCAACCCGCGAGATAGCAGCGGGTATTTGTACAGTCATCATTTTGAGCGCCTCCTGGCCGTGAAAGCGACCGCATTCGGAAGGTGTACAGGTCAATTAGTGCGAAGGAGTTCTCGTGGCCGAAGTGGATCCACGGAGACCCACTCGAGATTGTGCTGCTCAAGCCCAACCAAGGCAGCAAACAGCAGATGAGCAAGCGTATGAGGTTGGGTTTCTGACCTTTTACTGAATTCGGCGCGTCCACAGTTCAGATCCTTGATTGTGCCATTGCATTCATGAAGAGCCACGGATTGCGCAAGCACAGGCACCCAGCCAATTGTTTCTTACAGTAAGTGGTTCAAGTTTACGCAGTCAAATTTCAATTCACTCAGCGTCGAGCATTTCAGTCTTGCATGTTGTCGTAATGATGCGAGAGCAACTCTCCTCGACACACTTTCGTTATCCATACTACATGTGAGAAAATTGTCGAAGAAGTGAACCCTGTTGAGCAACCTGAGAAAACCTCGGTCAAGGACGCGAATGTCTCAATCATCTTTTGTTCCTTCACTGGTCTGGGTGGATGGTGATCAGACCCAATCATCGAAGGCAAACATCCGCAGCCATATTGTGAGAGAAGGCTATCGGAAAAAGAAGCTCCAACGAAGAGCAAGACTCTCAACTGTGACCACGCAAGAGGAGGTGCTCTTGCCTGGAGAGGGTAGCAAGGCCAGTGATTTCAATTCGCAAGTATTCAAGCCGGTCGAGACGTATCCGCTGCCAGCCTGGGTGTCTTTCAAGCTCCAGGACAGCCTCTCAACATATCAACGCGATCTTTTCAACTGCCTACCACTGCGTCTCGACCCTGTTGGTCAATCTGAGCTATATAGGCAGATGTTCAACGGCTTCACTGTCGCCACGAAGAGGTATAATAATTATCGTTACCGATTCACGAAGAAATACGGCTGCGATCCTTGGCAGCTAACAGCTGAACTCGCTTTCCAGGAGCCACTCGCATTTCGAGTATTGGCAGCGTATGCCATACGAGCAGCGGCAGCAATCCGAATGGGCAAGGGCCGCATCTGTAGCGCTGATACGGATGAATTGGAACTCGTCACCCTGCACGCAGACATCATCGGAACCATCGTCAAGCGCCTGAAATCACCCGAGAGACAACCAGAGGAGATTCTCAATGCCTTGTTGAGCCTGATTGCCCGGACTGCCACTGCCAACCTGCCAGCATGGAAGAAGACGTACGCTTCCCACTTCCGTGGATTTCGATCGTTGTTCTTCCTGCGGCCGAACCCATGGCAAATCGAAAGTCGGGCTTTCGAACTGCGTCTCATCATATTTGAAACCTGCTACAGTGATGGTTGCTGGAGCTTTGTATGTCCACCAGCCGACTTTTCCACTCGACTGTCGGAGTTCACGAAATCTATGGAAAGCTTGGAGATATTCGTGGTCATGAGGTCCAGAAGTGACAAGATATCGGGTAAGGGAGACCGAGCGCCCACGTCGTCGCAGCAATACGGCCGCATAAACAGGAACAGTCTCATATTTAGGTTCCTGTCTAAAGACGTCCCGATGGTAAGGGTTGTGAATGGCTTCCATGATGAGTCTCTTGCACAGATGTCAGTGTTGCTGTTGCTCGCGATGACGCTGCTCGAGTATTCGGGAGACCGACGCAGGACCAAAGCCTTTCTCACTTACCTAGAGTCAGAGGTACGGGATCGTGGCTTGGAGTATAATGAATCGCAATGGTGTCTGTTCTGGGTCATGTTTCTTACTCGTGACCCGCCCATCTACACATACAGTCAAGAGCGAGTGTGGAAAGTGTTACGTTACATGAACGTTGTCAAAGCCATCAGTGTGAGCCAAAGGGCACGATTGAAAGCATTTCTTCTCCATGCAATTGGTGCCGAGGCCGAAAATGAGACTTCCGGATCATTTGAGGCCATGTCAGCCGCAGCAAACTTTGATATTCAGAGTTTGGTCGCAGAGCTTCAAGCGGGCCCCTTTGCATGTCACATGTGTGGTAGCAGCGCAATCTTTGAGGGTGCTCACCTTCATGACTCTGTTTGCAACGATCCATACTGCCACAGCTGCCCGTGCCCCGGGAAACGAAAGGCAGCTCATAGTAATTCAAACCAGGCAAAATTGTGATTATACTGCAGTTGGTCGCGGAGGGATCTGCCTAAAATGCTGAATGTATGTCGTAAGTGTTCAACTTTAGTAAGAAAAGTTACTCTTAGCATTTTCAGCTTTTCTATCTCAGGAATGCCATGGTGAACGTGGTACTTGCAACCCGAGCTCCCGGAAGCAAGAGTACCATGCGTCTATAATTCTCCAAATGCCACCGTTTTATCTTCGTCTTGAGCTGGAGCAAACTATGCACGAATGCCGAATCATGAGGCTCTGAGCTGGTATCTCTGGGCTCTCCAACAGCAGATTGAACATCTGAAAAGCTCGTCCGAGCCAGTCAGCCCTAGTCAGCTGTTTTGGAAGCTCGAACATGAGAGATGGAAAAGGGTCACCAAGCCCTTCAATGAAGAAAATGAAAATGCGAGAATAATGATAATGCTCGGTTCATACTTGAGTTTCATACGATACATACTGTTCGATGTGATATACATCGACAACTAATGGTGCATCATTCGTCAGGCAACTGCCATGTGAGATGCTTGGCAGGCGGAGTGGCATCCTCAACAAATACGAGAGGCAAACCCCTCCGATCGGGAGTGCATGATTGAAGGGTAGACTCGATGGTCCTATCCCCAGCTTCGGGAAGGGAGGTAGGCGTCGGAGGAGTGGTGGGTATGTCACACCCTGATAGTACAGGTGGACTTGTGCTGGGTCTTTCAATAAGACTGGGGTCAAATTGGGGATCTCCAAGTCGTTCATCATCCGCACGCCCTTGCTCATCGTCAGAAGTCTCTGCAAAGCTGACCGGTGTGGATGGTGTATATAAGTCCGCTGGACTGATTGGCCCATCAATGGAATCTTCTGACGATAGACGGCGATGGCCTTTGAGAATACCCTGGCGCTTGCCACTTCGTTCGGAGTTGACCCTTGTTAAAGGTGGGCTCTGTGTGGGCGTATCGATGGAAGATTGATTGAGCCAACGAGTACTTGGCGACCTTGAAAGGACATTCTGTAGAAGAGGTAATTCTAGGTACCTATTCACATTTCCCTTCGAAAATAGAACAAACCCTAAGCATACTAAAATTAAGATCATCTGTAACGTAGACATGCGCTTCTGGAAGATAACTTCGTCCGCTAGCACACCGAGGCGGGCATTGATTGCAAGATTTTCACGCTGGTATCGTTCTCGTTGTAACTCCAGCTCGATCACGGTGGACTGCCACAATTGATCATATTGTAAACGAAATTCTCGGAGCTCGTTGAGTACTGTGTTATTCAAGTAATCCAGGAACAACGTGGTCTTCGCCAATTGCCGTTGCTCAACTTTCAGAAATGCATCTCTCAGTGAACGAGATTGATCTTCAATATACTGAAGAGATAATGAGGAATTTGATTCAAGCATTTGTAAACGTTTTTGGACCGATTTGAAAAAAGACTCTTGCATGGTTGGAACTGCAGGATATGCTTGAGTTTGTGATGATGACCCTTTGGTATTGTTGACAATGGGTGTAGTTGAAGTGTTTTTGATAGATGTGGAATTCGTTGCCTGTGAGCTGGCCTTTGAAGAGGAGGATGTCGATGTAGTTACGTTGCTAGATGCGGTTCTAGGGGTCGGACTTCTGATAGAAGTCGTGGAATCAGACCTCGAGCTCGATTCGCCTGTTCTTGATCTAAGATCGCCCCGGACATTCGACTCAGTCATTTCATCGCGTTGAACAGGATCTGTGGTTGAAGAGATCTCTGCAAGATCACACGTTTCCGTTGCGTAACTTTGTTGAGCGAGACTGCCAACAAATGTTGAGTGATTTGAGGCCGACGTGGGTTCATAAACGGGAGGAATCACTGAGCCAGTATCGATGTCGCTCTCGGGTGTTGAGGAAGGAGATGGAGTTTGCGAATTCTCCACCTCCACAGCGTCCTGCTTGCCCGTGTTCTTGAACGAGCGTGACCCATTTTCGCTCAACACAACTTCGGCAATAATATCCGATACCTCAGCATCGACAAGGGGAACGTTCTGTTCCTGAGTCATGGTCGCTTCGTCATCGACTTCGTTCTGTAAGGACTCCAGATCGTGCTTATATTCCTCCAGCATGGTTGCGCCATGCACCCTGACAAGACTGAGCGGACAATAGAATTCGTTTCCATAGTGAGTCAAGAACTCAATGCGTACGTAGCGTGCCCATATGACAGAATTTTCAATCAGGAAAGCTTGAATTTCACGACTATTGCGCGCCTCAAAAATGCCCAAGGATTTCCATTTGTCAATCTTGATGGGATACTTATCGGAGACACTAACTTTGAAGGTCCTGAAGCTTGAGCTGAAGAACTCGAAATTAGCGACCACAATTGTGTCAATAGCAATGTCATCACACAGCTCAAAGACGATGAATTTGTCCTTTGCAGAGCAGACGTTCAGCATGTAAGCATCTTTGTTCTCGCCAAGGATGGCCTTTGGGTTTTTGGCTTCAGGATTTGCATTCTTGTGATCAGCTCCGCAATCGAATGAGGCATAGTTGGACCTCTCTTTGGATGTCGTCCCGGCATCCTTACCTCTCAAGCCCACTTTCGGTGCGCGGCCAGGGTCCATCCCGTACACTGAATCCGAGACTGGTTGCGGAGGGCGTGGTTGAGGCTGACCTTCGGGCTCAAGACCGTCGGAAACCAGACCAGAAAAATCGATGTCTATCTCTGCGTCGTCACCAAGTGCGTCCAGAGAATTTTGGTCAATATTGGATCGCTTTTTTGTTCCTCCATGATCACCTCTTGCTCGGGTTCCAATGTTATTTGATTGTCCCAACTTTTCAAGATTTTCTCGCTTCCAGTCTTCAAAAGATAGGAACTTGCTATCCTCGAGAGGTGACACATCATCCACCGCAACGTCAACGCCTCCAGCGGAAGGGGTTTCAGTACTCTTGACACTTGATGTGCTCTGTGCTTGGCTTGGGGAATTGCTTGTCGGAGAGATCTGAGGTGTCACTTCTTGAGTCTGTATCTGTGCAGAAGATCGGTGGGCCTGGTCGTCCTTGGAGAGGTGTTCACCAGAGAATGTGGCTGATGCCGTGGACTCGGTGGTGGAATCGCCTGCGTTCGGGGAAGTTGTGGGGCTGGGCTTCCAAGATGAGGTCAGGCACTGTTGAGGCAAACTGTGCGTAATATAATTCACCGTGCGGTAGGGGCATGTTGGCGCTGAAGGCGTTGTACTTGAACTTGCCACAAGGGCCGAAACAAGGAGAAAGTGTAGAATGAGCGAAATCGTCGAAAACACCCTCATTGCGGCGGGCGGGTTTTCGTTGTTCTAGACCAAGACATTGGTAAAGGAGTCAATTCGATGGGGAGTGCCTCAAGCACAGTATTGACTACAGATTCGTTTCCTCATAGCGGTGAGCTGGTGCGCAAACAACGCTGAAGAGGTAATGTTGTTTGGTGGAGAAGGACAAGCCGACCGGAGTCCACTTGAATAACCGAGGCGCCAAGACTATCAGCGGACTCGCAGCGCCGTCCTCAGCCTTTCTCAGCCTTGCTCAGCCTTGCCACCCGCAACCGTTCTACCTCATGAATTAGATACTCGTACCTAGGTAGACTTACTCCCCAGAGCAGAAAATGCAAAAGCTCGATTCAAGCCTATGGGTGAATCGGCGGCAAGGAGTTTCGGATGATGCTCTGCACTTTGAAGGAACACAAATAAATGATGACAATCTAAGCATGGCGGCCTTCCACAATAGTGGGAACACCCAATTCAGGTCAGACCAAACCAAACAAGACCACGTTCTACGGCAATCAATACCTTTGAGGAATTGAGCGTGGAGATGAAACTCTGATATTTCAATCTCAGCAAGAGCATGCCTTGGACTAGGGTGCAAATACGAGGCGTCACGGCTAGATTACCGCTAAGAGCCAAGCCTCAATCAAAGCCAAAGGATCCTTCAGGCGGCTTCATATCCTCTTTCGTGTCAAATGCGAGTACGAGCCTCAGGGACACGCCTCAGAAACAACCTCAATTCTTGCACAGGGGCATGGAATACGCTATGCCAGGTCCGGCATGCGGTTAAGCTGTGCTTGGCTGCACGATAGGATGAGGAACTCAATCCCCGTTGATGTCGTACTCTGATGAGGTGCGTTGCAACTTGCCCGTATTTTGTTCCTGCTTGTCAATCCGCTTGAGTGGTTGCCTAGCCGTACTTTTATGCATCGTTTTATCGAAACCTGAGATTCAATCGATTGTCTTCAGAGAGGTCAAGTGAGGAAGGATTTCTTCCTCTAACCCAACACCAGATGTCAACTAAGGATGTTCTCCAAGGTCAGTCCCTCAACAAGCGATCAAAAGGTGCAGAAAACCTCTCGAGCGTGTCTCTTGACTCAAATCAACAACCTCGAGCTACGAGAGGCAAGCAGAAACCACCGAAGAACCAGAATCGGCGGAGTCATACCAAATCTAGGCAAGGCTGCTTTACATGCAAATTACGCAAGATCAAGTGCGATGAAGGCCACCCATCTTGTTCGCATTGTCTTTATAGGGGTAACACCTGCATTTACCCGCCGCGCAATGCAGATGCTCGTGCAGGTGCAAGCGCGGGTCGGCTGCCACCAAATCCGGGACGAACTTTTGTTCCCTTCCGGCCTGAAGTTGAGCTTCTAGCACCACCATCCCAGAAGTTGGGCTTTACCGCACAGGAATTGAGATTCTTTCACTACTTCCTAACTTCCATGAAGCATCCATTGCCGCTTGGGAATCGTTCAGTCTGGATTCAAGAGATACCACAGATCTCGCATGAATACCCTTTCTTGATGCACGCCATCCTTGCCCTTGGAGCCTCAGAAATGGAGCGCGCAAACTTGCATCTGGCAGCGCCTTCTAATGTATTGAAGCATCGGGGCCGTGCGATAGCAGGTTTGAACAGGGCCCTGGACGACTCGAACTCATGGAGTACTTATGGCCACCCTGATGCCGTGTTAGCAACGTGTTATGCACTGATATACCAATCGTCGCGCATTTCGGATGCTATGAAAGACTTCTCGGTACTCGTCCAGGGCTGTGCCTTGATCACAAACAAAATCCAACAATCAAGATTGAAGACGGTCATGAATGTCAGCCCGGACTGGCCACGCCACCAAATCGAACCGGCATTGCAGGTTATTCAAGCAAATCTGCATGAGCACCATATGGTGCTGGTCAAAACAGGTCTAGAATGCCTTCAGGAGATCCAAGAAACCACAACTCTATCAGAAGAACTACTCTTTTTCAAGGCATGCTTTGTGACCCTGGAACAATTCTACATGTCGCCAGTAGAGGGCTACACATTCTCCATCACTCGTTATAGTGCGTGGTACCGTCTGGCTGGCGGTATGTTGGAAGCTCTACGCGATCCAGACAATTGGACTGTTCTCGTTCTTGTTGCCTCTTTCATGGCAAACATGATACTGCTCAAAGTATTGATACCGATTCATGCATGGCCAGACGGTAAAGATCGACTCCCTTTCTGCACACTTCGTCGGATGATGCTCTGGATTGAGGCAATAGACGAACATGTGGAGAAATCTCGCCGCCGACATATTACGTGGGCAAGAGACATAGTGAGCCTAGTGCCGATGGCGGCACCCCAAGTACACTACAACGATTCGAGGGTCGATCAAGGCGCATCAAGGATCGATCTTCTGCACGAGCTCCCGAGCAGGTGATTTCTCTCAACTTCTCCCCTCTTGTTCTTCATTCTCAGGCCCAAACTGACTGCTATCTGTCCCCAGTGCACATATGGTTCTCGGCGAAGTCCTGCGACTAGGCTCTGAAGTGACAGCATGGTTCGAGGAATTCGTTTCGGACATGTACCAGACCTCGCAGAAAGTAATACAGCCAACTGGAGGCATTCATGCCATCCCCGCCCCGTCGATGCTTGTACCACCATCAAATCTGCCATCGGCCTACGGTTCACCACCAGCAATGCAAAATTTATTGCAACCCCTTGAATTCCCAAATGCAGCTCAGTTGCTGACGACGAACACCATGGACCACGGGGGAGATGAAGCCTACGGAAATCCTCCCCCCGGTCTCTCGGCAATGGACTCTGACACTTTCCCGTTTGAAATCTTTTCCGAGTTGGACGCAGTAAGGAATGTAGGGCAGAGAACGACTTATCATCTGGACAACATCAATGATGACAACGAGATATTCGATATATTTCATGACTAAACTGCCTATCGCTATCTTTTGAAGTATACTGAAACAGACTCAAATTGTACGCCATTTGAAGTGGCGTTGCTCACTCCAGGTCTCAAGTTTTCCGTGCAAGCACATTGATTTCCTACAACTTGGCCTTAAATTTCTCAGCACCGAGCTCCTTCTTCTCGACACCTAGTTGTCTGAACAATTGTTCGGTCTTGCCCTGTTGGCGAGCAATTCTAGCAGTAACATCTGCGGCGCGCTGCTTATTCTCACGCTTGCCGAGCTGCTGCAGATGAGCCTCATCGGGCCCATCGGCAATGCGTAGAGTTCGGAGATGGGCCCACATGCTGGCCAATGGGGTGTCCTGGCAGACACCCATGGCTCCGTGGACTTGGATGGCGCGATCGATGACTTCGAGCGCGACTTGAGGAACCTTGACCTTGGCCTCGGCGATCTCCTTGAGAGCAAACTTGGCGTCTTTCTGGTCGACCTTGATTGCCGCGTTGAGCACGATGAGCCGGCTTGCGTCGATCTCGATTCGGGCTTTGGCCACCCACTCGAGCAACACACCGTGTTCACGTAGTGGCTTGCCAAAGGGGATTTTACGCTCGTCGTTCAATCGGTTGATCATCCATTCGAGAGCACGCTCTGCGGCGCCAATGGCACGCATGGCGTGGTGAATACGACCTGGTCCGAGACGACCTTGCATGATCTCATTACCACGACCCTCACCAAGAAGTATCGAATCAAGTGGGACCTTGACATTCTGGAAGCTGATATGGCCATGGCCGTGTGGGGCATCGTCGTAACCATAGACACTCAACATGCGGTGGACGATGATACCTGGGGTATCGGCAGGAACGAGCAACATAGATTGTTGTTCGAATTTGTTGGGATGGTTGGGGTTGGTCTTGCCCATGACGATGAAGACCTTGCAGCGGTCATCGCCGGCACCTGACGACCACCATTTCTGGCCATTGAGCAAGTAGTGATCGCCCTTGTTCTCGATGCGCAGTTTGATGTTGGAGCCATCGCTGGAGGCAATGTCGGGCTCAGTCATGAGGAAGCCGGAGCGAATCTCGCCAGCCATCAAGGGCTTGAGCCATTTCTCCTTCTGGGCTGCCGTGCCGTAGCGGGCAATCACTTCCATGTTACCAGTGTCTGGTGCAGCACAGTTGCATGCCTGTATTGAGCAAAGTACACCGTCAGCAGATAGTTCCTCCATCCAATGCTAGACTATTCCTCAAACGCAGAAATTGAGCCCACAGACAATGACATACCTCACTGGCAGTAATACTCTTGCCCAACTGCTCAGCCATAAGGCCATACTCGACGTTCGTGAACTGCGGGCCCTCCTTGAAGTGATTCTTAGGCAAAAACATATTCCAGATGCCGGCGGCACGGGCCTTTTTCTTTAGATCGTCGAGAATGCTCGGGTGGCCGTGCCATCGTGACTCGCCGCTGCCGATCTGCGCGCTGTACACCGGGTCCGCGGGAATGGCTTCTTCGTCGACGAATTTCTCGACCTGAAAGTGAGAAAAGCGGTGCACATGTCAGTTTGCTTGTTCTTGTTCTTCCTCGTCACACACAGCAGATGGAACGGGGTTCGGATATGTATATGTGTGTAAGGGTGTACGCACCTTGTCTAGCAGCTGCTTCGCACGCTCCGACACGAAGGGCACCGCGATGGGTGGGATGTCTTGAGAAGCTGGCATCCTGGAGGGGGGAGGGGCTATTTCCTTTTCTTGCTGAGGGGGAGTAGAATGGTGATATATTCTATGTCAACCAGTGAGCCCGTCCTGAGTACAGTTTCTTGACTTGGATCACCACAAAGGCAGACGTAGAGAGAGGATTTTAGACAGGTGTGTAGGAATATCTGGGGGATCAAGTTGCACTTTGACCGTCTCTTTTGGAGCCCGACAAAAACGTGGGGAAAGAGCCCCGGCAAAGTTGGGGAAACCCGTCGGAAGAACCACAGAGTTGCGATTTTACCTCGGTCGCTCAACATTCAGTTAGTTAGAGACAAGCCCGGCTCGGTCGATTGCCGAAGATGGCTTAGCGACCTGGGGAGTTCATCTTGGGGGTCGTCTCAAGTTGAGATACGGAGTGCACGTAGGGCGATTCGGTGCAATGGTGACAGCCCTTTCTCAAGACATCAGGTATATTACGATGTATATATGGTCCTCGTCAATGATGAAAACATATTCCGTGAAGATGTCTAACATGATAATATGCAGAAACGAAAACTTTCAAAGTCTGGCTGATGAGGAGCCCCTAACAACCCCCCTCGCCTTTGCTTACTCCCCCCTTACTGGAATTACTACTGAACCCCGTCGGCTACCCGAGGCTCAATCCCAACGCCAAAAGGCAAACCCTCAGCATGAGCGTGCCAATACTATATATAAAAAACGAAGGAGAAAGAGTATAAAAAATCAGTTGAGAGGGTTATAATTCTCCATTCTCGATATATATCCTGTCCAAGCCGTAGTAAGAAGTCTCCATCTAGGTCAGCTAGCTAAGCCTTCTTCGCTCTTCCTGAACAAGTGGGCTGAAAAGGAAATCTTCATAAAAGTGCCCTTGCCCAAGGGTGAGAGAATTTGAGAATTGATGCAATCCAGAGAGAAATCACTCCTGGGTCTCCTTCCTTCTTTTCTGTTGAATGCTTCTCCAAACCTGATCGGTGATCCGAACAACCAACGGTCCATTTCCTATAATGCTGTCCTGCCTGCCGTTGCCGTTGAACTTATGCTGTCAATCCCAAAGCCAACATACCCATTGCCCCACTGCTTAACATCCAGCAAGCGCCCCATGTTTCAACAATATATATTGGTACACTCCGTGACACCTCGTCAGAATACAAAGTCATCAGTGTCAAAGGTCCCAATCAATGACTAGCAACGAGGGTAATTGTGGTTTGTGCAAGTCATATCTTCTCACATCCCACCAGCAGAAACAGCAAAATCCATAGAATCATGTCGCCCGATCACACAATGTTTCGAAAAGCTGACCAAGAAGTGACAGTTATGCTCAAAGAATTACAAATGGAAGTTGTGCCAACCTCCAACCCACTCGTGATCTTCCTCGTCCGCCGACGAGTCAATCACCTTGGTTTGACGCCAAGATTGATTCAAGTACGCCGGTTGTCGTCCCCTAGTTCGGCTGTCGCGTCGTTGCCAGCTAGGTTGCTCCGCCCCCATCGAGTTCATCGATCTCTTCCTGGTCCCAGTAGTGAACGACCGTTTCTTGTATGGTGCAGCCTGCCGTTCCGAATCGGTCTGAAAGTTGCGTCTCTTAGTACCCAGAGCCGCCCATTTGTCAACAGGTACCTGCTTGGGTGAGTGACGAGGGGTTCGAACACGCCAACCAAAGGGATCATTCTCATCCGAGCCAAGTGCGTCGGGCTTGGATGGAACTGCAGGTCTCGGAGTTCGACTGCGACGAACATTACTCGACGATCGACTCTTGGACTCGGTCAAGATACCCGCGGGAACAGGAACAGGAGTAGGAGCTTCTCGACGGCTGTCGTGGCTAAAGCTTCGAGAGTTTTGTTCGCGTCTCCGTTCATACTCAAGCTCCCGTTCCGACTCCTCTTCGTCCTCTTCAAACATGTCACTCCAACTCTTGGCCACAGTGTCCTTGTGCTTTCCAAAAACAGAGGACATGGTGGGGATAGGTCGAGATGGTCGAGTAGGCAGTGAATGGGGAATCGGCACGGGATCTGGTCGCGGTGGATCACGCTTGGAAGGACGCTTGATAGCCAACGACTTGAGGGAGCCATAAGCCGAATCAAGAACCGAAGCCAGTGAAGGAGTATGTCCAGAATACCAGGACTCGCCAAGCTTGACACTCTTCTCGGATTCGAACAAGTCCTCGTCAAACATATCAGGGATGCTAGCCAATTGTTGTTGCTTCTTGTTGGGACTAGAATGAAGTGCCTTGGCCCATGGGAAATTATCCGAATCCATGTGTGGGCTTTGAATTGAGGGAGTCCGGAGAGGCTCGCGGTTGGCGCTAGCACGAACAGTGTCTCGTTCCTCCGCACAGAAATCGTCAAAGGCCTCGTCATCAGTGGTGAACGTGACAGCACGGAGAACTGCTTGTTTGAGAGCAGCCAGATCACGCTTCGCGGGGTCCAAAGTCATAGCACAAGACAAAATCTCAAAGGTATCTTGAGACATATTGGGGAAGATGTCAAACAAGGACTGGCGATCCCGGCGGTAGTCAGCGAAGAGAACATCTGACTCTGTGGGAGTGACGAAGGGATTTCGAGCGAACAAAACGTTGAGCAAGCAGATCCCAATTGACCAGATGTCTGCCTTGGCTGGGGAATAGCCAGTCGCAGCGGGATCATATTGCTCAGGGGCCATGTATCGGTCACTTCCCACACAAGCTTCATAAGAGAAGAAGCTTCTGGTGGCTAAACCAAAATCACCAAGCTTCATGGAGCCATCGTGAGTGAGGAAGATATTCTCGGGTTTGATGTCTCGATGATACAGGCCGTTGTCATGCATGTGCTGAACAGCACTGATCAATTGGAGCATGAACCGTCGAACGTGTTCAGTTTGAAGTGGTCCACGATCCAGTCGAATGGCCTCGTAGAGATCTCCTTGAGAACAATATTCCAGAACCAGATACGTATGGGAGTCGGTCTCAAAGTGGTGAATAAGATTAACCAGATGATCATGGTGCTTGAGAATGGCGTGGCAGGTAAGCTCTTCAGTGCCCTCGTCGAAGGTAGTAACGGACACCGATTGATTGGCAGCGGTGGGCTTGGTTAGACACTTGATGGCAACCTCTTGCCGAGTAGTAAGATCCTCGGCAAGAAAGACCATTCCAAAAGACCCATGATTCAAAGGGGCGATGGTCCTGAAACGTCCGTCCAGCAATTGATCCTTGCGGAAGGCATCCTTCATGCACTCCATAGCCATGGAGGGTGATAAGGTCTGAATAACACAAAGTTTATCCTCGTCTTAAGAAATAGGCAATAACTTTTGATCTGCTTGTGGAGAACAGAGATGTAGGGGAGTAGAGGTTTGTACAGAGTATAGACAAGAAAGTGAGGAGCGAGGAGCGAGGGAGTGAGCAGAGCAGGTATGCTCAGTCGTGGAAAACAACAACGTCGAGTAATAGAACCGGGACACCAAGCATAAAACCACCGGGTAACTTCAAATCTTCAACCACCGCTATCATGTGGGGAACACCAGGTCGAGAGAAAACAGCGGAACTCCTAGTCGTCGTGGAGGTATCAGAGGCTCATTGAGAAATAGGTCGTTAAAGTAGACAAAGGAAAATACCTGTCGATGACGCAGAGCCTGAGGAGGGGCTCGTTGTGCAGTCGAACAAGCAGAGGCGTAAAGAGCGTCAAGCTATTGTGTCATGATCGAAGAAGGACTGGTACCGGCAAAGCCAAAGAATGGGTATATGTTGTTGGGAGAGGGTGGTTGAGGTCCAAGTAATGGAGATTATGTAGGTAAGGAGACTCGTAGTAGTGGGCAAGGCAGACGTCAGTCGGGTGTTGGTGGTCAGAAGAGGATGTCGACAGGCAGCCACAGGAATTGCCACTCAACTGACAATAGGGAAGTCGGTCGAGAAGATGGGAGAGCCGTCCGTCAGTTGACCTTGAGGTAGACCAGTTCCTTTGTTGTCACGATGGCTGTGGTACTTTGTCGTCGGGCTGGGGACCACAACAATGATCTCACCAATTAGAGCCGAACTGGGACTCGACAGGTTGACGCAACACAAAGATTGTTTTTGGCTTTATGATTAAGTGGTAGCTTGGTTCCGAGTGTAGAGGTAGAGATGGATTATAGGGCGTTTGGTAGGGAGGTACAGCTGTTGAATCTGGATTGTCGGCGTCTCCTCTCACAATTGTGGTGTTGTTGGGTGGGGAGAGTTGGGCGAAGCACAGCGGGGGCAGGGCCACTGCTGGCTAGGTGACAGCTAGGAATGCCGGGAAAGAACGTCGTCGAGACGGGATGATGGTGAGAAGGAGGGACACGGCCAGGTGCTGTTTGATAGAGAAGAAAGAGAAGGGAGCTGCAGGACTTGACTTTACATTGCAGAGTGGTTCGATCGAGGGTCGGGTAGGGGGAGAGTCAACAAGAGGATGAGATGATGGATGATGGTTAAGAGAAGAACAGTGAGGATGGATTGCAGTGCAGTGCAGTGCGGGTGCGGTGCAGGTGGATGGGGCGGTAGACAGTCTAACGGTAGGTGAGCTGCCGTGGGCCTGGCGCTCTGGCAGTAGGGACAGGTAGCTGCAGGTGCAAGTCCACGGTCAAGTTGGCGGTGTCGGTGTCGGTGCTGTTCGGGAGTGGATGGCAAAAAAGGTGGGCTCAGCAAATAGTGGGTGGGCTAAATTGCGAATAGGCTGATACTCTAGGAAACTCTGGGGCCGACTATCCAGCATTGGAACTCGATAGGCCAGGGTGCCACCAACACAGCCAACCCGGAGGCGCCTAGGGCTAGATTTCTGGGCAGGTCGGAGAAATCCATCGAACACCAGAGAGGCCTCGAGAATGGGCGCTGGGGGCATGGACACTCAGACTGCACACACAGACAGGTGGGGACTGTGGGAGGCGTGTTCCTGGAACCTGCTTCAGGTTGCGTCGACTGGGCCCTCTCGCTACTGCAGCTTGGTTCCCTACGGCCTCGTCAGCCCATTCCTTCCCGGGCTTAGCTCCCCTGCACGAGCCTGAGGTCGCAATTTCCCTGTTAGCGGGTGACCATATCTTCGCACCTGCCAGTACTCAGTTTTACGCAGAGTCCCTGGGTCTCAGCTTGCTATCTTTGTTCCATCTTGCGTGTCTTTTTGTCTCAGAACTACACAATGTTGCCCAGTAGTGCCCACTGCCCACTCCTTCTGATTGCTAGGCCCAAGTCCAAGCTCAACTTCGATCGCTGCTCGTTGGATTCGTCACTGGTTGATTTGGGTGAGTGTTGAGCAGAGAGCATGGCCAAAATCATAATAATGAACACTCTGGCATTCAGCCCGTGAGCCAATTCGGGTGTCTGGCTTCTTGGTCCTCCACACGAGCCAATAGTTAACGCCTCACGCCACCCATTCTCTCTTCTCTGTGACACTGATCACGAGCCTCATCTGCGTGACGCCGCCTCCAACATGTCATACGTCCACTGTACTCGGACTCATCATCAGCAAACTTCTAATGAGAACTCTCTGCTTTGCCTCAGTATCCGCAGATGAGTCAATGCAAGACGGGAACACACACTCCCTTCTTGTCCCGAAAGAGTTTGGTGTCTCCTTTTTGGCTCTCTTATCCCTTTCTAGACTCTTCCAGCGACTCGATGATTGAGGACACCTATTTCCGGGACCACATTTCGTGATCTTGAAGTCGACAGTACGAGTACTCGAAGGAGTTCTGCGAGGAGATTTCCGATGCGAAAGCCCCGAGAGTTTACTGGCTACTGGTATGTCTGATTGTTAACCCTCTGCATGCTCTTGCTGCTCTCTCCCTGACGAATTCAATCACGAGTACAATAATGTGCTCTCCTCCTACTGGATCTCCAGACCTGGCACAACATCCGGGTTGTTTGTCCCAAGCTTCCCAACCTGGACCTATCCAAGGACTAGGATTTGCTTACCTACCCCGCAATACCTGGCACGTTGCGAGTTAAGGATTTCCACGATAGCCTCCTGAAGTCGGTGTCTGATTGTGCTGGTGGCAACACGAATCGTACCGCTTGATGACTAGCCGTCTCATGTCCTTTCATCCTATAACTTCTCTTTGAGTCGTGGCACAGAGTACTCGGTACCCAGAGCCCATCATACAGAGTGGTTGGACACGAGACAGCTAAGGTTGTACACCAGGTTGAAGCCACTGGACACGTGATGATGGTGGACAGAGTGCTTCGGCATCCATCCAGAAATGTAGCCTAAATCTCCCCCAAGCGGTTTCAGAAAGGCACATCTAACCTGACATCTATATTAATCCACGACATAGATACAAGAGACTCATATAGGACCATCAACTGTCAACATGTTGAGCTTTTAGTCAAGATCAACATTCAACATTCAACATTTATATGAAGCACTCAGGAGATTGTTATTGATGACAACATTCAGCTCAACAGTCACGACTCTCCAGCAGCCAGGATTGGCCACGTGCATGATCGACACATGATTGGCAGCGATAAGACTAACAGCTCATCTCGGATAATTTCGATCATCTCATCGCTGACACTGGTCGTTTCGAGTCGACCCTCGTGAGACAAGTTGTTGTTGTTCCAGTCGTTTAAACTTGCTTCCTGAGCCAGGACGGAGTACTCCTGCTGACAACATCTCGATCTGTTGATGATAGTCTCCGCATATTTATCCGTACGAGTCCTACTTCGGAGGTGAAGTCATGAGTACATGCTGGCGCACAACACTCATCAACTCGTAGAATTTGTGCAGTGCTGAGACTTACCCAGGGAGAAAGGCCTCGACAGCACCATGTTCTCAGTAGATTCTAGAAAGCATCAATCAGAACAGACAATGAGGTTCTCATCAGGTCACCCAAAAAGTCGGTGAATGGGAAAACCTGCCATTGCAATTTCGCCTCTACCTCTGATTGCTGCGTTGGGCTTCGTCCCCCAAATACAAGGCCCGCCTATTCGAGACAAGTCGTCATGCACAACCTGCATAAGTGCAAACCAGTTCCCAGCCCTCCGCTACTTACTTGGACAAGACCCGAGTCCTTCCTGTTGCGAGAGCAAGAGAGTATTGCTAACTTACTAGTGGGCTTGTGAACTGGGAACAGTTCGGGAGGGATCAAGGTCCAACAACATGACTGGGGAGTGCACCGAGTATCAAACGTGTTCGCCCGCCTTGATTCTCAAGTTGTTGGAAGTGCCGGCTTCGACTTGGTTGAGATCGCCACTCGTTGACATCCGCCAAGAGAAAGTCTATCTCGGTGGTCCAGTGATGGAGAGTCGCCATGGCCCGTCGCCTGGTGCAGCGGGTTGTCGTCCCAGTGAAGTACAGGCGCCCTCAAGCTCAAAATGGGTTACAGAAGGTGGCCGCAGACCCCATGGGTAACAATAGCAATAGTAAAGAGCGCAGAGCATGTCAATAATAGGTTTGTTGTGATTTGGTTGGTGTACTCGTAGATGTTCAAGTTCATGTTCAAAGTCATTACTACTGGGAAGGGGGTGGTTCTCACTCGTATTATTATTGGGTCAGCGCCGGGCCGCTGCTCGCCTCGATCCTTAACTAGAACACCTGCAAGCCAAAGAAAATCTGGAGTGAATGGGGTCTTGATTAGGGAGTCTTAGCTATCCCCCCAGTTCTCGTCGTGCAGGCAAGATCGTCGTCTATTCTTTGGCTCTGGGCACCTTACTGGCATCCTGGGGAGACACCACGGCGGCTGCTCTAACAATGTATCTGCATGGTGTCCATTTGGTGCTCCATTAACATCCTCCTTCAAGCATAACCACATGTATCTATCAAGGTGGCGGATGTTCCATCCAATTCTCCGACCTACTCGACTTTTGACGCCCGCCCTGTGTAATATTTTAATATAGATAATAAATAGCATTAATGGGACACTGAAGGCGCGAAACCTGTCCTTAGGTTCGCTATTGCATGGGCCATTATGCTCCGCCGCCAGCGAAATACTCCGTCCTAGCCGCGCCAACAAATTTTCATTTGCCATTGCGATAGGTACTCGTATCTCCTAGATATTTCGGTGCCTAACATAGAGCGCAGTTTCCAACTTGTCATCGATTGCTGGTCGTGGATTCCCTGAGATGTAGAGGTTCTCCATAACAAATGCATGAGTCTACTGCACGGCGGAAGGATATCTCACATACTGACTCCCCACTTGCCTTTGCAACTTTCTGCACAGAAACAGCTGGTGCCAGCATGGCTCTCTATCTCTGGTAAGCTCAACCCACAGCGCAGCGAGCCGCTCGTACAGCCAGCACCGTAGACTAGCTGCCTGAACTACTGCTCTCCAGAACGGACAATCCACACACTTCGTTCCGCTGTCGCATACGGGATACAAAACCCTACCTCCACTTGCAAGGCCACAGGTGGACATGTCTTTTTGCCTCCCCGATCCAACGTCCAAGTGTCCATTGTCTATCTATCCATTCCGCACGCACACAGTCCCATCGAGCCCAATTCTCCATCTTCATCTCACCACAGTAGCACCGGCTAAGCAAGCGAAGCCGTAGACGGCCGATGCCGACCCTCCACGAATCTCTTGGATTCGATGCCTCGTTCACGCTTGGTGATGGCGGTGAGCATACCGCTATACTCGATTCTCCCTATCACAGCTCTAGAACGCCAACTTCTCGCACACACAACCACGATGGACGCGAAAAATTCCAAAAAGTTCCTCCAAACTTTTTTCTTCCTCGAACTTTTTTCGTATCCGCATCTCCTGTCGCGTCTCACCGACATGGAAACGCGTAGACGATGCGACAATGTACGTTTAATCGCCGAGTCACCGCTCAAGGACTCGGACATGTGCAAGTTTTTTTGTCCTCCTCTCCTCCCTGGCCCATCGACTCGAACCGAATCGAGCTGGAAAGTAAACAGATTGCTTCGTTTGAAAAAAAATTTGATTTTGTCCTAGCTTTCAGGCAGAAGCTCAATCCACCCAGAAGATTGAAGCCCTGCCCGTGCATGCATCTATGCATCCGAGTGGACTTTCGTTGAAATCTCCTGCGAGATTGAATTGTTGATACCCCAGGAGCAGTTCAAGCAGTTCATTCGTTCCGTTTGCTTGACTTTCCGTCGTGCAGTACCCGTGCTCCCTACTCACTAAGATTTTCCTTTCCCGCTCTCCAGAGCTACGAGTACCTGTTACCTTGCTCTACAGTCAGAGCTCGCGAGTCCCGGCCCATATGGAGCACACATTGGGATCCGCCATCTGGACGGGACCGACCCGACACACACAAACAGAGCGCAATGTCCACTTTTCCATCCCCATCGGATAAAACACGGGCTCCCGTCGGTCGGTCTTCATTGTTATCGAAAAACCGTGATTACTCGTACGGACTATTATGATGAAGATCAGTAGAGTCTGCCGCTAGACAAGGACTCAAATTCATGAGGTCCGCCACGCATGTGGCAAAATACGAGTCGACAAGACTAGTGGTAGTGCAATAATAATGTACATTTCCTTGCTCCGTTCCTATGCATGTGACCGGATGCGATATTCTATCGGGTACAGAGGTGGGTATCTTAATCAAAAGAAAAATCTCAATATCAAGACACCGGTGACGAGAAGAGGAAGTGAAAACTCTTGACCGCTTACTTATCCCGGCCTCCCGAATCGAGACGGACGTTGATTGCGCTCGATGCGATGGGGAGAATGCTGCCTCCCTGTCGAAGACTGTACGAAATCGACTTTGGAGATTTGCAGATTTTCGAGAAAAGGGCAGCAGATTGGTCGTTTCATTGGATGACCGTGACCTGCAATCGTCATGTCCCGACCGACTGTCGATGCCTTGTGAAAGACCGCTGCCACATAGCTGATAGACCATCATTCGGCGCATTCTTCTGCAATCAACAAGGTGCTCAGCTCAGGGAAGTCACTGTAAGCCAGTCCAGACAGCTCGAGAACCTCAAACAGCCAGAAACGGAGCCGTCGCTCGAGGCAGAGTAGTCCAGCAGTGTTGATCAGAGCGCGCCGCCCAATGCTTCGACGAGCCACAGTGAAAGCCGGACTCGCAAGCCCACCCTGCGTTCGATTCTTGCTAAATCGTCCTGTGTGGTGACTGTCGCATCCGCCTGAAGATTCTCAGTCTCCTTCTTGAGCCGCGACTTCAGATCTTCGTCGGCCGTGACAATCATTGCACCGACCTCAAGGTCCAGGCTATAGCTGCGCTTGGTGTAATTGCTGCTTCCAACAATGGTAACACTCGGCCCAGCGTCATCGGTCACAGTCCCGTCTGGACCCGACTGCGAGGGTAATGTCACCCAGAGTCCTTTGGCATGATACGTCATGCCGTCAGGCTCGCCGACAGTTCCTTTTCGCCACTCTTTGAGTTGTATCACATCCTCTCGACCTGCTTTAGCAACTTCTCGCAGAAACCTTCGAGAGAGTAAAGTGTAGGCAGCTGGGAGCATCCCACTTACCCCCTTGCTGCCGTAGAAACCATTGGCCCAGGGAGAAGCGGTGATTACGGTGCATGCCTTCTCATACGCCTTGGCCCCGTGTGACGAGGCTCCGCTCTGAGGTGATGCGTCGATCAAGAGTTTGCAGATGTCTGGGTCTATGTTGAAGTAACCAGCTGTAAATATCCATGAGGACTTTTGTAGTCGTGGATCCTCTGCAAGATTATTGAGAAGTCGCGTAAGTGCAGGCTTTTCGGTCGAGGTATAGCGCGCAAATTCGTAGTCGAGAAATCCGACATTCTTTGGCTGACCGAGGAGTATATCAAACTGGCCTAGTGGGTAGACAAAAGTCTTCTCTTCTGTGAACGGCACGGGGAACATCTTCTGTCGCGCTTTCTTGTGAATCAAGGGCTCCAATATCCGTTTGGCGTATGCTCGATATTCTTTGGGATGCCACAGCGGGTCAGGGAGCCCACGGTTATGAGGACTGATCAACTCAAAACCTCCAGGTCGCGCATCGGATGGTGCTACTTGATACGACAGTTCACAAACCGCATCGTGTACGGAACCATAAAACCTTGTAAGTTCTTTGGAGGAGAAGAGGTGGTAGCGATCGAGGCGATTGGTAAAATAGTCATCTGACAAATTTGCACTGAGTTGATATTAGCCAGATATTAAACCGAAGGAGATCGATCAGATCGCACCCTGAAAGCATAATCTCATCATCAAACCCGTAGAGCTTCATGTGCTGAAGTCCCCACCCCTCATTGATCCTCTTGGGCATGTACTTTTTCTTCCATCCATTCAGGTTGGGTGTATGGAACATTGAGATCTTCACTCTATCTCCAAATTGGCTAATCAAAGGAGCAAGCAGCGTGGCGCATGATGGATCAGGGTCTTCCCTCGTGCCTCGCAATGCATCTGTCAAAATTGACAACTCTAGTTTCGGGTTGTTTTCAAGTGCTTCCCTCAGCGTGGCGATGAACTCATGCTCGGTCTTGCCGATATATAGCGTGGACAGAAATACGCGGCGCTTCGCCCCTCGGATCTTCGCCTGCAAAGAATCTTTAGCCAAGCAGCTCTTTGTCTCGGAGGGTTTCGGTTCAAAAGAGGAATACCTTTAAGGTCTCGTAAAAAGCCGCAGGTGAATCCAGTATTTCGATTTCAGAAGGATCGATCTCGAATCGAGGTGCTACCTGGTCAAGCTGAGATGTGATCCCGGCGAGAGGATGCGTCGCAGGAGCAAGACCTGCATCTTGCACAGGGATCGTGGTCGAACTGTACTTTCGTCGCGCAGTCGCTCGAAAGATTTGAGTTGTAGGTATTCGACGGGTTGTACAGCAGGCATTTCGCAATAGGCGCCCTCCAGCGCTCCGCGCGAACATCTCGGTATCAGAGGAAGCTCGGTGCCTCAAACGCTGTCTCGTTGCTCATTCATCCTGCACGATGTCGGCGAACACGATGGGTGCGGAGCTGCTCCGGAGCAAGGCTGGCAGAATTTCATGTTTGGACGTCGTCATAGCCTGCGATAGGCAACTTTGCCGAGTGCTATTTTTACAAGGCTGCGTATCCCTTTTCTGCCTCGGCTTTTCATTCGAAACCCCATGGATGACTTGACACAGCCGTTCTTCGGACTATATTCGTTTGCAGATATGCGTGTTTCTAGCTCTTAAGATGCTCTCTCTAACAGATGAAATCACGATACGCGGCCAGATAGTAGGTGATCGTGAAACCAGTCTTTCCTTCGGCGTCAGCTGCCAATTTCGTTGGAAATTATGAGCAGTTCCGGACAACCTCGCTGCTGATGCCTTGCTAATGCCTTCGCTCATTCAAAAGAGCGCATTGAAACAACGAAGTGGTTATTGGGTGTTCCAACGTGGTCTCTCTACTATAATTGCCCGAGTCGACGATCACAGAAACTCAAGCTAAAGATGCAAGGTTAAGTTCTTTCGCGAGGACAACACCACGAAAGGATGTCCGTGTAGAATCACTCTGGATCCCCGTTGATGCAATTGCTCGTTGTCCTATCCGACTCCTGAGATTCCCTTCACGGGTTGTCTTGCTGAAGCTTTGCAAGGTGCGATCTGATTTCCTCCCCAAGACCTAGGTACGTACCGTCTCATCATCTAACTTGGCCACGCTAATCCAATAAGCAAAGAAAATAGCCCGCAGGCTACTCTTTGTAATCAGGAGCAAGCCATCCCGTATCGGCACATCGGTTTCAATCACAACAGCGGAATGGTGAGACCCCGGGTGAACCCTCAGAGCAATGCTGGAGCTTCTGGTCTCCCGATAGATCTACCTCAATCGGGGAAATGGTGAGGTAGACTACCCAGATCAGCTCTGCCTTGTTTCTCTTCTTGAGGTATCTCTTCGATAGGGCGCAAAAACATTCGCTTATGCAGACATTGCAGAATTTGGCCCGTCGTCACAAGGACTTAATTCATGGACCTACCACATCTGGCTTCACAGCCGGACTACTGCTATGCACTCATCATGTCGGACGAAGATCGTATCTAGTCGCAGGTGATGGAACCTAGCCATCTTGCTTGACTACTGGAGGTAATCATCCCCCGAAAGACATTGTCAACGACAGTTCCACTCCTGAGTGGCTCTCCTGCTAGTTGGTGGCCGCCACGATCGGTGAGGTCCTGAAAGCAACATGGGAGCTGTTCACAGAGTTCACAGATAGGCGTTACGGGCGGGTCTAACTCACAGATCACTCGCGACATGCAAGTTTGCCTTCGTATACTAGCGTATCATTGATCGCTAGTTACCTCGTTTGCTAAGCAAGGGACGCGAAGGATAACACTATTTGCTACATAGTGTTAAATGTGCTGTACCTTCAACAACTCACAAGCATAGTTCACGAGTCAAAGCACTTTACACTTGAGGCCCTCACTCTGATTCATTCAGGCAGTATTCTTGGGTGCAAACATGGAACTTCAATTCAAGGATATTTCTTCTAAACAGCTTGTGTGAGCATATTCATCCGTCTTCACAATATTTGTGGGAAGCGGACAACGTGTCTTGCAAAAGTAAAATCTACAGCAGCCACAGCCGTGAAACAGCGATAACATGTGATGTACACGGTCAGTCGTTCAGAGTAAAGGAATCCACAGGTTTTGGTCTTTGGCGTGGGAGAATCTTTCTGTTTGGCACATACCGAACAATGGGGCAACAATATCGACAAACGGTATGACGGTACCTGAACAGCGGCTAAGTATATTCAAGTCGCTCGAGGGCTAATTCGGGGACTATAGTCGAGATGGCAGAGCAACAAGATGACGAACCATTGGTCCTTGAGGACTTCAGCACTGTTCAAAGGGTCAACATTCTTGTGGCATCCATTTCGGAGATGGTAAGGGAAGTGTAGTATCTTCATGTCGAAGCCATGCTTCTATTGCTACGTAAAGTCTTTGGTACTTTTGAACTAGTGGCCAATGTGTGCCAGGAAGGACTCGTAAAGTCTGAAAGGCATGCCAAAGCCGATGCCCAAGGCACGCCAATGTAAGAGACATCCTACCACCGTCACCGCTGGATGCAAGCAGGACGGGCAGTCATTCTCCCAACAAAGAATGACCCAGTAAACTCTCGGTCATGCTTTGACTCCTGCGGCGAATATAGTGGTTCGCGGCCAGGGAGATCGCCCTCAATCCAGCTGGCCAGCTTGCGCTTCACACACCATAATCGGCTAATGGTCTCCTTCGCATGCGCCGCTATCAGCTGGTCAACACGATGTTGCTAGCTTGGCAGTCGTGTGTTGGTGCCAAAAAATCCGGATTCTGTGGGGACACGCTTCATTGATATTCCCATGCGTGGTGACATAATCGCGCTGTCTTTTTCGGTCGAGATTGATCAGCAACAACCACTCCCCTCGCTAGATGTTCGCAGATTGATCGCCTACTTAACTCCAGAACCATCGTTTCATTTGATCATAGGTAAATTCAAACAGATGGCGACGAAAAAGGTTGTCTTTTTTTTGGGAAGTCCACGACTCGGCTTATCACTTTACACCACGAGGCTGCGACGGAATTTGATATCATCGGCACATCCGACGGTGCAAATTGTGAGCACTGTCAATCCGTGCTGCGAACAAGAGTCCTCCATCAGGTCACCATTTAAATACGCGCTGGCAATTTCCCAGCTTGGCCAAGCTCATTATGCAAGAGTCGAGGACTTAATGATCCTTGCCACGCAACCAGAGATTGGTAGAAAGCTCTCTTACATTCTTTCGGATGTAGATATGATTCGCTGTATATCCAGTTGAACTGCAACCTAGATGTCGCCGCATGAGAGAGAGCTTCCAATCATGGATCTGACTCCCTCGGTTGCCTTTTGTTCTTCAGGGTCAATCACGACTTGCAAATGGTCTACCGGTTGTTCTCGAGCAATCCGATGATTTGATGTCATAAACGGTGTTCTTGAACCCCCGATGTGACGATGTCCTTATGTGACATTGTGGAAATTCAAGCCCTCAATACACAGCCAAATTCTGACTGAATCAATTCACCGCACGCCTTCCTGGAACCCATGCAAGTGCGCCGTTTCTTGCATCAAACAAGGCCATCGGTGGGCTGATGGCGGAGATGAATCTGACTTTCATCTCAAGACCCAAGTCCAGCGGATCTCAAATCCTTCCCTTAGAACTGAAGACATAATTCGTAGGCATGAATATTGGTAGTAGTAGATGACGAGGTAGGTAGTGCAGTGCGTAATCAAGCGAATTTGGTCGAGTCGAGGCTCCTCAGGCCCCTTGGAGTAATTTTCTCGGTCGAAATCGGCGGGTGACCTTGGCCCCTTGAACCCCTCTCATCGCCTCGTGCCGCTCTTCTTACTAACCCCACCATTTCGTTCAGCTGATAACAACTCTTCTAACCGCTTGACTTCTTTTTTCATCATGTCGGCGACCGCTGCGGAGGTTCGATTGGCCTTCTCTAGGACTTCACATTCGCTCTTGAGTAACGTTATCTTCTTCCGCAGATCTCGGATCTCGCTGTCCATGTGTGCTTGTGATGGTGGAGGATTGGCTACCGGGCGCAATAGCACGTGTCTGCTCGATGATAAGAGCTCTCGCGACGTATAAATTTGTTGATAATGAGATGCTTGACAGCAGACGGCGAGATGGTAGCCCCGGCAGATGTCAAGGATCGGGTGGTACAGGAAGTCCTGGTGTTCAACGCCAGCCGTGAGAGATTGTTCACAAGACTTCTTCTCATTGATATTCCAAGCGAACAGCCAAAGAGCTACTCAAGCCGCAGTAGGAGTTCAAATCTCAAGTTCAAGGAGTATCACAGAAACTAAAGTCAGGGTCGATATTGACTATATGTACTCTTGAGGAGCTATGTTTAATTCCTCGTGCCCGTAGCCTACGAACAAGCGCCCCAAGGTGTAAACCAAGAGAGTTTCAACCTCCGTATCGAGAATTGTGCTTTAAGATCGCCAAAGTCTCGGGACAGTGGACACCAGCGTCCCCCCAGCCAGTCAGAATATGGCAATGACACCAGTCCAGAAAGATCATGATCCCACAGTGACCTCAGTACCTCGGATACAGGACGCGAGGGCACGAGATTGAATTTGGGGAAGTTGTTGTTCGTCCTGTCAGAGCAGCTACATGGTCAAAACGGTCGGGATCTGTCAAGACTCGTCCGCAATGGAAGGTCCCCAATATGCGGGAAGTAATTATCGTCATTCGTGGATAATTATACGAACCATGTACATACCATGTTCGGTGCTGTAGGATGCGATCAACTAGGGGCGTTGATAACTAGCTATCTCCTCGAGTGGTATAAATTCTCAGAGCGGCTTCCATGGGTTGGCGAATGAGATCTACAATGTGCTCCAGCAAATCGACACGGGAGCATGGACACATCTGAGCTGCAGAAGAGCCATGGATCCTTGAGAGCAACTTGCATTTGACCATTCGCATGGCGTGTCAATTGAGGGCACAGCTGGCTTTGGGTCATTGGCATGGCCTATCAGGAAGGCTGGGGCCAACAGAGCCTAGGAGTTGCCAGATTGCGCTGCATGGCTAGTGAATGAGTCTGAGTGGTTGGCATGCAAGCATTTACCAAAATTATACCGCTGGGCTCGTCCCAGCAGACCAATGCCAATTGCGAGTCACCAAAGATGTGCGGGATTTTACTGCATGCACAGGTAGGGATTGTGTCCGGTAAGTTGACTGGACAGCTGGCAGAAGGCGACAGACAGCAGGCGAATAACATGTTGGTTGGCTCTTCAGTGGTGCCGCACCTGACCTGAAGGAGATAACCTCTGCAGTGACTAAGTCCTTCAAATGTGGCCGAGGAATATCTGGATTCCACAACTGCCCGAATTGGATAGCGTGGAGTAGGTTTGTTCGTATCTCATTGGTTTCCTTGGACTTCGTCTCTTGGTGTGGGCCGCATGATGTTGCTGGCAAACGGTGCTGGGGCTTGCAATGAAGATGACATGCGCCAACTGCCCAATTTTTGTTGGCGCGGCTTTGTTCATCGCTGAAAGAGGACTCTATTTCTCTTTCGACCAAACGTAGCTTGATGTATCTGCAGAGGATAAGCACCGGCGACAAACCCCAGATGCTCTCAGCAGTAATCAATATCGTATCTTTTGCGGCGTGTTGTCCCAGACATCGCATGCAACAAATCAGAATTTGCAGGCGCGGGGTTCAAGTTCCTTTCAAAACCGTTGGCCTTGACCATGCAGATTGCCAAGCCGTTTAGTCTTTTTAGCTTTGGGCGCTAAAAGGCTTATCTACAGATGAAAAACGCAGCGCTTACTTCGATGCTACAAGTGGCATCAGGGTCTACAGTAGTAGAGGTTACGAGAAGTCGCACGAAGTGTACTTTCCTCTCACAACGGCACCATTCACCACTCAAACAAAAGCTTCTGAAGAGCAACATTGCCATAATCCAGCAGAACTGTGGAAGGGTTCCTAACTAGCTCCGGATGAGGCTATCATGGCTGATCATTTCTCCTAAACCCGGTCGAACGCGTGAAGGAGAAGATTTCAAAGCCCATCTCTCACAAATGTGGCTGTTCAAATACGAACTTAGGATCCTCTCGGGTCTGCCAGCACGGGTACAGGACCAGTACGAGGATCGGAGCCAAGAGCAAGAAGGGCACGCAATGCGGTGTTGGCTCGAAAATGTCCCAACAACGCGCTTAGCCCTCTCAGGAAGCTACATCTGAGACGAGCAATACGAACGAATGCTGTGTGCTGCGGCGTCCCCGATCACGGTGGTAGACCAAGACTTCGCAATTATGAACCTTGTTCGAGACAAGCAACAGATGCATGCTGTTTCCCTGCCTGGTGGCTTTTGTTCATAGCCGTCTGCTATGCTGTGCCGAGAGGCAGGGACTCTTTCCTGTTCCCCACTAGCTGAGTCAAAGAAGCAGCTCAACTTTCCTACGAGCTTTTGAATGTTCCCCAAGCTCGCCTTCTCCATTCTTTAGCCAGATAGAAAAACTAGGCAGCTGACGATGATCTCGCTACATGTCTTGTCTGTGGAGCAAACATCCAACATCGATCTTTCACGGACGGCATTGATCTCAAAACATGGACGGACATTGACAAGGTTCTCAGAGAGAACCCGTTTCCACTACCGACGAGACCAAGCCCTATATTTTCCAAACCGCAGCTGCACGATTGCGTCGCGAAGGAACATGATATGACGACCATTGGGGCCAAGTCACGAAAAGCAAGGAAGGCATTCAAACCCAGCCAGCGTTGGCAACAGCCACCAACAAAACCATGACCGCGGCCACACCTCCTGACCACCGTCCAAGGGAAGCCATCCCAGGAAGGGCCAACTCACCACCCATTTCAGGAATTTTGTGGCAACTCAAACTGACTAGTTAGCGAGCCAAGCGCTCTCTCCCGCACGCACCGCAGAGACAGAGATAGAGATCTGAAAGGGTTCCCATATCCGTATCGTGCATCACTGGATCACCGGTGGCCACCCAGCCCTGTCGCTCCGGAACGAGCACTCCTTGAACTCTAGCGGTCGGTCCCTTTCCCCCCCACACCAAATTACACCATCGCTCGTATCAAGAATGGGAAGCCGGTAGATGCAGTTCGTACTGAGGGAAGGGGGAACACGAGGCGGACGTGTCGAGTCAGAGCGCGCTCGACGCTCCAATCTGAAGACGAGCCACGAGCCAGCTCCGCCTGCTCCCAATCCCACTAGGAAACTCCAGCACCGCTACGTCACTCATACCAATACCAATGCCGCTGAGCATCTCTGCTCATGGACCTGGATCGCACAGCTCTACCTGACTATAGACAGATTCAGCAATGATTGACCCCCTCCAGAGGAACCGGATCGTCTTCGCTTCAGATTAGAGGCGGATTACCAATCAACACAACATGGCTCTCCCGGACATAACTTTAGAAACTAAGTAGTAGGACGGCGTATAATCTACAATCTGAATCCGCATGACTGTCAAGCTTTTGCCAATTCATGGGCAATGTTCTCTTGGCATAGTGACGAGTGCTGGATAGAGAACCAAGCCAACACTGAGGTTGGAAATAGATTAATTATTTCGTGCATTTCCCACCATCTGGCTCATTCACCGAGCTGCAATGCCATGTTACAATCTTCCATACATGTAATGGCTTCACCAATTATCTCGGCGCGTGGTGTGCAAAGTCGAGCTTGCGTCGATTTGTTAACTAGCCGGGTTGCGGTCAGAAATGCTCCCTTCCTTGACCGAGTCTTTGTTGATTGTTTCCGCTCAGTCTATCTCCCATCCAGTGCTTAGAGCAAGCCCTTACTCAATCGCTGTCACTCAATACAAAGGCATCATCTGCACTCGCTCCGGGCGCACTGCTCGCGGCCCGACTGGCTACTGCGTTGGTAGATGGACTTCGTCCATCATCGACGAATTCCTCTGGAGGAAGTGAGTAACTCCCGTTGCTGTGCGGTCGATTGTCTATGTCGAATCCGTCCTCTTCGTCTTCATAGAGATCATCGTCCTCTTCAAGTTCTTCCTCCTCATCTTCACCTTCGTCGTCATATTGGTAATCCCCTTCATCATATCCTCCCCTTCCTCGGGAATCCTCTTCATATTCCTCGGCAGACTCCTCATCAGCGTCCGCAAGAGCGTGGTGTGGATGATATTGGGGTTTTGGAGGTGCGGGTCGGTAAGACTCATGTTCTTCTTCTTCTTCATCTTCGCTGGCATCATAGGGTCGTTTCTTCGAGACCGCCTTCTGCGAGACGAAGTTTCTGTGCAAGGTCGCACTGCCACGAAGAGTTGGATCAATATCAAGATGATCGATAGATGCACTCCTCAGTGGGCTAGAAACTTGCTGGCTGGTCAATTCGCCGCTGTATTTTAAGGCACTGCGTTTGGACATTGCCACTCCAATAGGTACATAATCGGCATGTGAACGCAACGGCTTAAAGGCAAGTCCACGAGCACCTGTGGCGCGGATTCGTTGTTCTGTGCGGGATAAGGGAAGACCAGGTTGAGCTGGAGCAGGCAAGTACTCGTACCCATTGGCGCGAGCCAAGCCATTAGGTGATTTGTTAGGAGTTGAGTGGGCGGTGCGTGCACTCAGTTCCTCTTCGATTCTGCGCTCCACTTCTTGATCAATCTGCTTGTCAAGTTGCAACCTAGTATCCCTGAGCCAATTTGTTCCCGTTTCTAGTTCTTTGCGTTGAGCTCTAGCTCGCTCCAGAAGGTCATCGTCGTCATCCTGGACTGGTCGTTTGGTCTTAGTCTTTGGTTCATGATAGACTGGTTCAAGAGGCGAGGGAACTTGGAGTGAGGATTCAGAAACTGTCGGTGGTGGACTTGGGCTCGCCTGTGGTCTGAAGCTCCCTCCATAATACCGCGGACGTTTCAAGTTATCAATCTGACGTCGCTTCTCTTCAGCTTCTCTTTTTCTCTTCAATTCGACTTGGTTGTCGGTTAATGGGACCAGGGGTGTTTCTGGGTCAATACCAAGAGCCTTAAGTCTGAAATAATCAGTCTTAGTTGTATCAAGCTTTGGTCGGTCATCGTGACTCAGTCTGCCACTGGACATGGATTGACGCAAGCTATGATTACTGAAAGAGCGGCCCAGCAGTGAAGACTGAGAGAAGACTGATGGTGACCCAGCAGGAGGATATGCGCCGGGAACAGGCTTAGCATACCTCAAACTAGAGTTGGATGGTGCAGAGAGTGTACCAAGGGTCCTAGAACGTTTGTGACTTGGTGTTGATGGCCCGGGGTTGACGGCTCCGTTGGCGTCCATGGGATTATCGTGCGCAGACAGGCTCTTTCGTTTTTGCCCAGCAACCTTTTGCACGTTGTGAGTTGCTTCGTAAGTCTTCTTTCTGGCTGCAAGCATTTCTTTCACTTCTTGGTCCAACTCTGCTTTGTCTTGCATCTCACGCTGAACGCGTTTGGTTTCCTGAACAGCCGCCATGATGGCTTGTAGCTCTTCATCAGCTTTCTTTTGCTTGTCTTCGATTGCTCTGATGGTTTCAGAGAATTGCTGGCGGCGATTGTTTGCCCTACGACGGAGAATCTTGTTCCAGGTCAATGCTCTCCAGAGGTTGGCAAATTTGCGCTTCATAATACGCTCACGAATCGAAGCTATGGAGGTTATCAGTGAGGGTTGAGGACAGTGAAGGGCTAAAACTCACCAACAGCTGCACGATGAATATCACGATGGTGCTGATTGAAGACTGATTTGACAATTTCAGGTAGATTGTACTCAATGTACTGCTGTATGAGACCGTTTTGCTTTAGCAGTGCTACCCGAGCAAAGTCCTTCGTGAGTCGATCTCTTTCTTTTTGCGTGACGCTTGGATCTGGAGAAGTTGTTGGTTGAGGCTGGGGTGCAGAGAAGGTATTTCTAAGTGGTGATGGAGCCTTTGGCGTGGTGGACAAGGTGTTCAAAGATTTTTGTGTGATTGTTTTCTTGTCAGCTGGAGCAGTTGGGGTACTTATTGGTGGTTTCACTGAAGGGGAGTGAAATGTCTGTGATGAATGGTTTACACCAATACTCGGAGGAGCAGAAATCTGCGATTGTGCTTTGCTTGCTGTCGAGGTATCTTGAGTGGTGGATGGTGTCGATTGGGATGTGTTCTCAGCAAGAGTTGCTGGAGGTGGCGGCGAATGGGTAGAAAATTGAGGTAAGGATTGTGAGGAAACTGAAGGAAACTTGAAAGGTTGCGACCCTGAGACCGGCTCAGATGTTGCGGACTGATTATTGGAAGGAGGCTGTTGATACAGTACAGGTGGTTGGGTAGCTGGCAGATTTGAGGGAACAGACGAGTTTGATGAATCTGAGGGATTTGTGAAATTGAAGGTTGGAAACTTGAACTGAGTGCTGGTTGGTGGTGCGGCAGATGGGGTCGTAGATATTGTGGTTGAATCTGTCAAGGTATGTCATGGTCAATAACAACAATGGAGGTGAATATGAAGCTAGTGAAAATTGGATTGTGGAGAGTGAATAGAAGTGTTGACATGAGGTTGAATAGGGAGACAACAATCAGATTTGGGAACAACAAGACTTACCATCTGATAATTGCAGGCTGCCGGGAGGGAAGGGTGGGAAGGTGGGGTTTGATGAGTTAAAGGTGCCAGATGAGACTGTCACATTTGAAACTGTCGCTGCTGTCGTTTGTTCTTGTGCTCTGGGTGCAGGTGCAACTGAAGTTGTTGATGGTGGCTTCCCGAAATTGAAGCCTGAGGATGTATGTTGCTGTACTGGCCCCACTGCACTCGGCTCATTCTTCTTCGCGCCTCCGAATATTCCAAGACTGGTTGGTGAAGGCGTTGATGGTGTCTGTAACGGAGCCGACTGAGTAGATGAACCAAAGGCAAAGGGCTGGCTCACAGTTGGAGCAGTCGCACTAGTCGGCTGACCGAACGTCGAGAACGGTTTCCTCTCTTCAACCACCGGTTTGGCAAATACAGTCGAAGTGTTGTCTGGCATGCTTGCCGTTTGCGTAGTGGCACCTCCAAAGGTGGTAGAGCTCGAAGGAGGTGCGGTTATGCCAAATTTGGCAAAGTCAGTAGGCTGGCCGAAGCTCGATACCTTTTCAACAGGCGATGACGATGCTCCTGCCGGTTTGAAAATCGACGCACCAGGATTGAGGCCTGGGCCGAAGATTGACGGGGTGGAGGAGTCGCCAAATGACCTACCCTCCGGCACGAAGAGACTCTGCTCATCATTTTGAACCTCTGCCTGTTCGGCTTCCAGCTCATCATCAGCTTCAACCCAACCCTCTCGAATTGCTTGAGCCACAGATACGCCATTGATAACTGCTGTCAACGATCGGCGGTATCGCTTCTTCTCGACTATGTCATGCGAGAAGGATTGTTGTCGTGGAATGGAAGATTCTATCCTGCTATCAGAAACGACTTTCTCGGTATGTAAGGGTGGAAATACGCACGATCGAGGTTGGCATCGCCATTTGAGGTTGGATCTAGATATTCCGCATCGCCGTCCGTGGTGAAATCTAGCTCAAACGCACCACAGAAGTCTTTCGTCTCTTCTTCAGTGTCGAAGTGAAGATATGTTGTGAGATCCGAAAGGCTCCAGTCTCGAGATCTGGCCTGCTGACCTGCCGGTGCACTCTTTGCAGAATGCCATAACGCATCCAGTCCAGCAAATCTGATTGGGCCGAAATAGATTTCCGCAACACACGCCATGATGTAAGGCACCGCATTTGATGAAAGCACCTGCCAGAAGCTGCCCAAGTTGTTTTGTGCAATGGCAAATGTTTCCATCGGTCGTAACGGGCCCTGGTCAAAGAGGGTGTTGCCCGCAGCTTTATAGAGCTTCAATGCAGTTTTGACTCTTCGATCTTGCAAAAGAGCTTTCGGCCAGGATTGAACTCGATCCTCGAGGTCCGGGTTTTGCGATTGCATTTCAAAGATGATACAGTAAGCCCGGAACTCACCCTCGTTCGGAAAGTCGATATTTTGTCTGTGGTCATCATAATAGTATAGCAAGGAAAGAAGAGTGTTGTTCAACTGCTCTCGCTCCTGATGGGCATCAAAGTTCTCGCCTTCCCAGAGATTATCTGCATTAGCCAACTGGTGTAGAGAAAGAATGTGGAATCTGGCGATCCTTTCGTAGCATTCGACAGCGATCCGAACATCTTCCGGCCTGGAGACTTGCTGAATGGAGAAGTCGTTTCGAATGCCTCTTGTCCTGTCCCAGACATATTTGTGGACAGTCGCCAGCCGTTCATTTCCTCCAATGATGTTGTTGAGGAGATAGTCGAGTGTTCGGCGGAGAGTTTCCGGCGTCCGTATGTCTGAGGGAAGCTGCTCGTCGTATCCTGCAGCAGATCGTCGAAATCGCTTTACCATACGATCCTCCGAAGGCATGTCCTTGCCTGTGTCATCGTTATGGACCTAATCTCCATCAGCACTGTCCTGCCATTGACCCAAAACCCCAATCAGTATTTCGCACCTTTTCAGCTTTGTCAACCATATTCTGCACAATGCGTTCAACTCTTTCAAAGGGAGGGCACATGTCTGTACAGGTTCCAACTGGCGTAATGGCATTGTCGAGACTTGTCTTCTTATCAGGATCGGCGAGAAAACCATCGCGAATAGCTTGCGCGCGCTCTCCTTCTCGTTCTTGTTTGAGCTAGATGTAGAATTCGGGTGTTAGAGGCCTGTCATTCAATCCACATGGTCAGCGAGGCGCTCAGGAAGGGAAGACGTACGACGGTGAATCTGTCAATAGCAGCATTCATAAAGTCTCTCTGGTTTGATGGCGCAGGAGAGGACGTGCGCGAAGGAGTAGCCGACGGCGGTGTTTTGGTTTCGTTGAAAGCCTGGGAGACATAGCCGCGTCCGCGTCCACGCCCTCGCGTTTGAGTGGTTGTCGCAGGAAAGGAGCCTCGGTGTGCAGTGTTTGAACCACGTCCTGTTATTTCGTCAATGATTCCACTCTTCAGGAAAGCGCGCAGTCCAGCTCTCGTACCTCCTCCAGACGCGACTGTATTTCCAGTAGATCCTCTCTGCATGGTGCCAGCACGAAGCTTCTGCAAGAGTCCACCGCCAGTACTTGTTGCTGCTCCACCACGTCCCCTTCCTCGTCCACGTGGAGTCGCTGAAGGTGTCGCGCCTCCTCTGGAATTACCACGACCTCTGGTAGGCTGGAATGGAGTGGCTCGTCCCCCACCTCTGGTCGCGCTGCCACCACGTTGACCGCGGCTGGTCGGCGTAGACATTGGCTAGTGATGTGCTGTTCAACATTGGAGGATTGTCATTGCCGGAGTTAAGTTTTGTGTTGGGCAGACTTGACAAGGTCGAAGAGAAATCAGCGTAGCTGTGACAGTGATGCGATGATGAAAGTGTGTTGATATTTAGGATTCGTGACACAAGGGTTGAAGAATCGCAGTGGGCATGCAAGTGGAATTACTTTCAGTTCGTGATGCATGCGGCGTTTGCCTTTCAGTGACGGTCGCAGCCGCAGGCAAACGATCGACTGACTAAGCACGACGATCACATGATCACATGAATAATGAGTCCACTTTGTGACTGGGAGCGTAGAGTAAACACACCTTAAGGTTGTCATTATGTTCAATCTAGTACCACAGTAAGTTACTGAGTCTTCGTCTTCGTCTTTTAGCGCAAACCCGGTCCTGCAAACCGACAAGAAGGTCCCAACCGAACAGCTTCCACCCCTGACCAGTGATGCTTCTGCATTCTGTGCTCTGCAATTTAGACTTGAACTCATGAAAAATCAAACAACGCCTTGAAAACCTCTTTCCGAGAATGATCCATGCTTCCAGACTTCTGACTCCGCACTCCCCGCCATTACCCTCGCTTGCGGTGTATGATGGTCGTGAAATTGTGCAACAGTGAAAACATGGTCATTAATATTGTGTAGTCTTTCTTTAGTTTGGTGGCATTGGACCGGTCAAGGCCCATTTCTTCCAATGCGGATGATAAAGAATGCCGGATTCTGGAGGCATTATCTACCTCATCGTGGTCATAGCTGTTCGCTTGCGCAAAGTCGACAAATTTTTGGCCGAGATAACAAAAGATCGCTGAGCCGAACGAAAAGTTGAGCAAATCCATGACAGAGAACAACATCGAAATCTGGTGTAAATTGAGGGAGAATCATCACAACCTGAAAGGAGAAAAAAGGAGACTGCAAAGAGGGTAATGGGTGCTTTCCGAAATACCATTCGGACATCGCGCCCCAGGCTGTACCGAAGCGCCGGGTAATGCTGTCAAAGATGTAACATCGCCGATGAGTCGCAAATCTACATGTGATGGTAAGAACCAACAACATCCTTCGACTCCAGATCTTCTTCAGTGAGTGAAACCATTTGTAGCTGCGGCTCACTCATGACACGAACAGGTAATGTTCGACGGGATCCATGATTGACGACCTGATAGGGCGGAGATGGAGTCATCAAAGGCAGACTACAGCGTGGCATCCCAGCAACTGGTTCGGCTGATGATGTGTCGAAGTAATTGTGAGGTGGTAACTGTGCTTGCATTTGCATGTGTTGGTGTAGACCAAACATGCTGTGGGATGGGTTTGGTGACATGGCAGGGTCGAGCATTGCCAACCAGGGCTGATGATAATTCAAATCCTCCTGGACAGGCATACCGTGCGAGATTCCATGCATCATGTCATGTGACATCGCGTGATGATCAACAAGAACAACATCGTGGGCAGAAGCATCAAATGCACCTGGAGCCATTGGAATGGCGGCCGACAGTTGTTGGCTGATTCCATAATTCAGTTGATTGTGAAGTTGGACCGGTCGGAGCCCATTTTGAGGCTCTGCAACCATTGCATCTTGCATTGTGGCATCGATGTTACATTCGAACCTTCCCATCCCAAGAGCCATCTCGGGCGGGATGTCTTGTGGACTTCGAGGCATCGTCATAGAGGGATGTTGCCGGGTATTCCAGGAGGGTCGATCTCTTAGCCCCCCAATCACTGGCCGGGTTCGACCATTGACCGTTGCAGAAGAGGCATGAGGTCTACTGCGCGATGGGCGCTCATCCACACGGTGATCCTCGGCTGGTGAATGCAAAGTGGATGACGCTGGGGTGGACATTTGATCATCACCCACGTCTTCCGAGGGGGACTCGTCGCTTGCCGCCGGCAGACCATGGCCGGCAGTAGAGCCCAATTCCTTCTCAGAGTCAAGCTGTTGCGCACGTGTCAAGCGAAGTTTGATATTGGGCAGAAACAGAAGGGTGTCGCCATCTGTTGTGGTTAGACCAACTCTATTCTTCATGCAAGACACAACGACTTACCGATCTCGCCTGCTTCGAATTGCTCCACCATTTTCCGCGTTTCAATTACCTGCTGAACGGTCGTCCAGCAGGCTTCCCCCTTTGGTCCAGCAATTATTTCACCTCTTTTCTCCTCCAGACAGTCGATTAAACCCTGTGCTCTCACTTCATCCTGGTTGTCAGGATCTATAGGATTGAGTATGATTGCCTGAGGAGTGTGCATAACCAGGTGCACGAGCAGTTTTACTCTCTCTTCACGATGTTAGTTGCTCTTCTCATCTAAGCTGGCGGAAGTCTTACCATCTTTTGCAATGTGGTCTGGTTCTTTATGTTTGACATCTGTCATATTGAGCGATTAGCGATCTGCCTTCAAGCCGATAAACCGTGGCTAGGGCACGGCCCGCGAGCTGACAGAGGCATTGTGACTCACTCTTTGGCCAGTATGGGGGTCTTGTTCGGTTTGGATCTGCTATCTGATCGCGTGGCATCTGTCCATTATAAGGATGCGTGGATTGCTGGGTATTACAGTCAGTATAGTTCATCTTGAGATCCCAGGAGAGTAGCCCAAACCTTTTTCGGATGGATCTTCTTGATCCAAACCTTGGCAATGAGTCTGCAGACCACTTGTTGTATATCCACGAAAGCGTCCGTGAACCATTGTTCCAGTCGCGCCTGGTCATCAACCTGGATCTGAAGCATTTCATTCATAGACGGGCGCCTGGAACGTCGCTCACGAGGTTGGCGAACTGGAATCGTGACGGACGTGCCAGCACATGATGATTCAATCATAGTCCTTGATCTTTGTCGCTTCGCGGGACGTTGAGCCATGTAGCTTATGGAACCTTCGGAGAGGTTGCTACCCGATTCAGGCCCGTGAGTGGATTTCTTGGCTTGTGGTCGAACTTTGCTAGGTTGTTCGGTATCTAGCCTTGCCGCTTCAGATACGTTCCCTGATCTTGTCAGTGACTGGATGACAATCCTCAGGCAGTGCTTACTCACGGTCGGATACAGGATCACGGTCCTGTATGTATTCTTTGAAGGTTTCACGGGCATCCCCCATGATATTCCACTTGACTTGCTTCAAATTTGGTGAGGCCAGCACCTGAACCTCGCCCTTGTCATTGACAGCCATAAGAAGCACATCTTCGAGCTGTTCAATTAGCTTTTTGATCTTGTCCTATTGCTGTTAGAATGACAGGCTGAAGACATGGCCTTTTGTGGTACTTACTAAATTACTCTTCTTAGTTGTGCCATCCTTGGCCTTTGAGCCAGGGTTCAGTTCGGGCGTGACCCGTGGAGGACGTAGAGTCGTTTGTAGCGGCGACATATGAGCTGCCATCAAGGTCATTACGGAGTGACGTTGAGCTACTACAGTACGAGTATGGAGTATGAAGGATGGTTGCGGAATGGCCGTATCTTCAGTGGGGAAGTAGAAGGGCAAGGACGAATGGTAGTGGCACCGCTTCGCCTGAGCACTAGCTGAACAAGCACTGGTTCAATCGAGGGGGGCCACACTAGACTGAGCACTTGACAGCATTTAGCATGGGTATCTTTTTGGGAGTGGACAGTGAGCGCTGGGGATGGAAAGAGGGGCACTCGGGGCTGTAACTAGAACTTGGGTTTCAGAGGCAGGCGGAGGCTAGAGCGCCTGTGTATGAGATACGGGGAGTCAATCTTCCTGTGCTTGGGCTCCCATCCCTGAGGGTGTTAACTCTGCGTCGCTGCGGGTGCTTGAAATGCTGAAGCCAAGTTGCGGAGAGAGCGGCACAGCGGCCCCTAATAAAAAGCAACCTAGTGAGGAGGCTAGTTACCCCACTGGGCCACCATAAGGTTGCGGATGTCAATCATGCTTCCTAGCCGGCAAGCCAAAGCCAACCGCAAGAACGGCAGAGACGAAGCGTGCAGGACGGACATGCTGAGAGGGAAAAAATGAGATTGACCGACCTTGTCTGAAGACCACAGATGAGATGCCAGCAACGGGTTCTGCAGGATGAGTGCAGACCGCCTTGCAAGAAGCGAGTGCGTATGCAGTTTGTTGGAGAAAATCCCAGGATGTTTGGGAAGAGTGATTTCACGCTAGCCAGCCTCAAGATGCAGCACCACGCGCGCTGCGTGCCGGGACTCAAATAGCAAGGGTAAACCGCCAGGAAAGTACACAAAGCAAAAGACGATGCCGACCAGTGATGGACTGGATGATGTATCAGGGCCTAACTAGCCATGGGCACTGCCAAGACGGACTGGTTGAGCTTTGGATACCGAGGCCACAGTAAATAGGTGTTGAAGTCGTAGATAGTGTCGTCGTAGAGGCAATTTTTGTGTTGGCCGATATCTGGTGCTGGCATGGACAAGCACGGTGGACAGCGAACAGACTGGAGATGGGAAGAGAGTCCCTCAGCGACCGAACGAGGGGAGAAAAAACAAACAAAGATCAAATCGACCCAACCAAAATGTTGCTTAAGTGTGTGCTTCCTCTCCCGGTGGTCAAGCACTGTCGTTTGTGTGTTCAAGGTGTATGAGGCTGTCCGAACATTGGGAACGATGATCTTTACTGCAAAGCGGATAGTCCAAGAGCGATTGAGCTAGGGAGTAGTCAGCCCAAGCAGTGTAGGGCGGCCGGAGTCTGGAGAAGAATCGTGGAGCGAGGAGGATGATGAGGAGAAGAAAACTCCAGATGGCCTCAGGCGAGGTTGTATATGAAGTTGCCAATCGGGCGAAGCTGTTCTCCACGCCAATGATCTAGGAGATGATGGCGAAAGGCAGACGGGGTGGTGGCAGCGCGGGAGGCAGTTTGCCAATTAGGCTGTGGGTGGGAACCTCAACCTGAAGACTGAGACGAGGGGAACTACAGACAGACTCCACGAATTGCTAGGATGGACACGATGGATACTACCAGGTCCGTACGGATAGGACTCATGACACGACGGTTCGAGAGGACACTGCCTATTCTAGTCCCTTCAAGACACAAGGCACTCGCTGTCTCTCCCCATCGTTGCACCAGTCGACTTAGCCCCTCCCCTCCCTCTTTTGGTCCTGTCCGTTCATGGTGGTGTGCAAGTTTGATGGAAGTGGTGGCGGTGGCGGCAATATGCCGGTTCCTGGCTTGCCCTTGGTGGCTTGCACAGCAGCAACAGTTTAGTACGTGTGTAGATCATTCAAGACTCAAGAGGCATGCTCATGTGCGCAGGGGAGCTACGGGATACTCCACCTGACGGACGAGAGAGACAGCGCCCGAGTCATGGTCATGGTCATGGTCATGGAAGCCAATCTGGTATCCTAGAGGAAGGCGAACGACACCGACCAGACATGAATGACAAGACTCCCGTCTGGATCTGGAGTCGTTTGGGAGCTTGCTTACCAGGGGTGGGACGACCAAATCATCAAGATTGTGGCCCGGGGGAGACGGATAGCACTATCCGCCAGTGTAGCTACCCACGCTCAAAGTACCGATAGTCACTCCTTCAGACTAATGAGGCTGCGGCAACGAACCTGCCCATCGCGGGCTTGCACGCCCGCAACCAAAAGCAACTAATCTCAGGATTGTGACGCTTCATCGCTTCATCGGATCGGCTGTTTTGTGTGACTCTATCCCCCGGATTAGGGATAACCCTCCCAAGACTCTCACTCTCACCATGCTTCCGCGGGCCGCAATCTGCAACAACTTCCAGCTTACTGCAGTCGTAAAAAGCATTGCATCATGGCTGCACTAGCTAGCGCTCTGGGGTTTAGGTACTAACTAGTACCCGGTCTGCCTCGACCCTCCCGCGCATTCGCAGGCCCGGAACCCGGAAGGCGTTTAGCTCGTACAGCTAAGTCCCTTCAGAAGTCTGGGGAGGGGTTCGGGCGTCTCCAGAGGCGCGCTCCACACTGATATACTCGTGAACACACCAATATCACGGCCAGGTAAAATGCACGCTGGCATCAAAAACTGCGTTCAGGAAGCCAAAACGAGTCCGGACTAATCACCCTCAGTTTGCGAAGTACTTGGAACGAAGACACTCGTGCTACCTAACCCAACGCTGACAGGCAACTCGACTGGTGACACCAGAAAGCACACATACTGCTTCAAGTTGCTGTTCTCATGTTGCCCATCACTGAATCCTTGTGGGCGGCTATTCGACCCGTCCCATCATCGGTGTAAGCCAATCCCAGCACCATCCAAACTGTAAAGCAGACACCTGATATCTTAGTCTGCAGTCTGCAATCTGCAATCTGAAAGTCCTTCCCTTCCGTCCATGCGTGTCACCAGGCAAGTAGGACGAGAGACGAAAAAGCGCACGGTTGCAAGGGTCACGGTCCCCTGAGCTACCTATGTAAGTACATATTTTTCACAAGCCCACTGGTTGGATGGCCACCACCATCCAAGGTGTCAAGATCCCCACGAGGGTTCAAGCCGGCACCAAGCCTCCCCCTGTTGTAGCTAAAGTTCGCTTGGGCGATTCCCTGCCCTCCAAACTGTCACCGACCTAGACCGATCCGAGTTTTTCTTTACACCTTAACTCTGCTTCCCGGCAGTGGCAGCGGGGCTGAACCTTCAAGTTCCTGGCATCCCCCTTGCTTCGTGAATGCGAATGGAAAGCTCTGTGCATCGCCATGCAAATCAAAGGTGGAACCATGCTTGGCTGGAGCACCTGGGGTCAAAAGAAGAAGCCGGACTCAGCTGAGATCGAGATGCAAGTCGCAAACTCGTGAAGTAATGAGTTCTGGACAGGCACGAAGGACCGGCCTGCGCCTAACTACCTACCTTGCGCATGCATTTACCCTCCCTTGCCACTAACTAGCTAGTTTACTTCTGTAGGTATTTTTGGTGAGCCTCTCACGTCCGACATCTCTGCTGCATCGTCTAGAGTGTGGGTGAGTGTGTCGGCAAAGGCGAACTACCGAAGATGTTGAGCATGGAAGAAATTTCCAGGGCACACACACACGTCCTCGTAGACACACAATCCACCTCTCTCCTCATCTACCTCTCCCCCATCACAGACCATGACCGACCAACTGGCCGCTTCGACAGAACACGAAAAGGGCATACGGTAGGAAAGAGGCGTCGCCAGCCAGCCCGGCCCTGCCCTACCGCGGCCGCACTGGCATGCCACACAGCATAGCAGATAGCATGTCCCTCCTTTTTCAGGTTGGGAAGATGCTGTGTTCCAGGTCGCACCACCCCCTTCAACAAAAACCTCACTTCCAGTCAGTCAGTCAGTCAGTCAGTGATTTCCCCCCTTTCATCCCCGTCTTCCGCGCTGTCTTGTACCATGTCCGCGTCCCCTCCCCTCCCCAACAACCCGTGAAAAATCCTTTTGCTCGGTGAGAGATCGTGACCGTGAAACACAATGTGCACCAAGGAAGCTATGCGGAGACTGCAACAGCCTGCTAGTTCACTGACGGCGGACGATCCCTCGTAACCTCCTCCTACTCGTAGTTAGGCAAGCTGAACGGACCGACCATGAGATTTGCCAGGGGGAAGTTGAGTGGCATTTGTGGGGAAGCAGGAGTGGTTTTTCTTTCTCGAGTCCGTTCAAATTTCACGCCTGTTGTTAGCCCTTTTCACGGTTTTTGGGTGAGGGATTCATGCCTGGCTGTATTTGCAGTAGCAGCAAGCAACCACTAGCCAGACGGACCCTGTTCTATCTACATGACTACCCAGTAACATCCCGAAGTAGATATGGGTTTGGACTAGTGGAGGAACGACCGTTTTCGAATACTTTCTGACTGGCCCGTTCTTCTTCTATCTCCCTCCCATCTGTACGGGCCACCCATTCTGGGAACACATGCGCCAGCTGAGCACATGCCCTCCACAACCCAACTCCAAACTAAGACTCAATCGCTGTTGCTTGACACGGCTGATTTTGGTTGAGAAGCTATTGACAATGATTTGAGATATGCCTACGTTTTCGTGTTGGTGGTGTAACAGTCCGCTAGACTTGAGTGATTAGCTACCTGAGTAATGCGGAACAAGTACAAGACAAATATTTACGAAAATGCCTGTTGAAAATGTATCCTTGCCCACCAATTTTGGACTGCGAGCCTTTGTTTGACACCTGCCATACAAGCTATCTAGACCAATGAGCTCGATTCGAAATTACAAGCCCTCATGCTTGAAGTGGCTGCCATGAGACTGCCCATTAGACACATGCGCAATTTGAGAGCTTCCGTTGCCACAAAGATCGTAACAGTCTGACCAAAAAGAGTTGTCCTTGCTGTAGAGGTTGCACAGAACAGGTCAACTAAGCATGCAACGAGCCGATTCACTTGCACAGCTTGGACTCCCTATTGGCTGGGCAAAAATGTGACACTGATTGCGCATGCTGTGCCTCGCCTAGGAGTCTTGGGCTTCTTTGTGGATCTAACGGAGGTCCTTGGTTTTTGCTTCTTGGTGATCCCATGCACCATCTTCTTGTAAATCGTCAATACGAGAACAGAAATGAAGATGGTGGTGTCGAGTACTCCCTGTCCCGGACGGATGCTCCGCTCTGGTCAGCTGTCGTACGCTCAGATCTGGTAATCTCAATGACAGTGCCAGACTCGTTACCAGTAACTTGGATACGCTAACGTTAGCTGGTGTTGGCATTTTTTTGCTTTTGCCTCCCGTCCGCGTTAGTGTTGATTTGTGACAGCGGAACCGTTGCCAAAATTGTCCAGCAAACCAGCCTCACGAACAAGCTCGTAGAATAAACCTCGCTTCTTGATCAATTCCTCAGGTGTGTCATACTCAGCCACCTTTCCTTGCTGGAGAACAACAATACGATCGGAGTCGAGAATGGTGTTGATTCGGTGCGCGATGGTGATGATCGTCCGATTGTCGAAAATAGTACTGCGTAGCGTGGCTTGGAGGAGTGCATCAGTTTCGACGTCTACAGCAGCAGTAGCCTCGTCCAGGACAAGGATGTTGCTGGGTGTTAACAGCGCTCGTGCCAAAGATACAAGCTGCCGTTGACCCTGGCTCAAGTTGGAACCTAAATTGAACGCAGCCAAGATTAGCGCAAAGAAGGTAGACGGCAACGTTGAAGGGTTCGACAAAAGCCATCACTTACCTGCTTCGTGTATCGGGGCATCCAATTGGCCGGGCATACCCGAAACATGATCCTTCAACCGTGCATGCTCAAGTACACTCCACAACTCTGTGTCATCGTGAACATGGCGGGGATCTAGATTATCTCGGATCGTGCCTTCGAATAGTGCGGCATCTTGCGGGATAATCGCGAGCCGTCTTCGGAGGTCCAACAGTCCAATAGTCGAGGTATTCAGCCCGTCAATGCTATGAATCTGAATTAGCAAGGGTTTTTCCTTGAGGAAAGCATCCAAATGATGGTCGTAAAAATGCGTCCTTGGTTCGTACCTTATGTGGCCAGAGGTCGGTTCGATAATCCGGAAGAGTGCCATGGTTAGACTGCTCTTCCCCGCTCCAGTTCGACCCACCACTCCAATCTTCTCCCTAGGTTTGATATTGAGAGAGATGTTTTTCAATACGGGGTCCAGACCTTCACGATATCTCGTCGAATAGTCTTTGATACTAATCTGGCCGTGTGCTGGCCAACCAATGCTGGGCCGGCTTTTGAAAATCACATCAGGCGCTTCGCTGGTCAAGTTGGCATATTCAAGCACGCGTTCGACCGAGACGATGTTGGTTTCAACCTCGACTGTCTGGCGAACGATCCAATTCAAGGATTGAGTGATTTGCAAAGCATATGACATCTAAAAGATCAGTTCGTGGCTGGCCTTCTAGGGGGACTGCGAGCAAAAGCTTACCGAAAGACCCACCATCCCTGGTGACAGCTTCCTCCCGGTCGTAACAGCGATAATGGCGAGTGTGGCGGCAGCAAGGATGATGACCGAACCAATGAACTCCAGGCGAACTGCCAGCCATCTATTGGCGCTTACCGAAGGGAAGTACGCTCTAAGATTAGCGTCCATACGCCACTCATTTTCCATGGTGAAGCGCGCTTGCTGGCGATAGGCCCGAATAGTTGAGACGCCACCCAAAGACTCCTGAAAGTGGGCATAGATGGGGCTGCGGCTAACGCTGTCTAGTCGTTTCAATTCTCGTGAAGTTCGAAGGTAGTACTTTTGATAAACAATGTAGACCAGGCCGAGGGGGATAACAAGAACAAGGAAAGCGGGGGTCGTCACTGCTATCACACCAATGGTGAAAGCCGCCCTGCCAGTATTGACGAAAAGCTAGTTGTATGAGTTCAGAGGTCATCTTCATACTAGGTTCCATGACTCACCATATTGAAAGTACGGGCAATGACTTCATCCACTCGATAGATATCACTATTTCAAATCGCTTAGAGCAAACCCTTGTTAACAGAAAGGTGACTTATTACCTAGAAAATCGGTTGAGGATGCGGCCGATTGGGGTAGTTTCAAAGAAACTCATCGGAGAGCGGAAAATGGCGTATGCCATCCTGTCATGTAACTTTCTGGATGCCTGTAGAAAACAAAGGTGAGCCAGAGATCGGGTCATTTTCCGGGATTAGCATACCTCGATGGAACAAAAGATCCAGAGAAGGAGAGTCTGTTGATGTCAGCACCATTGTCACACGTGCACAGCAGACACTGACCTGGATCACGACAAGTAACGCAGCACCAATTCCGAACGCAAAGTAAATACCAATATACTTGCCCACATGTGGGTTGGCACCAGTGGCTTCATTCATCTCTGACCATCGTTTGAGCCAAAAGCTGCCGCCAATCTGAGCACTTTGAGCGGACAGCAGCGCAATGAAATATATCCCCACAGCAATAAGATTACTCTCCTTAGCGTATGTCGTGTAGACGGACCATTTCACCTTTCCTTGCTCAGATGTTTCCTTGTTCTGCTTGGTTTTGAGTCCAGTTTCCTCATCTGTTGTTCGGCCCATGGGGCCACGAAAACTCGCAGTAGAAGCTCGCCGAAGTGTGTTGAAGCTAGTTTTCCTGGCCGTCGAAGGTCCCAGTGGTCCAGCCCGGATTGGTGCAAGGCCGCCTATCTCTTGGCGTGATTCTTCTGCCTCTTCCGGATCCAATTCATCCTGGAAGCCGCTTGCCACCGCAGTTGTAGATTCATCGGATTCCATACCTTCAATGCTTGGACTTCTTTCGCCGTCCGACTCTTGACCATCGTCGTTAGTTGTGGACTTGATGAGGTTAGCAATTTCTCCCCTCATTGCCATGAGCTGCTGATAGGTGCCTTTTTCATGAATGGTCTCATTTCTAATGAGATACATATAATCAGCCTCTTTGAGTACATTAATGGCATTTGTCGCCAAAATTCTTGCCTTTCCCGCCAAGAGCCCGTCGGGACCTAGCACGTTGTTGATCAAATGTCTGCCAACGTGCTGGTCAACCGCGGAGAGTACATCATCAAGCAGGTATATGTCTGCTCTTGCGTATACGGCCCTGGCTAGACCAACTCGAGCTTTTTGACCTCCAGAAAGAGATATTCCCCGTTCTCCGACTTCGGTCTGATCCCCGTCAGGTAGTTGGCGGAAGTCATCAACCAGAGCACATGCATTCACGGTCTGGTTGTAGAAATGTGGGTCCCATCTGTGACCGAAGACAATGTTCTCTTTCACACTGGCATTCATTACCCATGGTGTTTGTGCAGCATATGCTATGCGTCCTCGAACGACAACTTCTCCATTAATCTTCCACAGATCACCTAAGAGTGATTGAAGTAGCGATGATTTGCCTGCACCGACACGTCCGACGATGCATGTCAGTTCTCCTTTGTTGGCATTGAAGTTGATATTTTGTAGAACGTTCTTGTCTTGTTCCTTATCCCAAGTGAAGGTTGCATCCTTGATGTTGACAGATGATTCTCCATTCTGCTTCGGTGGTTCATCGATCTGTCGAACAGAGTCGTCCTGGAGCTCATCGGCGGTGAAGAACGAGGTTAAGCGGCCCACAGCTACTGTTGCCTCGATGATACTCGTTATAACCATGGGTAAAACCGTCAGCGGAAAGGTCAACAAATTGAACAGCGTCAATGCAGGAAACACAAGATCTGTCGTAAGTGGCTTATCATTGATCAAGACGAAGACAGCAAAAGTCGAGCAGGAGACGAAGAATGGCGTCGAAGACCAGGTGAATGTAGCAAAGGACTGCGCTGCCCCAATCTTGCGCAGGTTGTTCAACTCCAAGTCATTACGCACATGGCTCAATTTCTCCATGAACGCTGAGCCCCATGCATAGAGTTTAATGCTCTTCATGTTGTTCAGGATTTCTGTCATGAGTCTAGAACGACGGTCTTTGTACTTCATTTGAGCAAGCTGGAGCTTCTTCATAAACCTGGCGATGAACCCATTGATTGGAATCATGATAATCATTGCAGCAACACCTGCAAAGCACGAGACACCAACCAATTGATAGAGCGAGAGCATGCACAGGGTGATTTGGAACGGGGCTGACCATAGCTGCTGACCCCATTGCGCAAGGTCTGCCAGTCGTTGCTGGTCTACACTCATATAAGTCACGATATCGCCTGTTGATTTTTTTGCTCGGGACTCATTCGAGAGTTTCAACGACTTGGAATAGATCATTGCCGTTAATGATGATTTAACCCTCATACCTGTTTCAAAGGCGCGTTGAAAGTACTGATGGAGGGCGGCCGTCTGAGCGATTGAAGTGGCAAACATGGCCAATCCGATGACAACTCCACGTATGGCTGGTTGGCGTTCATGTCCTTCCCCATATGAATCGACAAATGTGATTAAGAGCCGTAGAAGCTGTGGCTGGACAAAAGCCAATGTGTCACTAAGGGTTTTGATCATGGCTCCTCGCAAGTAAGGTCCACCAAAAGACCGTGCGAGAGCAATCCATAGGTTTGGTTTCTTCTTTTCCAATTCAAGGTCCCAAGCCTCTTGTAGTAATTGTCCTGTAACCTTTGTTGAATCCCTGTGGCGTAGATTCCAGAGGTCGTCTTGAGTCAAATAATTACTGTAACCAAATTTCATTAAAGGTGTCATCCAAGCAAAAGTCAGAATGGAGAAGATGTCGGCATATTCAATAGGACATTCATCGTCCGCACCCAAGGCGTCATAAACGCTCTGCTTCTTTGGAATGAAGTATTCGAGTATGAACTCCAAAATGGCGAGAGCAAGGCTGACATTGAATGTGACGAAATAGGGTAAGCGACCCTCGTAGGCCTTTCTTGCCACCAGCGACCGTAGTTTCACGGCATATGCCAGAACGAAAAACACCCAGTAAAACAAGACAACACCATTTGGGTTCCTTGACCGCCAATGCTCATGGTACTGTACAGCGAATATGACGAATAGAGAGGCGATTATAGCGATGGATGTGTAGAACCTGATATCTTTGAACCATAACGACGGTAATTGTTCGATCTGGAGTGCAGCTTGGAGGATGGTGGTGGCGATTATGGCGGCAATGAGTGATCTGGATGGAAAGTAATTAGCAGTGAGACTGATAGCCCAGGAGCTTTGGCAGTACAAGGATTTCATACAATTTAGTATAAAAGTGCCAGTTTTTAGGGACCTCTTGTGCAGTTCTTTTCCAGAATAGATACCAGAGCGCGCCAGCACCGAAGAGCACGCCCCAACCAGCGACTCCTATGATCCAGACATCAAGGAAGCAAGGTGTGAAATCCCATCTTATATCGCTCACAGGGCCCCAGCCCTCTGCATCACCACACAAGGGTTCTCGATGAAGGATATGAGTACGTGAAACGGGTTGTAAGTTGAGCGAATCAGGTCGGACGGCGGTCAAGACCGACTGCAAGGCATCTGAACCCCTCATCTATTAGGTACCTAGGGACAGCGACAGATCATGCGAGGGACGATAGATGGGAAGACGGTGTAGAGGTAAGAAGAGAGCAAGAACAGGGCGAGGTGCTGTGTATTAGTTGCAGCTTCAAGATTTCAGGATGGAGAATTTGTGAAAACCGCAGGCAAGAGCGAACCACGACGCAACAATATTGTTACTAACGACTTCACCGAGTCATCGTCGACTAATTGAGGAGCAGAAATGGGGTAGCTGCAGATCGGCTGTTCGGATTTAAGCCAAACCGTGACCAAGCTTTTTCAGTCTCATCCTCGGCGGGGAAGAATGTTCCACCGCGTGGGATCACGTGTCTTTGAGAGCGACCCACTGCCGGACCAATTCACAAGCCCAAAATCCCGACCCCCAACGCGTTCGCAAGGACTTCGCCTATGGTGATTTCACAGAGGAACAGTCGTATGCACTATCCACAACCGGTCAGCAACTACAGGGAGATACAGAGACTCGAGCATCAGGCTTTCCACTTGGTCACCAGTTTTGTGTCCGAATCTCTTCAGCCTACCAGGCAGCAGGCCAGCATTGTGACCTCGTGGTTCATCCTACAGCTGTTGTGCACATATCATGGGTCGCTTAGCTAACGTTCGAAGTCTCAGCCTCACACTGCTCGGGAGCGCTAGAGCATTTGTGCATCGTCAGACCCTGCATGAGATAAGGGCACCGCAAAACACTTCCCCAAGAAATGGATGGGGGAGAGAGATAGGGTCTGGGCCCAACAATGCTCGTCCATAGAGTTCTCAGTCCACATCAGTCGCAATTCTTGTGGTCCCTCGACACGGATTGCGTTGTAGTGGGATTTGGTCCTCGCATCCTTCACGGCGATTATTCATTTAGACGATACCGGCATTAGGCCGCTATTTAGCGCCCCAAGTCGCCAGACCGACTTGTCTACCCCTGGTTGGCTGATATCGAGTAGCATGCATCTTCGCTTCAAGGATGACTTTTCCTAGAACGACTGGTCGATGGGTTCCGGCATCTTCCTTACCGCCAGTTTGTGCGACTCCTAAGCCTCACTATTGATTATCGTGGGGATAGGGTCCGGAGTACCAGGGTCTTAGATCCAACTATCCTGTCTCACACGCATGGCAAGCTCGGATTGGGGCTCAAAATCACTCTCCTAAGCCTTGCGCAGCGGTCGTGCGTCCACGTTACGAGGAAAGTCCCATGCTGTGTTGAGGGCACTAAGTACGGGGTATATCTTATTTCAAAGGATATGGCCCCCTCTCCACACCTCCTCTCCCTCAGCCTCTCTGGCGAAAAGTCACTGGCAAAGAAGGTCCGTGTTGCAAAGCGTTTATGTTGCGATAAGGACCCTGGTTGGAAGAACCCTGGAGAACCCTGGGCCCTGATACCTATAAAGGACATCTTCAGACCAGTCACTCTTACTAGATTGCCTCGGTGACCTTGTGGAAAAGAGAAGTGTTCAGATCGCTGCGACTGCGATCTTTCTCTTTAGTTGACAATCAATCCAAGAGATACAGTGTGTAGTCCTGTTTCGACATGATGGAACGAGATCGCCCTCAATTAATCCCCGGAACAGAAGAAAAAGATGTGCAGAGTGACGTCGAAAGCTTTGACGATCAGGTGAAGCCCAGGGGAAAGGAGTCAGCAGTCTGTGCCAATGACCTTGTGATTGGAAATGGACAGACGATCAAATTGGTGTTGGAGCCTGAAAAGGCCGGCAAGGACTCAAAGGGAAAAGAGAAGAAGACTCCCCATCCACAACAGAAGATGAAAAAGTTCTGGAAGAATTTCGACCCTGAACATGTTGGAAAGGTGACTCGAATTTTACCAGAACGGATTACTGATAAAAGTCTCTTACGGACCAAATTGGAAGGAGAGACCGCTCATCGAGCAGCCATGTCATACGAGATTGCAAGAGACAACTGCATCCGGGACGTCAAACGCATCATTCGGGAATGTCGAGACTCAAACCAAAAGTACACCGATCCCCACTGGGACATTGAGCGAGATCTCAAGGCTACGAGAAGAAGAGACTGCTTGGACGGCCTTGTTGTTAGGAACGGCGATGGGCGTGACCCAGCAGACACGAAACGAATCACGGTGAGCACATTTTCGGATTTTCCATATTTCTTTAGCTGATGTCTACGAGGACGTCTTTGAGGCGCCACAGTTTTATATCGGTAAACCATCATTTGATGATGTTCTCCAAGGCTCTGTTGGGTAGGATCTGCACCTATACGTTTGTCCACTCACTGCTCACCAAGTTTAACAGGGATTGCTGGTTCGTCGCTGCTCTTTCCGCTTTGAGCTGCAACCCAAAGTTCATTGAGCGTATTTGTGTACACCAGGATCAACTAGTTGGTGTTTACGGGTTTGTTTTCCATCGGGGTATGATCAATCCGTCTGAAATAAGTGGACGACACTAATATCAGTGGGCGGTGACCAGATGGCGAGTGGCATCAATGTATCATCGATGACAAAGTCTACCTCCGGGCGCCCGCATACGATGAAAGTGGAGATATTGTCCTCAGCAGATATGGTATTGATCGTGAAAACCAAGAGGAGCACTATTCGGAGCTGTTTCAGCGAGGATCTCAAGCTTTGTATTTTGCGAAATGCCGAGATCAGAACGAGACCTGGGTACCCTTACTTGAGAAGTGAGTCAATCGATCAAGTTTTTCCTCGAGCGCGGGCTTCAATGGCTAACAGCATCAATTAGAGCCTACGCAAAGGCACATGGAGACTATTCAGCTCTGGATGGCGGGCAGTCCGGGTAAGTTTCTAGCCAATCTTATAGTGAAGAGACCGAGGCAAGAAGTGCAAATGCAAGAAACGACACTTTCCCCTTAATCCTCCATTGCGTAATGGGTCTAACCTTCAGTTATAGTGAAGCCATTGAGGATCTTACTGGAGGCGTGACTACGGAAATATACACAACCAATATCCTCGATCCAGAGCGATTCTGGACACACGAACTGTCGCGGAATGGTAAAGATTTCGTGTTCAGTTGTGCTGACGCTCGTTGGAGGGAATGGCGACCGTACAGCTCGGCCAACGAAACGGTACGAGAGAAAAGACGTGCCGGAATCGTCAGTCGTCATGCGTACTCAGTCCTGGATACCTACGAGGGCCACGGACAACGCCTTGTCAAGATCCGTAACCCCTGGGGAAAGAAAGAATGGAATGGCCCATGGTCTGATGGCTCGAAAGAGTGGAATGCCGACTGGTTGACCAGGCTAAACCATCAATTTGGAGATGACGGCATTTTCTGGATGACTTACAAAGACATGCTGACCAAATACAAGTATATTGACCGCACGAGGATCTTCGGGTCCGAGTGGCATGTCGTACAGCAGTGGATGACGGTGCAAGTGCCATGGAGTACTCTCGACTACCAGATCAACCACTTCTCCATTGACGTACCAGAGGACACAGAGGCGGTCATTGTTCTTTCACAACTCGACGAGCGCTATTTCAGAGGCTTGGAAGGAAAGTACAGCTTTACCCTTCAATTTCGAGTGCAGAAAGAGGATGAAGATGAAGATGAGTACATCGCACGAAGCAAGGCAAACTTCGAGCTCGAACGGTCTGTAAATGTCGAAGTTCTACTTCAAAAAGGCACCTACACCGTACTCGTCAAGGTAGAAGCCAGCCGCAATGGAGGCGACGACGTCGAAACAGTGATACGAGACAACATAAGCCGACGCGATAAGATCACGCAGATCGGCAAACTATACGATCTAGCTCACCAGAAGGGCCAACTACCAGGTTCTTCTCGATCGGCGAACACCTCATCCTCGACCTCGTCGTCCAATTCGTCCTCAGGCTCAGGCATAGCGACCCCAACTTCATCCGACGCCGGCACCCCCAAGGCCGAAGAAGCAAAAGCAGAAGAAAACGCCGAAGAAAAAGAAGAAGCAGACCCGAACCGCAATCCTTGGAACGCAAGCTGTGTCGTCGGCCTGAGAGTGTACAGCAAGCAAGCAGACCTGGGTTTGAAGGTCGTAGTCCCCAACAAAGACGACGATAATGTGGTGCCTCCAACTCTGGATCGCGACGACGTGGCGAAGAGTGCCCTGGAGCAAGCACAGGCGGCGGCAGACAAGCAAGACGGCACCACGGAGGACAAGAAGGAAGAAAGATAGTGGCGTTCCGCCCTCCCAAGCTTCCTGATATTTTGGCCTCCATCCATCCTTCGCTTGCCTTTGCCCGCCAGTGGCTCCCACCGTAGAGTCCACAAGCCGAAATCCTCCAAACAGAAAAAGCTCCTCTTAGAGATCTCGCTAGGGCTGGCTTTGACAAGGATCTCCAGCATCTCTGCCCTCTAGCCTACCTCCCGTAAACGAGCTACATGACGGAATATCACCTTCCCAAAAAGGCAGAAACAAATCCACACCAGCGCAACCGTCACAGCATCGCAGCAGAACCTCCTTCCTTTCTTTCATCTTACGGCAAATTCATTCTCAGCGATCCATGGCATACATACATACCCCAGCAACCCCTGATTTCCCTCGCCTCGGAATCTGCGCGCGCAGCGAAAAGCGGGCGTCAGGCTCTCTCCCGATATTTCCATGCTATGAGTTTTATTCTCACCTCTCCACATCACTCCCACGATCTTATGACATGCGGATATGGGTAATCTGTGGCAATGGCGAATCTGGAAACGGATACGGATACGGATACGGAAATGGACAGGTCATAGGAGACCAGGTTTAATGAATGCCTTGCTTCGTTAGTCTCAAGACCGGAACGGAACGGAGTTAGTTGGTGATAGGGCGGTACCTGGAGGAGGAAACGAACGGTAATGGGAGAATCAAGAGACGTGACAATATATTCACCACTCCATCTCAGCCGTCAATCTATCTACTCATTGCTCAATTAACCAAGCTCAGCTCCTTTCGTCTTTGTCGAGTTATTCACATACTGTCCTCATCCTCGCAGGTCGTTGCGATGTGATTGAGTGGATCTGAATAATCAATCCATCTCAAATACGCGTGCAACCCACCCATGTGTTCCAGGGATTCACTCTAGGAAGATCAAATTCAGGCCGCGATGGATATTTTTCCTTGACAACTGCAACACGACTGGTCGCCCGAAATGACCTTCGAATCCAAAATACTGCAGCATTAATGACTCAAAAGAGTGTTTGCATTCCATAAAAAGTATTAAATTCTCGTGGGTATCATCAACAGCTCCACTCCAGCTCATCTCAACTACCTGACTGTATATCAAGGAGGGGAGGGGGCCGTAAAGGACTGAGCAGAGGCCAGAACAAACTGCACCACCTCCCGCTTGCATGATTCACCTCCACCAGCCCATATCTACATAAACCGAAGAGCAATAGCTAGCTAGCTAGTTACCTAAGCTATTTAGATGTCTCTTGCCCACACCGAGCACCAATAAACAGCACAACCGTAGCATACAAGTGATCGCTCAAGCCTACGGGTTCGGACCCGGAGTCTCATCCAGATCCAAAATGCTCACACCATGACTGCCCTTCCTGCTCAGCGTCCCACTGGCACTGCTGACGGAGCTTTGCGCCCGACTTCTTGGCCCCTCGTCACTGCGGTACGTCTTGATACTTGCGACCTCTGCACCTTCGAGAAGTTCCTGGTCTCTCTTGCCTAGTTCTGTTCCCTTTTCGTCGTCTTCGTCGTCATCGTCGTCGTCATCTCTGTACGGTCTTTGTCCTTGCTCTCTCAGCTGTCGATCGTATTCTTTCTGAGCTTCGTCCATTCTCTTTCTCATTTCAGCGGCCATGCGCATTCCGTCGTTAACGATGTTGTCCAGTACGCCTCGGAGACCTCGGGATCCTGGCTCTACCACACCACCGGCTGTTCCAACATCGATTACAGTCTTGTTAGATGCTCCATTGATGAGGTTCTTGACTGGTGTGCCGAAGTTACTGAATGTAGTTAGGTTGCCGGATAAGGTGCTGGACGGTAATGACAGAGTGCTTGCATTTGGTGAATCGCTGAGCCGGAATGACTGGGGAAAGAATGTTTCGAAGAACTGCTCGAGTAACTCATCGGCCAATATCACCATGCGGAAAGTGGGCAAGGTGATATGCAAAGGTTTATTGGGATCCAAAGCAAGGTTATGAGATGCGGCTCGGGAAGAGCTATTTCTCTTGCCCTGTTCTGGAATAGATAGAGACGGCGTATCAGGAGGAGTCGAGATAGATAAAGGATCCTTGTCAGTGATTCTTGGGGACGCGATCGACTTGCTATGCGACTTCGTCTCAGACAGATCCAATAAGTCTTCTTGATCGGCGTCATCAATAGTTGTAGCCTCAAGTTTGGAGCTGGTGCTCTCAATGGGGTCGTTGGGTTGATCTGGATCTGCATACTCGAAACATCTTCGAATGAAAGCGCTGACTGAGCCCAAGAACTTCTCATTCGTGCTCATCTTGAGACTTTCCCTTGAATCGACACCAGCCGACACAGGAGTCGTCCCGTTTGATTCCGATGGGTTGATGGTTCCATCGAATCCTCGCCTGGAAAGAAACAAGAGAGATTCTGACATCCGCAGGATGCCTTCGCGGTCAACTTTGCCAGTCCCTTCATCGTCGAAAAGATCAAAGAAGAGGCTCATGGAATTCATGATATCGGTGGTACCCTTGAATTGCGCGAGGCCGCGAACCAGATGTTGCAAAGTCATCAGCCCTTCATGAGATTCATCCCATTTTCCATATAGCCTTTGCATGAAATCATGATCAGCGGGCTCCGGGCCAGAGCCCCATTGTGAAATGGTCTTGCCTCGTTTCCTCTGGCTTGCCAAAGGGCTCGCAATCTCCTTTGCTGGAGAAGACGGTGAATCTGTTACTGCCCATTTGGCAGTGTTGGCCAAGAATTCCCGAAAGCCGTCATACTCCATGGTTTGGAGAGGGGACTCGTTCTTTGACGGTTCATCATGATTAGGGTATGAGTGCTGGGAGAATATGCTAGGACGAGTCCTCTGTTGTTCTTGCTTTTTTCTCTCTTCATCCCGGGCCTTTGAGCGCTGTTGTCTCTCAGACAAAACGCCGAAGAAGCGGTCATAGATAACGCTGAGATCTTCGGCGCTCAACTTCTTGCTCTCTGGACCAAGATTTCTGATTGAAGTTCGCTTAGCGAAGGTTGCAAGACCTTCTTTTACATTATCGATGTGTTTTGCCCTCAATTCCTCCACACTAGCATGTGTAATACCTGCAAACTCCTTGAAGGCTGTTACCATCAGCTCCTGGAACCTAGTGATTGCCTTCAACTTTTCATTCTCTGAATGTGGGTGAGCAGACTCGTCTAGTCTTGAGAAGTAGTTCTTTAATATCGAGATAAAGGCGCCGTCATCGGTGACATCGAGTAATTCCTCACCATTTATACGAAGGATAGCCAGACCAATCTGAAAAAGAACTTTCGGACCTTCCAGGAAGAAGACATCTAGGACCCGGAAGGCGAAAACAAGGGGCATGGAGTTTATGTACAGAGACAAAAACCAGGGTAGCGAGACGACGGATAAGTTGACATCGGATTTGACAAGGTGTTCCCATAGAACAGGCATAGTTCTCTCCACCAAATTTTCGAAAACACGTTGGTCCAAGAGAGTGCCGTACATATCCTTGGAGTAGTAACCTGGAAGTAATCTGTCGCACAAGGCTCCGAGGATGAAAAATGCCTGAGGTTCAGACATGTATATAAGAAGTGCAGCCACGACGATGTTCATAGCCTGGCAATAGCCGACTTCCTCATTGGTCCAGCTGTACGCTGTAAGAACTCGCCTCAGGCGGCCGATGCCTTCATCACTTTGAAATCCAGGGTATTCGGGAAGGCTTCGGTTCAAATCCTTTTCAATTTCGTCAATGGCCAAAGAGCCTTTGCCGGTGAATTTTTCCAGCACTTTGTTGTACATGTGGGGATTTCTGAGCCTGGTATAGAAAGAGCCCGAGGCGACTTCCCATATCTCACCTCTGAGTCGATTAGGCAGACCGACACGTATAAGCTTATGAAAGGTGGGTTGACGGACAATAGTGGCATTCCGGCCATTTTCTCGCATGTACTCACCCCACAGTCTGATTTTACTTCTATCTCGGAGCTTTCGAGCATCTCCGGGATAGCGAAAGAGTATTCCGAGGCCAGTATCGGGTGGTTCGGGGGCTTGGGTGCCTTCCTCCTTGGCCTTGATTCTTGCCGGATCCAAGAGATATTCCGAGTAGCATTGGGCCACCACCGCACGTAAAGCATCGGCTTCTTTCATGCCCTCTCTTAGGCCCTTTTTTAAACCATCGCAGAAGCGCTCGCAAGCAACCCGACTTCCTTCTAGATTCAAGACCAACTTTCGAGGAGGCGGATTGAGAAATGTGGATTTCTCTATGGAAAGCTTTTGAATGGAGTCAATGGTGGTGAGAGCTAGTGAGAACTTGTCCTGATTGCTATTGAGCCTTTCGACCCTACGAATCGAACATAGAGGAAGAGTAAAGCCATGACCGCCAGGCCCCGAGCCCTGAGTGGGACCAGTGAACGAGGTCGAAGCACTATTGCTCGCGGAGGGCAGAAAACTAGTTCGAATGGTGGAAAAGCAGAGGAAGTGTTCACTCAAGTGTAGTTCTCCATTGTATTTGTTGCCATAATCCTTTGACTTTTCGCCGGAGGTGACAGGGGTTCTGGCTGGGGTGGATGGGAGTGGAAGGAAGAGTTCAGCAGTGATTTCATGGAGGGGGTTCTGGCCGGCGGGGAGTCTGAATTGCTCTCGAAACAGGGCAGCCTTGGAAGGACGGTTGTCATTGATGGCGGCAAGAGGGGATTGATCAATGAACTTCTGAACGAAAGAGCTCAACATGGCCGCAGAAAGACGACTCTTGGGAGGATAGGATAATCGAGGTTACAAAACAACAGTCACATTCTGCCCATTATTGCTTCATTGGGAAGTGGCTGGCTTGGCTGAGATGAAGGGTCGATCCACACGCAAAGATGTCAAACAGAAATGATAGCTGCGTTGAAGATGTGTTTGCTTCTGCTTGAACGGTATTGCAGGTGTTGTGGTGTTGTTGTCTGGAAAGCACGAGTACCTGGCTGCGTACCTGAGGTCTCACTCCGGGTCTGGTTGGGGGGTTGCCGTCTGAGGCGTGCCGCACCCAGCGTGAGCCTGGAGCCTCTTGCAGGCGCCGCCATCAACGCGTGCAGCGAACTCGCCTCACTTACTCGATCCGAAGCCGAAGGCTGAAGGCTTGGCATTGAGCGCTTACGCCAGCCGCACGTGCTCCTATCGGTCGGTCACTCACAGCAACAACAATATATCTGTAGTGGACTCGTCTGACCTTCTATTGCAAGTTGGATCTAGTTCTACGAATGCTGTTCCAATGACCGAGTCTGGATGTTCTCGACACATCGAAATTAAATGCCTGATATAGAATTGTATAAAGTCCCCGGCATTCACCCATCGTATCATGCATGCCCTCTGAGAGATATCCATCGCGGGAAGAATCCCTTTTATCCCCGGCAGAAGACCAAATCAAACCAGTTCCCTGATTCATTCCTTCATTCATTCGTAGGGTGACTCCGCTGTTTTCCCAACCAGGAGCAAAATCCCTTCAGAAACGAGACCAAGAGTGCAAGCGCTGATACCCATACAACGATGATTCGTGGCCTCATGAAAGCAAGCAAGCAAGACTTCTCTTACTCCTCGTCGTCCTTTGTCAAAATTAGCTCCACGACAACGTGGCTCTTCTCATACTCAGGATGCTGCAATGCGATCTTAGGGGTTCGCGGTGCATTTCCAAAGTTCTTCAGCCCCAGTCCATTGATTCCTCCTCCTAGCACTGCTGGTGATTGAGTTTGCCCAGCTCCAGCTCCGGCACCCCCACCGCCATCATCCAGCAGTCTGATGTCTTTCCCTGCTATAACCTGTTTCAGTCTCCCATTCTGAGCGTCACGAATTTCCACAAAGTCATCGTCCACCAGGATGAGATACTGCGCATACAGGCAAGCCGACTTCGCCCTGCCAACGAACTCCATGACCACTCCACGTGAGATATCTCCATGCTTGTTGACATAGACTGCACATTCTTCAAAGGTCACCAGGAACTCAGCATCGCCCAGTCTGAACATGCCCAGTGGTTTCAAGTCTTTGATTCGCGTGGCGATAGAACTGAGGTGTGCTTGCGTTTCCGGTTGATCGCTGCGCAGATTTGGCACACTCCAGGTTTGTTTCTTTTCGAGTGTCAACACTTCCACACCTCTTGCAGTGGATATTGCCAGACTTGATTGGTAGAGATTCAACCCGTAGCATTCTGCAGGTATATAGAACTCGTCATACTCTCTGAAAAATTCAGTCTGACCACGGCGTGACGCTGAAGGCAGGAATCGGGACCGACTAGTTGTGCTCTTCTGCAGTACGGGTTCGAGAACTTTGAATGTAGACGCTATCCCGTCTCTCTTCTTGTAGAAGACCAGGGTTCGATCCTTCATCCTGCCAGTCACAAAGAAGCCGATATCTTTGGAACCCGATAGCTTCTGCGGCGCTTTGCGACTTGACGCATCTGCCTGTGGAAGAGAGTTGCCGGAAGGCGGGCATACAACATCAAGATGGTATGCAATGAGAGCCTTGTCTGATATGAGCAAGAAGAGATTGAACTCTTCCAGGACCGCAATTTGCGAGACCTTGGGCATTTGGATGGCCTATCTCAGTTTTAGTGTGATTCTTTCTTAACTTTTGGGGACGTAACTTACTCTGATCCATCCCCGAGAATTTTGATACTCGGAAATGTATACCCCATAATCGGTCCCGATCGCGCACATTAGTCTGCCGTATGGCTGATTGAAAACAGTAGCACAATTGACTTGAGCTCGACAAACAGGTGCGGGTCGACCCTGGCCCTCGAACCTTTTCTCCGTCTCTTGAATGGCTCTATCGAGAGGTGTGCCACGAATGAGAATGCGTCTCGCAGGGTATGTGAGTCCCTCATAGCCAAATGCAGTGTCAGCAAGTACCCGTAATTTGAACGGTTCTGCATTTTGAGAAAACAGGGATTCGGCATGTCTTGTTTTGGCTTGGATGATGGCTTCGCACCAATCTTGTCGATTCTGAGCGCTGGGTGCGTAGAGAGTGTAGGTCTCTGTCTTCCCAAGATGCTTGACCCGAAAAGGATACATGATCTTTTCCTCTTTGGAACTGTTCGACTCCAAGGTGGTGATGGTAACCATGGACTGGCTGTTACCCCCCGAGCCAACCGAAAGGTTGGTGTTTGTGTGCGTCAGAGGACCAATTCTCTCACCACTAGCGGTTGATTGGGCTCGTGAAATCCGATTATCAGCCTGACTCCGAGGAACGACAGTTGTGACTGCACCAATACCTTTGACCGAGGATTTGACCACCGCAGCGTCATGGGCACCCTCCAGAACCAGTAGATCCATCGGAATTGGAACTTTGGACACGTCGTAAAACCCTTCTCGGCGTGGATCACGTGCCAGAGGCTTTGCAAGCACAAGATAATGGTCAAAGAGGATGGCATGAGTTTCAACCCATTGAAAACCCTTCCCTCCTGCACGCTGCAAGTCGCCTCGAAACACGATCTCTCGCCCAAGATGGTCAAGATTGAGCTCAACCTCCTTCTCCATTTGTGGTCGAAGCCGCAGTTTGGTCTGCATTTCGATCAACTCCATCTTTTTGCCCATTTCGGCATATTTCGAGTCACACTCAAAAGTAGCTGCCCGGATTTCGTCCAACGCAAACGCAAGGCTGGTTTTTTCTTCCGAATCCTTGATCATGTTCTTCTGAACCGTCTGGAGAAGGAGACTGTATCTCTGCAGTCTGGTGATGGGACTTTTTAGATAACTGTCCCAACTGAGTTTCTTGGAGCGGGAATCAGTCTGAGCTTGGTCCAGGAAGGTTTTGAAGTGAAGGTTACGTTCAGCCTCCCGCCGCATGAGGTAATCCGCTCGAGGAAAGTTGGCCGCGTATTCAACATAGACAGGTCGTGCTTTTCGGATCCACTCGCGGAAGATATCGCTGAAGCCGACTATCCAAGGTCCTTGCTCAGTTTGCCGATATTTGAGCTGCCCCAGTAGGTAATCTTGATTGACCTTTTTCACCTTATCGATCCCACCAAACACCTCTTTCAAGAAAGTCGGCAACTTTTTACTCGGTATGATGGGTGGCTGAGATGCCGAAAGTCGATCTCTGTACAGAACTCTCAGAACATCTAATTGGCTGATGTAGAGGTCTTCGCTCGTAACAACCTCATGCAGAACGTTCTGACGTTCGATATCTTTCTTGTCGTGGCCTTCCAGGTCTTCCTTGGTGAGTTTGTAGTAAGTGACCCAGTCTTCGGACTTCTTTTCAAGTGGCAACGTGTCGAGGTCGATCTTCTTCAGAGTTCTCATACAGTGGTACGAGTAGCATCTTCCTTTGGTGTGATATAGATGCAACTTGGATGAATAGCAACCGGTTCCGCTTAGCTGGTAAAGAACGCCAGACATATTGCCGGGTCCAAACTTGACCCATTCCTCCTCCCGAACTATGGCCCCTGCAGCCAACATTTCTTTCACAACTCGATCTCCCAGCGCCTCAGCCTCGGTAATGTACATGGTTGGCACTTTGTGCATGAAGAGAGCAACAAGCCCCTCGGCAATATTGTTCTCCTTCAAATCTGCTTCTTCCTCTGCCAACTCTCTGATCCATGCCAAGACAGAGCTGAGTGCCCAAGGTTCTGAACACTTCTTGAACTGATCAGTGGACAATTTCGCCGGATTATATCGTTTCTTAGGGATAGCCGGAAGGTCAAGTGCCACCGCAGATTGAGGGCTCGCAAGGTCGTAGATATCTGACATAGGCCGCCCCTGTTGTTGTCGGAGCAGCCTCGCACGGTCAGATTCAGTCTTTGATCTCATCGGATGGTCAATTCTTGGAGCGCTTCGTGTGCTTGAGAGCGACGTCGACCGAGGTACAGCAGTCGGACTCAACAGCGAGGCAGAATATGAGTCTGGAGCGGCAGGGTATGATATTCGAGTGCCGGGGTCAGTATATTGAGAAAATCTGCTTTGTTGTGTATAAGTCCCAGCCGGCATGAGATGAGGTATTGTTCGTATGCCAGGGTCTGAATGCGCCGGAGGAGGTGGCAGTGGCCGCTGTTGGCTCATGCCTGGATGGAAGAAGAGGTCAGGCATCGACTCGCGTGATGGACTTGTGTCCCCAGAGGCTTGTCCGTTGTCCGAATCCATCAATGTTGCCTCGTCACCATCTTCGTAGCTCAATCGTCTTGGATGGGGACTGGGTTCTGTCAAACCCCCCGTGCCTCCAGTGTCCACTCTGGCAACATTACGGATTGGAGAGAAAGGATGTAGATCCTCGGCAGGAGGAATCGAGTCGTAACCGCTTGTCTGGGACTCGCGTCCTTCAGAAGACACCCCGGAACTTCGAACTGAGCTCATGCGGGTGTTTAATCGTCCATACAAATCGCTTTGGGGCATCGTAGTGGGTGCATTATATTGAGATGAGCTGCCAAAAGACAGGTCTGGTCCATAGCTTCCACCGGCAGCACCGCTGAGATCATAGCCAGTATAATCGCTGTCACTACTCTGCTCCTGGGAAGACAGACGAGGAACTGTGTCGGTGGAGTGAGAATGGCTTGGGAAAAGAGTGGCGGAGCCCTGAGTACCACTGCGTCTTCGCGCATCCTCAGCACGTTCTTGCTCATCAAGGGCGTTCAAAGCAGCTAGGCCAGCAGCAGCCTCTGCGTCGCTATCATCTGTGAATGCACCATAGTTGATATATGTATCTCCTGTCGAGGCGATTGTGCCATTGAGATGGGTGGGGACCTCATCCGGCGAAAGCTGAGGCTGTGGCGAGGGCTGCTGAAAGCGTGCATCAGAGCCTTGATCTCTGGCATCTGCAAATCGTTGATTGTGGGTGGGCTGGGAAGAGCCGCCTATAGCGGCGTCAAGGCTGTTAATCAGATCATCGTAACCAGGCGACACGGCATTCCGCGAGCCCGCATTCGAGGTTCCCACATGATTCAAGCGATCGTTGTCCGATTCTGAGCCTGATGGGACACCTGGAAGTGATCTTCCCTGAGGATGACGATCAAGTGTGTTATTCCGTTGTGGAGACCTGTTGGAAAGTTGTCTACTCGGAGGGTTGGAGGAATAAGGCTGGGGGGATGGAGTCCGCCCACTCATGCGGCTTGCAAATGACGAGTTCCGGTTGATATCGGGGGATGAGAAGGTTGTGAGACTGGAACTCTGATGTTGACCCGTTGATCCTGATGCATAAGGGTACCCTTCTTCGGGAATGCTCGATGACTGGTGGTAGGCTCGATTCGTCACTGAGGTGTCGTGTGGTGGAGGCTGCGGAGGAGATGGAGAGTAGGCCTGATGGGTCTGACCTGGGGAGACACTACCGGGATGGCGGACAGGATATTGTTGGGCGGAATCATGTTGATAAGCGCCATACTGCTGAGCTTGAGGTTGTGCATATGAGAAGCCATCCCCGCGTGGTGGCGGTGGAGGCGGCTGGGAAGAATAGCTGGACTGTGAATTGGTGTCGAAGTACCCGTAGCTGTTTGTGTTGTAGACAGAGGGCTGCCGGGTGAGATTGGGGTCACCGTAGGCCGCAGGCACGTAGGGCTGGTATGGATTGGAAGCAGGATGAGCAGATTGAGGGGTTCCATACGTCTGGACATTGTATGTAGACTGTTGCTGCTGGTACTGAGCGGGATTGTAGGACTGATGGGAGGGAGGAGACGGTTGCTGATATTGATGCTGATAGCCACTGAGGGCTGAGTGTTGGGTGTTTGTTCTAAAAGGCACCGTCGACGAGGAAGGAGGGGGGTGGTAGCTTGCGGACTGAGAACGGTTCATTGGGGGACTGGCGGCTCCAGCAGACGAAGCGTATGTTTGATATCCTGATCCGAAGCGCATCTGAGGGTCTTGAGCATCAGCCAGTCGATGGTCATCCCCAGCATCGAAACTGGGTGTCCGTTGGATGGGTTGGGTGGGATAGGATGGGTGGGAGGCGTAGGGAGGATGCGCGGGATTCTGAGATGAGGACGGGTGATTATTCTGGGAGTAGTAAGGCTGTCCATTCTGATAGCTGGCCATGATCAGCGCACAAGCGGCGGGAGGAGGGTTTCGCGATGAAGCGAGTAAGAGAAGTCAGCGCGGGCTTTTGGTGAGACTCGGCTGCGCATATTCAGATGGACCGAATGTGCATTCAAAGTCGAGATGAGGAGGCCAGGACACCAGCACCAATGTGCAGTCACCCAGGCAGAGGTCAGACGACCATGCCAGTGAGTATTGATGATTGTACAGACGGGTAATCGGGACGCAGGACAAAGTCTCGAGCAGAAGACGGCGAGCGGACGAGGTGAGGCAGGGCAGGGCAAGGCAAGGCAACCTCGGGATGCCACTGGTAGGTTGGTGATACACAGGGCAGAATCGGAGTCTGGCCAGCAAAGGGCAACGGAGATGAAAAAGAGTGGAAAGACACGAGAGCGAGAGAGAGGGCGATGACAATGGCGCACAAGAGGATGGCCAAGAGACAGGATAGCGATTCAAATTATGGATGAGCGAACGCAGTCGTGGTTGTGGCCGAAGTCGAAATCATATGCGATGCAATAATACCAATGCCAAAGTCAAAGCGATGGTGAGGACGTGGTGAGGTGTGCAGTGGTGGTGTGCGGTGATCCGTGTCCTGCAGTAGGAGTGCAATTCAGTCAGTGGGAGCCAGGAGCCTAGGGGAATGGAATGGATGATCTAGACAGCACGTTGGCGGCACCGGATTTAACTCAGGGCGATGATCCCGGTCGAGAGTCTCAACTGCAGTTGATGGTCTTGAGACGCTTAGGCTGGAGTTTAGTGGCAAGCTAGGGGCTCAAAGTGATGACAAGTAAGCCGTGGACCGCCCATTTTTGAACTCTGGGCTGCTAGCCGAAACCCTCCTTTGGGTATCTAGTTAGGTACCTCTATCCGTACACAGTGGTCCAAGCGGTTCTCGTTCACAAGGGTTCCATCAGTTCAAGTTGTACTCGTACAGACGACTATCCTCCAATGCTCCGTAGCCCCATTCCTCTCGTTAAATCTCTGGCCTTTTGTCAATGACTCCCGGATAAATATAGCTTCAAAATGGACCCAACCAGGCAGCCTGACTTGGAGGGTCGATTCCCGGTCGTCACTCGTCCCTGACTCACTGCTGGAGCTCGTATCCTCAGATGTGCTCCTTGATCCAGACTTGAGTACCTACATGTACTTCGTACGGTACACTTAGCCAACTAACTAGTTGCTACTACCAGCAGTGTTGTTGTTGTTGTTGTTGTTGTTGTTGTCTTCCCGCAATGCCTTGAGCACGCCTTCAGCCACTCTTGTCCCCTCTAAAGCTGCTGGCATGCCGCAATACACCGCAACTTGTATCAATGTCTCCCGAATTTCCACCTCGCTGGCACCGTTATTGACAGCCCCTTTAACATGCACGGCCAATTCAGCCATGCGGTTCAGCGCACATAACATTCCAATATTCAACAAGGACCGAGTCTTGCGTTCTAAACCCTCACGTCGCCACACCACACCCCAACCCACCTCGGTCACCAACTCTTGCAATGGCCGAGCAAAGTCTGAGACGTTTTGTAGTGATTTCTCGACGTGCGCTTCACCAACGACCTCTTTGCGTATTTGGATGCCTTCTTCCCAAAGCGTCTGGTGAGCCTCGGCTAACTTATCCGTTGATGCCATGTTTCTTTCAAGACCCGATTGAATGAGTGCTTGGTTGACAGCTGGGTGACCTCGATCAAGTAAATATTGCTGACATGCTCAGTTACTTATGTCGCGGCTCCGAAACTGAGCGTTGATAAGTAGTAAATTGTGGGGGCGCCAAGATGGTCTAATTCTGGTAGTATAGCGTGGTACATATTGCTAGGTACCTACGAGTACGTACCTAGTGATCAGCAGCATCTGGGCCAACAGATCTTGCTTCGGTGCGCACGCAAGAGACAACGTGGCTTCCTGGAACACACGGTTTTCCTATAGTCGAATGTCTGGTTCCCTCGTGCTCTTCGAATCGAAGATATGTTGGAGAATGACCAGGAATGCCTGCGAGTCGCAACTCTGCGAACCGATTTTGATGCACCGCAACCACATGGCTTCCCAGTGTCGACTTCTTCGCCAAGCTGTAACAGCTGCTTGATCACTTCAAAACCAGCTCCTTCGGCTGCTAGATGCAAAACCGTCAAGCCATCCACTCCATCGTGCTTGTGCAGTTTGGATTGAGCCGCTCCCAAATCATCATTGGTGAATCCGAAATTCAACATTCAAAATAGAACGTCAAGGTTTGTTGCCTCTGCGATGCCTCCGGCAGGCTTCCTTCCTGGGGAGCTCAAGTCACCCGGGCCATTGAGTTTGATCCATTTCATCTAACTTACGCAAAGTCTTGGGGCATCGCCCGTCGACAAGACTACATAGTGTACGGGTGTGTAGCTGCAGCTATCGAATATATCGGCTTTGAACCAATGGCACATAAGCACCGCCACTCTCCGATGAGCACCTCCAAACGCGGTGTAGAAGAGCCAATTGAGGTCCCTATAGTCGACTCGTGCCACTCCTGGGTCGGCCACATGCTGTGTCACTATGTTCATGGCTTGCTCCCCGTCTGTATCAATGATGAGTTGAAGGGGAGATTGTCCAACGTTGTTCTTGGCATGAAGCAGGCTCCTGAAGAGTCGCTGTTTGGGTTGGCCCCGAACAAAGGTTATGATGTTTAGAGAGTGAGACCTGGCAGCAATGTGAAGCAAGTTGTCTCCTTCCTGATCAGTAGCCATGGGAGAATGCTTGCGCTCAATCCAGAGGAGCTGGTAACTGTCAGCGCAATCATGTTCTGCCATCAAATGTAACGCACTTCTGCCGCACTGGGGTTTGCTTCGAAGATTGCCCCGTGGTTCAGAAGAAGTTGAAGTACTTGAACAGAGTCATTCACCGCGGCAATACGAACTGGTCGGCACGCACGACAGGTTTTGAGCTATGGATCCAACAAGGACCTTCCATCACTTCTGGTAAGCGAGGTACTGCCTGGAGGAAACTGTCACTTGGCCCAGAATGTGGGCTGTTTCTTTCTTCTGCGCTGTTGAGTAGTGAGAATGAGTGGTCTTTTCTACAATGGGACATCACCAATTGTTGAAATATCAGTCCTGAAGTCCACACTCCTGATTTCGAAGCCTTATTCTCGAGAAGGCAGGTGCCTTTGCATATCACAGGGATTGAATTAACAGGATTTTCTTTTCTCTCTCGTTTCACAAGCATGTCCTCACCCCTACATATCCGAAGCGCACGCTGAGCCTACATGACAAAATCAAAGAAGGATCAACGGCAATGTGGCGCACATTTCTTGTTGACAAGAAACTGAGGACTTTTCAAGCGGCTTCTCTGTTCATCATACAGCCGACATCTCGAAGAATACCAAGAAGACATGCAGTTTAATGGTTAGCCCGAAGCATACTTGAGAATGTCGTTGCGGATCTTGACTTACGCACAGTTTTTCGGTGGTCGTGCATCTGAATGCGGCGAACCTGTTCTGACTCATTTCAGCGATTGCTTGGAATTTGATTACCAGCCCTCAAGGCTATGGGCTCAGGCGGAATGCTGGGTCCACGAGTCCAAGATGCCCAGAGGACCCCTTGGTCCCGTCAATTTTGGTTTCTTTGACTTTTGCGTCGGGACATTGAGATCGCAAACGATCGACCTTCTCCAAATCGCCATTCTGCTGCAATCTGTACCACATGGGGGATGGTCAACAAGAATGAATCCCCAACGTTCGCCGTAATAGTTGTCTCTTGCGCTACCTCTTCGGTACCTGTCGTACAAAGATGAGCCTATGTAACTCATATTTGCTGTTGGGATATGCCGAGGTCGTACCTCAACAATGGGTGTACGTCGCAGGGTAATCTCGCCTCAGATCTGTAGACTGGGGAAGGGGGGTTTTTCCGGACACCCAAATCCACTTGCTCCCATCACCAACTAATGAGATCAAAACAAACGACCAGTTCTCCAAAACAAGTGTGACCGATTTGGAGAGTGTCTGGTCACAGTAATTTGGAAGTTCTAACGTTGGTTTCCCCAATAAACAGCAGTAGGTTATAGCTTTTGTTTTGCTGGTGAATTGATGAGGGCCTGGGGGACGTGGGTTGGGATGTCGAAAGCTAACTAATTAATCAGGGGCACAAGGCTGCAGTTCAGGGGCACCAATTACGGGTGCCACAATCGCACTGAATCAATGCTTTGACAAAAGATGAAGGTGGTATATTGTGATGTAAAGGCAACATTACTTTGATCTTCGTGCTAGCTAGGTTACGAAAGAATGCATTCTCGCACCGTAGAGAGGATTTAACTCAGTGCTAATAGTGACTGCCCATTTCAGGAATTGCCTGGACGATGCTCCTAAATTTCGTAAAGTTTAACTAGGATAGTTCTGTGGAGTTGTTGAGCTCGCCAGCAGCCGCATCAAAGACTGAATGTTAACTACTGTTTCCAAATTCCAAAGCTCCGAAATCGCTTTGCTAACGTTCGTCTGCTCGAGCTTGCCTTCAGCTGCCTGGTCCTCAAATTTGGAATTGAGCTGTTCCGCGGTCATGGGATTCTCCAAAGACCCTAACGCATGTTCGATCGTGACCTCCTTCATTCTCTCAGTACAATCAGCGGACGTGTACCAGAATTTAACAATGGCCTGGTTGTCTCTGAATGACTCGTTTGGCAGCAGCGTGATGCGATCTCGCATACCTGCCACGATAGAATCGTCCGCAACCTCCTTTGAGAACTCTTTGATGCCTCCTGCACCTAGTATCAACCCCACTGACAGACCATGATAGTTGCTGAAGAGGGTCTGTACCAGCTCTTGAGGATGTCGTATACCACAAAGCCGAATTGTCATAGGTGAGACCGTTGCTTCAATTTTTTTGACAATGCTGAGAGTGTCTTTCGGGCTCCGCCCGTCTCCAAAGATCTCTTGCCGAGCCTCTATCCCTGAATCTATCAACGGATGGATGACAATCCCGCAGGGATATGGCTTGAACGCATTCTCCAGCAGTTTCCAATCCCGTTTACCGTTCTTGACATGTAGCAAATCCAATATTCTCTGAGGGTGGCTTTCCTCCCCTGCTACAGACATCAGATTGATCCATTTCTCCAAGGCGTTTGTGGTGCTGCCGAAGTCTTTACTTGCGAGTCGCGCAGCAAGAATTCCGTTTTGAGCTCCGCGACCCGCGTGCATAATCAAGGTGTCGGTTGCAAAAACGTTCCTGGACCCAGCTGACATACTGCTAGCATGACCAAGTGCTGTGGCCATGCCATGAGCGTCCAGCCCCATGAGGCTTGATATCGCCGCTGCAGCGCTGAAGGACCCTACGATGCCTGTCAAATGCCAGCCCTTCTTGTAAGGCCCGAATCCCAACGCTTTTGTGAGAGTTAAGCCCACCTCAACACCGATTATGAAGGCGAGGATGAAGTCCTTTCCATTGAGACCTGCAGCCTCTGCATAAGCCATGATAGCTGCCAAGGGCGGGCCTGATGGATGGGTAAGAGTCGACAAGTGAGTATCATCGAAGAACCGGGCGGTCATCATCAGTCCATTCAACAAAGCTGCATCGTCAACTGTCGCCTTTTCCACAACCGCTAGCACTGTTGACTGTCGAGGGCTTTTGGCAAGCGGGTCTAGTGCGGCGTATAATTTTGCGGCGGCTGGGAGGGAACTGGGTGACGATGATAGCCCGCAACCAATGCTGTTAAGGATACTGGCTTTGGCCATATAGATAACATCTTCCGGTAGATCTTCATATTTGAGACTCGTCAGGAATTTGCAAAGTTCTAAGGTGAGATCTTGCGATGGTCCAACCGATAGATCAAGCGACATCCTGTTGGTATGGCAAAGTCACGATTGTAACGCCAGTCAATGTCTGAACTCCGATTCCTCTTTCTCATTTGGCTTTGTGTGCTACACAAGGCAATGACAGTATTTCAAATACCGCTTGTGTTCTACTATCGGAAAACAACATCGGATTAAATCCACTCCCGTAAGGGAACCCATTCTCAAGTTGCATGACCGAGGTCGGTTACCTAGGTAGTTAGTTACGGAAGGCAATAATACCTGGAAAAGGAGGAGATTTACCCCAACATGCCGCGTCCCCGCACCCCTGCCCCACATCAGGCTGATATCTCCAATTCATCGAAGGGATCGATAGCACAGAACGTCGCCGTCGGCTTGAACAGAACCTCACACCACTGGTTCCTTTACTTATCGGCTGATGAGATACGAGACTTTGACTTAAGTAGCAAGTGGACGTCACTCAAACCTTGGGTTCGTACTGCGACACAAGACCATCTCAGCTCAGTATCATCGACGGCTCTTCTCATTGCGTCATACAACGGACTCAGTCTAGCCTTCATGGCAAATCCAACAGATTGCGAAGTACTCGTTGTGGGTGCAGGTCCTGTCGGCCTGTTGACTACGCTTTTCCTCGCCAAGGCAGGCGTTAATGTGCTCCTCGTCGATGGTTTACCTGATGTCGACGAATCCCCTCGAGCCATGGCATACGGCCCTACCGCAGTTATAGAGCTTGAAAGAGCTGGTGTGGCTGCCGACGCACGTGCAGTCGGTATGGACGAAACGGATTACGACCATCGCCTGAGATGGATCACTGTAGACAACAAATTGATAGGCGAATTCAAACCAGAAGATAAACTTCCAGGCTCCTTTCCCCCGATCATCTGTGGACAATATGCGCTGGCCAAGATCATGAAGAGTCACGTTAACCGATGTGAAAATGCGAAGGTTAGCTCAACGCAGATGGATATTGACTAGCAGCTATTTCATCCCTTGCTAATCTCTTCGTTAGATACTGTTCAACCATAAGCTTTCTGAGATCAGAGAAAGCAATGACTCGATCATCGCTACGGTTGAGACACCTGCCGGCAATCGAGAGATCTCAGCAAGATACTTAGCGGGCTGCGATGGTGGAAGGTCAACTACAAGGAAATTGTTAGATTTAACATACGACGGCTTCACTCTCCCTCAGTGGCTCGTAGCCTGCAATGTTCGATATCCTTTCAAAGAGCACGGTTTTGAGCGTGGCCAATTCATCGTTCACCCAGAGCACTTTAGCTTAATTGCGAAAATCGACCCAAGTGGATTATGGCGTTGCTCATATAACGAGAAGGAAGATCTAACCAAAGAAGAGGTTCTAGCTAACGTTCACAATAAATTCGAGGCGATGTTTCCGGGACCTAAACCGTTGAAGAAGGACGCTTACAAACTCGAAATGGTCAGCCCTTACAGGATTCACCAAAGGAGTGCACCCTCGTATCGCAAAGGAAGGGCTCTTTTGGCAGGGGATGCAGCACACGCATGTTCGCCATTCGGAGGTAAGCAACGTTGGACAACTTCTTGATATTTTGCTAACGAGACATTCTAACAGGTATGGGACTGACCACTGGTATTTGCGATGCCGCAGGTCTAGCAGACTCACTTATCGGTGTCCTTCGGAAGGGCTGTGATGACTCCATACTTGACAAATACTCCGATATTAGAAGACAGAAATACCAGGATGTTACACACAAAATCAGTTACAACAATACTTGTCTGCTGCGAGACACGGATCCGGAAAAAGCCTCTGAGGTTGAATTTTTCAAAATCCTGAATGGGTCGCCTGAGGGAAGGAGGAAGATACTGGAGAATGCGTACACTCTTGCGTATGTCAAAAAACAGCTCATTGCTGCAATCGAAGCCATTTCACGTTTACTGACTATTGGCACTACAGACACGATTTCACACAGTATTGGCCTTCGGGACCAGTGGCGGACGCAATCGAGAAAACAATGAATGTAGATTTCAAGCCCGTGCCCCCAATGGCGAATACGATAGTGGGAACTTAAACGTCTCGTACAATGTGTACACAGTGATTGAGAATGGGCTGTTCAACCGTGGATGGTGTGACAATAGTGTATTTCAGATCTGTATGTAGCCCCTCAGAGCCATGTGAATAAGCACGTCATTCTTTAGTCGTCTGAATTCAGACACCGCGTGGAGGAAATGATTCGGAAATTATGCAGTAGAGAAAATAGCTTTTTCGAGTGGGTCCAAGTATCGAAGTCTAATGGCACGTACAAAATTTTGATTGCATGTAGGCCTCATATGAAAAACTCCATGTGCCATTTTGTATGCCATAAAGTCACATTTTCTATATCGCCTACTATACTAAGCAGAGTTGGAAGTAGATTGAGTCTATGTGGGCCTTTGTCGTCGTTCTGGAGGCTGCACTATAAGCTTGTTCGACATTCAAGTCAAAAAGTTGGGTATTTGATGAATTTAACATTACGACAGGCTGATCTGATCATAAGTTTTATGTGAGCGAACATGCTGTTATCCTTCTATCGTATTCATATGTAGTAACTATGGAGTAGGTGTGAAGAGAAGCCCGTGTGTATAGTGCTTGAGACCTTCTCTTACAAAATACAGCACGTTCTTCAAACCAAAATGACGTATTTGGGGTTATAAAATCGAGGTTGCAAACTACCACTGGATTCATCCTTGTGACAATGTGCTGCTGCTCACCATGCGTAACGAAAATTGGTATTTTGGAGGTCAGTCTCATCGGTGAATGGGCGGCCAGAGACCTTTTCGCCGTATTGCCGGTCTCTCTTGTTGTTTCGCGTGCGGTAAATATAGTAGAGAACCTGGGCTGCGAGGATATTGTACGCCTGACAGATCATGATGCCCAAGAAACCAGACTTGTAGTTGTCTTTCTGGTTCATGATCAAGGGGCTCATGGTCGACGATGCGCAGAATGCAATAAAGATGCAGCTGTTGAGGGTAGACTTCTTGGTGTGTCCAGCAACGTTCGCAGCAGCTAGTGCGAGTACCTGAACTGGTGTGCCGGTGTAGCAGTTATTGAGATAATATCCGAGCAGAATCACACCCACGAGAGTGCGCGGAACGGCGTAGAGAATTGCTGTTCCAGAGAGAGATACGACAGTCAGTACACTGATGATGGTGGTACGCCATCTGTTCGTCTTCAACACCAAGATCATTGGAACAATACCGCATAGGATGCCGAAGAAACCAGCTGGAACTTGCAGGGCGATAGACTGTAGCGTGTTGAAACCCAGGTTCTTTATGATGATGCTTGCAAATAGGCCCACAATGGAGTTCGATACGCAGGCGCAGAACATGAGAGTGATGAGAAGCAAAGCCGCAGGGTCGCGCAAGATTTCGAACATTTGGCTTGGTTTGATGTGGTGGTCGACCATCCCACTGTTGTTGTCCCTAACTCGCTCGAGTGCAACGAATCGCTCTCGCTCCGTCAAAAATTTGGCTCTTTTTGGGTCATCAGGCATCAGCCATAGTACAACAAATCCCCAAGCGACTGTGAGAAGTCCGGCCCAGAGAAAGATGTTTTGCCACCCGTCGAGAGCGCCGTCGATGGAACCGAAGCCATAGTTGATGAGGGGTCCGATCATAGACGCAGCACCATTCGATGCTGTGAACCAGATACCAATACGAAGGGCACTCTCAGCTTGAGTATACCATTGACTAGATGCAATAACGAAAGCTGGACCAACTCCGGACTGTGCAATTCGTCAGCAAAGAGCACAAGCATATTTTGCGTTCATATTCGCAACTCACTTCAAGGAGGCCAAGGAAAAATCTTTGAGCAAAGTAGCCGGAAAAATTGTTACAGACAACAGTACTGTGAATCGGTGTTAGCAGGCGACAGTCGCAATGGGATCCCGTAAGAGCACTTACAGAAGTTCCACAACACCCCAGATGAGGACGATCGCGGCACAGACTTTGCCAGGACGATATTTCTGAGCCAAGAACGTGATAGGATAGACTCCCAAGATGTAGCCCATGTAGAATGCCATACCGACTGGTCCCGTCATTAGTCCTCCCATTGCGATACTGAGTCTTGCGCACTAACCATAAGAGTATCTTTGTGTATTAGTGATTGTTGTTCCGTTGACTTTGGTGACTTCAACAAGATCTAGATCCTGAAGGATACCAAACAGCGCAGCTTGATTCAGAGCGGTTTTGTCTGTAAGGTATCAGTGACCGACGTCTGTGACTGGTAGAAAAGCTACACACCATAGAACTGAAGACCATATGTGCCTACCATGATAGGCATCAACCTCCAATCGACCTTGCGACGAACAGCTCGAAGCTCCTCCTCGGAGGGAGGATGCTGGCCTTCGATGGCATCTGCATGTTCTGCTTTCACGCCGATTTGTTCTTCCTTGAGGTCGCTAAGATCAGCGGTATGGTCGACCTTGTCTAGGGCCATATTGTTCCCTACGCGGATGCCAGATAGGATCGAGGCTGAGCAGATTTCTAGAGAATGGACGATTCTGGTCAAGCTGCTCTTCTGATGCTTCTGGTCTGTAACAAAATACCGGAACCAGTCTTGGGCTTTATCGGTCTTCAAGGACGTTGCCTTGTCTTGCCTTGGATGTCAGAACCTATGATTGCTTTTGGAGATCGACCCGAGTTGACACATGGAGAAGCGGAGACATCGTCCAGTTGAACCCGTAGAGAGATGGGGAAGACTATGGAGGACATGGAGAATTTTCCGTGGGCAAGTTCGGAAAGGGATTGCCAAAACCCAGTCTGAACACTCGAGACGAGACATTCAAATTGGCCCAGGTAGTGCTCTCTGGGTTGCACGTCCCGTGTTTATGGAGCGCAAGTGGAACTTGCTATATAAGCGATCCGAGTTAACCGTTATGGCCTTGGTTCTCCAACACTCGCCAAGCGGCCTCCAATTAGACTCGTCGGCTTTCGGGGTACATACGACGGTGATTTGAACTCACACTGTTCTGAGCTATCTCCGAAGTGACAAGGGCGCGTGCGTATCGATGTCTAGATCTTAGTCTTAGAAGCCGACCTCGCCCATGACAGATAGATCATTCCATTCAGCAAAGTATTCTCCAGGGAGCCCTTGTCGTGACAATGATGCGACCCCAACTTCACACTAGCGTCTATCCTGCCATTGCCCCTGAGAACATCGGTTCTGAAAACAAAGGGAAAGTTGCGGTTGTCACGGGTGCTGCACGTGGTAAGAGCTGAGGCCCATTTATTCAGAAGTCTTCTTGCTGTTCGATGTATATGCGTTTGACCACAGCCGAAAAATTACCAAAAATTGTTAACGGTGAGAGCTAACTTTTGTTGTCTCAATAGGGATTGGGCAAGCCATTGCAGAATCTTTGGCAAAGTCTGGAGCAAATGTTGCTCTCCTGGACTTAGACGAGGAACGTCAGTCAGAAACGCAGGCGATATGTGAGAAGCTCGGGGTAAAGGCTCAAGCATATGCTTGTAACGTGTTGAGTGTTGAATCCTGTGAAGGCACATTCGAAAAGATTCAAAGAGACTTGGGCTCAGTGGAGTGAGTCATACTCACGTCAAAGCATTGATTCAGAAGTCCTGACTGACTGTGTCAAGTATCTTGGTGAACAATGTTGGGGCCAATTTACGACGGCCCATGGCAATGGAATCTTTCGAACAATTTTGGAGCGGCGTGGAAATAAATCTCAAGTCGGTGGGTTCTTCCTGAAGACATCAGAAAAGCAAAATCAAATTCCTTCCTGTCTCGCATTGCTAACGACTGTCCTCCGAAGGCTATGATATGTATTTTCCAAGTGCTGCCAGGCATGAGACAGCGCCGTCAAGGTTGCATCATTAACATCGCTTCTCGAGCAGGCACTGTGGCAATGCCTTTCGCAGGTGCATATTGCACAGGTAAAGGTGCACTGATCCGAACTGTGTCATGCTTACAAAAGGAACTTGAGATGGATGGATTTGGTGATAGTATTCACGTATATGCTCTCCATCCTGGAGCAACGCTCAGTCAAACTTCTTGTGAGTAATTACTTGAAAGCGCCTGCCCACTTCAAGCTCCTCATCGGGTTGCAAGCCAGGGGCTCTAACCTTAGCTAGTACCATTCCATGTGGATGTTGCTGCAGCATACCCTCAAGAGGCTGAGAAATGGTCTCAATTCCATAAGCTCTTCAAATGCCCTCCTGCTCAGTGTGCTCAAACATGCACTTTCCTAGCTGCAGGCAAGGGTAAAGTCCTAAGAGGTCGATATTTTGATTGTGAGCAGGATATAAGTACCGTCGTCGCAGCAGGAGAGGAAGGCCTGCGAGGCCTATACGAGTTGAAAGTGGACTTCTTGGGCGGCTTGCCCAACGATGGTGGCACCGCAGTCGCAGTCATAGAACACTAGGACAATGAAGCAGGCGGAAGCGTCTAGTGTTTTCCTGTTACATAAATTGCGCAGAGGGAGTCTTGTTAAAATTTATAGTAGGGGCAGAGGAATTCATTGATTTCAAAGGCTGTCCTTTGGGATATCCAAGACGCAAATGATTCAGACTCAGCTTATAAGAACATCAAGTTCTCTCTGTTACCTTCTATATTCTCGGCAAGATTGAGAAACCAAAGGCTTCTTCAGAATAGACAGCTTGCTGGAATTAACATAACATTAATATATTTAATCCTACACGAAAATTTTGGAATCCATCCTAGTTCAAAATTTACGTGGATCAAGTAAAATCCACATAGATGCTCAAATTAGCAAGTAGGGAGCAAGAATGGATCTCCATCCACAGAGAAGAAAAATTGGCCTAATAGCCTTGACTCTTTGGCACAAATATGTCAGTCTCTTTGTCAACGACTAATCTTACCCTGTGCAGGTCTTCTTTGACTATCCTATCTGCATCAGCAATATAATCTTCGATTCGTTTCGAAGCATCCAGATACCGGCCTGACATGAAATCCAGTTGCCCACTTGCCAGCACAATTACCAAGCCTGCTGGCATTTGGGGTGTGGCAAACTTTTTCGCTTCCAGTGCCTTGACGGCAATCATTGCTGACTTTTGCTCTCCTGGTAAGTCCTTCGATACGTAACTTTTGGCCTTGATGTTTCCTTCAGCTGCATCTTTGAAGTCGTGGAAGAACCGTGTCTCAATCGTACCGGGATGATATGCAAACGCTGTCACCCCACAATCTTTGTTCTCATTATGAATAATCTCTGCCAGACGAACTTGTCCCAGTTTGCCCACAATATAACCTCCCATTCCTTGCGATGCATGTGCACCGTTGCTTGAAGTGAAGATGATCCTGCCCCCACCTTGTTCTCTCATCGATGGCAAAGCAGCTCTCGAAAAATGGAAAGCTCCTTGCATCGAGACAGCCAGTGTTTCCCACCAAACTCCTGGGTCGGACTCGTGGGTAGCCAACCACTGAGGAGGGCGGCCAGCATTGAAGAAGAGAATATCAATCCTTCCGAACTTCTGAATAGTCTCTAGGACGAACTTCTCCACTAAGCTGTAATTCATGACATTAAATCCAGCAGTTTTGATTCGAAGGCTGGGGTTGATTTTATTGCATAGCTGAGCGGTTTCTTCTACCTCTTCTGTCTCTAGTGCCATAAGACTGAGAGATTTCGCTTCTGTATGGGCGAAGAACTCTGAGGCAGCTCTACCAACACCACGTCCAGCTCCAGCTATCAAGATGTTCTTGTCTTTCAGACGGGCTCCGAGCTCCTTATTCTGGCGGGGATCGGAAATGAACGTGCAATCATATTGTGTGCCCAGGGGACTTGTGAAAGTCACAGGCTTTCCTTGACGATCCATTTTCGACTTTGTGCCTGTTGAGATGCTGCTCGAATAAGTTCAAGGGAAGAAACAGCCGTGTGGACGTTATAGTGACAAGGGAGAGTTAACGATCCATCAAAAGGACTTTACCCCTTCCCCTAACCCCGTGACATGCCAACGCTCTAGAGTTTTCAGTCTCCTTGTTAGCTTTGATGTTGGGTGTGGTTGGAGTACAAATCGCCCCCGCAGTACCCGGGTGGGGTGTTTCCGATGTTTTCTGCAGGCCAATTATGAACGAAATCTCTAATGTGGGAAGGAGCCCCATCATACAAGGCTACGGCTCCTGACCGCGATTCGCCCCTCATCAGAGTCCCCAACCACAATGAGCAGATCATGTTAGAAGCCATATTGGGAGACCTGTAAGGGTGTAAGATCTGCAAGGTAGACATCTTTTGGCACACGAACCGCAAGCGGTTGAATCTTACAGCCTGACCTTGGATATCTTTCTATCACGAAAATGGTATTCGGCATTCTTGAGCCCGGAGATCCCAATGCCAATGTCCCTGGCACCTCTTTACTTGATGTACATAAGCAGATCATCGCAGATAACTCGGGTATATTGATGAAAGAAACGGGCCGAAATAGCCACATCGCTCTTGTCCCTCAGCCGTTGGATGATCCTAACGATCCTTTGGTTGGTGGCCGGCTGTGCCATTCGACTCAAATGAAACTCACGTGTTTGTAGAACTGGCCGCTGTGGGCCCGCGACAGTCTTCTTGTTCTCATGATGTGGTGCGTAATTGTTAGTAAGTGACTCTCAATAGCACTCTCGTATTTGACATGTATCCAAATTACTTGAATTCCAGCACCCAGACTAACAACTCTCTAGCTATTGGGGGATCCGTTCCTTGTAGGCTCCTTATCGCTCACGAATGGTTCCCTGACTTCAATGCCTAGATTTGGTCCTGCACTCAGCCCGATCGCTGTACCGTTTTTCGCCGAGTTCAACCAAATTCTCTTACTTGAGCGGCTATTACCTGTTGATCACTGGTGCGATCGGCTATTTTATTGCTCCACGCACTCGAAAATATGGTATGCGGCCTGGTCTCATCTTCTCCATGGTCTGCGCTTTGATCGGTGTCATCTGGGCAGCCGCCGCAACATTTCACAATTCATTTCTAGAAGCACGCATGATCCAAGGCCTAAGCATGGCGACCTTTGGAAGTGTGGCATATGCTTCCATTGGCGATCTCTACTTTGTCCACGGACGGGGGATACGTACAGCAGTATTAGTCATGATGTACCAGTCTCCAATATCCCGGCTCTTGTCGCAGGGAAGATGACTGCTGATAGCGTTGCAGAGTTGGGGGTATCCAACTAGCACTCTGTTGCTTCACCATTCCCTTGTATGTGTATGGGAAGAGACTGCGACTGTGGTGGCACAATCTTCTCTGGCCCAGAAGTTGATTGCGAGGCATTGAGCAGCAGGGCGACCCATGGCATTCAGAACGACGATGCTCTAAGAGACTGACTCCGACTACAAATAGATCCCAGCGGTCCAAGGGAATGTATTACTTTAGTGCTTCAGTGCTTCAGTGCTTCAGTGCTTCAGTGCTTCAGTGCTTCAGTGCTTCAGTGCTTCAGTGCTTTAGGGTGGTGGAATGTTCTCTGAGGATGAATAGGTTGCGCTAAATTGGTAAAACGTTGCCGTTGGAACATCACATGAGCTGCCATCTACCCAGATCTAGAGATTCGAATTGGGGATGGAGGGAGTAATTTCCTGCTCTGAGACTAACAACTCAAGAGCTTCAAATGCCTTTTCACTATCCATAACCACGTCGAAGCCTAGCATATCCTTATTGTACTCGGGATCAAGCCACCTGAAAATGCTCGGCTTGCTATAATCGGCCTTCTGGAGTTCAGCGTCACGTTCGACTTGCTCAGAACCATCCAACATATGGTACATCTTCCTGTTACTCATGGCGCCTTGAACGCTAGTCGTGGTACGAGACTTCCTCAGGCTTTCATATAATTTGAGTACATCGGTGACAGTCATACCAACAGCTGATGTGGATTGGAATAGTCCCAGTAGTCTACCGAGAACAGCACCGTCCTCGACAGCCATGGCGGCTCCTTGGGCTTGATATGGGAGAGTGGGATGGCAGGCGTCACCCAACAATGTTACGCTACCCTGTTCATTATTAGTGATATTGTGGCTTGGCTGCTGTATGGTTCTTTCTTTCCCACCTTTGTCCATGTTCGGAGTTCTTCATGGTGGCACAGTTTCCATTTTAGCGCGGATGAAACACAAGAGATAATCTTCTTTAGCCTGCGTTGAACAACGATGTGTGGTCATTAGTTATTGACCAATGATGACGCGGAACCGAGGCTCTGAGAAATGGGTTCGGGAAAGAAGACTTACGTATCATCCCAACCATCGAAAGTGTCCCGCATCTCATCGATATCGGCCTGTACCGTCCGTGCGGATGGCGGTATGTTGTCGGGGCGTAGGAGCACAAGATTGAACGTTTGCCCGCTATGAACCGGGTAGAATACAGCATGTTTATCTGGACCAAACCAGATGTTGACAGCTTGGGCTGAGCATATTTTTGCCACATGCGCATTATTCAATTTCAACAGTTCCGCTCTGGAGAAAGTGGCCCTGTAGGCCAAGTCACCCGTCTCGACCGGTGGTGACGGTGTCCCGAGAAGCTCTTCTCTGGTTGTCGACCATAGCCCTGCAGAATGTTAACTGTATTGTTATGGAAGCGTGAATGGGTCATCTCACCATCGGCACCTACGATAACGTCGGCCTTCATGGTCCTGCCATCACCAAGGACCACATGCGGCGCGTCAAAATCGAGATCGATCATATTTGCACCCAGGATAATTTGTGCCCCTGCCGCGGTGGCCTCCTCGAGCACAATCCTGACATAATCCGCTCGGTGAAGAACACTTTTGGCACATCATTGTCAGAGAAACTGTCATAGAAGAGGCGAATGAGAAGATACTCACAGCCAAGGGGCACCGTATTTCTCCACGCATCGATCACCCAGAGATCTCTCTTGAAGGACTTGACCATTGGAGTACCGCCGAACGAAAATCTGCGCCAGAGTTGTTGCCTCTTGTTGGATCTTCTCCAAGATTCCGAGTGAACGACACACTCGAGCTCCATTTGGTGGGATTTGAATGCCGGCTCCTACCTAGATTGTGCTCAGTTTCAGTAACGCGATACATTTGCGAGGTTATAATTCAGGCAAGGAGTCGTACAGGCAGAATTTCAGATGCTCGCTCGAGCACGACTACCTCAATTCCTTCGCGACGACAGGCGAGCGCACAAGCCAGGCCTCCCAAGCCCGCCCCTATGATGACCACCTTCATCCCTTCAGAGACGTCACAGCTATTCACGGTGTCGACGTTCAGCGAAAAGTCACGGATCGAGCCATTCAGTGCAGAGGATCTTGATCAATGACCGTACTGTACGAAGTATCAAGCGTTCGTGGCGGCACAGATTTCAGGCATATACTCACGTTGGGCCCTCTTGGGACTTTCATATATTCTGCTTTGCCATTTCATGTGGCTGTTGCATATTTCGATCGACTGGGCGGGGGTGATGCGCCGGTAAATATGAATACCGGGGTGTGCCGTTTCATGGACAATTACAGAACAACTGCCGCGATGTAAGTGTAATAACAAGATACGAATACGACGTCAGACTGATCGCTCAGCGCGGGGACGGTTGATCAATAATAGTGTTATTTTTGCTTTGCCTTCCGAGAATATCTTACGCTGTTACTCAAAGGTACTATGAAGGATGATGGCCTATGAAGATTGTAAGAGGTGTTGCGAACTTGCGGAGAGGTGGAGGTTGAAAGAGAGTAGCGGTAGATCCAACTCTCTGTAGGCCTTAGTGTCCTTGATCCCCTAAGCAGCCCCCTTGGCCCGAGGCTCTCTGTCTCTCTAGTCTTGTTGCCCCGGAATGTACCTCAGTACCTGGGGAGGTATCCGTTCATCATCACGGCACCGAGTCCCAGGTTACTTTAATGTGTACTTAGATACCTGGGTAGTTAGGCATGGCCCAATCCATAAGCCCCGCAGGCGGCGTGATTAAAAGAAATTTTCTATGCTGGCTGCACGACTCTGGAATTCCATTCACATCGATATCAACTTTTCATCCCTTGGAAATTTTGCTCAGATGCTTCCGAACGAGAACGACATGCGCAACATGCTACCTGTTTCCTCTATTTTGACTTGACGAAGGGGATCGATCTTGCTTCTTTAAAGACGGTGCTCGTGAAGCCCCACACAGCTCGACATTCCAGCATTGATACTGCTCCACACCCGGGATGTCCACATGTTACTAGCAAGATGCACTAGCTGGCCATCCCTTCAGTGGCGTTGCCACAACTGACCACGATGTTCTGGCTCTAAACGCGGGGCTCAAATGGGACCAGGACATCGAATATAACACAGATGTTTCATTCGAATCTGCGAGATATCGATCCATCTTGATTCTCTCCGCAACATATTGCGTTTGGCTGTCACCACGGATTCCAAGGTCTGTAGCTATGGCATCTTCAGAGAAACCGTGGGTTATTATTGTTGGCGCTGGCCCTTCAGGACTTCTTCTCGCCCTCAACCTTGGGAAGAAGGGGATTCCAGTCCATGTTCTGGAGGGATCGAGTGAGTTAGACGATTCGCCACGAGCGGCGTACTACGGTCCTCCCGCAGCGTATGAGCTACGACGCGCAGGAGTGATCGATGAGATCCGAAAGGATGGATTCGACCCGGTTATCATGTGCTGGAGAAAGCTCGATGGTACCTATCTTGCTGGATTCAACAACTCGCTTATGAAAGATAATCCGGATCGGTTGGCGTGTATGCCACTTGCTCAGCTTGATCGGCTTCTCTACCGACATGCCACCGCCGAGCCTTCGGTGAAAGTGTCTTTCAATCATAAGGTCCTCGACATAGGCCAGGACGAAGAGAAAGCGTGGGTTCAAGTCGAAACGCCCGAAGGTGAGAAGCGCCTGGAAGCGACCTATATCGTGGGATGTGATGGAGCTTCTTCCGTGGTTCGCAGACGCCTGTACCCCGATAGAGAAAGCTTTCCTGGTTACACCTGGGATAAGCAAATTGTGGCCACCAATGTAAGAATGCAAAATCTGGGAGTTACACGTTGAGCCTCTAAACATTTCCTAGGTTGCCTACCCGTTTGAAAAATTCGGTTATGAGGATGTGCAATTTTTCATTCACCCAGAGCATTGGCATATGGTAGCTCGGTTGACCAAGAATCCCGACCCGACCAAATTGAGCAATTGGCGAGTGTCGTACGGAGAAATCACAGGTTTGACAAACGAAGAATATATTGCACGACAACCAATGAAATTCGAAGCCATGCTGCCTGGCCATCCAAAGCCTGGTGATTACGAGCTTTCTGCCATCAGTCCATATAAAATTCATCAACGCTTGGCCAAAAGTTTGCATGTTGGGAGGTTTTTGCTCGCCGCAGACGCCGCGCACAGTGAGTCTTGGATCGTGTCTTCAACCGAAAGGTATGAGTGCTAACTCAAAGCGCAGTTTGCAACCCTTTTGGTGGTCTAGGATTGACAGGTGGCATCGTTGATGTTGGTGGCCTCTCCGATTGCCTGATTGGCATTTACGAAGGGAAAGCAGACGATAGCATTCTGGATAAGTATTCGGATGTCCGCCGAGAGAAATTTCAAACCGTGACGGACCCTGTGTCAACGGACAATGTTACTCGACTATTCAGTCAGGATCCAGAAAAGGCACTTGAGACGGACGAGTTCTTGAAGATGCTCAACAGGATTAAAGACGATGACAAGGCCCAGATAGAGTTTATGCATGGTCCATTTGCGCTCTCGTACGACTTTACCCAGCACTACAACACAAAGCAAACGGAGAGAGCTCCTGAGAAAGGGGCAGTGGATAGTGTAGCACAATTGGCACCCGTTGGTGCAGATTGAGAGAACTTGGAGTGTGCCTGGATGGCAATGACAATGGGAACAAGTGTACATAATTTACGAGCTGTGGACCCAGCAAGGAGTAGATAGATTCAAAGCTCTTGATCAATGATTTCGTGTCCCAGGAGTTGATGTTCTGAGATACTGGTCTCAATTACTCGTTAGTTGATTCTTATCCGTTTGAGCTCCCTTTGGAGAGGCACCCAAGAGGGAGAGACACGGCCTCGGATGAACGCGTGGGCACATCCGGGCGTGGGAGACGTCACATGCCGTGTGGGAGTTAGGCTCCTAGTGCGGAGGTCAATTGAGGACGTCATTCAGTATGGTCCTAGCGCACATCGCGGGTGGAAGGTACGACTTGGAGCGTGGGATATGCTATGCACCTTCCTTGACTGCATTTCACAGGTTGGCCGTGTTCCTGGAAAGAAGATTTTCTGCACTGCGCACTCAACCGCCACGACACCGACACCGTGAAGCTCAAACTTAACCACATTCTCATCGTCAATCAAATCTTGATCTCGCCTTGTAATTACTACACTTCTCTATTCAGTCAATCCGTATGTCTTCACTATCATAGCCGAGAGCTCGCTGTCGCTACAGATCCAACCCCACGTTTCCCGCAGATGAGCTCTTGATGCGCCAGCCATGAAACCATCTGATCAAGGACCACTCTTGCGTCGAAAGTCTTCTACACCTCACTATCAAACATTTGGTGGTATCTCGCCGCCTAAATCACGAGGACAACCATTGTCCGAATCCTCAAACTCCTCCACCCATGACCTCCATTCCCAGAACCCCGACAATCAACATGCCTCTCCTCTCCCTAAAAAGCAGATGGCTATTTTGGCCATTATAGCGTTGTGTGAACAGACGGCCCTCAACTCCATCAGTCCCTATCTGCCTGCTATGGCATCGACCTTTCCAGAAGTCAATCCGGGACAAGTTGGTGTTTACGTGGGCACCATCGCATCCGCGTTTGCGCTGGCCCAACTAGCCACCAATTTCTTCTGGGGATGGTTGTCAGATCATATAGGCAGAAAGCCGGTCATATTAATGGGGACATTTTTCACTGCGGCCTGTTTTGTTGCCTTTGGGTTCTGCAGGACTCTGTGGCAAGCCGTCTTGGTACAGGCATTGATGGGGCTGTTGAACGGAAATCAGGGAGTTGTATCTACATGTCTGGGAGAAATCACTGATCGCAGTAATCAGTCACAAGCATTCACCTATCTACCAGTGTTATACGGCCTCGGGGGTATTACCGGACCAATTATCGGTGGCTTACTTGTGTTTGAGAACAATCCGTTCAACAAGTCGAAGCCCAACCCATATCCCTATCTACTGCCGAATTTGCTTTCGGCAGCAGTCCTTGTCGTGGACCTGGTCTTGACCACCATTTTTCTAGAGGAGAGCTTGGAAGAGGCACAATACCAGGCACCTTTGGGTAAACGCGTACGAAACCTCTTCACCTGGCTGTGGGAGTTCTCCAGTTCAAGCAGACCATCCTACCTTCGACGCAAAAACACACCTTCTCATCATGGTGACGAAAGCCACGGTAATGGCATACTTGACGCTTCAGATGACGATGATAGTGATAGCAATGCTGAGCCGCCCACATTCTTTCACGCTTCACAGGAACTGAAGAGCAGTGACGTACTGAACCGCGATACCATATTGCTTCTTTTGACCTACCTCATCTTCCAACTGTCCAACATATCCTTCAATTCACTTTTTCCAATCTTCGCACAAGCCGCTCCTCCTACCGGCCGTGATTTGGCACCGGATGAGATAGGACTTTCTCTCGCTTTTGCCGGACTGGTGACGATTCTTTTTCAGGTTGGTCTGTTTGGAAAGCTGAGGGATAAGGTGGGCAATAGATGGGCCTACAGGGCGGGATTTGGTGGGTTTGTGATTGCCTATGTTCTGATGCCCTGGGTTGGGTACAAAGAACCTGGTCAAGGCAAGTGGGCGATATCATACGGGAAAGCCTGGCTGTGGTTTGAGGTTTGCATTGTTCTACTCGTCAAGACTGTTGCGGCAGTCGGAGGCTTGACGAGTGCTTTGTTATTGGTACTTCCTCCACTCCCCATACCTCAACCAAGGGGTTTGATATCAGCTACTAATTCGATTGTTAGATCACGAATTCTGCACCAAACCACAATGTTCTGGGAACGTTGAACGGATTAGCACAAACACTATCGGCGGCTGGACGCGCCGTAGGTCCTTTTGTGTCTGGTGGTCTTTTCTCCCTTGCCACCCGAGTAGAACCAAAGGGTGAGGCGCTGGCTTTTGGTTTGTTCGGAGGCATCGCCTGTCTAGGGTTTGCCTTGAGTTTTGGTGTAAGATCATCCAACCTTGAGGCGGCAGGATGGGAGACGGATGATGATAATGAGGATGACGATGACGCGAGTGACAAGTCTGACGAAGAGGAAGAGGTATAGTAAGAAAATCTCCAACGGCATTTGGGACAATAAGGGGCCAAGATAAAACACGTTTACAGGATTAGGCAGAAAGAGGTCTGGGTTTACGCACTTCTGGAAGATTACTATCGATTCGAAGCTGGTCGTTTCGAAATGGCAGAAGGAATTGGGAATACAGTGCACCGCCCATGAAATGTCCATGAAGAATTAAACAAGAGCAAAACAACCACCAGAAACTAGCATCTCAGGCACCCAGGGCATGCCTTATTTTCCATCCTGTCGCCCGCCGTACTCAACTACTACAGGATAATGGAAGCTGACCAGTTCTGCTGAGCATGCTTCACCCACAACGGACATCGTCCTACACATCGCCCCTCGTCTTCTTCACTTGTTCTCACACCTTTCTTTCCATCACCCTCATATCAAGTCAAACATGTTCTACATCCCATCAGCGCGGCGGTTCATCTTACCAGCACTCGTCGTGCTGATCGTGCTCATACTTACCCACCTCTTCATCCAATACGAGCACCAGCCATCCTGGTCCCGGACGAACCTGTGGCAAGCTGCGTTGCAGAGATATGTCACCCGCGGAGTGCACATTCTACCAGGTCGGAACCAGACGCGGTCTGAAGATGTCTTTGGCGCTTACGACTATAGTGGCGGCCATATTCAACCCGACTCTGAGCAAGCCTTGTGGGCCGCCGTCTACAACGAATTGACTTTTTCAGATGTATCGTTGGCGCAGCAGACCCTATCCCAAACCCATCACCAGGAGCAAGAAGTCTTCTTCCCAGCCGCGCATCCTCGGCTAAAACCCTTCCTCACCTGTGATTCGAATGCCGTTAATACATATACCTCACATCTGCGTCTTTCTGCTAAAATCCACAACATCAACTTGACACTTGCGTTGTCGTCGACATCCCATGATCCAAACAGTCGCTTTTTCAACCCAGCCATCATCCCACTGCCTCACTGGTCTACGTCCGGTGGCACCACGGCTAGCGCGAAGTACGTGCTCGTCTCTCGCCTTGTCACCACCGGCTTCCATCAGGAGTCACACATCTGCCTCGCGGACATCTGTCTACCCGATCACCACCTCAACCAGAGATCTCCTGCAGCTTCGACATCAAACACTTCGAGTCCCAAGCCGGCCAGCAAGATCCTCCCACCCGACACAAGACCATGCACCGCGCAAGACAGCTCAATACTCGGCGCCCACGGCGGCATGCGCTGCATCACGGAGCCTGTCAAGATCAACATCCCGTCCACACCGGCCGAGCACTGCGATGCAGCGTGGCTCGCGTTCCCAGATATTCCTGGGTTCCACGACCCACGGGTTTTTTGGAGTGGGAAAGGCGAGCCGTTGATCCTCGTCAACAGCGCTAGTCGCTACGGCTGTGTGGGGTTATGGGTCGTGGATCTGAGACGCGTGTTTCCTGATCTGGCTGCTGTGTTGAAGCCTCGGCGGCAGGGCCGGGGAGGACGAGATGGCGATCATCATCGCGCAGGTCAGAATTTGCATGATGGGGTCAGTGGTAGCGCAGGTACAATGTTGATGAGTTATCCTCATCTCACGGAGATCACGCGCAATCCAAGATCGAGTCGTGCGCTTGTCGAGAAGAATTGGGTCATGTGGTTTCCGAATCATGAGGAGGCTTACGTCCAATACGACATGATGGGCAGCAATACCCCACGTGAAGAAATCAGCATGAATCAGACTTTGGGCAAGCGAACATGGGCACAAACTCATAATGATACAATCATCGAACCCAATGCTGATGGAAAGGGAAAGCATCGAGGAGGCCGCACATTCGCCAAACTTACAGGCAACGGCTTCACGACGCGCAACCTGACGTCTCCGCACGAACAGGCCTGCTTCACCGACGCCCACGGACGCGACAAGCTCGGAAACCGGGGCCACTGGCACCAAGGCTCGAACGCACTGCGGCTACTGCTGTGCACGCGCGCCGAGGCTCGTAGGGGCCAGTGCGACGAGGAAGACGCGGTCGACGACGGCAGATCGCTGCATTTCGCGGTCGTGCACCGCAAGTTCAGCAATGCTATTGATCTGCCGTTGCGGTACGAGCGCTACATGCTGCTCTGGGAGAGCAGGAAGCCGTTCAAAATGCTCGGCGTGAGTCGCTTCCCGCTGTTGATGCGTGAGGAGTGGGCGCGCCCGTGGTCCGTGGCGGAGAACTGGCCTGCTGCTGCTCCTGAGCGGACATTGCATAATGAGAATGAGAAGAAGTGGGGCAATTGGACGCTGCAGGATGATGTTGGGAGGAAAGTCCGATCGGAAGGTCGTGGACCCGGACACGGAGCAGGGTCTGGGAGTGGTGCTGAAGAGACCGATGGCCGCAGAACTGATTATTTGTCCGATGGCGACAATAATCAAGCAAGTTATTTCACGTACACGCCTAGTCTCACGTGGGCGTGGAAACCACAGTCGGCGGGTTTGGGTGAAGATGATGAAGACGACGTCGAGTACATGTCGCGTCTGGGCATGGGATATCTGGGTGACGAAGTCATTGTGGGCATCGGGATGGACGATGTACAACAGGGATTCGCCAAAGTCAAGGTCGAGGATTTGCTACAGTGCCTGAGGCTTTGTCCTGGGGTGGAGATCGCTGAGGAAGGAAAAATTTAAACCAAGAGATTGATATGGGCTGACGAGCCTGTTTGGGAGGAGGAGGATCTGTTAGAGTAGTCAGAAAGATTCCCTTTTTAGAGGAATGATAAATAGATTGTGGTGCAGTCTGATGATGACTAGGTACATGAGACTATCGAGAAAGAACATGATTATGACCCTCAGAGCAGCTCTCAACGTTAACAGCGACTGCCAGATGCCAATAACAATGACCACTCCCATGTTTCAGAGAAAGGCACATTGTCCAAAAGGCTCGGCTGTCTCAACTTTGGCTTTTCGGACTTCGAATCTTCATCGGGTGATCATGTTCCTTTTCTTGTTGCTGGTTCTGGGTCTAAGCGATTCACTTTTCTCCCTTGTCAATCTCTCTCGATGGATCAAAGATGAAGAGTGATGCAGACCCGCCATGGCCCGCAAATGCCATCCGAAGCGACGAAGAGCTGATCTTTGGGGCGGCTCAGGTTGAAAATAATATCATCCATCGTCACAGGCAGCGTTGACCGAACGGGTTGAAACTCTGCTCGGAAGCAGAACTCGACCACAGGCGGTCTGAGCGCATGAAGCACAACCTTGACAGGGTCGGCGCCTCGGATAGAGGTGTGCGTAGTTTCTCTTCATAGCCACCAGAATCTTCTTGCTCCTTCTGAAAGAAAAAGGACAGGCACCAGCAAACAGAAGAGTCGAGTGAAATGAACTCAACACCACAGACAGCCCATGACTCTTTCTCAGTTCTGCCTTTGACAAAAATATTTCACTCTTCACCCGTTCAGCCATGAATTTCCCAAGCTCTTTCAAATCGGGCACTTCCAACTCATGCGGACATCAGGATCGCAATATTTCAGGGCCGTAGAAATAGAAATAGAGCGGGGAACTGAGGTTCATCACGAGCGGGCGGGTGCTCTCGACGGATGATGGCGCACGAGCGCGAAATGTCATTCGACAATGAACAATTCGGAACCGTGTTGCCGTCTCGTCGTTCGAAAGGGAAAATGGGTCATTCAGAGGTGAGGATCGAGGGTGAAGGGACGAAGGGCGGGAGACCATGGTGGGTGGTCAGAGAAATAGCCACGGGCGGTAGAGTGCTTTGTTCTTTAAACAGCCATCTCCTTCGATATCGCGGGCACAAATCCTTTTTCTTCAAAGGTCAAGAAAGACACGAGTCTCGGAAGGCTGCATCCCTTCGATCTCTGTTCTTCTTGGTCCCTCAGTGGGCGTGTGCAGGGCTATTGAGGAAGGCGCAGTGACAAAAGACGGACCCTTGCAGCAAGGGATTCCCATGCCGACTGCGCCCTCTCTCTTCAGCCCTGACCTGTCGCCTTCGGATGGGGTTTAGCTCGGTTGTGTTGCGAAGAATGTGAAATTTTGTTTCGGCATCGAGATTTGACCTACGAAACATAGATCCATCAGACTTGTTGGAGGTTCTATGAGCGTGTTTTCTTGACTTACCCTCGGACTTGATGAGGATCAAGGAAACTTCAGATCACTTTTCGAGGTCAGCGCGTTTTGATGGATGCTCGCTCTGGCGTTTAGCCTTTAAGCCTAACCATGCATAGACAGGCGTGAACGGTCATGGTCGATGAGTCCACCATGGGGCAGAACCGGAGAAGACCGCAGGCTCAACCATCTGCGAACACATGAAACTGTAATTCGCACGACCACGGGTACTGAGTTACAACTTCTTCTTCATGGAGTGGGCGTTCAATAATGAATCCTTGTGTCTCATTTGCGATTTTCGACCTACAACCACCTTGAACAATGTGTATGTTTATTCATGAATTGTATGGCGATGCAGAGAATCCCTAAGAGAGACTCAGATCTCCAGTCATAAAGCCACTAGCTAGCAGATCAGTGATGTGCTTGTATCGAAGTCAGGGAAGGCACATCAGAACTCATGTTTCGATGGAAGAGCAACGGTAGTGGTGCTGATCATCGCTGACGACGTCTGTATGTGCTTCCAGAAATATTCACTTCATTTCTTCCCGCTATTGCCGCCACTGGGAGCAGTAGAGGAGCTACCACCGCTTCCATTGTTGTAGTAGGTAGAACCATTGGGGTTACTGTAGTAGTAGCTTCCATTTCTAAGAGGACAAGAGAGAAGGTCAGTGCTTGGATCTTCGGAGGTCGTAATAAGAGAAAAGGCAGCTTTCTGGGGCATAACGAACGTATTGGAATAGTGGTAAGCGTTCGAGTTTGTGGCACTTGAACCATAGTCCCGGGAGCAATAATGATTGCCCTATAAATCGAGTGAGCAAGAGTCAAGAGGGGTCGAGGATGTGGTGTCAACGTACTTGGCTGTTCGTGCCAGAGCTGGTGACATTGTAACCTTTATCGTTGCCCGACATGATTGCTTCTTTGAACGATTTTTGGTCTCCAGACAAGATATCAGTAGAGGAAACTATGGGCTTTCAGAAGAAAACGTTCTTGAAAGACTGGTAGTGAAGAAGCTAAGCAAGGTCCAGAGTCACTCTATCTAATAAGTACCTAGGTAGATACCCTCTCCTGCTCGTATCCCTCGCTGCCTCAGGCAGGCAGCAGTGAGGGGCACTTGGGGGTGTGAGGCAGCTGCACACTCACTTTACGCGTATTCGCGTCTGCTGAGACGCGTGAGCACGTGAAACTAATGCGTGCTCGGGGACAGGACCCACCGGATTCATTTTCATTAAGTAGAGAAAATGGTATCACCACTGCACACCCCACAAACGAATTGAAGGCGGACTAATGGTCTAGTTAGCTGCGTTACACGTGTTGCGTGAGAACGCATTTGTCGGGACAGGTTGCTACCGGGCCCACTCCCAGCTCCCAGTCACTGCAATTCTCAGCCCATTAACCGACCACCAGACATCTCACAAGAAATGTCCTCGTACTTCTGGTGGAGGCAAGATGCTGACACAGCCATCGCCTGCAGATCCTACTTAGGGTTTGTGCAATCAGTCCCTCGTGCGTAGCCTTGCCAACCACAAAAATTCCAGTTTTGTTTCCTCCGCTATCTGTGCTGTCACTGGATTTCCGCCGGGCTCTGCAGCCTGACTTCACACATGTCAGGGAACGCAAGTCGAAGCGCAGTCCATTAGCAGGTTGCTTGTTGCTACCGAGGCTACATCTGTCTCTTGAAGCTCTTCCTGATTTCCAACGCTTCGATGGCAGTATGTTCAAAAACAAATCGCCGTCCAACAAAGGCGATCCTGAGCGCCATGGGCTGTTTGTCCTGTTCCCTCCACCAGGTGGGACCTGGGATCTGGAGTATGTCACCTTGTAGAGTTCTCCAAGTTCTTGTCTTCTGACATGATGACTAGCATTATTATCGTTCATGGCTTAGGTGGCGATGCGTACACCACTTGGACGGCTGACAATAGGGTGATGTGGCCTCGAGACTTCATCCCCCAAGTAATCCCAAGTGCGAGGGTTATGACTTTCGGATACGATTCCAGATGGGCTTTCAGTCCTTCAACGGCCGATATCAAAGATTTTTCTCTTGATTTGCTCAATCGTCTGCGGAATAAACGCTGGTCGGCCGAGGTATACGCCCCCAGACTTTCTGTTGTTCCTCTTACCCATTTGGTCTAGGAAATGAATCATCCGATCTTGTTCATATGCCATTCGTTGGGAGGCATAGTGTGCAAAAAGGTATGTTAATATCCTCCACCTTCAATGGAGAGCTGAAATAAGAACAGGCTCTTCTCTTGGCTCAATCTTTGCCATTTTACACCAACATATACGAGAAAACTTCCACCATATTATTTTTCGTGGGTCTCCTAGTACAAAAAGCTGCAGTATACTTGCTCAGGGACTTCTAGGGCTGTCCACATCGTGGTTCGCGTGTCGCATCATGGGCAACCGTTGTTGGCAACTTCATCAATGCAAGCTCTTTCCACAAGCCAATCCAGCAAGGCTTACTCGCCGATCTTTCATTAAGTTCTCGGATTCTGGCAGACATCTCCACAGCATTTAAAGAAATTGTTGGAAGCATTGATATCAAGACTTTCTACGAGACTGCGATCATGCTGCCCCTCAAGACCCCAGTGAGTGGAGAAAGTGGCCCTCCTCATGCCAACATTGAATAACACATCCTTGCTCTACCTGATCCACAGGTGGTCGAGCGAGATTCTGCTGTCCTCGGGTTACCGAGTGAGCAGATTATTCCTATAGCTGCAAACCATCGTGAAATGGTACGCTTCTCGAACATCAATAGTGAGAAATTCGACGCCGTCAAATTTGCGCTAAGAGAGGCGAAGGAGGGAAGACCAATGGACCCTCAGAGCGTTCTCAATGGTGAGTATCTTTATTGTAAATTTCCTCTTAAGTGATAATAACCCTTTGAAGCCATCTTGTATCTTTCACAGCAGTTGAACGTTGTCGATTATGATACACAAATGGATCGTGTGCCCTCGAGATATGATGGTACGTGTGTCTGGCTACCATCTCACTTGAGCTTTGTAGCCTGGCATACCGAGTCCAAGAATGACTTGCTTTGGTTACGCGGGTACGCTGGTGTTGGAAAGTCAGTGATCACCAAGTACTTGATAACCGATGTCTTCAAAGCTCCATATGTCAGATCGAAAACTCAAGCCTCCGTTGGAGCAGAAACAGATTCAGAACATGGTCTCTTCCTGGCGTATTTCTTTTGCAGTGAGCGCAATCGACATTTGCAATCGGAGAGCAACCTGCTGAAAGCTATTTTGCACCAGCTTCTAAAGGCGAGCCCCCGGGAAGTTTCCAAAGCCATGCAAGGCTTTCGACAACAACGACAATCAAGGTTGGATTACTCTTTTCTATCAAGCCCGAACCTTTTATGGGAAGCCGTCAAATCTGCTCTACTGGCAACAACCTGGGGGACCACCTATTTTGTATTTGACGGTCTTGACGAGATGCTCGACCAAGACTTGAGGGCATTTTCTACCGGTCTGAAATCCCTGATAGAAAATGTGGTACCTCAAATTGAACCGCGCAACCTCAAAATACTGGTCACCAGCCGTCCCACTGCGAGCCTGGAGACAAGTCTGTCTTGTCCCTCGATTTCAATCCGCAGCGAAAGAGATGTCAGACACTTCGTTCAAGGCAGCACTACTGAACTGGCGCAAAGGTATACACTTTCTACCCAGTTGCAGTATGAAATTGTGGAACGCATCACCGAAAAAGCCCGAGGGATGTTTCTGTGGGCTGTGCTTGCATGGTACGAGTTATGCCGGGATGCCAGACGGCCCGAAGATTTTGCTATGAATCTGTCTCAGCTGCAAAAACTTCCTTCATCACTCGAGATGCTATATGAGGATATCCTCAATCGACTGTCTCCCACCTCTCGTTCGTTGGCTTTGAAAGCCTTCCCGTGGCTCACTTTGTAAACTAGACCATTACACATCAATGAGCTGCGGTTTGCAATTGCCATGCGTGATTACGCTGATGAGTCTGACGACTACCAGGCTACGCTGCAACGAATGATCAGTCCAAGGGCGTTGAGAGATCTGTGCCCTGAGTTGATCAGTGTCGGCACTGACGACAACGTGCAATTTGCCCACTCCTCAATCAAAGACTTCTTTCTTAGCGCCAACACTAGAGCACAGTATCGCATTAATGCTGTCAAGCTGCACTCAAACATCGCCATACTCTGCCTTAAGTGCTTTTCCATCCGAGGTTTTAATCCTGAGGCCATTCAAGCAGCTTTAGCGAAGACGCTCATTCGCGATGAAAGTGAGATGATCGATCTGCCTGCCAGATACTATCTACTTCCTTATGCTGCTGCCAATTGGTCTTACCATGCCAGCATGGTGGGCGAAGACTTGAAAGTTTGGGAAGCATTCAGATCGCTCGTTGGAAGGCCTAAGGAAACCACGTTGTGGTTGATGCTGGCTCGTTATGATGGTTCGCTAGGGGCACAACGTGGCTGGTACCTCGGCCGAGAGTTTTACGAAGATTTGAGCCTTCCACCACCGATTCACATTGCTGTGTTCCTCCAGAACATACATTTCGTCAGAAGACTGATCAAGAGCGGGGAAGATATCAATCAACTGAATAAAACATGGATGAACGCGTCGGAGGATTTTCGCAGGCCTCAGATGGCTGTTGGCGGCACGGTCCTGCACTCTCCTAACCTTGACCATGCTATGCTCCAGTTGCTCATCAATCTAGGGGCTGACATGAATATGCCCGATCGTGACGGAATCAGTGCTTTAGTCCATGCTGTCAATGAACAAGACGAGGACAAGGTTATCATGCTCCTTAGCCTTGCCAAGAAGCAGCGACAGGAATTTCCAGGAATTGGTTATGATCCGAATATCCTCAATCAAGCAGCTACCATGACAATGAGAAGGGCTGTTCTGGAGATCTTAGATGATCCGCTCGTCGATCTATCGCATCAGCGATTACTCGGCAATGATAAGAGTGTTCTGGGAGTGTATCACACATCGCCCCTCGAACATGCGTGTGTTCTCGGAATGTCCTCGATAGCAGATATAATGATCAAGCATCCACGCATGCAGGCAGCGCAGAAACGACTTGAGCTGAGGTCACCGAATAGAAATCCGACCTCTGTGGCTTTTCTCACAACACTTCAGGGCTGGGATGACTTGACGCTCATTGCTATCGAAAACTTTCGAACTGAGGTTGATCGCGAGAGAGATATGAATCAGAGGACAATTCTTATGCATGCTGCTTTGGAGGAATGGCACACTGTGCTCGAATATTGTGTTCAGCGTACGCAGAGATCTAGGTTGAATATTCAGGACAAGAATGGGCGAACAGCGCTTCACCATGCAGCTAAGGTGCGGAATTGGTTCGGCACGGAAAAACTGCTTAACGCTGGAGCCGATTTCCATATGGAAGACCATGAAGGAATGACCCCAGCGCATGCTGCAGCCGAAGCAGGCTCAGATCGTGTGCTCCGTATAATACTCGATCGCCGAGCGTTCAGTCCCGAGAGCGTCGATCACAAGCGACGAAACCTGTTGCATTATGTTGCAACATGGAATTTACATTCGATAGCTGAAACACTGCTAGAAATGGCTCCAGACCAGGTGTCAATGAAAGACTCCGATGGACGGACTCCGGTACATTTGGCAGCATTGTTCGGATCAACAGCCGTCATGGCTTTATTACTGTCAACTGGCCTTGTAGATATCAACGCTCAGGACCATGTAGGTAGGACGTTGCTTCATCTCGCTGTTGAAGGCAAGGTTGATTCCTGCATCGATGAGCTTTTGTCCCGGGAAGGTACAGATTTGAATATCATGGATCGCAATCTCAGATCACCTTATGACATGACGCAGGGCTTCAAGGACTTGGATCAAGCCGATAGAATCAGGATCATGTTGGAGGATGCCGGCTGTCGTCCTGGACTATGGCGCCCTCGACAAACATACCGCTCCTATCAACCTGCACCCACAATTGAGGTACCTGAATCATTCCGGTATTCAGCGAATTGGCAGCTATCATTAGTGCTCAAGCCACCGCAACCCCAGAACAAACATGAGCAAGGGGACAACCCTACTCCTGGTGAAATAGGTGAGGACCGAACAACAGATCCATCAATACGGAGGAAACCAGTACCGCCCAGGCTGCCGCCCCGATCATCGAGCTAGCCACGTTATCATATTGTGTATTGATTGTAAGATTCCTTCACCCTCGAAAAGGTCGTCGTCCGATATCAAAGCGAATAGTATCAATCAAGACCGTGACATCCAAACCACCAGCACCAAGCTATTTTCAGATCTTTTTAGACTCTCCCGCTTTGCCTTTCTGCTGATACTGCTCATCCGTAACCGGATCCAACCATGTAGTCTTCCCATGACTGATAGCCAAATGCGTCATCATACTGCCGTCGTCGGCGCCATGCCAGTGAGTCGTGCCTGGTGGTGCCCAAACAATATCTCCTACCTCCAAACGCTGGGGCTCCCCGCCTTTATCACATATCCATCCGGACCCGACTTTGACCTCCAGCACCTGCCCGTTTTCGTGGTGGTGCCAGTGTGTGCGGGCGCACGGCGTGAATGTGACGTGCCCGATGGTGATGCCTTCGGCCGTCAGGATGGGGTCCGCCCACACATCGCCTGTGAATGTTGCTCCGCGCTTTTCGGTCGAAACCCCGGGGGTGCGCGAGTTGCGGACTATTGTCATAGGCATCTTGGTGGGGAATATTAGTCTTTATTAATTTGTGATCAGATATCTGGTGTTTAATTTCGATGTATGAGGACTCAGAAGACGACTCATGGGCTGTCTTTGTGTGGATTGATAATCGTCGCTCTTCAATGAGAATAAGGGGATCCTTGGCCTGGCATGTCGTGCTTTCGCGATGAAGTCATCTCTGCATTCACACCCTCGGGCCCTGGCGGCGATGATAACCGATCGGGCACCGATGTCGGTGATTCTCTCTACATGATCTGCGGAAGCGATCGAAATCTCCAAATTTACGCGGCCGGGCCCCAGATGGATACAGCCTCGACATACATCTGATATGATCACCAGGTTTCTGCAAAGCTCAACCACATCCCCACATGCAAAAGAACTTCAACTCTGGGGACAGCAAGAATTTACTATATTCCCAATTGCACATCAGTGTCTGCACTATTTCCCATTTTTCTCTAATGCAAAATGTCTTGCTTTCAGCAGGGCGTAAATAGTTTCCAAACGAGGCATAGGAACACTGTGATCCCGACCCAACCGCACAGCATTTCCAACGATCGCCTCAACCTCGAACGACCGGCCCTGTTTGACATCCTGTAGCATACTCATCTCGCGTCCAGTTCCCGTCTCCGCCCTCCTCTTTGACAAACTAATCCTCTTCTCCGCTTCCTTCACGTCAATGCCTGGAATACCAACCTTGGCCGCGAGCGCGATGATCTCCAACATGACCTCCCACACCAGGTCATATGCGAATGGTGTCGAAGTCAACAGGAAATCACCGTCGGTGCACAGAGTCAACGCGCCAATGGGATTCCAAGGGCCGTTCATCAGTAATTTGGACCACCGAGCTATCTGGATGTCTTCGTGAACCTCTGCTCCACCCCCGCCTTTGATCAATAAGTCTGCAAACCTTGTAGCGGCGGATTTATGCGAGCGCGGTGCGTCGGCTGGATACGTGCCGACCTCGAGAAGATTGAGCATTTCTGGATACTCGATCGTCCCTTGTGCAGTCTGAGTGGCTGGCAGGTACACTACGCCGCTGAGAATCGGATTCTCCGGAAACTCATCAGCGACCTCTTTCTCGATGTTGATGCCATTCTGTGCGAGGACGATGGCGGTCTGTGGACGGCCCACCATCACCGGTCTGATCATGTCCGCTAAAGAGGGCTTGCTGCCTGGGAATGATTTGGCACAGACTAGTACGAAATCGTAGATTTTGTCTGATGGACAGTCTGCCACGCTGCGTACCACAAGGCCGGGTTTGTATCTCTGATCGCCAAATCGCACACTTTTGAGCGTGAAGCCGTCGTCCTTCACTGCTTGGTAGTTCGACCGACACACCGCGGTCACGTTACACCCGGCCTGTTGTAATTGGTAGAGATACACTGCCCCGATACTGCCAACGCCGAATATCAATATGTTCGTGGACGTCATAGCTCCTGTGGTGGTCGAGGCTGTAGTTGGTCAAGACGGGCTATGGCTCCCAGTTCGACCCCGATCTAAACAACGGAGTTCTTGTGCCTTGGGGAGGCACGTGGCAACGACGGGAAGATGTAAGCCAATTATCATATATTGGGACAAAGACTTGATTACTTCTCCAATGATCAACGTAGTCGTAGTCGGACGATAAGAGTCACAGCGAGTATATCGGACATGGTTACCGAGATATGTCTTGAGTTATCGGTATGTCATACCGTGCCGTAGGTACTGCTGACAAAGGTTGAAATCGGAGAACTCCATCTCTGTAACCTCAGCCCGACCTGTAAGTATGATATTATAATATTCATGAACTCGGTGCCTTTGCACCATAATACTCATTCTCATCAGCTCAGATTGGTGTAGACCAATAATCCGAGAGACTGTGTCCCATTTCAGCGAATGAAGATAGGTCCAATGCAATAACGTGACGAACTACCATCACTGAAGGCACCGACAAACCCTTAATATGACGAAGTGTTTCAATAAAATAGATATCCCCATTTCTGATTGAATTCGGGACTGATAAGCCAGGCATCAGGATCCCACGAAGCCCCATTCGATTTGACCGAAAACGATCGCATCAGGAAGAAATCACACAGTATATCTTTTACGTCAATCGTATCATTCAGGATGATCAAATTGTCGCGAAATCTTGGAAATGGAAATCGATCAATCCAGTCATGATGCGGCGTTGCAAGTTGCAGTGGTGTCGGGTAGAGCGACTCCGGGACGCTGAGTGGTTGAGGCGCCGACCTGTCGAATTTGGATCCGTTACAAGTCAGACCAAGAAGCGTGCCATTCTCAGTGACGGCAATTATGGCACCAGTTTTGGGATCAGACGGCAGGAGGACCTGATCAACTGGTAAAGGTGGTGATGTTGGCTGGTACAAGCCGATCTTCCCAGGGGTCGTCCACGGAGAAAAATCGACACATAATGGGACTTTGTTTCTCAAATCATCCGACAAAAGTCTGTCAAGCGCATCACAGTTCAGGGAAACAGCGTACGTTTTGCTAGTTCTCATACTTGAGTCGCATGATCTACGTTGGCTGACCACCGCTTGCTCTGGATTTTTGGCGCACTCTGACAGGCGTTTTCCTGTCACTTCAGTCAGTTCAGATGACAGAATATGGGGAAGACAGTAAGCGAGGCGCCTCACGTCGTGCCCTCTGAGCGAGCCGATTCTGTATTTGTTTTCTTTTCCTTGGATCAACCACACCATACCACGAATCGGGATTCTGACTTTGGGCATCTGTAGGCTCCATCGTAACAGTTCAGGGGTATGCGGGACCGTTACAGAGGACTAGTCATACATGTTTCGTAGCCTTGAGAGGAAGTTGGACACTAAGTAAAAGAGTATCGTTGTCGAGGGATGTAGTTTCGAGCCAAACGTACAACAGATCTTCAGGTGATAGCTTGATGGGAAGGACTAAAAGTAAGTAATTAACCCCCGCCGAAGATCTGAGTGCTGCAACTAATGCGTGACTGCATTAGCATGGCAAGCCTAACCGTTTCTTTCCATCTGGAGGGGTGGCAGGGATGTGAACCGAGAATCTAATTCACAGTCCAGCGAATCACTGTTCTGGACTTCACAAATGACCCAAATGACGGGTGGGAAACTACTTAATTTCTGACCGTGGGGCCTATGAGAAACTGGGTCTATGGCCGAGGTGCGTCTCGAAGATGTCCAAGCCCAGGCGCCTCATAAGTGGGGATTGGCGCACCAGATATCGGATGAACTACCATCTGCTCTGAAAACATGATTGAGTCGTTCGCGAAACAACATGGAAATCTAGGAATCGATATAGGCAACGACCTTTCGACCTCGACACAATAGTGATGGATTTGTCAGGAGGTTGGGTTATGCAACATTCCAAAGGCGAATTCTTTATGTCGAGGTCCACTCTCTCCGAATCACCGACGACGGAGCATTGTGGACAACATACTTAAACATGAGATATATCGTTGAAAGTACGTTTCGGTTGTATCATCATAACTCTGGTGCCAAATCTCTGTCGATTGCAGCATTTGTTTAGATCTAGAAACTCTGTGGATCCAATACCTTACACGATGGCAAAACCAGTCCTCATCTTTGTCCCTGGGGCATTCGCCCGAGCATTTATGTACCACGACTTCGTGGAACAGTTGAAACCATATGGGTATGAGGTAGAGGTCGTCGATTTGCCGTCGACTATCGACCGTTCTCCCGAGCCACCAGCGACTGTACAAGATGACGCGGCCGCCATACAGGCGATTGCCTCCAAATACATTGAACAGGGGAAAGATGTACATCTCCATACGCACTCATATGGAGGCATTCCAGGGACTGAGAGTATCAAAGATATCTCCAAGAAGTCTCGAGAAGCACAAGGTCTCAAGGGTGGGGTAACTCGCATTGTATATACCACTGCTCTAGCACTGCCCGTGGGAGTGGCATTGAGAGCTGGTATGGGGGACACTTTTCCAGATTTCTTGACTGTGCATGTAAGAAAAGATAGTATCGCGACAATATCATTTTCCATTGACTGACTTCCCTTCAGGGCGACTACATGACAACGGACCCTGTTGCAAATTCGAAGCTGACCTTCGCCGGTCTGCCTGAGAAGGAAGCATTGGAATGGGCGAACAAAATGTCTGTGCATACAGTGGCTAGTTACGATAGCCCTTTGAGCTACGCAGGCTATAATGACGTTGATGTCTCTTATATTGTCTGTGATGAGGATGTGATTATCCCCCTGGCGTCACAAGAAGGGATGATTGAGCTGCTCAAAACTGTGACCGGCAGACCAGTGGATGTTCAGCATGTCAAGGCTGGACATGCGCCTCATCTCGCTGAGCGTGCACTCATGCTTGATGCGATCCGAAAGACTGCCGTAGTCTAAATCCGGTGTTAAGAAAATCCATCTCCTTGTATCTAGAGCTTCGACTGTGGATCTAAAGACATGAAAGCTTGTACTTTGGCTTTCACTGAGCGACGTTGCGTGTATATGCAGACAGGAAGATGAGACTCCGGGCGAGCATTGAGACTTAAAGGGTTGACCTCACCCTGTCATGCAAGCATATGTAGGGTCAGAAATGTAAGGTCAGCTTTAAGATGCCCAAAGGATAAGCCTCAAGCTAAATTGAGACCACACAGCAGGACAGACCATCGAAGCAGAACAACCAATACTGTTTCACAAGAAATTCGTGGCCCCACTAGGAGAGCAATATCTCGTGTCTATTTGTCCGGAACTCCAGGCCTAGATGTGTCGAACCCCACTTTCATATCGAACTCCCGGGTCATCTAGCGAGGAGTCTTTTCCCCACGGGGTGAAGATAGATTTTCTGGTAATGTGAGCCAATCAATTGACGTAGAGTTACCGACTGTATCTATAAAGACTTGGTTCATTCCTGGCTCATTGCCTCGTCCTGTGACTGCTCGAGAGCTTCTCAATTCTGATCTGAGCTCAGGAGAGAATATTCAAAGCTCAAGATGACACGCCTCACTTCTACCACGGTGCGAATCAGCTCCATTGTTGCCCTCGGCGGCTTCTCATATGGCTTTGGCTTCGCTGTCTTCGTCACTAGCATTGGCCAGCCAGGCTTCTATCTGTACTTCGGTCTTGACCCAACAAGCTCTTGTAAGAAATCCTCGCAGCATGTGGGCGCTTTGTAAGTTGAGACACTAATGCAATCATCTTACAGACACGGCGAAAATCCTTGGTGCAGTCAATGCTTTGGTCTTCTTTGGAGCAGCAATCGGAGCTCTCATCCAGAGTTTCATCGCAGATCGATTCGGCCGTAAGAAGGCATTGGCTTTTGCCTCGACGTGTGGTCTTGCTGGTGGAGCATTGGCTGCAGGATCGGTACATATTGCGATGTTGATCACGGTGCGCATACTTCAGGGGTGCGGCTTAGGCATGTTACTGGCGCTTGTGCCTCTTTACTTGGCTGAGATATCACCACCTCGGCGACGAGGTTTTCTTACCGGTCTTACTGTCATGTCGTTTGGAATGGGCTATGTCATGTATGGCGTTTCTCTTACAAGCTATGTTGCTTCTTACTGACAGAGACAGATGTGCATGGATCTCAGTCGGGGCGTACCATGCTACCAATCTCACGCTGGGATGGAGGCTCCCACTCGCTCTAGCTTGTGTTGGACCAATCGGTCTCCTGATCGGGCTGCCGTTCATTCCCGGTAAAGTTATATCATGCAGGCTTCGCGGGAAATAGTCTGACTCCATCACTCTAGAATCCCCTAGATATCTTGTCTGGGTCGGCAAGAACGAAGAAGCATGGGAAGTCCTTCGAGCTCTCCATCGAGACTCCTCTGATCCATCCGAAAGTCTACCTCGCGCTGAGCTTACTCAAATTGTTCGTCAAGTTGAGTATGAGAAAGAACTAGGAGCCGGTTTTATTCAGATGTTCACTATACCCTCTTGGCGGAGGCGCACTCTGTTGGTGATGTTCCTCTTGTGAGTATGTTCCAACGTAAAATTGAACTCGACTGATTGTTACCTGCAGATTTAGTATACAATCGACAGGAGTAAGTGAAAGGCATGATGGCTTATCCGTCCCGCGAACTGTCAGCTAAGCACAATAGATTTATGGTATCACCAACTTCCTTGTTGTGATATTTGGAAGCCTCAACATGACCGGTGACATGCCACTTATCATTTATGGTAGGTCATCATACCTGGAAAATATTGTGAATATCCGGAATACTGACAACAGTATTCAGCCGTCCATAGCACAGTTGGGACAATTGCAGTGCTTGTCAGTATTCTCATCGTGGACAAGTTCGGAAGACGGACGTTGTTCTGTAAGTGGCATTCTTGTCCTCGCTCTATCCCGGTTTCAGAAGCTAATAAGTTGCAGTGATTGGCTTCCCTGGACTTTTCTGTTGCCTTCTGGGCGAAGCTCTTCTTTCAATGAAGTATCTTGGATCGGACAACAAGGCCGGTAATGCCGCTTGCGTCCTCTTTATATTCATATACATCATATTTTTCCAGGTATGTGGACATATGCCTATTGGTGTCATGGTTAATGTTGACTTGGCCTTCAGTGCTTGGATGCTCCAGCATTCATCTGGGTGGCCGAGGTCTTCCCAACGCCAATCCGTGCGAAAGGTTTGAGTCTAGGATTATTTTCCACATTCACGGGAGCTATCACATTCACAGCACCTTCCGGCCTAGCATTCAAGAATCTGTAAGTGCTCTCATGTTCTGTGCAGGCTATTTACTGACAAGACAAGCGGTTGGAAAATGTACCTCATCTACTGTGCACTCTGTGTCGTTGGCTTCACGATCACATATATATGGATTCCAGAAACAAAGGGAATCCCAATCGAGGAGATCGGAGCACTCTTTGGTGATGAGGTTGCCGTTCATTTGACTGCGGATGGGCAGGGAATTGTCGAGGACAAGGGGGCTGTTGAGGAAATCGAGGGGGAGAATGTAGTAGCACTGAAGCATGTGTGAGCTTTCATCAACCCAGGCACTGCAAAGAAACGTTCATTGGCTCTCGACAATACTAGAATGATCCATTGGTTGGATGAATACTACGTGTATAGTCTGGTGCATGAATAGGCTGAGTGGCAAGGCGATGGGGGAAGCGGTCTGTGTGGAAAAGGGGCTGCTTTCGCCCCAATATAGCCAGGAGTGATGATTAAGCAAGGCTGTAGTTACACCTAACACAATCATCGACTTGGCAAATGATCGGCCCCCAAAATTTAGGCTTGCTCAGCTCGCTCCGAGAGACCTGAAGCAGTTTCACCGCACTCCGCACCCAATCATGAGCGATCATTTACCCGTCAAGACCTTTGCCTACGGTAAGCAAACATTACACAACTTTGACATAGCACGCGACCATTTGATTTCTTCCATCTCTCACCTTGCCAAAGGCTCGGCTCTGCGAAGTCTAAGTCTCCTGGCACCGCTCATCCAAGATATTCTGGTTCGTTCAAGGTGAGGATCACTTCCGAGAACCAATTATGGAGGAGGCGGTCACTTACGCTGGTGGTGATACCTCATCTCCACCAGACCTCCGAATTCTACATTTCAATGATGGTAAGTGGGGGAGAGACAGAAACGCTACTTTCTTTCCCTTTGGCACTCTACTATGAGTAGCACTAATCTTGACGCCGTCCAGTCTACCATCTGGATTCCTCCTCAGCTGAGCCTGTAGGCGGGATTGCCCGCTTTCAAACAGTCATCAACCACTACCGCAGTGGTGAGAAATTCAAAGAACAGCCAGAGCTAGTGACTCTGTTCTCTGGCGATGCATTCAATCCCAGCCTGGAGAGCAGTGTCACCAAGGGTAAGGATTCAGCTGATTTCTGCTCGAAAAGGGGGCCATTTTTGAAAGGGTCACGTGGACTGACGAGGCTGACGAAAATACACAGGAAGTCATATGGTGCCCATTCTGAACAACATTGGAACAGATGTTGCCTGTGTAGGAGTGAGTACTGCAAGGTGTGCAAGATGTTCGTTTTGAACGCTTGCTGATCCTCACAATTTGCAGAATCATGATCTCGATTTCGGTGTTCGGCAATTTCGGAGCTTGACATCACAGTGTACCTTCCCTTGGCTCCTTGCAAATGTCCTAGGTAGGTCAATTTTTCATGTATATATCCGGCCATAAGAAGACCTCTCATACGTTCTACCCGGTAGATCCGGCCCTTGGAGACAGTGTTCCTCTTGGTAACGCACAAAAGACCCTAATGCTTACCTCATCAAACGGCATCAAAATTGGAGTAATTGGACTTGTTGAGCGCGAATGGCTGGCCACAATCAACACGTTGCCGCCCGACTTGATCTACAAATCTGCATCTGCTACGGCGCAAGAATTGGTACCTGGACTGCGAGAACAAGGAGCGGAGATCATCATCGCAGTCACACATCAACGAGAACCTAACGACAACAAGCTTGCAGAGAAGACTCCGGAAGGCCTGATAGATATCATTCTTGGTGGGCATGATCACTTCTACAACCACTCGCTGATCAGTGGTACCCATGTCTTACGTTCTGGGAGTGATTTCAAGCAGCTCAGCTACATCGAAGCCCGACGAAAGACGAATGGTATAGGCTGGGATTTCAACATAGTGAGGCAAGACATCACTTCTGCCATAGCCGAGGATGAAGACACGCTTGCTCTCACTGAGAGACTGACCGCAAAATTGAAGGCGAAACTGGGGAGACCACTTGGGTATACGGCTGCACCTCTTGATGCCCGATTTACGACCGTACGGCTTAAGGAGTCCAACTACGGCAACTTTATTTGCGATCTTATGCGATCACATTACTCTGGAGATTGCTGCATCATGGCGTCGGGTACAATCCGTGGAGATCAGATATATCCACCGGGAGTCTTGCGTCTGAAGGACATCATGGATTGGTGAGTCGGTCGACAATCATTGATGAATGGTCAATTGGAAACTAAGAGGTTGTGTAGCTTCCCTTTCGAGGATCCTTGCATAGTGATCCGAATAACTGGAGCCGCAATCAGTGCCGCTCTGGAGAACTCCGTTTCCACTTATCCTGCATTAGAAGGCCGCTTCCCACAAGTGTCAAACATCAAGTTCGAGTTTGACCCTTTGAAGCCGAGTGGTAATCGAGTTAGCTGGATCAAGATTGGCGGCGAGCCTGTTGATCTCGAGCGAAAGTATGTGGTCGTGACACGTGGCTACATGGGTCGAGGCAAAGATGGATTCGACTCCCTCCTTGTCGAATCTGAAGGCGGAGTGGCCGAGGAGATTGTTTCGGAGGAGAATGGCATATTGATCAGCATGATGCTGCGGCAATATTTCATGTCATTGAAGATCCTAGGTAAGTGGAAACACTGGGGCAAAAGTTTGAACAGGCATTGGGAAGGTGTGAAGGAAGACCTCCATGCGACGCACCCCGTGGTTGAACCCACCACGGAGGCAGGATCTGGAGATAGCTTGCGTGGAAGAGGGTCGATGGCCGCCACTGGGACAATCACTCCACTCGATGACTCGGAGGATGAAGGTGAACATGGACGTGTCCATATCCCACAGAAGTGGAGCGAGCATGAACTGCAGATCATTCGAAGAGTTATGCGCAAGTGGTGGCGACTCGCAGGCCTCAAAGGCGCACCGAAGTGCTGTGATAGTATTTCTGAGGGTGAGTTCATGGTGGACTGGACGAGGGTAAGTGATCGAACCATCACGAGCACTGTGGGTATGATTGTGTTTACTGACAATGAGTGCCCAGGCCATTGCGCCCAGATTAGAAGGACGCATCAAGATCACGGGGAAGAAAGCTTCGATCAGTGCAGGCCAGTGAATAGCTCCTCTTGGGTGGATTGAGGTCCGATATGCAGACTTGCGGCAAAAGATTCGCATGGAGTGGGTAACGGAAAAGGCAGACATTTCGGGTACTCTAGGCAATATCACATTGAGGTGCCACAACCACGTGTAATGATGTCTCTATGCCCAATATTCTACAAGCCCTTCCCAATTCTGCGGCGTGGAAAACCTCTCACTTACCAGAGTCTTGACATTGAATCCATCAGATTGGCCCACCATCAGCACCCTTCCTCTTCTAAGACCAGGCCGCTTTGGGTGTCTGGTGGTCCTATCAGCGGAGCAATAAATAAATGATCTCGGGAACAGTATGCCACTCGAGTAGGGTGATTTTCGCAACAGTAGCCTGACAACAGATCCTTCTTGTATAGAGTTGGGAAGGGTAGAATGGAGGGTCATATCAGGTATAAGAACAGCAGTCCTCGAAAGATCTTAGTTTCCATTCTACAACTTGAGCTTTACTTCAGTCGCCTACCAAGTATCTTGGTAAATAAGTCCTCCAAAATACAAGATGCATTCCACCGTAGGACTTCTGGTCTTTTATGGCTGTTTTGTGCACCAAGCGGTCGCCTTGCCTGCTCCTGGTTCGGAGGTCAAGCAGGAGGCAGCGAAGATCACACTAGGAACAATCAAGCTCACAGGAATCAATCTGGACGCAACAGCGACTAGTTTTTCCACCGCAGCGGAGCCTACGACCACAGAGCCTATGGTGATCTGGATTGATGTCACCCCTCGATCGGAACCCACGAGTACGATCAGTGTCGAGAAGCTATATCCTTCATACCATGAAGCCCCGTCACAACAGATGGCCACAGGAGGCCTGCCAACATCCAAGCCCAGCCCGACTACAATTACTAGGCAAGGCTCTCTATCCGCTGCAGTTCCCCCATACCACACGGTTACAGGAGTCAGGCCAGGATCTGAATCCAGCATGAACACGTTGACCGGGCAAGGATCTCCATACACGGCAGTCCCCTCTCATGAAAGTACCCCAAGAACCCATGCTGGCACCAAGACCAAAGTGCACGGGCAGCCCAAGGTCACACCGGTAAAGCCAGGAAATCAAGATGTCTCCATCCCACAGCACGCCACAGCAGGTGTCGAGTCACAGAGCAGAGATCCAGTATCAGGACACGAGCAGGGACATACGACAGGTTCGCATTCAAGTGCATACAACGGTTCATTCCAACATCATAGTACCACGCAAATTGTAGCAGGATCCACGACCACGGCATCGACGCACCCAACGATGACCGAAATGAGGCCAGGATGGTATCACGGGCCCCAGAGACCAAGTGAGCATTACCCACACTATCGACCAGGTGGACATTACCCACACCGAAGACCAGCCGGGACCAGTGTGCCCACCAGTACAGGGTCAGGAAGACATTTTTGGTAACTCACCATAACTGATATCACAGATATCAGTGGTAGCACGATGCAGAGGGAGAAATTAAGTATGGCAGAACAGCTGCGGGCGCTCATGATGTCGGGGAAAAGTTCTTGGAATTCAGTTGGTGAAAGAAAGAAAGAGAAGGTGAAGTCCGGGGAAAGGCGGATGAGTGTGTACGAAATGGTACTCGTCCACCAATAACCATCGCGTTGAATTGTATTACTCCTCCGAGTCTGCTCGGATAAAGCACAGAATTGTTCGAACCACCATCAGTGCTGGTGGATATCTGCTCATTGTTCTTCTTATTATTCCTCGGAGTTTCGTTGCCATTCTAGTTGGTGTGGACTTTGGTCTAAAAATATTATTTCAGGTACTTCTGTTCACAATCTTGTTCCCTATGGTTAAGCTCTTTATTAGACATGGTGACTTGACAGTAAAGGTAGGATGTCGTGTAGATAGAGCCCTGTGGCAGTGGTGAAGTCTTTCTGGAGTCGGTAACGAAAGCAGTAACAAACAGCGAAGGCCCTCGGCCCTAGTTAATGACTCCGAGGGGAAATCAACAAAGACCTGGACCCTCCAGGGACCTTGCCCCTCAGACTCGCTCTTCCAGGTACCGATTGCCGGTTGACGCGGGTGCTTTAACTACCTAAGTAATCTAGCGCTGACCAATTACTGCAATGGCAATGCCGGGTGCCAGTGCTCGAATGAACAACAGTCTGGGCGCCCTTGACCCCAATTTTTTGGACCTGCGAGGGACCTGCCCCCGGGCGCCCAGGGCATCCAGGGCCATGGCCAGCCACTGGACTGCCACTGGACTGCCGAACAAATACATTTTTGGAGGATCATCGAAGACCCCTCTGGCTGGAGGAAAGTTCCCGCTTGGAGAATTATTCTGTCTAGCAGTAATAATCATTACCACATACACATTCCGTGGCCTGTTCAACTTTCACCAAATTCCGCATTTCTTCTCTCCCTCTCCCTCTCCCTCTCCCTCTTTCTTCACCATCTTCTACCCTGTTCAGAACACCCGCCTACACTCCAATCCCTCGATTTTGACATTGCAACCCACGACAATGGAGGCTCTCCTTCGCCAATCCAAGGGCGTCTGTCCCTTCTTGAAGAAGACCTCTCCGGCAACTTTGCGCACTCTCTCCACCTCCACCCACCAGTCCCCCGGTGGCGGCACCATCACCAATTTGCAATTCATTGCTCGAAGATGCCCTGTCATGAACAAGGCTCTGGCCGTTCAGAGCGCTCGCATTGGCTCTCAACGTAGCTATGGGAAACTTGCCACTGGCACTGGCGTCGTCAAGTCTCTTCTGGAGAAGAAATTGCATACCTCGGCAGAGAAGAAAGCCAGTGTTGACACCAACATGTTCCGCCCTGCCCAGCCAGGTACTTGAACTCTGAACCTGCGGATCAACTTCTAGCACCTACTGACTGACTATCCTAGCTCCACCACCCACCAAGGTCCAAGCAAGTGTCAAGAAACCCGACACCTATGCTGGTCGAAAGCCAACTGCTCCCACCACTCCCCGCTACGACTATGAAGCGTTCTACAACAATGAACTCGAAAAGAAGCACAAAGACAAGTCCTACCGCTATTTCAACAACATCAATCGTCTGGCCAAGGAATTCCCTCGAGCCCATATGGCTGCGGAGGACGAGCGTGTGACTGTGTGGTGCTCCAACGATTATCTCGGCATGGGTCGCAACAAGCATGTCTTGAAGACCATGCACGAAACTCTGGAAAACTACGGTGCGGGAGCTGGAGGCACTCGAAACATCTCGGGTCACAATAAGCATGCAGTTACCCTCGAGAAGACTTTGGCAGACCTACACGGCAAAGAAGGCGCTTTGGTCTTCTCCTCCTGTTATGTTGCCAACGATGCAACCTTGGCCACACTGGGGAGTAAATTGCCCGATTGTGTCATTTTGAGTGATAGCATGAACCATGCTTCCATGATTCAAGGCATTCGACACTCTGGCGCCAAGAAACTCGTCTTCAAACATAACGACTTGGTCGATCTCGAGAACAAACTGGCTAGCCTTTCCCCGGAACAGCCAAAAATCATTGCTTTCGAATCGGTGTACAGCATGTGCGGCTCTGTGGCTCCCATTGAGGCCATTTGTGACTTGGCTGACAAGTATGGCGCCTTGACATTTTTGGATGAAGTCCATGCTGTTGGCATGTACGGTCCACGAGGTGCCGGTGTAGCAGAGCATCTTGATTACGACATTTACGCCGATCCCAATAGAACCTCAGAAACTCAAAAGGGATCCGTCATGGATAGGATCGATATCATCACGGGAACATTGGGTAAAGCGTATGGTTGTGTTGGTGGCTATATTGCTGGTTCAGCCTCATTGGTTGATACCATTCGCTCTCTTGCACCAGGCTTTATCTTCACCACTAGTCTACCTCCCGCGACCATGGCAGGTGCTCGTACTGCCATCGAGTATCAAGTCCGTTACCAAGGAGATCGCCGTCTTCAACAGGTCCACACTCGCGAGCTGAAAGACGATCTCACCGCACGCGGCATCCCTGTCATTCCCAATCCATCTCACATCGTCCCACTACTTGTAGGCGATGCCGAGATCGCAAAGAAAGCCTCCGACATGCTACTGACAGACCACGGTATCTACGTTCAATCGATCAACTACCCGACAGTTCCACGAGGAGAGGAACGACTTCGCATCACCCCAACCCCAGGCCACACCGCCGAACTACGAGCCGAGCTGGTAGACGCACTCGAAAATGTCTGGAACCGCCTCGAAATCCCGCGCGTCGCAGACTGGGAAGCCAAGGGAGGCTTCGTCGGCGTCGGTGTCAAGGACGCCAAGCCCGTGGAGCCCCTCTGGACTGATTCCCAAATCGCGCATGCCGGCACGACTCCAAAACCTGAAGTCGACGAAGCGATCGAAGACCGCATCATGCCCATCGCGGCCGCGGCGGCTTGAAGTCGCAACCCGTCCTTCGAGATCTTGCACGAGGGCAAGAGTGATGCCGAATGATTTTTTAGTTCTTCTTTGCTGTCGAACCTTGGAACGCTAGCAAATGTCCGGCTCTTCAGCCATGTATGATCTAGGTCGAATTCGTTCCCTCTCTTCAGTGAGATCGGAGCCATTCCCAGATCTGAAAAATATATATATATATATATATATACCATACTTACTGCTTTCTTCGCATGTGGCTGGAGGTGTGTATCTCCACCCTCCTGTGCCCGCGAAAGCTCTGAACACAAATATCAAATCGTCATCTGCGGATGGCCATTTTTTACCGTTCTATAACCCTCTTTTGTGATTGATTGATTTATCATTTGATCCTCATCTGCCCTCATAGGCCCAGACGTGAATGTGTGCTCACAGTGATGCTCGTTATGCTCTAAGTAATCGCTCCCTCCCGTACCTTTTCGCTTTCAAAGTAGCCATCCCCAGCCCAAGTCAAGTTCACCCAACCCAAAATGCAACGACCCCCAGCCAAAGCCCAATTGAACTCTAGCGCCTACCAGCCTGTGGCCGACCAGTGCTGACCTTTGGGAACTGGATCGGAAACCTAAGCTTCGCCCACTTGGGCTTCGGCAGGGCAATTTCCTTGCCGTCGTCGGTGACGACCTTCCTCCCGGCAATTTTGTCCCAGCCCACGGCGCGCAGTTCCGCATCCGTCATCGACTCCATCTTGCAGCCGAGCTCGCGGAACAGTTTCGCCGCCTCGGCCGGCTGCAGCGCCAGGTCGAGCGCCATGTCCGTCGGGTCCGTGGCGAGGACTTTGGACTCGGGCTGGAATTTCGGCGGCGGGACGTGCAGCGTCAGTGCCAGGATGGTGGTCTGGAGCAGCGTCTTGGCGTGTGTGGTCGGCTGGCCGGTGGGGAGGAAGTGCGCGGTGAGTTTTCCGAGGAACGCCATCGACAGGCTCGTGTCGCTGATGGCGTTGGCGGGCCATTTCTCTGGTGGTGGGACGGCGCGCCGCTGGGGGAGCCGCGAGATGTAGTTGTGGATTTCGAGGAGGAGGTGGATGTAGCGCAGGATTTGGAGGGCGCGCAGCGGTTGTTCGTCCGTCGGGTTGGCCAGGTAAGCTCGCGTAAGGTAGGAAACACGGTTGGCGACGAAGCGTGACCGTGATTCGACTGCTTCCTTTGCTTTGATCTTGTCCCGCCAGTCGGCAACTGGCATTTGAGAGAGGGTCGTGCGCGCCGGTGCTGGGAAGACGAGGGCGGAGAGGGGATAGACGTGGCGGATCTCCGTGGCTGAGAGGTCTGCTTGGGGGAGAGGCTTGTTGGATCGTGACACCGCTTCCGCTTCGACGCTGTTGGCTATGTTGTTGAACGGTAGGCCGTCTTCGTCCTTGATGGTGGAGAGGATTGCATTGGAGATCGGATTGTCCGCGTCGTCGCCCCCTCGGGCTAGCAGACGATTCTCTGCGCTTGAAGCCACGGCTTTCTTTGACTTCTTTGTTCCGAATGCTTCGGTGAGGGCTGCTCGGGAGGATGGTGTCGGTGGAGGGAAATTCGAAGTGGGTTCCTCGTCGTCTTCGTGGGTTTGCTCGAGTTGGCGGACGCTGTTTCGCACCGTCATCTTCTTGGCCTCGGTCACCTTCAGCTCGTTGCTGACCGGGTCAAAGACGGCCAGATAGTGCCGAATATGTCTCTCGGCGGCATTGCTGGTGTTGTTCTCGACAGCGGTGTAGTCTATCGTCGGGTGTGAGGTTGAATGAAGGAGTAGGTCGGACTGGTTCTTCTTGGAGAAAGACTTGAACTTGACATCTCTCGGGAGGGTAATGCCAGGCGATGAAGCTAGATAAAAAGACCAGGTTGTTAGTGAACATTCATAGACACAATTTCGGGCCACATCGCAGAATGGAATTGTTTCTTTCGCTTACCGACGACCGGTCTGGCGACGTCTGGGCCAGGGATGTGGGAGACTCGGACTCGTGTGCTCTGAGGCTTCTTGGGGGGTCGATCACTTTCTTGAGCACCCGCTTTCCTCTTTTTATCGCTCATCATGTGTTCGGGTATATTTAGCTCTTGTAAAACAACAAAGATCAGGAGATGTATTGCCGCAGGCAGAGTGTTAGTTAGTGGTGGTCGTGGGTGGTGATTCCAGTTTCTCCAATTCCGAAAAATAATTTTTGTCGGAGGGATGTATCCAGCCCCACACGGTCAAGTCTGCACACCTCCAATTCTACGGTGTATCAAGCCACGTAAAGGCTACGGAGGTGGTCAAGTGACGCAATGCGATGAAACATGGCTATGTCTTGTTAAGACTGGTAGTCAGTTCTTGGGCGATTCATAATCACAGCGAAGCACGATGTGTAAAGAAACGTAGAGATTGATTCAGAAGCCGTGGATTGATTCATTGACGAAATATAGCCGTTGATTAAAACAACTAAAGAACCACTTTTGGTAGCTTGAAAGCTCTGAACTTGACAAAAAGAGTCTGTAGGCGTTGACAAGATTGTCAGAGATATGTTTCTGCGCAACCGAAAACCTCCTTGGAACCACCCCAGACATCATAAGCACCGTGGCATAAAGCTCCATGGGGAAAATTGACCATCCTCCACTCCTCCTACACAAGTTGACATCGAAATGACGAGACAATAGTGGTAGGGCCGAGATATCGTAGACCGTTCTTCATCGTAGCGACTGGGGAGATTCGTCGCAAGGAAGCCCGATCAAAAGTAGAACAGCGTCTGTGCACGAGACCGTTGACGACATGTTGTTCTTGGTGATGTTTCATTGACATTGGTCGAGAGGGAAAGATGTGATGGAGCAATTGACACGATTACTTGCTGTTGAAGTGGTCAGCGGTTTGTTGTTTGAGATTGTTCTATTGATTGAGGACATACCTGCGTGCTCTAGTCTTCCTTCTCTTCTTCTTGAGTCTGCGAACTCGCTTCTTTCTCCACTTGGCTCTCATCTTCGGTCAAATTCGACTGCAAAGCTGTTAGTAGTGGTCGAATGAAGGAGAACAGCCCATTGTGATGGGCGAACCCCAAAGTGTCCAATGGGTTACTCACAATTTGTCGAGGATGAGGTTATTCGGATGAGAGATGGTAAACAAGAGGGAAGTGTCCAGCTCGTGAGGGGGTTTTGTGCTAGAAATGGTGTGTGCCGTGACCTCAATTCGCTTGGCATTCAATCCGGGGCTAACCCAAATCTGCCACTTGATCACGTGTCTTCTTTACGTCATTGCTTCCTCCCTTGATGTCCTCGACGCGTTCTGGTTGATGACACTGCGTGTACTCCATCGATATCAAGATCCTACAGGTATCCGGTGCCTCGTCGACTCCGTTCTACAATGACCAAGGCTGTATGAATCCAAATTTGAACCTTTCAAATCCAAGTTGAGTGTTCTTTGGTTTGTGTTGTTTCCTTTGCTTTCCCCCGACGTGTTCGGTCTGCTGTCTTCTGTGATGGCCTTGTTTCCTACACCTCAATTGCCTTCCTCCGGGGTACGATGTATGAGCAACACTCAGACAACCGTACATAGCTCGTCGCCTGTCGGGATTTTTACCCATAGAGATGCTGCCGGTAATGCTATAGGAAGTTTGTTGCATTTTCTTCTCCTTCTGTTCGACGTTACTAGCATTGCCAGGCAAAAAGATATACGCCAATCATGAAATCATCATTGGTCGCTACAGAGGCTACTGGTAGGTCTTGACATCAGCGTCATAAACATGCCACTTATCTGGAGATAGCCAATATGTCTTGCGTGATCCTTATGCTTCCAGAAGGCATCTCAGAATCTACACTGTGGTTTATGAGAACGACGAGCCCAATGAATGTGAGACACTTGTCTATGCGGAAGACTTGTCTCGCAATGGAACATACTGGGATGGAAGCCTGATTGGACGCGGGAGTGGTGGATTTCTCCTCAGCGATGGAAACGTTCTCACGCTGACTTCCAATACTCAATTTACCTTTACCGCATTGCCGAGCCCTCAGAAAAACACTAGGTTTGATCAGATTCAAGAAAATGAGATGGCGGTATGGTCCTTGGCTCCACTTCGAGACGACGCTGACCCATCTCAGCAATTTCGACAGGAATACATGATAACAGAGAGATTACTTGGTGCAGGAGCTTTTGGCAAGGTCTTCATGGCAGTTGAACAAAAGTCTCGGTTGCAGGTAGCTTGCAAACTGGTTGATCTACGGAAACTTGTCCCCTGGAGAGTTAACAGATTCGGACCGCCTGAAAGACCGACTGCTGCCAAAGACTTGGGCTCTCAATCTGAAAGACGAAGTTTGAGAGAATGGGTCAACCAGCAAAAGAGAGGTAAGGGTGTCGAGGCAAAGATGAAGCTTTATCTCAGTAAGATTGAGATACTCACTTCGATCAATCATGTAAGTTTTGCTGTTGTGGTACAACATTGCAATTGACGAGACAATAGCCAAATATCATCGGCATTGAAAAGGTCTTTATTACCGATGATACGATGTGGGTGGATGGCATCATAGGAACACTTCTACTTGGCTAACTGATTAGGTACATGATGCAGAACCTTGTCACAGCTGGCGACTTATTCTCGTACATCGAGTCACGACACGGAAAATTGCAGGAAGCTGAAGCTGCTGCAATAATCCGACAGATACTCATCGCCGTGTCTTTTCTGCACAAGAGAAACATTGTCCACAGAGACATCAAGCCTGACAACATTCTGATGACAAGTTCCTCTGCTGGATGTCGAATCGTTCTGACCGATTTCGGTGCCGCTCGAAGGATTGATGACCAAAGGGATACGATGTCCACACAGATCGGTACTCATGAGTATGCAGCTCCGTATGTTTGATGGTCACTTGCACTTTCAATTGTGTTCTTTTTGAGTCCTAATCTGTTGTCAGGGAAATGTTTTTTTCTACACACTTCCCAGGAAGAGGAGAGTGTCGTAAATACACTCGGGCTGTAGACATGTGGGCTTTGGGATGCGTCGCAGTCGTACTTCTCACTGGTGGTTTAGCATTCTGTGATCCGGTAACCAACCACTACTCGGAAAAGCTAGCCAAAGACTGTGATCTAGCCCATCTTCAGGCCTCGTCTGAATGGCAGCATCTGAGGGACCGTCCAAGATCCTTTGTCGAGAACCTCCTTGTGATTGACGAAAATGCAAGGATGACAGCTGACGAAGGCCTCAACCACTGTTGGTTTTCCAATGAGGCCCACAAAGCCGACTTCGAAGACCTCTATCAACGAACGATCAAAACCTGGCGTTCGAAACCTCCAAAGGACCCTGTTGTGGAGTTTCTGGACAGTGGCTTGATTCAACAGCTGCCCTGCTCTCAGAATTATCTTGAAAAAGTCAATAAGAAGTTCCTTCGCAGAAGTGGACACACACCCATAGAGGAGCCCTTCAAACCTTTCCCACGCACGATGCATACTGCACTATCACCTAGGAGAAGACCAAACGATAAACTCTCTGACGAAATTAGGCAGGCCATTGACACCAAGTGGCCTCCTGTCTCAGAATCCGCGGTCGTGTTGGAAAAAAGAACAAACAACGTCTCTGAAGGCCGACAGTCTCCGTGGTTCCGTATTGAGTCAACACGACGATTGAGAAGAACAACAGCGTCGCCTGCACCAGGGAAAGAGCCTCAACAGGCAGACTTGTCTCCACAATCAAGACGAAGTATGCCTTCCATGCCCTTGAGAATTCGCGACACTCGGAGTGAGAATACTAATTCTGCTGAAAGCAGCAGTGTGAATACGGATCCGCAAGAGGGACTGAAAGAGAATTTTTCGCCATCGTCACGAGCCCCAAGTGGCTCCCGCCTTGACAGAGATGAATCTCCTCCCTTTGGTGATGGCTCTACCGGCCTTCAGCAGCAAAAGATAATCGTTTTGAAATTAAGCAACATATCCGGAACCGTTTTGCACGAACGCTTCGAACACGAGCGGACTACAGGAGTCACCATCGCGCCGTATGGGACGTCAGATGTACTTGTCACCCGTTCAGAGTCGCATAGGTTGGTGCCAGTCAACGAACTCAAACCATTACGAGAGAATCCTAGCCCCGGGAAAGGCAGAACATTGAAGAGAAGAGGGTCTCTGCTAAATTTCCAAGCCAGTACAAAGGTCAAGCGACGCCGAGGGTCAATTTATGATCTGGTAGCTGACAACGATAGCGATGGTGGTAAATACTGAAGAGTCGAGCTAAGCTTGGACAGTGGTCATATTTCAGGGGTCTGCCATGGAGGTTTTCATCAGCAGAACAAGTTCAAGCACCTGGACTCAGGAGACATTGCAGGGGACGTAAAGGTTTCCTTCCGGTTGTTGCAGTTGCATGATCATGGAACGTTACCAAAAAGGATTCATTTTGAAGGTCCAGCCGGATCAACATGAGGTCAAACTAACTCACATATTGCTAGCTAGTCTATAATCACAAGTACTTATTCCACACTCAGACTACAGCCGTGCTAAATGTGCGCTACAGGTTTCATTTGATAAGGTTACCGTTGAAGCACGAATCTGGTGAGGTATCACCCACCCATGTGCAGAACGGCCAACTTCGAGAAGCAAGGTTAGACAAGCCGAGCACATGTCATTAATCTAGAGGGCCTTGTACAGCAGGAATGCCAACGCCCGCTCGTCAACTTCATGTCTATATGTAACTTGTTCTTCTTGTTTAGTTCACCCGAAGACCTCATGACAATGCTCTCCTTGGCATCACGCCAGAGCACCATGTCCGTGAGAAAGGAAGCTTGCTTCTTGAACTTCCGGACCACAGTATCCGAGAGCGCATAGCTACCCAGCCTGAGAGCAAAGCCTTGGAAGCGACCATGAACACAGTCGAACACGAGGTACTCTTCCACGTCATCCTGGAAGAAACAACAAACGTCCAATCTTCAAGCCGAGATGTCATGACCGAAATATCAATGCCACAGTACTTGCAGATGCGCTCCGTGCTCGGTCCTATTCCTGGGCGCCGCTGTCGTTGGATGCTTACGCCATACTTCTTGCCACGTCACGTCGAGAGTATAAGGCTGCCGCATAGCCAAGGGCATATGAGTCACCGAAGTCTCACGTGCTGATAGTCTTGCGCCCTTGTTCTTGGTCTCAGCCTCTCTTCCACAAGACCGGCGTCACAACCGAGTTATGGCTTGGTTGCAGCCTAAGTTCGTAACATGTCCCACTTATCACTTTACGCCTCAGCCCGATTTTCCACCCGTTACATGAAGTCCACCTCCAGTCAGCCTCACAGAGATGCATGCAGTATACTCCGGGTAACCACATTTAGAATTCGCCGCCCCTCGTGCTCGTGGTTCTCAGGTCCGCTGCTCGCTGTGTTCTTCAGATGTAAAGAGTGGCGGTGTTCCTCATAGCGACCGGTTGACCTTTGGAACTAGCCTATTTGTTGCATAAAGGTGCTGTGAACGCCTCGCTCGAAATCCGTTCAGCATCTGAGGCTGTGTAACACCGATGCATACAAAGAGGGCAACCAATCCCCTCGAGCCACACACACAAGAGCCTGTTTTAGACGATTGCCGTCGAGTGCAATGGAAGACAATAGGGGCGAGTCATTGACCTTGGCCATAGTTAGATGTCCTTTATTTTCACTCACGTTCTCCTTCGACAGTCCCATTGAACCTAATCCGTAACACATACCCACTCGCCCCTGTCCGCGATATAGTACAGCAGGTTTCATTGTGATCATGGCAACCCGTGAAGACTGGGATGAAATTCGATATGCTCGCCGTGAGGACGAGGACGACGATAACGAGGAGAACCACAACGAGAACTATGACGATTACTACAACGCCATCCATAACGACAACAACTATCATGACGCCTACGAAACAGCTATAGATGACCTAGACCGCCAGTACGAGCACGAACAGTACTATGAAGCTCAACAAAGGGCAAAGGAGCTCTATGGAGAATACTCGGATGACGAACCTGATGAGGAGGATCTGGATGCTCTTCATGCTCATGCCGATCTGCAGGAAAGAGCAAGAGCAGCTGCTTGCGAGTAAGTTTGAGGTTTTCTAACCAAAGTTGAGCGTCTTTTCGTGACTGTGATCTGACGAATGGGCAAGTGTTGCCGCACAGAGATATACCTGGCACGGGCGTTGGGACGAAGAGGATCATGAGGGCCATGAGCAGCAAGCAGACGGGTGGGCGAACAAAGCAAGGCATATTTGGGAAGACAGAGATCTTCGGACTCTAGAGTAAGGATTTTCCTGTCCATCTTTCATGCTTTGCGAGCCATTAAACTGCTTGTTAACTTGACACTCTCAGGGAAGAGCATGATCGAATTGACAGACAGCATGCTTTCGGGCGTGGCATGCTGGCAGGCTATCAGCATGACGACCAGCAAGATAGGGAAAACGAGGAGAATAGCCTTGATTCGGACGATGACACGTTGGGCATGGACATGTTTGACCGTGGTTCTTAGGGTCAATCTTAACACCAATAGGACAGAAGGTAGGGCTGTCACGGTTGGGGATCAAGAGGGATCGCGGAACTCAGGATAGGAATAGGTGTGGAATGTCTTATTAGGGCTATTTATTCTATCCGGAGTCATTGGCCGTTCTCCTTACCGTACTTGTATAGAGTACCTTGACTACTTAGTTAACATCCGAATTTTTACTCTTAAATCCTGTTAGACCTCTTTATTATTCACTACTGTAGGATGCTAATTCAATTGAACTAGGGGCCCATATCAGTCTTATTACTAAAGATCAAGAACTACAGGCAGGGTCGTCTTCGAGTCGCAAATGACATTTTGATTGGCAGTGAGACCCTTAATTCTCCTTGAGCCTGAGGCTCGAATATTCCATGCAGGTAATGCAGTAAGGTCAGAAACAAATGAAAACTAAGACCTTTGGTTATTAGCGCAGTCCTTCTGGGCGGCTTCCTTGATTGCTAGGTATCTAATTTCCGTTGGTTGTGGAACAAGAGTCCATTAATAGCTGGCCTGAACGAAAACACTTAACGAGGCTCGGAAGCGATGAATGTTCCTTTGAGCAGCGCCTTCAGATTTTGAAAATGATTCTATAATGCCCCAGATAAGGAAATCCGTTGGACACAACCACGCGATGATGGATGTGCCACTCATCAGGGAGATCTTCTCTACCGGCAGCACCTCCTGGATGATCCAAGTCCGCCCCCAGTTCTTGTCCTCACACAACTCCACGAGAGCTTGCACGACGCCTGCTTCAGGCCACACCTCCAGGAAAGACGACACTTGATTCGCCTGCGACAGTGACAATGATCCAGTCCTCCTCAAGCATCGGCTCCCATCGGTCGGGATCTCAATCCACTGACTCGAAAATCGCAACGCTAATGCTCATCCGACACCCCCGTCTGCGATACCAAGCACCGCATCGACAGCGTTCGAGAAGGCCTGATCCCTTACAACAAAAGCACCAACTTCCGCCCCTGGTGCTCTGGTTGCTGTGACAAGGATCGATCAGAGTTGACGTCCGATGGAGATAGCCGGGCACGTTTTGGAGGCCTCTCTGACTCCGGAGCTGACATAGAGGATTGCCGACGTAGTTTGTGTTGTTCGGGTACTTCCTCGTCATCAGTGCTGAAACCCGAATCCGCGGAGTCTAAGTTTTTGATTGAATTTGGTGAGCCCATTTCAACGTCATCGTGGTCTTCATCCTCGTCCTCGTTGTATCCCTCTGTACTATCGGTCATATCTGCGTTTACCGCGCTAAGACCTTTCCGGCCCTTCCCTCCAGTCGTGGACCTCCGTTTCTTGCGCCCAGTGTTCGAGTGGAGACGATGCTCTTGCGTTTGTGACCAAACCTCTTTTTGCGGGTCCCATTCAAATTCACCGCCAGGCGAATTGTCCGTTTTCTCGGCATTGTCGAGCCCATCATTTGCCTCTTTAGATGAGCGATAGGTTACGGGTTGCAGCATGTCTTGTCTCCGGCGCAAAATTCTCTTGACACAATCCCAGCAGGCGTCTTTGGCTTGCAACGGGGCCAACAGGTGTGCTTCGTTGCCTTGCTGAATCACTACAGCGGAAATGGCAAGCCTCGCCAGCCAATTGCCAGAGCACATGACCACTGAGGGATTCTCTTGCGGAAGATCCAGAAGTTCGTCCCAGCCTGTGATCGTGGCCAGGTCGATATTTGCATGCTCACCGGTACATTCATGCTTGCTGTTTACGCTGCTCGCTTTCGAGTTAACAGACCTGAAGGAGTCCTTCTCAAACATGCCCAGAATGTCCAGATCTGCCACCCACTCGCCTCTGTCGTGAACCGAGACAAGCGACTCGATATAGTACGCTTCCGCTGTTCTCTCACCGTATGCGCCTAGATCCAAGGCTTGCTCAGCCCCAGTGAATGACAGATGGAGACTTGTTTCCTGGAACAAATCTTCAACCTTGCCGTTATGGGGATCATGGTTTATCTGATTCCAAGTATTGAGTTTTTGAGACCTTATCTTTGGGTCGATTGGAGGAACTAAGAGTAGCAGGCCTGCCCGTCCGACATTGCCAATGAGTTGTCGGATATCGCTGTCATCGGTCTGGCTAGAAGGATCACTCAGCAATCTTGCGGACACGTAAAGGGAGTTCGCCGAGCTAACAGCCATGACCTTCTTGAAGAGCGATGGTTCAAGGTTCAAGCGACCTGTATCGAACATTACAACGCAAGCAAGAGCTTCGTCCTTGTTCAGGGCACAGATTTGGCCTGCCAGCACGCAACGGGCTTTCCAGGATGTGAACCAGGAGGCTTCCGCCAGCGGGCCTAGCATTGCAGCTCCAAGCAGGACAGAGGACTGCGGCAATCGGTCGTATACAGAAACGGCCAAGCCGGCTGCCATCAAGCAATCGTAAAAGAAAGAAGAGGAAGTCTTTCGTTTAGCTTGGATGCGAGTTGACGACGACAGGGACATGATGTGGTCGCCTAGAGCGTGAGCTGACAGAAATTTTTTCTCGAGCGCATACTTCAAGACGTCCACACCATATATTCTAGAGTGATTATTCATCCCTTTCGGGCGGACACTCGCGGGTTGCCTCATATACAGTGCCGCAGAATCCGGGTTGCCTGCTATAATCTTGAAAGAGGACCCTTCTCCAACAAAAGGATGCTCCAAAGCCATCGCTTTCTCTTCTAAAAGGCTGGTAAGGTCCTCGCCACGAAGGTAGCCAGGCCAAGTGAAGATCAAGTCATCAGTGATTTCGTCATCCTGGCCTCCAATATCGAGGATGTACTCATGTTGCTGAGTCATGACTTCTCTGGCGCGTTCAGACAGGTCTTGACTATACCGCTGTCTCTGAGAACTGCGGTTTCGAATCGCACAGTGTTTCCTACAAGCGCATCTTTCTGTGCAGGCACCATTCAAGGCAAGGCATCGACAATCGTTCAAGCAGTTTCCGCTGCAGTAGCATGATGTTTGGTCTTCGGCTGCACCCAACATCCATCTCAGGTGACGGAATTGACGAGGCTGCGACGACTCCGTCTTTACCGTAATGGGCAGAGCTGTCGCGTATTCGTACCATTTCCAGTGCCCCGGCCCTACCGAGGCTTTATACTTGATCAATAATTCATCTGGCAGAGCTTCAATTCCGGAGGCGATGTGTCTCAACAATGCAATTTGTGCTTCGTCCCTGGTGAGTAGAGAGAACAAGGTTTGGCTGCTACTGAGCCCGAAGAGCGGCGTAGCGTGTATCCCAGAAGGGCCCAAAAGTTTCCCTTGCCTTGAGCCAAATCGGATCAGCTTTGAATATACTTCCTTTTGCGTTTTGCCGGCCTCCATATACTGTTTTGCAGCGCGACCCAAAGCCGGAAGCCAATGCCATCTACCAGAGCGGCCATCAATTTCCCAACGATTCCCAAAGCCCTCCAGGAGATGGCTCCAGAGCTTATGGATGACTTCTATACCGTCGTCTAGTTTGATACTGTACTTAGCCCAGGTACGCAAGGTGCACCCAAGCACGACATACACCATCAGCTCGAAAGATATTTTGGTTCCATCGTCGGCAGTGCTCCGAATGCTTGACACTGGGTCTCCGTAATGCCTCAAATGAGCGAGCGGCAGCGACCAGAAGACGCCGCGTTTTCTTTGTGTTGATGACATCTTCAATCCGATGGTCAATTGTCCACCGTTTATCAAGGGATCATGCTGTACAACAGGCGTAGGGCACTTGCCCAGAACCAACAAATCTGGATAGAAATGCCAGGCAGCGAGGCCAAGCAGAATAGATCCCTCTTGGACACTGAGCGACTCTCCTAGTATTATTTTCTCCACGTTATTGGCCGCCGCCGTAAAAGCAGCAAGGACTCCATCATAGACATTGAGCTTTGGAGCGACGGGCAGATCAACATTGTTAACTATCAGCATAAGTTGCACGTGTCTCTTACCCATGGCTTTGTCGGCAATCTCGAGCCAAGATCTGGCACTGGCGTCCCACATAGCCAACTGATCCTTTGTGAGCACGATCCTTGATGCACTTAGTGCTATCATGGCCGACTGGTCTTGGTCATATATGGTTTCCAGCTCTTTCTTGCGCGCGTCCACAAGCTCAGTCCAAATCGATATGGCCTCTGCTGCAGTCCATACCCGAGCAAGTAAACAGGCTAACAAGAAGCCCGAGATCGATGACTGGCCAGAAGTTGCTGCAGCCCATATTCCACTGCCGTCTGCGCCAACATGATCGCGAAAGACACCATCGCTTGAGGAGCCGAGAGGGTTGACATTTGGCTCAGCGGTTATCTCAGATGCACGCTTTCCATATGCTGATAGCAACGCGGGACGTTGTGGTAACACACCGTCGAGAAGAGCGCCAAGCTTCCTTGCGACAATGTGCAATTGGCCATCTTCGGCAACCAAGCGTCGCCGGTCCGCAAGGGCCGCACCTACCGCTCTGAACTCCACAGGACTTTCGATCTTGATCAGCGAGAAATCGAAATGAGCATTCGCGAGTGCGACGGTATTCTCTTGGGCTAAATGGAACCAAGACGCACTGAGTTTGCTGAGCGCGGACATTGGGTGCTACCTAGATGGTCCTTGTTCGAGTGGGCTCTCTGTTGCATGCGGCGCCGGAGACCGTTCAATCTCTCATTCAACCTTTGTCTCTAGCATCTCAAACTATGGTAAGAAAGGTGAGTCGAGGTAAGCAGAGGATTAGTTACGAGATGATGATTTTATAAGTCGCATCGTTAGGCTGAGCACCCATGCAGCAAGGGGAGCATGTTCACATACTCTCCATACATCAGCCTCGCAGCCAAGTCCTTCTTACCGCCTTCCTGGTAGGTATAATCCGGTAGAATAATTATTCTCAAGTGTTAGGCAAACACTGAGTGAGCCTCTTCGAAGGCCTACATAGAGATCCGGCAAGAATGAACATATTGATGGAGAAAGAAGGAGATAGCCGATGAGTTCTCTTAGTGAGATCGAATTAATCCTATCGAGTTGCTTGCTTAGCTGCATGTTGCTGTCTACCTATTGTATCTATGGAAGGGACTGTTACATGATGCTGCCTGCCTGCCTGAGCGACGGCCGCTAAATATCTGAATCAATGGGACACACACATTTGTCGTGCCAATATTGAATTTATACAAGCTCCGGTTAAAAATTCTCCTATCAGGATTGAGTGCCGTGTCTGCTACACGATTGACCATTACCGCAAAAGCTCAATGGACCAGCACCCAGCTCTGCCTAGGCAGTTATCCGCGAACTAAAATAAGTCTAATAGCACTGGAGACGACCGCCTGGTATGGCGAGCGAGCCACTTTGAACAACCCCTTGTCTAATCATACAATGCATGGCGAAGAAAACTATACCACATTTATCATGCCTCAATCCCCAATAGTTTTCGATGGCCTTCCCAGTTTATCGTACCCCAATGATTAATGCGAGACTGAAGAACATTGGTTGTATGATGTTGATGACGATGGAACAGTTCGTACACGGGGGCTTTGTTGATGGTCCAATTATCCACCCATACCCAAATCGCCTTCAGCGTCTATGATGGCCAGTCTTTGCTTAGCCGTCTTTGCTTTCTTGCTGATACCTCGGCCACCGCGTGCCCCAGGCCCTTTCTTTGGTGGTGGTGTTTCAGTCACCTCGACTGGCGTCGCTGCACCAGAAGGTTTAGCTGAAGCATCTTCGAAGTGTCCTTCGCCTAAGATATTGTTAGCCATATGAACATCATTTCAAGATCAATAGCCATCACTTACCTTCATGGTACATGTCATCGAGACTCATCTCACCTCTGCGTTTCCTACTCGCAGCGGCGGCTGCAGCGGCTTTTTTGCTCTTCTTCTTGGTGGGCTCTTCTTCAGGCTTGTCAGCAAGCTCATTTTCTTTCTGCTCAATGAGTGCAGCTTGGTCATCATCAGCAAGCCACATGGCGATATCCTTGGTTCGGTTTTCACGTCGATCTCGCGTATTGAAGTCGACTCCTTCGCCACCTCCACCTGTGATCACAACACGTTGGACCTCTTCCTTCTGCATTGCTCGTTTTCGAATGCGTTCCTCAATTGTACCACGAGTGATTAGGCGATAGACCGTGACCTGTTTGGTTTGACCCAATCGATGAGCACGATCCATAGCTTGAGAGTCAATTGTTGGATTCCAGTCAGAGTCGTAGAAGATAACCGTATCAGCAGAGGTCAAATTGATACCAAGGCCACCCGCTCTGGTGGACAGCAAGAAGATGAAGATCTCTGGTCTTGTCTGGAAGTCGTGTACTGTGTCACGACGATCTTCAAGCTTAGTGCTACCATCCAAACGACAGTACTTGTAATTTCGGTAAGTCAAGTATTCCTCCATCAAGTCGATCATACGAGTCATCTGGAAGTACAAAAGTACACGATGACCTCCGTTCTTTAACTCTCGCAAGAGCTGATCGAGCTTCGCCAATTTGCCCGAGTCGGTCACAAACCGGCGCATAGAAGGAACTCCAATGTGGGTAAACTTGGCCTTCTCGGATTCAGGCTTGGGGAGCAAGTTCGACAAGGGGAAATTTCGGGGGTCCACATCGTTCTTCAATAGATTCTCCTCCAATGTTTCGTCTAGAGGGAACATGATGTTTCGGAAATTCGTATTGAACAAGGTCAATTGTTTTTCAGAAATGGACGACTGATCAGCACAGCTGATCTCAATTGGAGGAGCTGATGCTTTCGGGCCAGCGGCTGGTTCAAGGACAGAATAACCGGTGTCGGCGAGGGCGTCTTTGGAAACATTGCATAGTTTTGCAAGAGTCGAGTTCGGATCGAGTTGCGCGAGAGGCTGCCTGGAGGAACCAGCCACGATATTGAACATGGCATGGACTGGAATTTCAACCTCAGAATCTTCGAAAATAGAAACAGCTCTGCTATTCCGTCTCTTCAGCTTCAGAGCTCGCTCAAAAACGCCCAGCTCCGCCGCATCACATGCTTCACCAGCAGAGGTGTCAACAAATCGTAGGAATGAAAAGGTATCATCACCCTCAGCTGATGCTTTGATATGCTCGGGAGTCCATATCTTCAACAATCCTGCCATCTTGTCGGCCCTACAGCCGGACCTTCGGAAACCTGCAGTCGGATTACTTGGCCCAGCTATTTCAAGTCGTCCAACATCATTGCACAAAATCCGAGGAAGATCGTATTGAATCAGGTTGCGCACGGAATAGCCAACCTGCACGTACGAGCCTTCACGAAGGAAGGATGCGGTCTCCGCAAAGTACGACATTGAGAAGGGTGAATTGGTGTCGGCTCTTTCGAACAGATCTGGATGATTACAAACTTTTCGGAACTGCATAACCAGATTCATCAAAGTCGCTGTATCTTGATCGTCTCCTACCGTAGCCTTTTCAATGAGGTCCATAATGCTGATTTTGCTTCGGAGGTTGGCATAGTATGCTCTTTGTCTATATGTCAAGTCGCAGAAAACATCTTTCTCCACTTTGTCGCCAAGTTCTTTCTGGACATGTGCCTTGACACGGCGCAACATGAACGGCTTCAAGATCATATGCAGTCGTTTGAGTTGATCATGATTGAGCTTGGTATTACTCTGAGCATGGCTTTCGATATCTTTGGAAAACCAATCACTGAATTCATCATGGGAATCAAACAGTGTAGGCATGATGAAATGTAGCAACGCCCAAAGTTCTTGCATGTTGTTTTGAATGGGCGTACCAGTGAGTAGAAGACGGTTGCGACATTGAAAAGCCAAAAGGGCCTTCCATCGAGAACTGCTGGATGATTTGATAGCCTGAGCCTCATCAAGAATCATATACTGCCACTTGATCTTCTGGAAGTACTGAGCATCCTGCACCACCAATTGGTATGAAGTCACAAGAACATGGAACTCCGAGTCCTTGTTGTAGGTGATATGCTTGCGATCCCAGAACTTCCGCAATACTTTCCGGTCTTTTGCGCTGCCCCAGTACGGTAGAACCTTGATTGTAGGCACAAATTTGGTGACCTCCTGTTGCCAATTGTGGAGAGTTGAAGCAGGGGCGATGACCAAGAACGGACCCCACACGTTGTGCTGTTCGGCCAGATAACCCATGACTGATATTGACTGCACGGTCTTACCCAGACCCATTTCGTCGGCAAGAATACCGTTGATGCCTTGCTCATACAGATTGACCAGCCAGTTGAGACCTTTGAGCTGGTACTCTTTCAACTGGGCCTGCAGCATCTTGGGCTGAGTAACTTGGACCGAACCAGCCATAGTTGGATTTTGGAAGTTCATGTCGCTGGAATCGAAGGCCGACATTGGATCATCACCGTTGAAATTACGGGCTTTGTCTTGCGCGTCCTGGAGAGCACTCGCAGCATTGGCCATTGCAGCTTTTCTGAGCTCAGAGTCGTCATCAGCGTCGAAGTCGAGATCTTCAAAGTTTGTAACTTTATGGTTGCCATGCTCGTCGGAGGCTGACAGATCGTCCATGCTAGTGTCATGCGTAGTTGGTTTAGCGACAGCGCCAGAAGCTGCCACATCAGGGTCATCTGTAGCTCTCTCAATCTCATCGGTTTTGATTTTGCGGCCGATGAAGTGGGAATAGATCTCGGTCTGCGAGATAAGAAAGTTGAGTTTGCGCTTCTGTCTGTTGGCTTCTCGATCTGCTTCCGCTTTCTTGGCGTCCTCAATTTCCTTGCGTTCTGCCATCCGTCGAAGATCGCGCTCTTCGCGCTCATTTCGTTTCCAAAAGGACATCATCTCTCGCATGACTCGCTTGGCTCGGGCCTGAACATCTTTCATGCTCTTGTTGGTACGTTCTTGCCACTTACGTGCCTGTTTGCTGGCGAGAATGACCGTCTTGCGCAGATTTTCTTGGCGAGTGTTATAGGAAACCTGTTTCAGGCGGTACAGCTTTGGAATATCTTTGCGAGCCATGTCTCTCCAAATCTGTTCATAGATCTGATTGTATCCCTTTGATTCATAGTTGATTGTCTGCTGAGCAAGAGCAGCAGCTTCTTTGGCCTCTCTCTCCTTGGCTTCTTTAGCCTCCTTGGCTTCTTTGGCTTTCTTCGCTTTGGACATTGGCTCTCGTTTTGTCTCTTCCTTGGGAGCAATGAGAACCAGGGCCTCTTTTTCTTGCATGGCGGCGTAACCAGCTTCGGCGGCGTCCTTCTCTGCCTGTTTCTGGGCCTTTGATTTCTTGGGGCGAACAGAAGGTCCATCCTTCTTCGAGCGCTTCTTTGGTGGCTCACCAGGTTCTGGTGATCCAAGTTGGAAGGTAGAGGTGACACCGCCTTCATAGTTGGGGGCAGGGGCCGGAACCTCCATGTCTTCTTGGGCTGGACCACCCTCAAGGAGTTCAGTAGTTTGTTTGATTCGTTGCTGTGCCTTTTCCGCTTGTCTGAGATACCGTTGAGCTTCTTCTTGATCCTCAGCTTCTCTCGCACGTTCTTGAAGTTCCTCGACCTTTTGTGTTTCGTTACGAATTTGCTGCTCGCGACGGCGTTTTCGTTGCATGTCTTTCTTTCTCTCTTTTTCGCTTTGATGGTCCTTGTCTGCGATTTCCTTTGCAGCCGCAGCTTCAAATCGATCGCGGAAACGAAGTGCCCCACTGGTAGCTGAGATATCGAAAGATTTGGCCAGATTTTCGAGAAGGTAGTTTGTGCGCCGCTGTGGTCAGGTTAGCAGGGCAGTTTATGGAGAGCACGGTAGCAACGCGACAGCATACCTTTTTCTTGCGAGATTCAATCTCTTCTATGTTGGCCTTTCGTTTCCTACTCCTCTGCTTGAAGAGCTCTTTCAATTCATAAAAGCCGTTGTCCGTGTCGGGATAAATGGTCTCATCGATCTCAGCCAACGCTTTTAATATTTTGTCTGCTTCCGCGTCGGTGGCCATTCGACGCGGTTTTGAAGGTGCAATGTATTCCTTAGGGGGCGGCGCGTGCAAGATGACCCTAGATGGCGCTGCGACGTGGCCATTTGTCAGAGCACCATTGGTTTCGACTGGGTGCAGACTCCTCAACTCTTGCTTTGCAATTGCCTTCTTTGTCTCCATCACGGGTTTGGGTGGTGGTGTTGACGGGCGAGGCAGGCTTGGAGGCGAGGGCTTCGGTGATGGTTCATTGTTTGAAGGGCCAAGGATGCTGGCAAAAGACATGGGATTGCTGGTTCGATCAGGCTTCTGTAGTAGATGGTGAGTAGATAGCTCAGTATTCAACAAACAATAACTTACATCCTTGGAGACTGGACGCGTTTCAACTAGGGCCGAGTCATTGTGTCTGCCGTTTGAAAGATGATGTTGTTCTCTTATGGGTGATTGTAATGCAGGCGGATGTGACGACGGATGTGCATGGGCTGGACTACCATCATATGCAGGCATGAGACCAATAGGATAACCGGCTACCGACGACCGCAGGTGGGAAGCCGATGGGCTTGTGGGATATGGTTGATAGTGTGCACTTTGTGGTAATGGGGGAGGGGGTAAAGAATTTGGCGCAGACAAGGGTGAGGCCAAGGTAGGAGGTCTGTTATGGAGAGGACTCTGCACCAACGAGGCAGGTGGAAAGGGAGGAGTGGTTTGTACTAGGTGTTGAGGTGGTATTTGATAAGGTTCGTGGTGAGAGTAGAAAGGACGGTTTGGGTGAGTTGGCGAATAGGGTGGATATTGGTTTGACTGCGTCGGCGAGCGAGCCGTATATGGGGTTGACCCAGACATGATGGTGGTTGTATGCCTTTGTATCCCTTTCGTCGATGGAAAAGGTTGGGGTTCTATGGTGGCCAGATCTATGGCTCAGTCAAGTGGCTTTTGTCCTTGCGGACACCCACGCTGGGATCAGAGTTTTATCTAGATAGTGTAGCCGCAGCCTCCATCGCTTGGGGACAGCGCAGGCTTGGGGTCGTCAACTTTTTTTGCTGTTGGCGACAACCACGACCAAACCGATTGGGATGGTGATCTCGGAGGGTGCGACAAGACGCGCGATAGGGATTTCACGCAATTGCGGATCGCACAGTCAGGTCAGGCCGTGTTACCGGGATAGCGACGGTCAATTAGTGAGTGAAATGCGTCGAGTTGATATGGACAAAGAGGTGTCGCGATGAGGATGGGTGGTGGTGATGATGATGGGATGATGGGATGGGTGAAAAGGAAAACTCGATGGAACAAGTTGAGGTTGAAGGTTGAGTTGGAAGGGAGATGGGGACCATGATCAATCACAGTTACGAGCTCCTCTGGCCGACAGCGGATATCTGGGGAATCTCAAAACGCGATGAACATGGAATTGACGGTCACGTGCGGGGAGTCTATACAAGCACGTCTTTACTATGGGCAGGCGCGTAGTTGGGTGTTGAGAAATGCCTTGTAATTGCCCTGCATTTCGGACATGTCATTTTATCTCTTGCTACGTGTTCTTTGAGGTCTATTGTGGGAGCATAGTGTGTAAAGGGTTGGTCTGAGTAGCGAGCAGGACTGGAGACCCACGGTTCGACTTGTCTACGGAACAAAGGTTTTGACGCATCAGCCCAGGAGTGCTCGAGTCTGGCGCAACTGACTTGCCCGTCCTTGCCCTTCCTTCCTTCTGCGCAAGCATCATCGCTTGCCAAGTCGGCGCTAACCCGGGTAGTCTTGACCCGATCTGGCCGCCTTAACTTCAACGTTAAACCACGGGCAGTGCGGTGGCAGGAGCGTTGGTCATGCCTATCACTCAGGCTCGGGGTTCACTTTTGATGAGGAGTGCACAGGCTGTTGGCTACCTAATAACCCAGTATCCCACTGAATACTAGGTACCTAGGGACTATCTACTTGCTTTGGCCACGAACAAGGTGACACAGCCCTCAAAGCTCACAGGCACTTGTGCGATTCCTAGACGATCGTGTCACCATACACAACCAAATAATCACTATTCTTCAAACATCGGCTACAAGACATGGCACCCAAGAATAAAGGAAAAGGCAAAGGCAAAGACGACGAAGCCAACTCAGCCTCAGCAAGTAAATTGAAATCGGCCCAGTCGATCAACGTTCGACACATCTTGGTAAGCCGCAATCACACTCAAGTGGAATAATCATCATCTTTTGGCACATCATGTAAGCATCTGTCTGATCTCACGCCGTCATGGTCCAATTACACAGTGTGAAAAGCATTCGAGAAAAGAAGAAGCCCTGGCCAAACTTCGTGAGGGTGTCAAGTTCGATGACGTGGCACGAGAGTTCTCGGAGGATAAGGCCAGACAAGGTAGAGGAAACCTCACTCAGGGGTGGTACCATCAGTACCTGCCCATCCTACCCGACCACACCGGCACTGTCCTGATGTGCTCTAATTGAACCAACTGACTCAACCCTCTACAGGTGGATCATTGGGCTGGAAGACACGGGGCAGCCTACACGGCGAGTTTGAGAAAGTCGCCTACGAGTTAGAACCAAGCACAACAGCAAATCCCAAGTGTAAGTGTCCTTATCTCATTTATACAACGACCGTTATGATCATAATAGCTATACAAGGAAAAATTCGAGTCGGAAAAGGATTGTCCCATCAACCTTGAACCCTCAATTCCACAATGGCCCATGCCCCAAGTTATCTCATCCTGTCATATCCCTCGAATGACCGATAGAGATCATTCACTAATCCATATACCACACAGACGCTGAAGTCAAGACCAGTCACGGATACCATATCATCATGGTAGAAGGAAGGAAGTGACATGTCAATCAGCAAAGAAATATTGGAAATAAGAATCTCAAACAAATTTAATGAATGAGTGGGCTTGCAACACTAACATCTGCAAGAACATCCAAGGCGATATGATCAAAGTGCTTTCTCTTGCGTGGAGAAGTCTGGACAGGCGGCAGCACCATGATATCGCTCAAGGGTAGTCGAGTTGTTTGCGTGCTGGTTGGAGGAGTGAGGCTAGCTCTGGCAATTTCTGAGTCGGACTGGGCATAGGCCGTAGGTGGACTTGGTCGGTCCTGAGGAGGTGTTTGAATGGCTCGCTGAGCAACATCGAGCCCTCTTTCTGATGCCGCCTTTTGAGCCAGGCGGTCAGCGATGTTGAGGTTGAGGAACCCACTGGACCTTGGCTCGTCTTGAGGCGGCGAAAGACGTGGTGGAAAGATAAAGGGCATGGATCGAGGTTGCTCGACCAGGTTCAATATGCCACTAGAACGGGCTTCTTCCAGTTCGGAATGAGGTAGTGATTGACCATTACTCAATGGCGATAAGGCTCTTGATGATGGTGTATGGACAGACCTTTCATCAATGCTTGATGACACACGTCGCGCACTGTTATCAGAGGGGGTGTTGCCATTCGTGACATGTTCGTCTGGTCCTTGGGGTTGGGGACGATTGACTCGTCTTCTCTTGGGCTTCTGACCCTCGAGTTCTTCTACGCGCTTCTCGAGCGTCATCACCAAGTCGTCGACAGCAAGAAACCGGTCCTTGAGACGGACCTGTTCATCATAGTTGCCTTCCACCCTGTCTTCGATGTCGGTCACTTTGTGACGTATCTCCTCGTCGTGCTTATAAAATGGTGCAACGGCTTCTCGGAGAATGCGAACCTCACCTTCCCACAGCTGTCTGTCTCGGTGCAAGGCACCCTCTCGACTCCCTCGTTCATTCTGAACGACTTCTTCGATGCGTTTGATCTTCTCCGCCAAGAGATTGAACTTCTCCATGAGCACGGCTGAGATGTCGGAAGAGGTCTTCTCCTTGTTCATCTCATGGACGTGATAACATGCTTGATGGCCACATTCACAGATGTTTCCCGGAGCGCTTCGATTATGATGATAGGACTGGCATGAACATGGATGATTCTGTGCCGAAGGATGTTGTAGAAGATATCGACACTCCCCGGTGGGTTGGGGGCGTGCACTTTCGGAAGAAGTCAATCGCAGAGGACGATGCTCATGATGAAATGTTGGAGGAAGCGGCAGGGCGTTCGAACCGAACATCGGAGCCATTGACATGTTGCCAGGCTCTCGAGGTGATAACCCCGTATGATGGTGATTTATGATCTCTTCTGGAGATAAAGTCCCCCACTGGATCTTGGGTAGATAAGGTGACTCTTCTATCCTCTGGTAGATAGAGTTGCAACTTTTCAAGTAAATAGGTGTATGCAGATTGGGTTGAACGAGCTGATCACTGTAAGGTGTCAGATATCCTTATCGGTGGACAACAGAGAGGGAGCAAATTACGGTGTGCGTTGGAACAGACGCAATACTGATCTCTGAGGGTACTGATGCGCTACCAAGGCGCATGGCTCTTTCTCAAAGAACTCCAGCTGAACGTGTACCACAGGTAAGTGCTCATTATGGCTGGGTCCTTGTCGAGTGAAAGAAAAAGAAGGGAGAGCCTCGTAGGCGTTGGTAGATGAGGGAACGGAAGATCAGTGGTTTTAGGAGAAGTTTATCAGCGACGGTGGATGTTTTGATTGAGGAGGACTGAGTCGTTATCTGCACCGATCCTCGGGTCAGACCAGACTTATGCCGGCAACGCAGAGGGTAGGGAACACGGGAGACATGTGCCTCTACATATGGTTAAGACTGAATGGATATTGTACTCCTTGTCAGCTCGAATCAGAGGACGAAAGATAATCGGGGAGGAGGAAGGGCAGGCTGATTTGACATGGATCGGAAGAAGTTTAGAGGATGCTAGCTTGTAGAGGTGCCCGATATTTTCCAGACTGATGGGCAGAGCGAGAGCCGGGGCCACGGGAGGACAGTTCAGAGCAGGTCGTGGTACTCACCGTGTACCGCTACGAGCAGTAGTGGTTTCGATCGCGATTGCGAATGATAAGGATAAATGAGCTAGAGTTGGGAGAGAACATCTGGAACTGGAAATGGCACTGGCAGACTGGGATGCGATGGGGTGGTGGCCCGGGGGGTGGTGACTTTGTTCCACCTGAGAAGGTTTATCTGCACTTGTTGCGGAACGGAACAGCGTGGGAAAATGCCGTTTGCCGCCCGCGCACTATCTTGGACCCCCACTATTCCCAGGTGCCAGTGAGCGCTGCCTTGCATTGATGCTCTGAATAAAATGGGGCGATTGGGTGTTTTGCTTGATCGTCCAGCACGTTCTGCTCATCAGAGATGACCAAACCAAGGCAACCTCGACCGAGCGGGTGCGAGTGAATGCAAGCAAGCAAAATAGGGAAAGTATTGGGTCAGATGGTGGCATGGGGGGGATTGGGGTGGTGGGCAGTGGGTGGGTTCAGTCTTTCGCCGGCGTGGAACCGAAGGGAACTCTCTGAGCCTTGGAAGATTATGGCATGTCCGGATATGTACAGGGTACTCCGAAGTGATATCAGCATTCCAGCTGTTTGGAACACTCGAGGGCGTAGCGTTATCTCGAGAACGCTCAGAGGTCGTGATTATTGATGGACAGCGAGTTCAACAGCCGTCTATTCGGTGAGTATCTGTAACCTTTGGTGGCCAGGCCAGTAATAATCGACACTAGCACGCCTTCGACTTTGTTCTTCGTGTCTGATGCTAGTACCAACATGACTGCCCACGGGCAGGCCGATCGAGTCGGGGTCAATTTGAAAGTCTGACCCTCGTGAAACGTGTTCATGTCTTGGGCGTGGATAGGTAATAAGGTGACTGACAAGCCATGGAGGGCGACTTGTAGCGGATGCCACCTCTGATGCCTGTTGACTCCCACACAACTCCCACCTCTACCACCACGGCCATCGTTCATTTAGAGGTCTGAGTGGGCAAAGAGTCGGTAGTATGGGGGCTCCAGCGAGGGGTTTTCCAAATACCAACCGTTCAGCAAGGCCAGGTGTGGTGACTGGGTGAAAATCCCACGTGATGAGCGGATTTTCATGCACGGATGAGTTGATTCTTCGAGGCTCCGAGAACATTGCTAGGCAAATTCCGGCATAGATCGTTGGGTGACAATGTGAGCAGTTTACTCGGGACTAGGTGCAGAATGGACAGGGATAAGAAGCCTAAGATCCAGGGTCCTCAATTTTGTGCAGCGAAGTAGCGATGGTGACATTTGTACCTGGGATTAGCCCATGGAGGGTCCCGTTGTCCCACAAACACCACCGCCTAGGCGTCGTAGTCTCGTAGACATCTTTCTTCTTTACGGGATGCAGAAGAGCCAAAAGAAAATGCCGGCCGCCCGGACGTCTCGGCTGGGAGTTCAAGCTTTTCGGTTTGATATCTACGAGACTCTGTCCGTTGAATTACTGTATCAACATCCTGATGGGAAAAGAGCCTCCGAGGAACACAGGTCCGTATGAACAGGAAGAACGAATCGGTAAGTGGCTCAACGATGGTGGTACTGTTGTTGTCTCAACATACCGAGAGTACCGAGTACGAGTACCATTCTGTGAAGACGGGAGATTGTTGATCCGGGATCGGTAAGATAGAAGGTTCGCACCAAATGGTTGACTGTTGTCTGTGAATGCACTCGAGATGTTGTATCCGTAGGGAAATGCCACCTGATGTTTCCAAACCCCAAGGCTCGATTTCAAGGTTGATCTGATATGTGAATTTGAAGCTTGAGGTGGATGTTGAACGGGGCGTGCCGCTGCAGGGCATCTTTGAGTCTCGACTCTCGAGTCTTTGAGTGTTGCCTCTCGCCTGATGGTGCCACTACGAGGACTACTGTACGGTCACTACGAGATACCTGGCACGCACCCTTCTCAGACGCCTCTTTCTTCTCCGCACTCCGAAACCTCCGGGGCTTCCAACTACCAATACCACCGCTCACTGCCACTGGAATTCCTCACATCATCAATTCCGCAGCCTGCCGCAGTCGACAATTCTTAACCACTTCACCTCTCATTAGGAGTTCAAGGTTATAAGGTATTGAGCCCAAAGTCTGTTGACCTCTTTCGCACCTTCGTTCTTTCTATCCTCTCAACAGACACGACTCCTAGCAGACCACTCGCCAACCATGGCTGATCCAAATCAAAAATACGAGGCACCAAGTGGTCCCCCTCCCACCATGCCACCTCAAGTCCATCACGATGCCGGCCCATACTATCCTCCCAATGCGCAAATGGGTGACCCTCGTGCTGCATATCCCAATAATTCGCCATACCCAGCTCCAGATCCCAATGGTTTCTATGGCCAGCAGCAGCCCCCGCCAGGCTGGAATCAGGCACCACCACCAGGGCCATGGGCTGCTCAACAGGGTCCAGGTCAACCACCTTATGGATACTACGGACCGCCTCAGCCTCAGCCAGGCATGTACTACCAGCAAGGCCCTCCAGTAGGGTATATCGATGATAGAAGAGGAGACGGAGGTGCTGGCAGTGGCTTCTGTGCAGCCCTGCTTGCTGCTTGCGCCTGCTGCTGTTGTTTGGATATTCTCTTTTAAAATGGGTGTGGGAAACCGGGATGATTTGGGTTTAGCGGGTGCAAGGGGAAGGATCTCAGTACATCCTGGCGGCAACGTGTAAATCAGTGGGTGGCGTTTTGGGTGGTCATCTTATTGCATGTGTATATGTTACCCACCTTCAGTGAGTGGTTTGAGATCACCATCTCACAAGGCGGTATCGCAAGGCTCTGGTCATGCAAGATGGGAAACGGTGGCTCCTGTGTTGTTATGTTGTCGCTATAGTGGCATTATCATCTTCCAAGTTCATGTCAATATGAGTGCACTGATCATATGCAGAGCTTTCCATTAAACTCCAGACACGTTTTTCAAACACGATACAACTAATGATGACAGGGACAAGGCAAGACTACAGGGGGCCGAGCAAGAATGGAAGGGGTTCTGTTCCAAGATCTACAGCTGCCGAACGAAGTGTTGAAATACGGAGCACCAAGATCGTGGTATGAATCTTAACTGTTGCGCCGCACTGGACCGCAAGAATCTAGCTACCTCTTAAACTTTTTCCACTCTCACGCAACGCTCGCGATATCAGAAAGAAAAGCCTTCTTGGGAGTTGGAGATGAAGGGCCTATGCAGTACTGGTGACATCGCGCGTCGGAGGGCTTCTCACTACTTTGTCACCGGTCGAACCGTTGTAAAAGTTGAATCTCACTGTGAAGCGTCGAATCATCATGCCAGATCAGATGGACTACCATGGCTTCAAACGGCGATGGTCACCAAAAGTGGCAACCTAGGATATACCAAACGCATCAAGCACCAGCACCGGTATTGATCAGGCTGTTGTCTTTTGAAGCATGGCCAGATCGAATCCTCCTCCAACTAGCCATATGGAAGCCAAAAGTATCTTCAGTTGATCTACGCAATTCGCGCCTTCAATCGGGACATCCAGTGTCCAAGCACGCTACCCCGGAGAGGAGCCAGAGACGTATCCTGCAGGACATCTTGTCCCGCCGCCCATCGACCTCAGCCACCCCGTGGTATCAACATCAACATCAACATCAACATCAACATCAACATCAACATCAACATCAACATCAACATCAACA